ATACTTGAGGAAGCCACACAGGCAGTTCGAAGAGCCGATCGCATGGTGTAGAGTGTGCGGGAGGCGGTAATTCCAGTGAGCCCAAGCTTGACAAAGTAGAGAGTGATAGCACTTGATAATTGTTACAAGCTGATGTCAAGCATTACGTTCCAACTCGGCCCCCAATTCTACTCCTACACACCGGGGATCGGCAAAGTGGCGAAAAGTATTTTCAAACGCCGAGCACGTGGCTAAATGTGGCAGTGTGGCAGCTTTATCAGATAGGGCGTTCACGAGAAGAGCTTCAAGTCCAGCGCTATTGACACACAGATCCCGACCCCTTTTGAGCCGCTTGGACATGATACAGCGACACGGAACTCAAGGAACGTCCCTCCTGCCTTTCTAACTTCCTCAGCTGTCTCTCCTTTGTCATGCATGCAGAAGCCTTTGACGAACACCTGAGAGATTCGCGAAAAGCTGCAGTAGAACGAGGACGTTTTCCCACATGTTTGACTCCTTCACGCTGAAAGGTATACAATCGACGAAAGCCACAGAAGACAGACTGAGAGAATCGACATGGATTCTCTGGATCAAAGGCATTTCCCACGGGGCTTCCTTTGACGTAGGGCACGGAATTTGACGAAGACTGCACCGTGAGTCTGTCTTTATGTACTTTCCCCCACTTCCAGACGAGGCCTCAAGCGCGCCCCTCCCTCCCTCGGACTCTCACAACTCGATCTTATACAGTCTTCTTCCAAGATTCAAATACTATGTCCTGCACTCACAAGTAAGACGGGAGACGTTTGCCCGATTGTAGCGATCGCTTTCCGGAACCAGTTCGCCCCATCACTTGCCCGTCAATCGTGAACGATGACCATGACCCACAGTGTTCGTCAGCTCCAACTCCTCTGCCTGGTAGCACTCCTGCTCTTACGTCCTACGCTCGCTCAGCGTTGGGGAGGTGAAGGAAACGGGTACGACTGGGGGGGAGGAGGAGGAGGAGGAGGAGGAGGTGGTGGTGGTTGGGGGCCAGGTGGAAGAGGAGGAGGAAATCCAGAGGATTCAGAGGAAACCATTCTGACATCACCCCAACCCACGATCCAATCCACCATTGTCGTTGCTCCTGACCCGGAACCAACGACAACTTCGACTATCATTGCGCCTGCGCCTCCTTCATCTACAATTCAAACGACGTCGACGACCATGCGGGATATCACAGCCATCAACGTCGTGACGGATACGTCTTATGCCATTACGACGATCCTCATCTCTAAGACCATCAGTTCCTCCGTCGTCTTCTCTTCAGAAATCATCACTTCCGTTTTGCCATCTGTGACTGCTAGCTCGGTGATTCGATCGAGTGCGGTTTCACCGTCTCCAAGTCGACAGGCCGTCAAGGCCATGACGAGTCTCGCGGTGACTTCAAATACCAGTGGTGATCAAGCGACACTCGGGACCGAGCGACCATCAATGGCTTCGAATGCAGGGGATGAAGGGACAATGTCGCAGGACGACTCATCCAATACTTCCATCTCGCTCGCGTTTGGGACACCGAGATTGCCAGACGGGAAGAACACGGTCCAGTTTGGGATGGTGAGTCGACGTAAGGACCGGCGAGGCAGATTGGCTGATTGTCTTCCCACAAGGTTGCGAGGAGTGGCGCAAGTAGCGTGAAACGGCAGGGAAGGAGAACAATATGGACGACAGTACTGGTTACCCTTGGGATGTTCGTAATACCCTTTCGGTAGGGATTCCGCGACTTTTCCTCTCTCTCTCTCTTTCTCTTCCTCTCTCTTTCTCCATCTACTCGTATATCTCTCAATGTCCGTAGAGGGACTTTAGTATGCAGCATGATGTTATGACGGTGGATGCTACAACAACAATTCAGGGAACACCCCCCTTGACAATTCTACTTCCTCCTAAACGTATTCTTCGACGCACTCCTTGACACATCTCTTCGCCTCGTCCTGCCTCCCCGATCACCCTCCCTTGCCTCTGACTGATCTTCTTGACCTCTTTCCATGCCTGCACCGAATCGCTCAACTTTGGAACGATTCGGTCTACCACCCTTCGGCCCCAGATCATCATCATCTGAGGCCCAATCATTCTCAGCTCCAGCACGAGATTTGGATGATCCTTGCGGAACAAAGGACATCTCCATCCCTCCGTCCGTGCCTCTCCGCATGGCCAGTACACCGTCCATCCGAGCATCCTTCTTGCTAGCCTTTGTAGGCTTAATCTGCTGTGACCAAGCTCGTTTACCAAATGTATCGCTGGAAGAAGGACCCGCATGTCTCTCATCACCAATGATGAGTCGGGGTTTGCGCAGAGGACCCGATTCAGGTCGAGCGAAAGGTTTGGCTGTGGTCCGTTTGACATTCCGAGGATCGTATTGGAGAAGTTCTGCAAAGCGTCAGTCGAGCTACACTTCGAGATCACTCACCTCCATCGTCACTCTCTTCACTGTCCTCGTCCGGGTCTTCGGCTTGTCCACCACCACCATCATCATCATCTTCCGAATCATCCTCATCTTCTGACAGGTCGGAGGACATCCTGTCCGATTCATCCTCCTCGTCTTCCACTGCAGTCTTACGCGCCGCCTGAGAGCGATATGAGCAAGAGTCTGTTCCTAAGAGAAAAGCACGGAAAGACCACTCACATTCTTGTTTGCGGTAGCTGGATTGAGTAAAGCAAACTCTCGACTCTCCTCATCAACCTCAAAGTCTGGATCCTCGAACAAATCCTTGAACCTCGGATCGGACAACAAAGTCTCTCCAGAGCGCGCAGTAGCACCTCCTTCCTCCGCACCGTCGTTTGCACCATCTTCCGCCCCCACTGCTGCTGCCGCCTTCTTCTCCCTTTTCCTCTTCTCCGCCGCTTCTGCCCTGTCGTCTGCTCGGCGTAGCCTCTCTGCCAATGCCTTGTTGACCTTCGGTTGATCCTTTCTGGCTCTGATCCTCGATTCAGCTTTCGCAGCGAGCTTATCGGCCACCATCTTCTCCCTCTGCTCAGCGTAAGAAGTAGGATTGGCAATGAGTCGGGCGGTGGTATACAGTTTGAGCGAGATGAAGAACCCGTGCATGTAAGGTTTGAGCGTCTGCGTACCGATGAGGTGGGTAAGGCCAAGACTAGATTTCATAGGGTCAGTTTCCACCCTCCTCGGAGAGGATTTTAAGCGACTCACGTCTCGAGCTCTTGACGATCGATGAATTTGTAATCCACATAGGCGCTCTTCCCAATGCCGCCAGAGGCATCTTGGGCCATTTCTTCCGTGACGTTATCCAGAAATCCAGCCCACCGAGGAGCTGGACCTAGATCGGGAATATAATAGGTATTGAGTTGAGGAGCATCGCAAGCTGTGAAGATGAGCCCGGAGTTGGGCACGGCGTGAAGATGGGTGAGTGTGGAAGGAGGTTGGAGGGAGAGAAGGTTGCTCGAGGCCTGATGGGCGGTCATCATCAAAGTGGATCATCACACGTTGATCCCCACTCACATCCTTCTTGTTCCATATTTTGACGACCTTGCTATCTGCACTGATGACTCTCCCTTCATCCTCTCCACCGCCCGACCTCAGCCACTCGACATTCTTCATCGGCTCGCCATACCCTTGATCCTTGATTGCGAAGGGAGTCGGACTTCGGAGGTCGTATAAGAGCGTATGGCCCGTCGATGTGCCTACAGCTAACGAGAGACCGTCCGTTGGATGAGACGCCAGAGCAGTCACGCTGAGAGTCTGTTCAGGCGGTATGATTCCCGTTCCATCGTAGTGTGGCTGCATAGGCAGTAAGGTCGAGGTAGGTAAGAGAAGTTTCGTGAGGGCCGATTTGGATCTTGGGTCCCAAAATTCAACGATTCCACTCCCGCCGTCAAGACCTAAAGACCAAAGACCATGACGCGAGTTGACGTCCACCACATTGACACCATCTATATCGTCTGTCTGGACTTTTATCGGAACCATGTATCGGCCTTCTTCCAGATTCAGCCGGAAGACTTCAGAGCCCGTGCATCCAATGAGAGCTTCCGCTGAAGGTGCGTGATATGCTAGACTTCGACCATACGTCGGAAGACGGAGGGAATGATGTAAGCCCATTTGAGTATGTAAAGAGATGGATCGATCGCGTTGAAGATGGAGTGTCTTTGTCCAATCGGAGGAGAGGATCTATAGCAAACGTCAGGGGACGGGATATGTATGACAACATCTCCGCCGCTGGGACTCACCACGAAATCCACATTCTCAGCATCTGTCACCCTCTCAAATTTCACCGTCAAGTCATGTAGATCCCAGACCTTCATCATGGGCTTATACGTTCCCGTCCCAATGGCAAAATCTCCATCTTCCGTCGTCTTGATCTTGATGGCAGCTTCGGGGAATGCGAAATCCTGTATGAGCTCCAGTTGACCTATCTCCCTCTGCGTCTTGACTCGTTTACGATGCGTCGAGCCGGCTGGTCGGACAGACCGAGGCTTGGTGGTTATCCATGTGGGGAGGGTAGAGGAGGATGTGGACGACGGACCGTTGACGGTGTAGATCTTGGGAAAGGTGGTCATGGCGACGGGAACAGCTCGATCAGTCTCCTACAGGCGCTTTGCTGAGTGATCGTCGTCAGTAGCTCGCCGGTCTTCTGGACCCTCTCGCTGCTAACACTGAATAACTATGTGACCGCTCGTCGGTGCCCAACTTTTTAGGATAAAATCGAATCCAAAAATAATGCATTGAAAAATATTGCCGCGTGGCTCACTGTAACCGGCGTTAACCGTGATCTGTCGCTGACGATGATCTTCGTCTTCGTGCAATCTGTCGTCGTTGAAGCTGGCGTCCTGGAGATCACATCGCGTCGATGGCTACTCGTATAGGACTCGGAGGGCTTCAAAGCCTATCCAGATGTGCAGAATCAGTGTTTTATCGATCCAACGCATCCACATCTCGCCCCCTTCGCCACTTCTTCAGTCCATCTCATGTCCAACGACAGCCTCTGACACTGCTGCACTCCTCATTTACGGGCCCTAGGCGTACAGCTTCCAAGCTTCTCGAAGGACTATACAGTCGACCTAGTGCCTCTCAAGAATCCCTTAGAGCGAGCTTACGCCGTGGGATCCTCCTCTTCAAACGCGCACCTCGGACCGAACAACGTTGGAGATCGTGGCAGGGTTCAGGAGGAGGTGGCGGTGGATTTGGGGGTCGGAGCGGGCTGTTGAGAGACCCAAATTTCATCGTAAGACTCGCAATCAAATAGAGATGCTGTTGAGCTGACTATACCAAGGTTCCGATACTGATCGGTGTGAACATTGCCATCTGCGGTCTCTGGCAGTACGCTCAGTTCTCCTATGTGAGTTGGACATTTTGAATCACCAGGGACATGGAGCTGAGATGGCGTGGTCAGAATCGATTTCACGATGCGAGTCTGCTTCAATGGATGTACAAGAACTTTGCTCTCACCGGAATGAATGTGAAAGCAGGTCGTCTGTGAGTAACGTTCGATTCTCTGGCTAGACCTGAATCTTTGTGCTCATGATCCTTGATTTTCTCAGCTGGAACATGTTGACGAGTGCATTCTCACATCAGGACTTTATTCATCTCTTTATGAACGCCCTAGGCCTGTATTTTGTCACGCCAATCATTATCAGGTGAGTATCACCGCTTAAATTTAAGGTCAAACCAGAATACCGATTCCTATCTTCCTAGCACCACAGCCATGTTGGTATCGCCTCGACGTGTCGTACCAGCCTTTTGGGGTCTGTATCTAGGTGGTAAGTCATTGGAGACCTGTCCCGTATACGCATGCTGATGACCTTTCAGGTGCACTGGCCAGCGCCTGTACTATTCTATGGTGGCATCGTGATAGTCCACGCTTTGTGACGACAGGGGCATCAGGTGTGTCCGGATAGGGTTGGAGCACTGTCGATCGTGCTCATTGCTGCTTTTTTGTTAGGTGCTCTCTACGCCATGATGGGTATGTCGCGTGATCCGTACACGTGAGTATCTTGCTCACAGAACCCTCTTAGGCTATCAAGTCATATTGTCTCCACGACTCCCTGTTCAGCTATATTTCTTCATTCCCATGCAGCTGCGAGTCCTTATCGCAGCGATCACCGCTGTGAGTCGTGTCGGATCAAAGTTGAGTGTAATCCATCACTGACCTGTATACACAGTACGACGTGTACAATCTTCTATACAATCCTCGCTCGACAACGAGCTCAGAAGGTCATCTCGGTGGTCTCGCATTTGGTATAGCGGCGGGTCTAGTCTTGAGACGAATGACGGGGTACACGCCGTTCTGATTGACCGCGTTCGAGACCAAACACTCAGCAGATCATTCATGTATCACGTAGCAATCCATTCCTCCGGTGCGAAGCTTGTGTGCGCCTTATAGTGTGACAACAAGAGGATCCTTTCCATGCGGCTTGGAGATCCACCGCTTGACCCCGAGCCCCTGTACCTGATCATCTATGCACAACATCCACTAACACGGTGGTGCCCCATCCCGTCCCATCCCATGGAGATTATACAACACACCCCCGTCTCCTTCATTGCTCGGCTCAACGTGTGTACCTCAGGCACACAACGAACAGACCAATAGATGAGTCAATGGAATGAGGCCACGTCATCAACTCACCAACTCACTCTGGCATACCTGATGTTTGTCCCATCCATTGAGTCAATGTATATTCTTCTCAAGGATGGAACCCAACCAGGTCCACTGCCGCCACCAGTTAACCTTTTTTTTGGGCTCTTGGGCGGCAGGCGGCGGGGGGCCCATGTTTGGATGAAGCAGCGGACAGCAGTGTCTCTAGTATCATGTACGCAGCGAGCAGACGCGCTGCCAAACAGGAGGATCCTTGCGTTGCTCCCCCCGGCCCCGCCCTGCCTCGCCTCAGCTCCATGCGTTCTCACCGTATCCCGTGCGGCGATCGACCTGGCCCTGCCTGTGTCGGGAGACGGGTTATAATTAGAGGCGTTTTTTCGCCGTACTCCTTCCTTTTCTTGACACTTGTCAGATGGGATACATGTCGACCGCTCTATCCATGAATGTTCTTCTGAGCTGAGCAAAGCCCAAAGCAAAGCATAGCAGAGAACGAGAGTGCGCTGTCAACAATCAGACAAGGTTCGCCAAGTATAATACACAACCAGTCGCATCGTTGAATCTTGGGGGGTCCTGTGGAATGGAATAAAATCTTCGAATCATCCCGTAAAACCACATATTGGACCTGATCGTTCGACCATCCCCTTCGTGGAATGGAATGCTTCAAACGTCAGCAACGACGTCGACGATCCGCATCTTCATTCCCTTTGTTCTCAACCAGCTTTCGACCATTCCCCCTTCTTGATTGATCGTCGATCCAATCGATTTCCACCCCTTTGGTGTTCAACCCCCCCCCCCCCCCCCATCTTTATCTATATCACCTTGGAGGCAAGGGGGATCATACAACAATTGTGCTGTTCTCCCTTTCCATCCCCATTGGACTGTGTACTTCTGTCCATCATGCACCCTCAAATACCACGTCGGCCATCTCCCACCAAGGGCTTCACCTTACCAACCATATCCTACACTCAGCCCGTTTTACCCCTCACCGAACCGTCGCCTTCATCATCACGTACATTGAGATCTTCCGCTCGACGTCTATCTTATGGCATCAAGAACCGTCTCGGACGATGCGCCTTACCTCTCTCCCTTGGTGGCATCATCACTATCGTCTTACTCTTCATGACCTGGTCCAAGGGTCACGGGTACCCATACCCCTCCGCTCATCGACTCAAACTGTATACCCGTGAACAGATTGAACAGACCGTATTCGATGGTGTCGGATCCGGTCGGCATGCACTTCAGACTGGAAAGAAACCCGCCAACGACGATGAACTCTTGGCGGAAGACGATGTCTTTGAGATGGTTTACAAGGAGCCACCTCCACCTACAGAAGCTGAGAAAGAGGCCGAAGAAGAATTCGAAGCGCATCGTCAAGATGTCATCGAGAGGAACGCTATACACTCAGCCAAGGCCCTCTTGTGGTTCATCGCTCAAGGTAACAGTATCCCGAGCTCGTTCGAGATGCCTTCCAAGGTTCAAATGGCGAAAATGGGCGGGAAGGGCATGGAAAAGTTGTTGGAAAGTTTGGATAAGAAAGGCAAGACGGGAAGAGGAAAAGGCCGAAAGGGAAAACAGGTACAGGCAATTGATGCGGACGTCGACCTGGTCTTCCCAGAAGGATGGTTGCAAGTCGCCGATCAGGAGCTCAAGCTGGTGGTCTTTTCAAAGGTGAGGTCGCGTGGTCCAAATGAGCGAGCAAAGACTCACAATCGCAGTCATATTGCCCTTACTCGAAACGAGCCAAATCGATCCTCTCCAAATACCGTATCAACCCTTCTCCGTATATTGTCGAACTGGACCAGCGATGTGAGTAATGTCACCGTCCCTTCCTGGCTTCCCCCCGCTAAAATCTGCCATCAGCCGACATGGCCCATGTACAGAATCTCCTCCTGCAACTCACTGGTCGGCGAACAGTCCCCAACATTATGCTCAACTTCAAGTCTTTGGGCGGAGCCGACGAGCTCACCTTGCTCGATGCCGAAGGGGGTCTCCAGAAAACATTCGACGATGCCGGAGTCGGTAGACCGAAACGAAATGCCTATATCCCTCGACCTAATAGACCACCGGCACCGCCAGCTCCCCGTGATCCTGTACCCGCTCGACTCCCTCAGCAACCTCAACCAGTAGCTGGACAGCCACCAGCCAGAAGACCCGAGGCAAGACCGGCCGTCGTCAACGGAGAGGAGAATGTCGCGCCGAATCGCCGAGCGAGACAGCCTCAACAGCCTCAACAGCCAGAGAATAGAGCCCCCGTCGCTCCTGCCAGGATCGATATCGATGAGGCCATAAGACGAGCTCACCGTGTAGCAGATGCGCGTGAGGGACTGGGAGAATATGAAGGCGATTTCTTCGATCGAGCGAGACCGGTGGACTCGCCTTCGAGTGATAAGAGGAATCGCGGGCCGGCAGACAACGTAGCGCCCGGACGAGATGATCGTGCTCGACAGGCGAACATTCACAGAGACCGGACTCGACTGGATCAGGATGCAAATGCAGAGCCAGTCGCGCGTAGACCGGCGAATTTTCCGGTCAGAGGGAACGCACCAGTCGCCGCCCAAGGACCAGAAGTTGATGAGGATCTCGCGCTCCCGGCGGCCAACCGACGGGTGCCGCCGAATGGCATCGTACCTGCTCGGCGACCACCGAATAGCCATGGACGCGGGGTGACCAAAGGTGAAGCGGAGGTCGAGGGTCTGGCGATAGACACGGTCGGCCGGCCACGAATGGCCAACGCTGATCCGAGAAGACGTCCTGTGCAGCCCAACGATATTAGAGAGAGGCTGGATATTCCTGGAGAGAAGGTCCCTGGGGGTCAGGAGCCTGTTTTGGGCTCACACGGTGATCTGCTGCCTCCGGTGGATGGCAGGGGACGTCGCCCGCGGCCTCGGCCTCCTCAAGATCTCGATCGACACATTGTCCAAACTGAGGATGCCGATATGGCAGCCTCTCCTCAAGCTTTGCCAAAGTACGGTAAAGTCGTTCACGCACCGCATCCTGAGGACGCGATCCCACCCATCGGACGAGCACGCATGGGAGATTCGCCGCAGAGAGCGGATCGCTTGGCGGCGCAGAATCCTTTGATGGTCCCAGAGGAACGCACTCGATTACATGACTTGACCAGTGGATCTGAAAACGACTCCGACCAGGCGGATACAGATCGGGAAACTACACGGGACACTCTGGACGACTCCGACTCCGAGGCCGAGGCGGACGGTGCATTCCCAAGACAGATAGAGACCTATGTCGACCCTGAGCTCAGCGCTGTGCTAAGTCCAGAAGATCTGGATGAATTAGACGACCGATACGATGATCGAGACGACTGGGAGTTTTCGGCATCGCCGTCATCAAGCGATGATCTGTACGAGGGAAATGACAATTCGTTCCTCAAAGCTCCTAATCCTAGACAATTGGAAGACGATGGTATAGCTGCATTATCGGCCGCAGCTTATAATCTGAGGCGGAGACCGAATGGAAAGAAGTTGAGAGACGCGATGGATGTCGATGAAGGGAGTGTGATTCAGGTGAAAGAGTCCGCCGTGGAGGTTGCAGCGACCTGGTAGACCAGACAGACGATGGAGGGAGGTTCGGGATACAATCTTGGTAAAGATCTCTCGGAAAGATCTATTGAGGGATCCTGAAGGGACGACGAGTACACACATCAGCCCTCGCGTTGTACTTCTACATGTACTGAGCAGCATATTTCTTGCATGCATTGTGGGCATCCATATGGCAAGAAAGGGAATTCGAAGGGCGGATGATATCTGCTATTATTATCAGAAGTGGAGGCAGGACGGTCCCGCCGAGTTTTATGCGTCACTTCCTACTGCTAGACTTGGTCAAGCATTCGACGAGAGCATCGCGAAATACTGCTATGCTATGCATGGTCTGCTGATTGACTGGAAGCCATCTCCAAAAAAACAATCACCTGGGTTGGCTATCTAACAGCTCATTTTGATACTTGCCCAGGTATACTACTGCCCTCCTTCCTCACATGGGTGAACGTCCCGCTCGCGAACCACCTCTCGTTGGCCTGTTGAACTCTCGCAGCAGCAGACAGACTCGGCGTGACGATTTCCAGGCCCTGTACAGGGGTGAAGGACAAGGAAGTCGAAGTACCCGATTTGGCATCTTGAGAAGTGAGTGATCGACCGAGCATTTGAGTTCTGATTCGATTCGCTCGAGACAATTTGGCTGAAGGGGATGGTCAAATCGTCAGTGAGAGAGAGATCCCCAACTCAACAGCTAGAGAGTCGAACAGTGACGACTCACCTTTACTTCGTGCATCCACTTGCTCTCCCCTGACTCTTCCAGAGCCTTGTCCGACCATTCCCAATCCGACAGTCTCGTCGTCCATTCCAAACTCTTCTTCGGCCTTGCCAAATTCCATACGGTTCTGAAGCTTTCGTAGCTCTGTCTGAGCATATGCTTCTTTCTGCTTTCGAGCTCTTCACAAGAAGTCAGCATTCACCTCGACCCCCACGCGCTTACCTCTTTCCACCTCGCTTCTTCCTGATGGTCTCCTGGGGGATAGGCAGAGCCTTTGTCATCTTGTTCGGAGGAGGCTCTGCCATCTTCTCGATCCTCTTCTGCAACTCTCCCAGCCACTTCCTCCCCGCACTTCCGTCCCGGGCACTCTTGCCTGCATCGATCCTGGCCGCAAGAATGCACTTTGCCGATACGGCTCTCTGAGCTCTGCGCCTATCTTCCGGTTGAGCGGATTGAACGATAGGAGAGGAAAAGATGAACCCAGTATGTCGAGCTTGACTAGCAGCTGAAAGATGAGAATTTGCCAACGTCCTCTTCTGAGCTCCGAACAACATGATATTGCAAGCTGGTTGACGGGAGAAAGCTTGAAGTCCACCCGCCAGACCTAGCAATTTCGCAGCGATACCTGTCCCTACGATCGCAGACAGGTTTGGTGCGACGGAAGACATTCTCGATTCGACGTATGCAAAGATTTGCTCTCTCGCGATTCGAAGATTTTGCGCAAACTCGATAGCCCGCTCGACGGTTCTCCATTCGCCTTCAGTCAATTGACGACCTTTGGTCACGGTGGCAGTGAGGTTGATGGAGAGGATAGTGGCGGGTGGAAGGGTATTGGGAAGAGTACATCGGGTCAGATCCTCCGTATTGGCGATGGCTTTGACGGCTGCAATATAGGTCCAAGGGTCGGCAATGAGCTGTTCGAGCTCGGGAAATCGCGGAGCGTAATGATCCCTGATAAACTTGTGGACGATGAGGATCTCGTTGTCCACTTCGACAGACATGTTGTTGGCGGAAACGACGAGCGAGTATTCAGGGTTTTCTTCGAGTGGACCTGACGAGCTGGACATATCGCTAGGAGCGGCAGTGTACCGTGAGATATCCTACATGATCGCGGTCAGTTTCAACATTTCTCGTTGAGATTATGAAATGTCGCTTAGACTCACCGCCAGGATCTCCTTTAGCTTTTTCGAGTGTATCAACTTGGCGACTTCGCCTATATCTTCAATATCCGTCAAATCCGTCTGATTCACCACCTCCTCGTCTAGCTCATCTGCAGGTCTCACACCTCCTTCAGGGACGAAACCCATTTTGACACCTCCTTCTCCGTTCATATCTACATCATCATCGCCATCGTCCTCATCTCCGTCCACCTCTCCGTCTCCACCACCATTGGTTTTTTCAAACTTGACCCGTTTGGAACTGCTCGACGCCGATGTACTCGCATCCAAGTCGTCCGCTAAACGCTTCGCTTTGAGAGGCAGCGGGGGAGGCAGCATTTGACCTGGTCCTGATGATGCAGACTTGGAGGCTGAAGCTTGAGGAGGCGAAGGAGCATCTTCGCCATCCGATAGACCGTCTAAGTCAGCCAACAGAGAGTCTGCGAGCGACATGATGGGAGTGTTGTCGCCCCAGCAAGAGAGACTGTAATAGAAGGACAAAGCTGTCGTCGACAGATGTATGACCTTGCCACTCACTGAAGGCAAACATTTTGATTCCGTCCTCGACCACGTGTTGCGGGTGTCCAGCTGGAACTCCAGCTACATTCTGCGCCTGGTATCATAGATCCCCTACCTCAAGCAGATCGTCTCATCCGCACGCGCACGATGCTTGCCCGTCTTCCCATTCTATTGGCTGGACTGGCATCTCTTGCTCTGCCGCAGCTGGCAGCCGCGTCAGACAGACAACATTGGGCCGCTCTTGCAGCGAAATCTAAAGATGGAGTGATCACGCTTGACAGCGCTTCGTACGAGGATATTCTGTCTGAAGACAGAGATTATTCAGTATCAGTGGTGCTCACTGCCTTGCCTCAACGTTTCAAGTGTACTCCTTGCCAGTGAGTTTAAAACATATGGCATCCTCTGTGCCGAAAAACTCCTGACCTGAACATCGTAGTGAATTTGACCCTTCCTGGCACCGTGTTGCTAATTCTTGGAACCGAATCTCCGCGCCTGAAAAGAATCACCACTTCTTCGCTAAGCTAGACTTCCAGGACGGAGAAGCAGTGTTTAGAAAGGTAAGCTGAGAGTGTTTTCGCGTCGACCGCCAAAGGCGACAACATCGCTGATTATCCCCGAAAATAGATGGGTTTGTCAACTGCACCCAAGATCCAATTTCACCCCGTCCTCAATGGCCCGTTCAAAGCCAACAAGATTGCAACTGTCACGTACGAGATCGATAAATTGTGAGTCTTCAGGCCACCCTCCGCGCTCCCCCATCTCATTCCTGCGGCTGACGGCCCTTCCCAGCGGTCTCTCGGCTCAACAACTCCACTCGTGGATCCGAAACCTTACCCCGATCCCTTTCGACCTTCACACACCGTTCAACCCAGTTCCCGTCATCATGATTCCGTTATCCCTCTTCGCCATGGCCTCTATCGCTTGGAGCTCTCGAGCGTTCGTCCTTCCCATCATCCAGTCCAAGATCATCTGGGGTATCTCAAGTGTCATCCTCATCTTGACATTCACCAGTGGATACATGTGGAACAAGATCAAAAACACGCCGTATGTCGTCACAGGGCCGAACGGTCAAGTCAGCTGGTTCGCAGGAGGCTACTCGAACCAGTTGGGGTTGGAGAGTCAGGTCGTCGCTGGTGCATGTGAGTGATGCCACCTACAATGATCAACAAGTCACAGCTCATGCTTCCGCCTACCTCAGACGGTGCACTGAGCTTGACAATCGTCGCATTGACCATCTTTGTCCCTGCTCAAGCCTCACCTAGCAAGCAACGGGTCGGCGTATACCTCTGGTTGGCAATGTTTGTGGTCATATTCAGCTTGCTCGTCAAGCTGTTCAGAGTCAAGAACGAGTCGTACCCATACAAGTTGCTCTTCTAGGTATCCTTGGCCCATCTACATAGGCCACCACAATGCATTGAAAAAAGACAAAGACGTGCCAGTAGGCATCGTAAAAGATGATAGAGAGAAATCAAATGAATCAATGACATGTATGAACCCTAGGAAGCTGTCCGCTTACTCCAACTTGACCTTCTTGTCCGCGTCTCCGTTCTGGGCATCGCTCTCTGCTGATCTCTTCACCCCGGCGATGGTTCCGTTCTCAGAGACACCCTCTGCCTCAGCCTCGACCTTGTTCATGCTGCCGTTCGCAGGTACAGGAGCCTTTTTCGGTTTCCTCTTGACCATGCTCGTCAGATCATTGACAGGCGCATCTCCAACCGATGATCCACTGGGTCCACCCGATCCACTTGATGATCCATTGAGCATCGATCCGAGAGCTGATCCAAGCGCGTCGGATCCCAGTAAGTGATTAATACTCTCCGAGACGAGATCCTCAGCTGGAGGGGCAGCTTTAAGCTCTTCAATCTTCACTTCGAGGTCACCAATCAGGGCTTTGACATCCTCCACTTCCTTCTCCTTCTCCTTCTCGCTCAACTTTTTCACTTCATCACTTTGCTCCGAGTCGGAGGCCAATTCCGCCAGACGAGCTTTGAACCCTGTCACGGCGGATTCGACATGTTTCAACGCATCGGCTCGACGGTTCGGTGTAAATTCGAGGACGGTGGCAAGTTGATAGTGGACTGAGGCGAGGGATCGGGCGGATGACGGCAAGAGGGCGGATTTGATCTCGAGAGCGGAAGTGTAATCTTGCACGGCTTGGGTAAAGTTTTCTTTGGAAAGTCAGGGTCAGTGGAGCCATCATGGGAGGGTTGGGAAAGGCTTACCTGTTTCACAGGACACATCACCGAGAGCGAGATAACATTCGGCTAGGTTCAACCTGTCTTCCCTCGCGTCACTCCCTTCCCTCCCTTGTACCATCTTTGAATAGATCGTTCGAGCGACATCCAGAACCTCCCACGCTGCATTGTAATCGTCCTCCGGCTCATCCACCTCTTCCGCCTCTTCCCCAGCGCCATTGATTCCAACTTCCGCATCTCCTTCACTCTCGACCTCTGTCGGACGTGTTGCGGACGGTCCACTTTCTTCGACTCCGTTTCCCTGTCCGTCGCCTTCCACTTCGTCGTCATCAGAGACAGGATCAGCAGAAAAGACAAAGTTGCCTGAACCTCCTTCCTCTGCCCGAATGGCTGTGTACAGTAGTTGAGCAAATGTTGTAAGAACGGGGCAAGATCTGTGCTCACTCTCTCCTCCAGCTTGCTTCTCCACTTCTTCTTTCCCCATCACACCAGCTTGAGAGAACGCAAGCTCATATAGCGCCTTGCCATAGCTCAGCAGCAGAGGAGCCATCGAGGGATCAAACTCGCCGACCAACTGGCGTCTATGCGAAATAAGGGTCAGTACCAGCGACCTTTCTAAATATTCCACAAGCCCACCTCAAGTCCAGCGCATCAGCATACTTTGCTACGCCTTCTTCCCATTGCTTCAGTGCGATGGCCTTTTTGCCCTCTGCAATGAGCTTTTCAGCTTGAGACTGGAGGTCGGCAGTGTCTGCTGCCGGGACCTCGGTGGAACCGTGGGTGGTATCGGCCTCATTCGGTTGCGTGGTGTCGGCCCTGCTCATCGTGAGCTGCTGCAGGCACTCCCAGGACTTACATCTTTATCACGGTGGAGCAGGATATCAAGGGTTGGAGTGAACATTGGATCAACTTTTAACCTTTGGCCGAAAACGCGACGCGACAGAGGTCACGTGGTGGTCCACGGCTGATAGATATGCTTATGATCATGAGCAGCGTCAATCATTATACTCGACTTTGTGCCCAAGCAGTAGTGAGCATGGCAGACGGCACAGAGACATCTAGGCAGAAGGACGAGGTCTGCGTGGACTGTGCTCCCGGCGATCAGTCTGGCGGGGATTCACATGACCAACCAATCTCGAGCAATGCTCCTCAAGCCTTTACATCCGAGACAATACTGGACGCTGAAGCCACTCGCGAGACGATCATTCCACCAACACCGGACTCATTGCACCCGAGCATCCTCATCGAATATTGCGATCGTTGCCGATGGTGAGGGTTTCGGCAGTAACAAGTCCACAACATCAAGGGGAAGCTGACTCTTCTCTGCTTTGCGTGGCAGGGCACCTCGAGCGACTTGGACCCAGACTGAACTCTTCCTCACTTTCCCTACACCCACACTCAAGAGCATAACCCTTCAGCCACTCACTGCGCCAGATACCGCCGGCAGGTTCAGGGTATGGCTATATACCAACGATGGTGTGCAGATCCTCTGGGACAGGAAGGTGAGCTGGTTCAATTGAGGTCTATGAGACATTGACCTCAACTTCGGGATCAGCGTGAAGGTGGCTTTCCAGAGCTCAAAGTACTCAAGCAGCGAGTCAGAGATGTGCTCCAACCTGGTTTACACCTGGGTCATTCGGACAAGAGTGGCAAAACGGCCGAACACGCAGCTTGAGTCACTCCTTGCCGCCACTATCTCGCCCATAACGGCGCAGTTGGATAGCTGTCCGATTGACACGATCGCCCCTCTGATACGAAAGAGTCATCAGCTGAACCGGATTCCGACACTGGGTTGAACATGCTGAGGTAGAAGATGTCGATAGCTGTCATGTCGCAGTAACGATCTATCCAGGCGACTGTACTAAATCCCGTCAGACTGCACTCGCATACTGTAGGATTCTGGCACAGTGTTTGTCAGTGTATGAATGCTCGCTATGCATCCTTAAAAGCACCGCTGTGCCATCCTCGTCGTCGTTGTCATCGATGTCCCTCTCTGCCGTCTGCCGAAGCGCTTATGCTACCGCCCAACGCCATTTTTTGCTTCCGTTGAATTCGATGGAAATTCGATGGGTCAAACGTGTGGATCATCCATCTTCTCGCCTACATCTTCCAACTACACACTCTCATCTGGCTTCCTCTCTCTCTCTCTTTCTCTCAGCACTCTCATCTGCCAACATGCCTCGATCTGTGAGTAGAAAACGTCCCGGTTGATTCTCACAGAGATACGATGCTGACGGTTTCTTGTGTCTGTCCTGTCCCTCACCTTGACTCGCCATCTTCCGATCCACTTGCCACCCTGCGTGTCTTCACTTGATCCTACCTTCGACCTCCATATCACAGTCTGGTGGTGGACGATCTCGTCCTGCTGCTCGTCCTGCTGCTCCCCCAGCTCAGCAAACTCGTCAACACTCCACTACTGCTCAACCATATCAGAACCAAGCGGGTGAGTGGGATCCAATGCATCTCCATTTTCCCTTAAATCCCGATGACCAATCGATATCCATCCCGAGCCCCTTGCTAACAGCTCATGATCAGCTGCTGCCAACCCCGCCACTCAGGTTCGGCCACCGGGTCTTCTCGCTCAAGCCGCTTCCACTATGGGAGGAGCAGTCGCAGGCTCCGTCGTCGGACACGGAATCTCCAACATGTTGTTCGGTGGTCGATCCCAGGAACAGATGCCACCTCCTGCCGAGTACGCTCAACAGTCTATTCAACAGACTGGAGGCTGTGACATCCCATCAAAGGGTATGTCAGGTGGTTCTTGCACTTTCCAAAAATGCTAATCTCCACTCTTCAGATTTCACCAAGTGTTTGGACGCTACAAACGGCGACATGACTGCTTGTGGATACTACCTTGAAGCATTGAGTACGTCGCTATCCTTCTGTAAGAATTTCTCGAGCTAACAGCTTTCAAAGAGGCCTGTCAGGCCGCCGCCAAGAACTACTAGGTCGTTTGTGGTCCGCTCCAGTGGTAATCATTGCATGCAATAAATTGTAAAAGGTGAACATTGCTGCCTCTTCGGCGTCAGGGAGCCTACCGCCTGGCCGCTTTGAGCTTGTGTCCATGCGCCCTTCTCTTTGCGTCATTCAATCCAAGCGAGCGAACGCAAAGGTGTCTCACCGCACCGACTGAAGAGAGCCCACGATAACCGATCGGTCACCGCTGTGGAAATTCATGCAGGAGGCCATCTCAGATGGTAATCGCCTTCATGCTGCATCACCTTTCCCTCCGCTTCCTCGCGTGAAACATGTAATTACACTCCTCTCCTAAAGCCTTGCTCCATGTCCCCTCCGTCGCACTCCACAGCTTCCATTGTCCAGCTAATGGATCGTAGATGATTCCCTGGGTCGAACCTACTTCATCCAGCCTGACATCGCTCGCATCGTTGTTCTGTTCCCAGACATCGAAACCTCCCATCTCAGCAAAGACGAAGCGGCGCATTTCGTCCGGTTTGATGAATTTCGAATGGGTGTGCGTTCCGGGAGTGACGAGTCTCAGGACATCTTCCGCGAGTGTGATAGTGAGAAGGCGGGAGAGTACAGTACGAGAGATGGTAGAAAGGATCAGGTGACCACCGGGCTGATATCACACCTTTAGCTCAGATAGATAATGTGTGTGTGTGTGTGAAAGGGAAAAGTTGTCATGACCTACCTTGACAAGGTCTCCTAGACACTTCATGAATTCGCCAGGCTGCTCGACGTGCTCGACGACTTCCATAGAACATACGATGTCGTACTGCTCGCCTGCATCCCGCAGCGTCTCAGCTGTAGAGTGGCGATATTGGAGAGATCCGGAAAGATACGACGTCCTCGAGGTTCCAGCCGAGTGGGAGGAGGAGGAGGAGGAGGAGGAGGAGGAGGCGACGGAAGCGGTCTGAAATGGCAAGAGAGGATCTTGCGAAGCATGCAGCGTTGCAATAGCAATGTTTGATTCGCTAGCATCTACGCCAGTTACGTGTCCGCCTAGTCTAGCGAGACTCTGAGGTGCACGACTTAGCCAGAACCATAGAAGCCAGTTGCGAACTCACTTCTGATAAGAGACCACCTCCACAGCCTATGTCCAAACATTTCTTCCCCTCCAACCATCTACCTGTCCCTCGAGTTGCAGCCAGAGCCTTATGCTCGAACCTCTTCTCAAACGTCCACGGTGGCTCCTCATTAGATTCCAAAGCTACTTTCCTCCTGATATACTCTACACGGGAAGGATTCATGCGATGTAAGAGCCCGAATTCACCTTGTTGATCCCACCACTGGGATGAGAGGCCAGAAAAGTGTTGTATCTCTTCTGGATTGATGGAATTGAAGGAGGATGGCCGAGAGGCAGCGTTGGAGCTGTTCGATGGCGAGGTCGAGGTCGAGGTCGAGGTCTCGGCGGCATGAGAGCTCGTACTGAGGGCTTGAACCTGAAACTGAACACTCGACTGGTAAGAGTTTCGGGATCTCCCACCTGGGCCATTGATCCGTCCAGCAGCTCGGATGCGTGCCAATCGGGCCAATGAGACTCTCATGGTGCACTAGAGGAGCTCTCAGGCGGTGCAAGATGGCGTTCAAGGACGTCGATAAGTGGTTGTATAATGTCAAGATGACCTACAAATCTACAAATTCGAGACTGGTGGTTTTTCCGATCATCCGCAACTTCAGCCAGGTTGAAAATGCTACTACTATCAATCCATTGTGACCTTGTCTGTGCTGCAAGCTCAGTATGTCAACCTCGGCATCCAAGGCAGCTGCTTCAGAGTCTACTCAGAGTGGTAGCTATACTCTCCTTGTGACAGTAGGATCGACTCTTTTCCCAGAATTGACAAATTGTATCCTCTCTTCGGCCATACTGTCTATCCTGCCTTCGCTGGGGATCAAACTAGTCAACGTACAGTATGGGAAGGCGGATCTGCTGGCACATGAAGAGATTGAAGATCTAGAGGTGAATTGAGACGGGGAACTTACTCATTATGGCAGCTGACCGGTTCTACAGATCGATGCGCAGGGCAGTGGGGAGTTTACCTGGACAGACTACAATGGCGCTGGACAAGTCAATGTACACGTCTTTCGATATACGAACGATCTGTCAAAGTTGATCAAGGAATCGGACGCTGTGATATCTCATGCAGGTGGGGGTCTCTTTCTGCCTGAACGAGACAACGCAGCGTAGCTCATCTCATTGCCGGTAGGATCTGGATCTATTCTTGAAGTGATACGGTCCAAACCGCTCTTGGTGGTTCCCAATTCCAGCCTGATGGACAATCATCAGGCCCAACTTGCAGATGCTCTGGGAGATCAAGGCTACCTTATCTCCTCGACTGTAGAGTGAGTCCCATGCAGTATGGCCTAGCTCACGCACTGCAGGCAGCTGGACTCCAAGCTGGCGCTGCTCGTCAAGAGCATAAAGCAGCCTTTGAAACCATTCCCCGCGCTCGACAAGGCAAGATTTCCGGTCATCGTGGATCAGACAATGGGCTTCGAATGATCAGTAACCAAGTTTTACTTGTCGAAAATGTGTCTCGTAGCCATCTATACGACCTAACAGCCTCGAGGATCCAGGTCCCTGTCCAATTACAGGCGACCTTGACAAGTCGGCGTCTCGCTTGAACAAGAGCCGGCAGCCGGGCACCAGTCCGAACCGAAAGAGGCCTCAGCGTGGCGTGAAAGCTGTTGCCCATCATGGGGACATGCCACACCCGATGCATTCATATGTTTCATGGCGACGCAAACGCCTCACTTTTGCTCTGCTGCGATGAATCTTGGAATCGTCAGGTTCTTCGTCATATCCAGGGCTGAGCTCACTCAATCTCAACCAAGACATCCTTTGGCAGTCGAGCTACTTCCACACAACTTCGAGCCGGCTTTGTTTCACCGAAGAATTCCGCATAGAGCTTGTTGACGGCTACGAAATCGTTCATCGACTTGAGGAAGACGACGCATTTGAGGACGTGAGAGGGCGCAGAAGAAGACGCAGCGAGGACGGCGGCGACATTGGCAAAGACTTGTTTCTGGGTTGTAGAGGTGTCTTTGTCAGGGCAACGACACCTGTGCTAGCATTTGACCCACAGTCTGCTCTTCAATGCCTCCTGAAACAACTTCCATGCTTTTTGGGTCGAGAGGGATACATCCGGATGCGTAGATGAGCTACGTAGATCAGCAAAGGGCTTGAGGCCTTTAGGCGGATTGCACATACGCCATTGTACTTGGTAGCCTAACCAAATGTGAGCTCGAGTCATGGCAGCAAAGGCGGAGCTCACCTGAACATAAGGCCCAATGGCAGCTGGAGCCTCTGCCAGAGGGTGAGCGCGTGTGTCTCAGCCATAGACCCTCCACACGGGCTGGACGAACTCACTGTCAGTGGAAACGACAGTGTAGGGAGAAGCAGACATGATGGAGCGAGTGGAGCTGAGAGAACGTGTGAAAGTGATGAACGATGTAGACGGATGAGAAGGTGCAGTGTGAACTATTCTCAGGGCTCTCTGTATCGTTGTCGCCGCTGCTCTCATGTCCTGAATCAACTTCAACATGGAGATTGTAACCCCCAAGACGGCATGGACATCGAGCCGAATCCACGGAATCAAATCTGGGTGAGGCAGACACAGTGGCAGAGACCTCCTAAACGGAACATCCTCGCAGACTCTGATGCGTACGGAAGATGGCGAGACAGCTTACAGGTTCTGCATACCCTGTCATTCACTGAAGATGCCTGTCTTTCCATCATCACGAAGTACAATCTAGATCTACCTTATGATAGAGTACAATCGAGCGGCCGCATATCAAAAGGTCACGTGATCGGATCGACGGTGATTTTTTCCGACCGCGACTGAAATCTTTGCAGCTTGTCTTCTGCTGAGAACACTGACGATCAAGGTCGAGCACGACGATTGCGGCGAGCCGAGCTCAGTGGAGACCATGTCCGTCGCTGCTTCTGGATCCCTGCGCGAGGAACTACCTGAGAGCTTGGAAACGCTTCAGACCGAGTTGGAGAGCAAATATCATGTCTTGGCCAAGGATGGAGATGAAGATTTGGCTAAAGCTGCTTTGCAGGTCGTGAAGGATGTTTTCGATATGGGTGAGTCCTATGAGGCACACATAGGAACAGGATCTGACTTATACCTTCAGCTCTGGAGTACGAACAGCTCTCACACCCTCATATCCAACCGTTCATTGTTTCTACTCTTGAACCACCAACTATCAGCACTCGATCCACCGCGAAAGCAAATGGCAAGCACAAGGCCAATGGAACCGGAGAAGTGGAGGAGGATGAAGCCATCGATCCTGATTCTGTCCTTCCCTATACACCTCTATCGGGCTTAACGACTGAGGCGATGGATATCGAGCAAATTTGGGCTCAGTTGGAGCTTCGGAATGAAGGCCTGGTACAGGTTCTGAAGCACGTTGGGCCCTTGGAGATGGATGACGAGGATTCGTTGGGAGGAAGCGAAAGTAGCGACGAGGATGATGATGATGATGAAGAGGATGAAGATGACCTGGAGGATATGACAGAGGAGGAGTTCAGGGAGATGATGCTGCGCGGGGACTTGGGAGACAGCGACGAGGACGACGGTTCAGACGAAGAGGATGGTAGTGGGGATGATCAGGTCGACTTTTATGACGACGGAGTGGAGGGTGACAGCGACGAGGAAGAAGATGATGAAGAGGAGCAAGACGAAGCAGATGAGGATATGAATGATGAAGATTTGGAGCTTGGAAGTGAGAGCGATGATGGGTTAGATCTTGAGGGTTCAGAGGGTCTGGAGAGCAACGAGGATGAGGAGCAAGATGATGATGATGATGATGGCGAGGATGAGGACGAAGAGGACTTGGACGAAGAAGGCGAAGATGAGCCAGATGACCGAGCATTACTCTTCGACGAGGACGAAGCTGGTCCATCCCGACCGAGGACCAAGAAACGTCACCCGACGCTCGATGACGATTTCTTCTCCATCGACGATTTCAATCGTCAGACTGAAGAAGCGGAAGCTGGGCAACTCTCGAGTGGTCGACTCGGAGGCGATGAGGATGAAGACGAGGAGGAACTCGACGAGGACATCGGCGGACTGATGATAAATGGTGCTAGCGATGGCAATAAAGGTATGTTATATAGCTTCCGTTGCCGTTGGATACAACTCACATTCATCAGACCTGATGTATTCGGACTTCTTTGCGCCTCCTCGTGGGGCTGCTCGTGCTAAAGGCCAGCCGTCTGCGAAAGACAAGGACCGCAAGGTGGGCAAGAAGGGCAAAGGCAAGCAGATTGTTCGGTTCGATGAGGTCGAGGCATCGGAGAATGAGGATGCAGAGGACGAAGAGGAGGGTCGCGAAGTCATGGGGCGTTTCAAAGGTGACCTGTTCGATGATGAAGATGAGGAGGAAGAGACCGACGGCAAGGGTGAGCTGCTCAGATTGCGCTTCATTATCGTGACTTACTCCCCCTCAGATCTGTCCACTCATGAGCGTCAACAACTGGCGTTGGCAAAGCAGATCGCTCAGTTGGAGCAAGAAGCTGTTGGGCCGAAAGACTGGACTCTTCTTGGCGAAGCAACATCTCGGGCGAGGCCCGAAAATTCGCTGCTGGAGGAAGATCTCGACTTTGAGCAAGTTGCAAAAGTCACTCCAGTAGTGACAGAAGATACCGTCAAGACTTTAGAAGAGCTTATTAAGAAGCGGATCATTGATGTGAGTGGTTCTGAATGTGCCCCTTAGTCATGTCTCACACCACCTACAGAACAACTTTGACTCTCCCGTCCGTGTACGAGCATACGAACCGACTCCTTTCCTTCCCTCGCGATACTTTGAGCTACAGGATACTCAGTCATCCAAATCCCTCGCTCAGATCTACGAAGATGAGTACCAGGCCGCCGCAGCCGGCGGCAAAGCAAGGGATCCAAGGGACGAAAAGCTTCGAGTGGAACATGAAGCTATTGACAAGCTCTGGGAAGATATCTGTTACAAGCTGGACGCGCTGAGCTCGCTCAACTTTGTTCCGAAACAGGTGAGTGACTGTGCCATAGATTGTCATCTCGTGTTGACTCCGGCACTACAGCCCAAAGCCTCTATCACCACGCTTGACAATCTCCCCACCACGTCGCTCGAGTCGGCCCTGCCTCCCACTTCCGCCGTGACCACTCTCCTCGCTCCGGAAGAGCTTTTCGCCGCGCCCCCCACCGCGACCAACATTGCCAGATCCGAGCAGACACCCGAGCAAGCGCACGCAGCTCGAAATCGACGTCGAAAGGCTCAAAAGGGTGAGAGAAAGCGACTGGAGGAGATGGCAGAATTGTACGGTAAAAAGCCGGCCAGTGGAAAGAGCGGAATCCGCGCGGAGAAGCAAAAGGCTCTCGAGGGATTGGTCAAAACGGGCAAGGGTGTGACTGTCGTAGGAAAGGGGAGCAAAAACGCTGCTGGCGATCGAGGTCAGAAGAGGGGAAGAGAGGAGCAGAAGGATCGTGCGGAAGATGGAAAGAGGTTGAAGCTGTGAGCTAGTTGTCATGCATGATGACGATTACAGGACATGAGAATGCTCGTGCAAGGCTACTCGTCGTATGCCTCTAGCAGCTTCCCAACAGCCTCATCGTTGGGTATTTGCGTCTCGTTTAGCGTCCCGCTGATTGCTCGAGCGAAACTTCGCGTCACTGTCTGCTCATCCAAGGTCCAGCCGCTCCGCTTAGAGAAGATCTGTGCGGATTTGCAGAGATCATCGGCAGCGGATAGATCTTCCGTCTCTCCCGCTGCCTTGCATCGTCTGTAAGTCAGCTTCCAGGCATCCTGTTCCGAGATCTGTCTCAATACTTTGGCAAACGTAGTCTCTTTGGTCGAGTCAAACGTGGTCTTCGCAATGATTGAGGCAGATAGCTCGATGGGCTGGAGAGGCTTGAACGACTTGCCCAAGCTGTCGAGGTAGAAAGAGCACTCGTTCGCCTTGAGTTGAATCGTTTGACTTACCGTCTGAGGCGCAGACCTGAGCTTTGTGAGTTCGGAACAAGCGTCTTTGAACCTCTCGAATGGCGAGATGTCCTCGTTACTGAGGGAATAGTCGGGCCGAATTCGGTCAGGAAGATGACCCAACTTCTGCATCTCCAGGCGGTGATCTGGGCGAGTTGTCCTTGACTTGCCAGCAGTACCCAGTGCCCCGCTCCGATTGCCATGCCCTGTCGTCTGGGCAGCAAAGCTCGAGCCAAGACGGAGAGTCGATGCTGGATCAGCCTTAGAGTCATCGGACGGATACTTCTCCGCCAAATCGTGTCTCGATACAGCATCTACCAGAATCTTGAAGTATGCCGCGTCCTCGTCCAAGGAGCTCTCGATGGATTCGATACGCTGTTCGAGATCCACAGGCCCATTCTTGCCCTGACCCCGGCGACTCTCAAGATACTTCAAGGTCATCCGACTGCTCTCGTATTCTGAAAATCTCTTTTCGACGTCCTGATCGAGCGTACCGACGAGAATCTTTTCCAACGTCATGCCGGGTTTCTTGTGCAGTCGAGAGAGAGCCTTGACTTCCTTCCAGTCAAATGATACATCCTTGTATTCCCAAGGCAATGCACTGGTCCAAAAGGCAGTTTCTGATCGAAGATCGTCGAGCTTTCTTTGAATAGATGCGGATTGCTCCGAAGTCAGGCGCGGGGCCTGTCGCCCTTGAAAGATAAGCGCATGACCCTCTGTGTTCTCCCACTCCTGTGCAGACAGCGTGGCTTGACGGAGGGCGACATCTGCTGGAACCTCTTCGAGAAAGGTTTGTTCAGACATGACGCTGCTCATGTCAGTGTTCAGTATCGCGTCCGTCAATCGAGGAAGACTGATACTACGATTCTTGCAAACGTCCCTCATCCAAGCAGGCACGCGCTTCAGATGGGTATCGAGTTTCATCAAAGCTGCTTTGTGCATTCTGGACGCCGCGGATCTCTCACGTATTGACTTTTCGGGGTCTTGGGCATCGTAAGCATATCTGCTAGCCTCATCGTCTAGTCGACTCCACAGCGAAGCAATTTTCAAGCTTGAAGAGCCCTGCTGGCTGGCGATGGGCCTCGACGATATCTCTGACTGCAGCGATGCCTTTGATTTCCCATAGGCTTTAGTACCTTGAAGACTAACCCTGTTCGCCGCTCTGGGTGATGAAGTTTGCAAACCACGTACGGTCACCCCACCATCACTGTCATCGTCCTCATCATTATGGCGAACCTTTCTCACTGTCTGATCATCATCTTGAACAACGACAACCCTCTTTCTAGGCCTTGCTCCAATACCAGGAATTTTCTGAAAATCGGCGAATCTGGGCCGTCTTGCTGTTCCTCGTGAGCTGCTTTCGGCATCATCGCTGGAACTTGCCGAGACATAACGACGACTGGAATTCCCTGGCATTTTGACTGTATGTACTGTAGCGAGTGTAGCGTGATCTCTACCGAGTGGAGCAGAGTACTGTGTGCGAGAGAGGAGGAGTATTTATAGGCTTGAAGAGTTAAGAATCCTAACGAGTCTTTCAGAGGCATCACAATCCTCAATGATCCAATCCAATTCATACAAACCTTTCAATCTCGATACTCGATTCCGCCAAAAAGGATGCCGAATGGATTCACGGGGAAACTGAGCAATTATGATGGCTTCGATCGCCGATAGGCGGGGTAGAGAGAGACCTCTCTTGAATGCATTAGCTGGGTCGTCTTCCCGATTTGATGTCCCTTCAGGGCCTAGCTTCTGATCAGCATCGAGCTTTTCCAGTCTATGCAGCTTGGACGGCTCCCGTCAAAGAGACCACAACCGAGTGTGGCGATGTGAAACAAGTAATGTACTCATCCCGCCACATGCAAAACATTTCAGTATCCGCTCCTAGACCAAATGCAGAGGAAGCGACCTCTCTGCCGGGTTCCAGCAAGAGGACGGCATACCTACAGCGAGCTCTGAGATGAGACCTGCGGGCTCTCCTTGAAACCATGCATCAAACGTGCTACGAAACCAGGCAGTCGCATACTGGCACCGATCATGCGGCTTCTAGATGTTCCAGAAACGCCGAGTAAAGAGGTCTAGCCAGAGAATCCTACACATCCTGTCAACATGCTATCCTCAAGTGTGTTGACTGCGTCTTGAAAGACTCACATCATCTCTGTCGCCCAGGGCTGCTAGAAATTCTGGGCTCGGCGGCTCATCACGGATGAGCTTTTTGGCGACAGACCGAGCGAACTCGGTATCCACCTTCTTACCTCCCAGATACCAGTCGCACAGGCGGGAGACTTCGCTTGCAGATTTGCATCGCTGTGAGAGATCGACATGGTACCCGTCGGCCTCGGCATCCGAGGCAGTCTTGTTAATGTCTTGACACTTGATGAAAAAGAGATCCCACCGAGCTGTTGGTGCTGCCTGGCTTACTGCATCTTCAAATGTCCTGATATTTTCGTGGTCAAATTGCGTAGTGGCTACGAAGTAGATCGACCAGAGAATGGGGTCCAAGTGTTTGAACGAGGGGTCTTTCAATGAATGTTGAGCACTGTGGATCTCATTCATGATCGCTGTACCCTGGTCAGAGTTACAGAAATCATGCACATTTGTAGCTCCGGATGCCTGAAGCTGCTTGTCAAATTGGATACAGTGGTGTTGCAGGTTTGCAAAGGCACTCTCCGAGGGGCCTACCCAAGGGTAGCTGTCCTGTGACATGTATGCTTCTGCGCACTGAATTTGGTTCGCGAGTGTGTCATCCGATGTTATTCCTGGAGCAAGTGTTCTGAGTCGTTTTGGAGACGGCGGTTCTGTGTCGTCCGCCTTCATATCAGAGATCTGGCTTGATGTCTCAGCGTAAAAGTCAGCGAGTAGCTGGTAACTTTCCGCTCTTTCCGTTGCTGCTTCCACCGATTCGATGGTTTCTTTCCCCTTCTTGGATGGCTTCGGCCATTGAATCTGCGAAGGATCAGATAGGAAGGTCAGGTCCTCGGCTTCTGGGGGCTCGTTTGCCTCTCCCCATAGGGACAGGATGGCTGTGGCCTCTTCGACGTCTACAGGTAGACCACTGAATTGCCAATCGAGTGCGTCGTTGTACTCGCGTAGCTTGCTTTTCAAGCGATCTACAACAGTCTCGTAGTCCGAAGTATCCTCGTCGTTCCCTGCCAAAGCATCGAGAGCGTTTTCAGAGCGGATGATAGCCTCGTATGTCTATTTGAAGAGACCCCACGTGACGCTCTTCGAGGTCGATCCCCGAGGATCCTTGTCGGTATTCATGGGCCGCTGTGACAAACCGCCTTGCCCCTGCTCGGATGTCCCTTCAGAGCTCTGCATCGTTGGATTTCTTTCGGTTCGTACTTGGGCGACAAGGTTTTCACTGCAAGTTCGAAGCGATGTTAAGTCTCGTGTACGGTTAGGCTGCGAATATGCAACTTGTGAGTGCAGGAAGCATCATGTTCGATCCTCAATACTCCCACACTATAGAATGTACTTGACCATCCTACTGTATCTAGAGTGTCTAAAGCGGGGCAGTCTTTGAAAGGATTTCTTCTCCGATCAACTTCGGTCATCCTTTATTCCTCCTTATTGCACTTATGGATCGACAGACGCAAAGTCAAGCGCAAGCGCTGATTGTGAGGCTTGTACAATCGACTGGGCTCGAGCGGTGGTGAATCCTTTCATCTCACTATAGGCCTTCTGCCACATTCCAATCGCGAGACCGCCACAAAGTATGACGAACGACTGAAGCTGATATTGATGACGGTTGGATCGTCGCCATTCGTCGCTCTACCTCGACTCCCACTGCGACGTCGATGAGATGAGCTCTGATCAAGCTGTCAGAGGCACAGACGACGATGCGGCGTCTATGAGGATGTAAGTAATCGCTCGAGTCGCGGTCCGAAGGCTCATCTCGAGCTCAAGATCCGCGGTGAATCAAGGATACCTCAAAGACACATTTGCACCCATCTTTCACCCGCCTTCTACTCCTTCCGCAGCTGCTGGACCTAGCAGCCCTCGTAAACCTCCGTTGATCAATATCGGAACGCATCATCGTACTTATGCTATCGACCTGCTGATTGATCGGTTCTTCACCTCCTGTGGAGATGCCGGTGGACAGGTAGTCAGCCTTGGAGCTGGATCGGACACGAGGTACTTCAGGTACATGGTGTGTGGGACGTGCTCGTCGTCCAGAATCAGATCGCTCACGAGACCACGGCGTAGGAAAGACCTCATCCTCCTCACATTCGGAAATATATCGAAGTCGACTTTGCAGCATCAACCGCGCACAAAATCAAGCAGATCACCGGATCACCTCGCCGTCTCCCCTTTCTCGTGCATCGAAACATAACGCCAGACATAGAGCTTCGTTCATCGGCTTCGTCACACCCTGATGCAGCTAATGCTTCACCAACATCTCTCATTTCCCCCATTTACACCTTGTTGCCATTGGATCTCAGACATGCGAGCCCAAAGGAATTGAATGATCTGCTCCTACCTTACCTCGATACCAAGGTACCGACCTTGTTTCTCGCGGAATGCGTCTTCTGCTACCTTCCACCAAAGATCAACGAGACATTGATCAAATGCTTCGGGCAGACGTTCGAGAAGTGCTCAGGGATCATCTATGAAATGCTGGGATCGAGGTGAGCTTGAAACTGCTCTCCTATCTCCAGCTCACGTCATCGAAGAGACTCGTTTGGACAGGTTATGAGGCGGAACCTCGCAGTGAGATAAGCAAAAATACCCATAGCATGATCAGTGCTGATGATGTCCATCAGTCTCGAAATCTCGACATTCCTGGCGCGGACCCGTTCCCCGATCTGTCATCTGAATCGAAGCGATTCACGGATCCAGCACTGGGCGAAGGCGCATTCTCCGCTTCCGGAGCTAAAAGCTTGTGGGACATTCGCAAATCTGTCATTGACAAGGAAGAGCTGTCAAGGTAAGTAGATGGCGCCGATCGTGGCATACCGTACCTATTCAGCCAGACCACATGCTGAAACGTCGACCAGAATCGGCAAGCTCGAGATGCTGGATGAAATAGAAGAGCTGAAACTCGTTCTCAGCCATTATGTGATTGCGTGGGGGAGCAAAGGAGAAGGCATGGACGCTTTACACCTCTAGCGGGTGACAGGTACGAGAGTAGCATGTGAGACGGGTCCTTGAGAACGTCGAGCAAGGTGCCATGACAACGGTGCATGAAGGCGGTGCATGTACAGCGCCACCGAGCATCACGTTCGCCACATCGATTCAATGCGCTCTAAGGATTCAATACTTCACAGCGCTCACGCTCCGTCCTGTCGATAATCTGGCCTGATGTCCAGTTCTCCCTCCATGCCACGCATATCCACCCCCTCCAAGTCCATTTGACCGAGAGGTCCGAGCGGTCCCAGCCCAGCAAGACCATTTGATCCATTCATCGAACCAGAAGCACCAAACTCTCCCAAACCTCCCATCGCGAAGCCAAACTCGTTCATGTACCCATCTGAGCCAAAGTTGAACACATCCCCGGAGCCGAATGATTGATTTTGACCCAATGTCCCATTGTCTCCTGGTAGACCCAGCAGAGAGCCCAGATCCATGAGCTGGCGATCAGAGCCAAAGATGCTATCATAGTCGGGTATTGTATCGCCTCCAGCATTCGGTCCTGCACTTTGGCCTATCCCTGACCCACCGATACCAGGTCCTAGGGACGGCCCATTCTCATGAATGCCTCCGCTGACCATGTCGCCAAAGCCGAGAGGGTCGTCTTGTCGATGAGACATGCCAGTTGATTCACGATGATCCAGAACCGAGTCACCATCGCCTGGAGCCTGTGGACTCTGACCAAGTCGTTTCTCGGACTTCTCTACGTCCCAAGCTGATGGGCCGAGGGCCGTCATACCTGCGGCCGAGGCGATATCCCGGATGGTCTTGGCGAGAAAGGTGGGCAAACGAATCTCAGTCACATCTGCGGATTCCAGCAGGTCCACGGACATTTTGAGGTAATGCGCAACGACGGACAGATCAACGTCGACGACTTTGCGCACGGGTTCGGGGGCTTTTGATATACGGATCAGGAAGACGGCAGATTGGGCGAGGGCAATGGTAATGTACTGGTGCGTATGAGCGTCACAGACAGGCTCTCACTCACGTCCGTCGCAAAGCTCAAGGCGAGATCCGTTTGACTCGATTCAAAATGAGTTTGAATGGTGCCCATCGCGGCGTTCAGCGCCTTCTTCAGACACTGCCCGATCTCCTCGTCCTCATCCGCTCCAGCTTTGAGCGCGTACGAGTTCAGACACAACCGTAGATGTTCAGCCTGGAGCCGCGCAATCCTAACCGATGGACCGAGGTAGAGAGCGTAAGGAGATCCTGAGCACCTCGGTCATCTTCTGCATGATTTTTGGTATCGCTTCACTCACCAGTCCACACCCAAAGCTTCGACCACTCATCCAACCTCCCATTGAGCTCCTTGAACATTGCCGAAAGGCTCAGGTCCTTGTCCTGTGCCCAGGCTCTCATCTTGCGATCCTCCTTTGCGCGTTCCGGGTTGGCCAGGATCAATCCCCACTTGGTGAGGTCCTTGCCGATCTGAGCGAGTGATACTAGACCGGCGATGAAGATATCTCCGTGCATCGATACCGAGCCCGGCGAACCTGGTCGAGGTAATGGTTGTTCAAGCCGAATCTGAAGGAAAGCGTCCTCCTCAACCGATTCAAAGTAGGTCGATTGAGGTCGGCCAAAGCCTAGCGAGAGGAAATTATCGAGTCCAAACCAGCACAACCAAGTTCTCCATTGAGGCAAGAACGCTTCCAGCTTGGACCACTCGTCAGTACCCTTTTTGGTCTTTTTCGCCGTTTCATTGGCATGAGCGAGGATTTTGTAAACGCCCACTCGTCTCGCAACCCGTGCCGCATGGCCAGTCACGATCCAGGCATCGGGACCAGCACCGTCCGCTTCGAGACCCCACGCTGCAAGCAAGAGAATAGCCTGAACATCGGATAGCGCAAACTTCTTCGAAAGGACCGTATAAGCCAAGTGCATCTCGGCCAGATTAGCCAATCGTCGAGGTACCGATGGGTCCAAAGGAGGATACTTGCCCCTTCGCATCTCGGAGAACCGTTCAGTGGCTCGAGGATAGAACCGGGCTGCGATGGCTAGCATACTGGAGAATAAGGCTGGGGAAGAGCGGATGACGTTGAAAACATCATCCAGGGCGACATTCACGATGGGCATGAAGGCGTGGCAGTGGTCGATGAAGCTGTAGAGTCAGACGAGGCGATAGTCTGAGCTCACAATTGAAACAATGCCTCTGCTTCTCTGAGATCTACGATACCCATGGACAATGGCGTCGCTCGTATCCTCAGCATTCTGTAGTCATGATAATGAGGTGGTCCAGCAGGTTCATCTCGGCTGAGGGTGAAGCTTCCTCGATCCGGTGAATTCATCCGCGATGCTTCACGATTATCCCACACTGCGGGCTGCATCATGTCAGCACCACCACGCCTCCCGACTCACGTCATAAGACAACGCTTTGAACGGTGGATCATAGACTTGCTCCGTGACTGCCTGCAATCTCTCTGCAGGCTCTTGAGCTTTGCTCTTCGCCTTCTTTCTCTCCGTCCAGGTTCCAAGAGGCTTCTTGTCTTGATACTGATCCACTGACTGGAATGAGTCGGTGTATGTAGACGGGCTGAGATCATGAGATGATCCGAGAATATGGGTTGGGGAAGTGGTGAATCTGACGTGGGATCGAGCGAGCTCTTCCGCGATGGAGGCGGAAGGGTGCTGTGGTAGAAGGCTTGGATGTCCGTGACGTTGCAGAGGGGACGGGAGAATAGGCCATGAGGGTCCTGCATGTGATCGATCCACAGTTGGCGAGTGACTGCGTTGGTGTCGGCCGAGTGAGGATGAGCCCCCAGAAGCGAATCGAGGATGAAGTATCTCTGTCCCGTTGGGATACGATGCCGAGGCTAGCGCTTGAGCATGTCCAGAAATCGCTCCACCTGCTCCTGCCAGACCAGCCAAAAGGCTTGCCACGCTACTCTCAAGCTGCTCCAGTCTTGCGGTCGCGACATCCGTTGCACTACTACTCTCTCTCCTTTCGGCATCCGTTCCGCTCGTCGAAGGCCGTCCAAAATCACAATGATTCTTTGACCTCACACACCGATCACAAGGACTTCCACCTGTACATCGTAGTTTCTGCTTTCGGCACCTGACACAGGCTTGTGTCGCTCGTCTTTGACCATGGCCGTCGCCTCCATCATCGGCTCCGGCTTTGATCTTGTGCTTGCCCGAAGATCGCTTCTTGGTCAAAGGGGATACCTCGGGCTCGACCGAAGATGATTCGGATGTGTAAGATCGCTTTCGGCTTGAGTTTGTGGCCCCCTTGGAGCTATGTCCGTGACCTAGGTCATCCTCCATCTTAGATCACGATTCAAGAAACGGACCGAGGAATGTTCGTTATTGTTTTCCGAGGGGCAGCTTGAGATCCGAGAGCAGTCGTCGAGGTGCTCCAACAACCGTGAGCTAGTGTCAATCGTGTAGAATGCTTGTGAGACTGCGAGATTCTTATAATCCGCCCTTGCCTCTATCATGCTCCTCAACTTGGTCAACATATACCGAGTTAGACAACGTCTGACCCCCCTGCGATTGCAAGATTCGGCATCGTCGCCAAAAGTTCGGGAAATAGACCAAAAACTCGCCCGAACGGACTTGGCGGAGGGATCGAATAAATAAAATGTGAGGACATCCCCGTGGGGGGGCGGGGGGCATGCTGTCGCTGTCTGACCTCTCTTATGTTACATGCTATACGGGGAGCCTTACAATTCGCATGTCATCAGCTTATGAGGTCCTCTTCATGGGCGGCGCTCAAGGCTATACATGTGGTAGAACGATCCGGTAAGCGATGTCGTCGAGCTGACTCGCTTGGCACAACCTCAAGTCCCTCTCAAGCCAACTGCAAGATATTGACACTGAGGGCCAAGTCTGCTGGCCGTCATGAGGTCCGACGGCAAGAAGACCGAAATGCTGCTGGTCTGAAAGACTAGAACTGCTTTCCCAGAGCACTAGACTCGGATGGCTGCCAAGAGACGGGATCTTCAGCCAATAGAAGGGTCGCACCACCCCACCCCTTTTCCGGTCGCCAGGCAACTAAAGAAACCCCGTTACTACCACTCACCAAGGCGACGAGTCGAGCCATTCCCCTCATACCCGTATAGCGCAGCAAGAGGATTACTTTCAGGACCCTGGTCTCCAGAGAGACGATATGCTTGCCTCTCGACAGCTCAGACTCGCAAGCGAAAAACGACTGTCGTCCCATCGCGTAGTGGGTGGTCTTCAAAAGACTACTTAGGATATGCCTCTTCTCGACCGAGACTTCCTTCATCCCTCGATTTCTCTCTTCGTTCAGCCATCTTCGTCTGTGACGATTCTTCGCTCCTCGAACTGTGTTCGATTGACTCACACACCCAAAACATCTCACTCAAGTCGCCTCGACGGCGCATATTATCTGCTGTCCTCTCCAGTCACATTTCTTGAACCTTTGCTGATCATTCTGCAAAACATTGAAGGTCTACCCGCACAATCATGCGTGCCTCAACCTTCCTCACTATCCTCTCCTCCTTAACAGCATCGCTCGCTGTCCCCCAATCTCGCAACAGCCAGCCCCGACACGTTCGCAAAGTCAGCATCCGTCAGGATCATGTTCACACAGAGCCAATCGTGATCGTGCCACGTACGTATGGTGACGCAGCCGCAGGATACGAAGGCTCGATGCCTCCGGCTATGGGTATGGCGGAAGGTGCATGTGGTGACCAGGGCTGCGGAGGAGAGGTGCGTGGTCTTGGCTTTTCCAGGATTGTTATTGATATATCGCTCGTCATCAGATGGCCGCGCCACCATCTATGACCTACGAAGCCGCTCCTGCTATGGAGAAAACGATGATGGAGTCAGCCCCTCCTCCCGTAGAAACGACGATGATGCACGAAGCAGCCTCTCCTCCCCCACCAATGGAAACGATGCAGGCGATGGACAAGATGGTCACGGAGATATCCGATATGAACAGTTGCATGCAGGTGAGCTGTTGACGCCGCAGGGTGGAGCTTGACTGATCCTTGCACCAGATGTGTCAGGCTCACTTTGGCGGTGGCATGAACGAGCCCATGGGGATGGGTGAAACAGGCTCAGGCCAAGTCATGGTCAATGAATCTGCACCTACGGCCACAGAGGCGCCTGCAGCTGGTATGACCCACACAATCATCGTTGCGCCGACCAAGGGAGTCTTGAGATTCGGTGAGTCAGCTGGCCACAACGTTGCAGTTCTCAGCTGACTTGGACAGTACCGTTCGCCGTGACTGCTCAGAAGGGTGACATGCTGCACTTTATCTGGGGTGCTGGACCTGTGAGTGCGCAATCAAACAATAGGACCCATCTGACGCGTTTCGTCGATCAGCACTCGTCTACCCTCAGTGTACGTGAAGCGATCACCCAGCTTTGGCTGTATCTGACCTTGGCATAGCTTGGAACGAATGTCTGCAACAAGTCGACTACTACCGACGCATTTGACTCTGGAAAGCGTGAGTAAGCAACCCACTCAGCCGACTGCTAACGCGATTATGTCCTCAGTCAACGCGTCGGCAACCTTTGACACCATGTTCACTGGCGATACCTCTTCACCTCAGTTTCACTACTGTACGGTCGGTAAACACTGTGCGAGCGGCGTGTTTGGAGTCGTCAATCCACCCACGACAAACGTCACCAACGACTTGACCAATATGGCTACTGCCACTCTGACAGAAACTGCTCCTGCACCTGGAGGTACAGCGGGAAGTGGTAGTGCAGGATGTCAAGGAAACAGCATGGACTGCTGGATTGAGCGATGGATGCAGGGTGTGAGTTTTATCGACCTAGACCTATTCTGGTCCGGTTCCTCTGACTCGATTACAGAGTCCCGAGGCTCAAGCTACGGGTACAGCTGTCAAAGAGGCATGCAGCTCTCAACCTGCCGCTTGGTCGTGGGGAGGCAACTTTGACATGTCGACTGTCGAGTCGGAGAGTCTGCCGAGGAAGACGATAATCGAGAATGTCATGTGAGTGTAGGGTGGTTTCTGCATGACGCAGCTGACATTGAACAAAGGTATACTCGACTGATGATGTCGATGAACCCTTCCATGCTTCAACCTGGTGTGATGACCTCCGATAACTTTACTGCTCCACCTGATCTCAACTCGTTTGTCGCCCAAGCCACCGGAGTCAACTCGACGGTTTCAACATCAGCTTCGCCAGCAGGCAGCTCGGTGTCATCCTCCATATCTGGCTCTGCGCCGAGCTCGACTGATAGCGCCGCAGCTGCTCAAGCGGATGCCGCCAAGGCTTCTGGAGAGGCCTGTGAGTTCTCAAGGCTCTGCGAAGAACCGTCGCTGATGAATGGGTCCTCTTAGATCCTCGTGTGTCCCTCGTGTCCTCGGCCATGTTCGGCCTCGTCGGTTTGATCGCTGCTTGGTTGGCTTAAATGGCTTTGCTCTTGTAGACTAATTGTAGACTAGGATCTGTCTCCATCGGGACATCTGACCGACCTTTTGCTCATGTACTGCAATGCTGGCATTGTCTGAGGCGAAAGATGCACAGGTTCATTATTGCAATCCAACATTACAAATCGTCAAAGCATTATGCAGATCCGCATCGGTCGTGCTTTTTCCTCCCTAATTAGCAGCCGCCTTATCCCTTTTGATCTTCTCAAGTAGTACGCCCATCCTCGCCCCAAGATTCGGCTGCGATCCTCCTCGTCGTCCATGTCCCATAACACCCGCCCCAGTCGGGGTAGCGCCGGATCGATTGGCAGGTCTGTGAAATTTGCTGTACGCCTCCTTCTTCAGTTCTCGCAGACTTGTCTGAGGCATAGGATGGCCGATATCCTGGGGCCTTAGCGCCCGCGTTTTGTCAGCCAACGGCTTTTGCGTGGCTCGTTGACGCTGAGATGGTCGACCAGGAGCGGGGAACGCAGCTTCATCAAGGGTCGGAGAGGATCCAGGAAGGAGAGGAGGTGATTGTGAAGGGAGCACAGGTGGATTCTTCGGAGGGTCGGCGGTGGACTGACTCTCACCCTTCCTCCCTCTCGGTTTGAGACGATCGGACTCCATACCCTCTGCTTTGAGCACTTTGGCGTACTCGCGTTTGATTTTAGACTTCATGATGAGGTCGGCTTTGATCTTCTTCGCTGGCGAGCCAAAGTCAGCGCAAAGATCCAGGGAAGCACCGGGCATTGCAGAAAAGAAAAACCCGGAGGATATCTGCCTCTTCGCCTCGATCCCCTCAAGGCGTGACGACCCTATAGGACCCCTCACACTCACCTTTGCCTAGATACGCATTCTTCGGCGCGTGCGCAGGTCCAACGTTGAAAGCACTACTTCTCTTCTTCCTATGCTCGGATCCAGCTTTCGCTCCGTCTGCTGCTGTTCCAGCCTTCCCCTTGTAGCCCTTTCTGTTTCGTCCCCGTGACGAATAAGCAGGTGTTGCCGAACGAGCTCCTACACGTTCTGTTCTCCCAGGTGGTCGTTCGCGTTGAGCTCGCTGAATGTGTGAAGAACGCCTGGACGGACCTGCTTCCCCTGCAGTAGAGAAGAATGGATCGGATCCTCTCGCCATCTTTCCCGTTCTTATTGGACCTCGTTGAGTTCGGGGCTAAGATGGATGGAGGGAGGGGCAGGTTCAAAGCTAGTACATGGGATAGAACTTGGTTGGACTGAAATTTTGATTTTGCCACCCAGTCAAGGCAAGCTGACGTAATGTCACTCACATATTTTCCCACGGTCGCTGAAGCCTCTTTGCTCACAAACCCTCGAACCTCCCCCCTTCTTCTTGTTCCATCCTCTGTATTATACATCCCTTCAACTCATTCATCTCTCACCTCAGGACCACCCCCCGCAGTCTCTCATAGAATCACCACAAGCGATCTCGTATTCAAGAGTTGATGAGCACTACTGGTGAGTAAGGTGACCTTTTGGTCAACCTCGGACCCACGCGTCGTAGGAGAGGGGATGTATAAGCTGACTGATGGTTGTCTCTATACTTGCTCGACCACTGTGGTCTTCTCTTCTCCACTTGAAAACGCGTGGACTTACTATCCTTCCTCTGCTTCAATCTGATCCGCAACACGCTGCTCGACTCTGGACTGTGGCATTCCCACCTCTCATCCCTGCCTCGCCCCGCAGCATCCAACAAAGTGGACGCCACTTCAAAGAAATCCAAAGCCCCGGCGCCGGCCAACGCTGGGGTTACGAACCTTGGCCCAAAGATTGGTGCGTCGACGGACTCGACACATCAGGCTGCGCTGACCATAGCCGTTTCGTAGACCCCTTTGACACTTCTGATCCTTTCGACGGTGGTCGAGGAACCCCTAGCATAGAAGCTTCCGTTGGCAAAGGTGGTGACAAAATCCATATCCGTGAGTGAAGTCGGTCTCTTTGTGGCTCCCGACGTCTTGCCACTGTCCGGATGACCCGCTCACCTACATCGCTTGCTGACACGTATCTTCAGGTCTTCAACAGCGAAATGGTCGAAAGACGGTGACGACCGTGCAAGGTGTCCCCGAGAAATATGATCCAAAGAAGCTCCTCAAGGCGATGAAGAAGGAATTCGCCTGCAATGGACACGTAGCTTCATCTGCCGATTCGTCAGACGAAGATTCGCCGGGGCCCAACAAGACGGGTCAAGAGTTTGGTCGAATCCTGCAGTTCTCAGGAGATCAGCGAACCAAGGTCAAGGAGTTTTTGGTCGATTGTGGACTCGTCACTGAGAAGGAGGCCAAGGATCTCATTGTCATGTGAGTGGCGAACTGCGGAAACTCCTGGTCAGGCAGCTGATGATCGCACAGCCACGGATACTAGAGGTCAAATCACGAGTCACACGACCTCACATCGTGGATCAGAACCATGCTCGATTCCCTCCCCCATTTGTCCTCGCGTATTCAAGTCGGCAGTGCTGTATCCAATACATGTCTCAGCCATGCATCGTTCACGTTGGTCGATCTGTCCTTCATTCTATGCGAAATGCCTATATGCTTACAACACCAAGTTTTGGCTAAACTACAATGATATTCGAACATATGACACTGTTTCCATCCCTAAGATTCGTCATCTGCCAGGGCGTGCATCTGCGGAACCCGTCAGAAGTGGCGCGTCGCTGGTCCAACTCACCTTGAATTCTAAGATGCCCGAATGACCCCCCATAGCTACCCCTTCACTGACGGGCATCATGATCTGCACGCAGAGGAACCCGGAATTCTCGATCTGCAGGCAGATTTTAATGGACGACTGGAGTGCCCGGGTAAGGAGAGCAAAGTGAGACGAGTGGTAGCTGGACATGTACGTCAATCGCTACGTCAAGAGATCAAGCATGACCTCACCTAAAGCTGACTTCTTCCGGACAATCGAATTTATCCATGACTTCCCTATCATTGGGGTAGTCCAGCTGTACATGATCAGCCGAGTTTTCCATGGTTAGAGGAGCTCGCGCACCTCTGTCGATCCGAAATCGCCGATTGCTTTGATAGCGAAGCTACCTACGTCGGCACGTTGACTCCTGCGATCGTTGGAATTCATCGTCGCTCCAAGCTCGTCATCGGGTCGAGGACGATCGCGAGGTGTGGCAGTCAAGGTGATCCGTTGAGAAGTTGGTGGAAGATCAGCTAGAGCGTCTCGGAACCATTCGGACTGGGAGAGAAAGGTCAGCATTGTGCGTGCATGGCAGGGCGCGCCATCACGAGAATGGAGGATCCAGTGAGCGGTCGTCGAACGCCGACTGCGCTGCAGATCTCTGCACTCCTTTCCTCGGCGCCGGAAATCTCACCTTCATGATGAGATATAGGACACAATCGTCCTGGTTGAAATCTTGATTCATGAGCTCCTCAGGCTCATATAGGTTGAATTCGCACGTCGTCAGAGGTCCCTTGGGGTCGTCTTGCCTGTGATGTATCAGTATGACCCAAGATTCCATTCAAATGGTAGTTCGACGTCATCCACTCACAGCATGACGGACAATCGATGTCCTGGTCCCTGCCAGCTCATACGCATCCCCGTCCGACCCTTCTTACTTGCATTTCCACCTCCACCCCTCGTCTCGCCAGCACCTGCCCCACCACCTTCTTCGCCTTCTGCTCTTGGTCCACCTTCTCCAGCCCAGCCTCGCTTGGTCCCCACACTGAATGTACTGACTACCGGGCCACTCGTGGCATTCCCAAATATGTTGAGACATTGAAGAAGCGCGTCGAGAGAGACTTCAAAGCAGGCCGGCTGAGCGTGGCCTTGACCATCAGCTTCTGGCTCGTTGAATTCGAAGGTCTGAAAGAGGGTATTCGGAATCCATGCGATAGCTGCAAACTAGTATGAGTATGTGTTCTTACGGCTTCCGAGGCAATGTCTGGCCGACTCGAGACACCCGAGTAACTCACCACACAACGTTTTGACTTCTTCCACGGTCACTTCGAAGCCCGCTTTGCTGACTGTCACCGTGGCCATCTGTCTAGCATGTCAGCCAGAACTCAGATATACAAGGAGAACGTCCTGAATACAGGCAGATCTAAAGCGTGTGCATGGCGCTAGCTCACGTTCTTCAGACCGATACCTCTGAGCAGTCTTGCAAATGGTCTGACATCGTTGATCTCCGCTACCAGGACCTGCAACTTATGAGCTCGATCCTGGCACAACGCAGACATAAGCTTACCGGATTCGCACCGTCTCCGGTCTTATCGTCCTCCATACCTGACTGCGTCCTCGTCATCTCATCTCGTGGTCAAATGGCTGGATATGAAATCAAAGTCAAACGCGAACATGAAATTGGGCATTCCACTCGGGTTTGACCTGTCCCCGAATCACTAAAGCTGATCCCCCTCAGCCCTCAGCACATCGTCATGAAGATGCATGATGATTACAGAGAGACCCGCTATAATATGCGACATGCTCTCTTTCTGGGGAAAAGAGAATGCAAAAGACGAGAGATTGATGGAGGATCTCGTCCATAGTTTTCGGTTTATATACAACAGGTTTTATTGAATCATTAGTAGACGCCTTGCGTCCCGGATCCAAGGGCCTTTTGAGAGATTGCAGACGGGAAGGACTATAGAGCCTGACAGTTTGCTTGCAGGCCTCTCATGACGGAGGGATGCAAAGATGACCTGCAGGCTAAACCAAGATGGGGCGGCAATCTGTGCTCGACGTGAGCTGAGACCGCGAATTCCAGACCACCCGGCTCACCACGCAGTCCCCTCTTGAGCCTCTGCGACCTGCTCCATCTCAATAGGCTTCATCTCCCGAGCAATCTTGGCCGAGATCTTTCGGTCTCCGACCAGGCTGCCTTCTGCCTTCTCCACAGCTTCAGCCTGTTGGGCGGGGTCCTCCACCTCAACGAAACCAAATCCTCTCGACGCAGAGTAGGGACGACCTCCACGGCCTCGTCGACTCCCGCGAACAACTTTGGCCGATTTGACACGGATAGAAAGGTTCGTAAAGATGGCAGAGAGAGCTTCGTCGTCGACGCTGAAGGGGAGATTGGCGACGAAGATGGTGTTCTACTCATTGTCAGAGAATCTTCACCGAGTCTGCCAAGTCTGACACCCACCGAGCTCATCTCTCCAGTCAACTCCAATTTGGGTTGTCTGGGCTTCCTCTCCCTGGGCTTCTTCTCCGCGACCTCACCGTTCTCGCCCGCCTTGTCGTCGATCCTTCCCTGCGCCGGAGCCTTGGGTTTCCTGGCCTTTGGCGCCTTCTTGGGCTTCTCAGCGGCATCCGCACCATCTCCGTTCGCCTCTGCTTCGGGCTCATCGTCGTCAGCCTCACCAGGTTGACGACGTCGAGAGGCACGCTAGGGTGAAGGTGTCAACATAAGAACCAGCAAGCTCGTACGTCTACACACCTTTGGCTTTTTCTGTTTGCCCTCCTCGGCCGCCTCCCCGTTGGCTTCACCCGCAGCTGCCTTCTTGGATTCCCGGGCAGCTTTAGCAGCCTCTCGCTTCTCTACATGAGCTTGACGGCGCTCAGCTTGCTCTTCTCTCGATCGAGCCACTTGAAGAGCGAGCTTGCGTTCGCCAAGTTCTGCGAACATCTCAGCAAGTGACGCTCGATCAATACTCACCCTGCCCGTCTAGCTTCTCCACGGCATTCTTGGCGTCGGCTTCGTTCTTGAACGATACGAAAGCGTATCCAGCGGGACGCTTGAACTTGAGCGGGATGACGACCGAGAGACTGGGCAGCTATGAGCTTTTGCAAAGTCGAGCGTCAACTCACATTTCACCACCGGCTTTGCTCATGAACTCTCGGACCTCTTCCTCAGTAGCCTGACAGTGATATCAGATGAAGCTCGACCGCCGCACGCGACCGGCTCGGCGCGAAGCGGGGCACGTATCCGAGCGATCGACGTACCTTGTACGAGAGGTTTCCGACGTAGACCTAGAAGGCGCGATAAATTATCCTCATATCAGATCACAGATGGTCATCGTCCCTCTGTATGGACGGTCCCACTCACCCTGTATCCAGCATCCTCAGTTGGAATGTCTCCAGCGATCTGAGCTGCGTTGTTGGAAGCTTGTTCGGCGGACATGGTAAATGGTCTCGGGAGGAAGATAAGCAGGAGGAAAATCCAGTGAGCGGAGTAGAGGTGGAGTGAGCTGGTAAGTTTGACTTGACTCTGCAGGTATGCGCGAAGAGTGCTGAGAAGAAAGAACAAGAGGTTGGTCCCTAAAGACACGTCCCTGATGGGGTGGTCGTGGAGGGGCGTGTTGCCACCAATTCCCGCGGCAAATTCAACTTGTGGCGGCAGCTCACGTGGGGAACACAGCAGGAAGGGGGTATGGTCGAGGGGGGAGGGGGGGGGAGGGGGGCTCTAGGGTCTGGTATGGTCTTGTCGCATGCATCGATGCCAGAACGGCATGTCCCAGAGAATCTGTCAGAGATCTAGGCGCTCTATGTGACACATACCAATGGGGCGAGAAGCAAGGGTACGATGATCTGTTGAATAAGACCATCGTGGGATGTGGCGATGCCACTGGGCATGCAGTCCCGTTGCACCTCGTTGCCATTCTCACCATGACAACGCCTCGAGGTGCTACTTAGGCAACGTGTATGTCTCCCAGTAACCTCCTCTATGTGTGTGTGCATCTACCGCTGAGTCTAGCTCGGATCGATAGCGACTGTCAATGCTGACGAGATGCTAGTGAAGAGGTCAATTTTGCTCATTCCTCCATCTCACAACGAGCGAGGATTCCTCAGCCGCTATTTGACAACATCAACCTACACTATCCTTCTTGTCATAGCATCATGTCGGAGTACATCTGCCCAGTGCGCCTCTGTAAAAAAGAGTTTATGTTCCTCAGCAAGCTCCGGACACATCTCTTTCGATCCCACGATCTCGCCTGGGAGGACGGCCGAAAGGTTGATCACGCCAGTCAGGTGCAAAAGAGGAAGCGAGGTGCCAAGGTCGAGAAGGGACCGACGAGTATGCAGACTCAGAAACAGAGGTGAGTGCCCTGGTCCCAAGAAATATGAGGCTTTTTCTACCAGATCCTCGTGGAAGGCCTCACTACGCATGATATCTGCTGACGAAGGAATGTAGGAAGAAGCAGAAGAGCACGGTGCCGGGAGGAGCTCCTGTCCCCGGGACAGCTTACGACAGCGACATTGTCCCCATCATTGACATGCGAACTCCTTCCCCCAGCCCAGCCGGAGTCGGCATCCCCCAGACTCCGTATGATGCTCCTGAGACACCACGTCCCAGCCAATGGGCCATGACGCCAGATTCGTCAGATACACCCTCGCCTCGATCTTCCCCTGACCCAGTGATTCAGACCCCCACATCACTCCTACAACAGCGCGTCTCTGGAACATCTTCGAAGAAATTCCCAACGTGGGCCGTCCGAACGCCGAGCCCTCTGCCTGGCAAGAACAGAGTGGTCGGTGCCGAATCGGCTAGAGTGATCAGTGCCGGAACTATTGGTGAAGACACAGACTTCTTGGACGAGGACGAAGAATGCGGTGAGTGACCCCCTCTCAGCTCCGGCGTGGCGCTGAGTCACTTCCAGCTGGGTCACCGCTCGACGTCCTCGGAGGGATATTCAAAACCAATGATAGCGACAAGGACGTGGATACCGACGTGGGACGCGATCTCTTGGAGCAGGATGACCGGACCGAAGGACAGGTGAGATGCTACATTGACTGAGCGGATGACGATGACACTGGAATAGGCATCTGAAGTGAACTCGTTTCTTCCGGGTCCAGGCGAAGAGTCGTCCATCACAGTGACTCTCACAAAAGTCCCTGCGGATCCCTCACCTGTCTCTGTCGCAAGATCGCCCCTCCTCGGACCTGCTTACGATGTATTCCTTCCAGAGCACCGGAAGAAGTCTCAACCCCGGAAGGATGATCATCTCGAAGAATCGCCCTCGGAAGACAGCGTCGACCAGTACATGACTGGCAACGAAGACCATCACGGCATGGGCTTAGAGCATGGCGAAAGCGGCCCTGCATCTCCAAAGTCGTCTTCGCTTGTCCCCCAGACCCCTTCTCATTCCGGCCGCGGAAGCAACCACTTGCCCTCCCCGACCAGCTCTCAGCTCATTGAGCAGCTCCTCCAAACGCCACTTGTATCAGCATCCGCTCCACAAGCGATGCCAGATCTCTGTCCCTGCCTGATTCTTAAGATGATTCATCGGCTCACGGCCCAGGCTTGCGGCAAGTGTCATTGCCAAGCGCACAGTGACAATTTCAGCTGCAAGTGACAGCTGGTGCGGGTGAGATCGAAGCGAGACAGGTACATGTTGTGAATAGCGTGCAATCTTGGACAGAGAGGTCGAAGAGCACACAATCTTGGAAGGAGGAATACGATCTGTCATGTGTAAGACCTCATTTGAGAGAGAGAGACGATGTAAGCATGCATATCATCATATCCCATCGCATGTCTCTCTCCCCCACTCTCCTTACTTTGCCGTAGATTTTCGCCGCTCGGCCCGACTCCCGAATCTCTGCCGACTTTTGCTGATCCGATTGGGATGGAACCGGGAAATACAAAAACGCCAGGTAGTGAGTGCTGTGTGATCATCCTTGACAATACATAACATACCTCAGAACCAGCTTGAGTCAAGGACCTCATTAAGCGATACTCCCCACCATGACCGTCTCAACGAACTCCACCGGCAAGACCCTGCCTCCCGGTATCTACTGCCCTACCGTCACTTTCTTCAAGCCTACAAGAGAACAAGAATTGGACATTGAGACTCATGTCAAGCATATGGAGTTCTTGGCCAAAGCGGGTCTGGACGGTGTAGTTCTCCAAGGTTCCACTGGAGAAGCAGTGGCTCTTAACAGAGAAGAGAAGAAAGAAGTGAGTGAGAGGGCTACCGCGGCTCATTTGTAGTGGCTGGAGTCCAGTCATAGCTGACAACTTTCCTTAGCTCATCCGCACGGCAAGAGATGCATTCATCCGCTGCGGCAATCACGGAGCTATCATTGCTGGAACTGTCGGTGCTCAGTCCACTCGAGAAGCCATTCAGCTCGCCAGAGATGGAGCAGAGGCAGGTGCAGACTTTGCCCTTGCTCTCCCTCCGTCCTACTTTCCAGGACACATGAGCAACGATGCCTGCCAAGCGTTCTTCGAAGAGGTGAGCGGACCGTGCTGCTCAGTCTTCATCTCGTGCTGAATGCCAGATCTCCTCAGCTAGCGGATGCCTCCCCCATCCCCATCATCATTTACTCTTACCCTGGCGTCTCATCGGGTATCCAGCTATCCTCCGAGCTCACCATGAAACTCGCTAAACACCCCAACATTGCTGGAATCAAACATACAGATCACGACATTGGAAGGATCGCTCGGGAGGCATCCGTCAAATCGTACGGTAGTGAGTCGATCCCAACGGCTCTATGAGTTGTTCCACCATGCTGACCTGCCTCAGGCCCCTACACCATCCTCGGCGGTGCGACAGATTACCTCCTAGGTACTGTCGCCGTAGGAGGTCACGGAGCCATCACTGGAATGACCAACGTCGCGCCGAGAGCTGTTGCCAAAGTCTACGAGCTGGCCTCAAGTGGACGATCAGCAGAGGCTTTGGAATTGGCAGGTCTCATCTCTAGAGCCGAGTGGTCGCTTGGAAAGGGCGGTCTATTGGGAACAAAGGTGAGCCGGCTGTGTCGTATCAGCGGATAGAGCTTGGGCTCATCCTCCTCTCAGTGGGCAACAGTCTGGTCCTGCCATTATCCTGAGGCCGCTGCTCTTGCTCGTCGACCTTTGCCCACCGTCTCTGCCGAGACGAAGAAGCACGTCGAAGCGGAGTGTGCTGAACTTGTCGAGATTGAACGATCGTTGGAGAAACAGGGATACGTTGGTTCTGGACTTCAGACCAAGGCCAAGCAGGATGTCTCAGCCACCAAGACGAACGGACTGTTGCACACTGTCAAGCAGAAGATTGCAGAGTTGTAGATGAGGCATGACCCATGCAGCATGTTCTCACTATTCCAGATTATACAACAGATCTTACACTCATGAGCAGCATGGACACTCGCCCATGCCTTGATCCAGCATGTTCTCTAGTTGATCTATCTTATCAATAACAGTGGTTATGGTGTTTGACAGGATGTCAGATTGGCCTGAAGGCATCAGCAAAGCTCGGATAAACAAATTCACCCTGCACATAGACCCGACACATTCTCGCCACCTCCTCCCGCACGCCAGTGCTGTCCTCTTTCATCGGGGGCAACTTGGCCAGCTTGTCTTCCAGCATGGAGCCAAGCAGACCCAGGACATCCAATTCCAGCTCGACAGTCTTGACCTCCCTTTCGTGCTCGGCATGCAAGTCATCCTCGTCTTCACCGTTATTGTCCACCTCGACTTCTTCCCCGAGGACGACCCGTAACATCCTGAGGAGATCTTGCGGAACAGGACTATCAAGCCTTAGCACAAACTTTCGGTTCGCGTCGAGACGTCTCTCCTTCAGTCGAGCTTCACCTTCTGGAGTCATGCCGCCAGAAGAGACTTTGAGAGTCACTGTATCGTCTGGATTTGGATCCAACACGAAACCGTAGCTGAACAGGAATTCTTCGTTTGATTTCGGTCCATAGTTGTTGAACACTTGGACGCCTTCGCGTATACCGCCACGATCAAGGACGACGACGGAGGGGCAAGATCCCTCTGCAGAAGGGATAGATGTGGACAGCCACGTGACGGGTTGGCCTCGAGCATCTGAGCCAGGTCAGACGTTGCTGTAGCGGCCGCGATCCTCACTCACGATTGAAAATGTCCACACCAGGTAGGAGCATAGGGTACGATTCATCCTCGGTGGATGGTTCTGGAATGGCGTTGACATAGGTGCTAGTTGTGGCGAGCTTCAAGAGTCTTGAAGGAAATGCACGAGATTGATAATGGGTGGCAGAGAGGAGGTACAGGTCCCTGAGAGAAGAAACTGAGCTAGGCTCGTCCGGCGTAAAGGCCCTCAGCTCACCAAGTCAATCTGGGGTCTTTGACAGCCTCGTTTATCCTCTCGCTCTCCGACTTCCACAGAGCTCGTTGCGCCTCGATCGCTCCGTACATGTTGGTACCCTGCAGCAGCTCGAGTTCCGGCTCAGAGTAGTGTAACGGGGTGAGGAGAAGATCAGCACTCGGCAGAGAGTTGACGTATTTGAGATGACCGAGAGCTTCCGGCCAGTCTCTGCTCTGTCAATGCATCTCGCTCTGACCCAACTCACGATGAACCGGAATGAACGTGGTGAAGTACCAAGTAGGTCACTATCCTCATCCGCTCATTCCACTCATGCAACTCGCTTTCCTGTATACCATAGATACTACAGATGGCTCCAGTCGCCACCTCTATCGTTATCGCCAAGTCGAACGGGCACGATATGAGCTGTTCAGCAGCTCCGACCTCTCTGGAAGTGAAGGCACTGAGACCGGTGTCTTCATCTGATAATTCTGTAAGTGAAAGCTCGCGAGCCCAGACAGCTCACCCATACGCAGCTCCAAGGCTGGATGAACCAGACCTCCCGCATCTCTGAGCCATGTCAGTAGCTCTTGACCCGCTTCAAGCTGTTGCATCCTCGTCGTCGGGGTCGAATCTGAAATTTCAGCTCTTCAAACGCCAAGCAGGGACCGAAGGCATTTTGCATTGATTACGAATTCCACGTGGGACATTACCAAACAACGCTAATGCTATTAGAAAGCTTTAGAAAACCGACGTCCGCAGCCAAACAGGGCACTTCGTTTAAATCATCCTCAACTCTTCACAGAGTCATCACCATTCCATGTAGACCCCCAGCAGGACCTCTACGACCCGCTCGGGTGCAACTCCTGCATCCTGATATGGTCGCGATGCTCCCGTCTAGCTCCCTTGTCATACAAGCTAACAGCCCCTTGCTGACCGTCATCAGTTCGCAAGCCTCTATCTACGTCAACCCATCCTTTCCACTTATCAGACCTGTTTGTGATGTGCTCGTAGATAGGGCCGTCAAGGCCCACCTGTCGCTATAAGAATGCTGACAATGATCCTGACCCTCCATTCCTTACAATCTGCTTCTCATCCTGACAGGACTTCGCAGGTCTTCCGGAAACTATCAGAATCAAGAGCCTCGACGTATTCTAAAAATCGTTATATCTGCTCTGGTAAGCTACGATGTGTAGCCATTCAGCTAACCCCCTTTTTCGAACAGCCGAGAACTCAGCTCGTCCCTGTGCATCGCTTTTCAACCCCGTCGAGATCGCGCCTAAGCTGCCATGACTTCGATTCTCGAGACCTTGCACGATCACCTGGTGCTGCCACCCAGATTGCCGAACACGGGCGATCTCAAGCCCGATGAGACGGACGATCTCGGTCAAAATCTCATCGAGCGGATGCTCAAGGCGTGCGACAAAGTCTCGGCAGCTGAAGTCCCTCCGGTCGTAACAAAAGCTCTAACTGGACTCAAACAATCCTTGACTTGGTGCTTGGATTTGCACCGAGGTCAAGCTCTGAGTGCCGAGACTCTGCTATACTATTTCCAAAAGCTGGATGTCGACCAGACTCTGATCATCTATCTTCAAGGTCAGAACGCTGCGGTACTCATGCGTCGAATCACCGACAGGTAAGTTCTCTTCCAGCCAGATCATGATGCTGACACCTTTTCGTAGTGGGGATGATAATGGCAGCATAGTCTTCGAACACTTCGAGGCTTCACCTTCATCTGAAGCTGTTCTGGCGTCGCCGGGTAAAATGATTTGGGACTTTCCTGGTCATAGCGCCAAAATCTCCAGGACCGACTTCGATGACCCTCAATTTCGAGAATGCCTCGCTGCGTTCTTCGAGGACGCCTCGTCCGAATCACTGGAATTCCTCAGAGCCGTTGCCAAAAAGGCAAAGGCATCTGTTGTGGAGGTCCGAGACACTACCGATCCCGCTCTCATCACCGGAATGCTCATACCTATGCTTGAAGCCATCGGGACTTCTATCACCGTACCAATCCTGCGAAAGCGAGTACGCGACGACATCAATGTGGGCAAAGGCTTGCTTCCTTGGCGACGACATCCCATGTGGCTAGTCCTCCGTGCTGCCGCGTAACGGCATCTTGCCTTGACGCTGAACGATCAGCACGACGGTGGCAGCCCTGGACGGGCTTGTTACAAGTTTCTCATTACGACCATCCTTTCCGACTTGCTTGGAGACGTAAGCTGCGGTGGGCTGGCTCCATCGCGGATCCAACTACTTCAGGCGAAAGTCTGCCGACGCATGGCCAAGCTGGAAGTCTCCAGGAACAGTGCTACGGGTCATACCAAGATCTTGTATGAGCAGCTTTTTTCGACCCTAAGTTCAACCGTCAAGATGCAGACCGAACGTGCCTCCAGTGTTTTGGAAGCGATTTGGCTCAGCTATCGGGAGTCCACCACTCTCAAAGTTCCTTTTGTCCCTGATCGAGCCACAAACGATGCCCTGTCCCTTCGCCTCTCCCAGTCTGGCCAGTTCCTGGACAATCTCTTGTCCATGCCTGACGCTGGAGTCACAGCCAAGCGAGCGGTGCCTCCCTCAGCAATTCCGGCTATTCAATCTGCGGACCGCTTCAACGCGCCCATCTACGCTGCCGTAGGGAAAGATCAACGTCTTGTGGACAATCGCTTTTCGGTGCAATCATTTGGCCACAGGCAGCAGTGCCTTGAGCTGGCGAAGGATATTCGCGACGTACTGCAGACCATTCTCTCTTTCGATCATGGCGATCCAGAGGATATCAGCCCTCATCTTCTCACCATCTTCGAGCTGTGGGTGCGACTTGACAGAATCGCAACTGGTCTGTGGCCCCTGTTGAAAGAATTCGACCCCTGTTTCTCCTCCGATATCCTCGATGCACTGCAGCTGCTGGAATCCGCCGACGTAGAACGCTTGAGACAGGTTCAAGACTATCTGCAGAAGCGGAAACGCGCGTGCACGTACCCCACAGTCACTCTGTTCAGTCCCATTGGTCAGAACTCGTTCGCTGTACGTTTTGTGGCTCAATCTTCAGCCCTTCAAGCATTGGAACGTGGCATTCGCGCCAAAAACGACTCGGCGCGAGAGAAGGCGTTGCTTGCGTGGCAGAGAGCTAGTGACGAATTTGACGAGCATACGACCGAGTATCACAGCGGTACTTGTCGCTGTACCTTCTATTGCGGAAAACGAGATGTTCGTGGTTGTACACGATGCTGGCACGGTCGCGCGAGATTCACACTAACGGTTCAAGTCCATGAAGATTATCTCCCATCAATCGACTCGGAAATGAAAGCTGTGATATTCGAGCTTGGCATAGACTCAGAGCTTGCGGAGTACCGCGACGTGACGTGGCTCATTTTCAAAAGACTTCTCCACCCAGGACGACCGAACAACGTCAAGGTTGAGTCGGTGCTCCATCGACACGGACCCCTCACGGGATACAGACAGTCAAAGGCCAACTTGACTTTGGGTTCAAGAACAAAGTACTTCCAGCAGACGCATTATAAATTCTCCAGTTTTGGTGGCAAGCCTTCGAAATCGTCGATCTTGCTGCCATGCGGCGCGTCGTTCTACCTGTTGGACGACGAAGACAATCTCTGGCCTTCCGACTTTCATGGCCAGTTGACACTGCAACATCTGTGCCACGTCTTGATACCCCAGCCCCTCGAAGACACTTCGGTTTTCAATCTCGGCAACCACCCTGACACAGTCATAGACGGGCCTTCTTCGTATCAGACAATAGCCAATCAGACCAAACGACCCAGCACATGCTCAGACCAGGAATTTGCGGCGCTCCAACGACTGCTGCATGGGAAAATGACGCGCTGGCCCAACTTGCTGCTGGAACTGGGGGCGACGAATCTGGGGTTCAGCAACGTAGACACGTCGCGGATGGTCAGTCAATTGAGTCTTCAAGCTGGACCGTATGATCCAGGCAGTACGAATTCTGACACAATTCACGTCCTTTTCAAAGAGCCTGCATTCTGCTCCCAGCTATTTGATCGCATTCGCGCTCACTTTGACATAATTCGGTCCAATTGGCGAGAGGTGGGATACATGAGCATGCTCGTGACCCTGACTTTGCGAGCCTTATACCTTTGCACGACTACCGACACTATTCAGCAAGCTTCCCGGCTGCTGCTCGATTTCCGAGAGACCCTCTTGGAGTGGATCATTAGTCTTCGGCAAGACTTCAAAGACGTTACAGAGGACGATGTGGCAACGAGGACCGCCACGTACATCGTACAGGCGTCTCTCCTTTGCAGGCGGACCTTCAACGTGTACCTTTCGTATCGATCCGAAGCCAATCTGCCCTTTGCCCAGGATGACCTCGCTGCGTGGACAGTGGCATCTGCTGCTCTGCAGGAAAATATCTCAGTGAGCATGGAGCTCCTGGATTCCGCCTTGAAGCGCCTTTTTCATCGAGACGCCCGACTAGCCTTCCGACTCGGAAACACACTCCGACAAGGCATTCGAGACTTCCCTGAGGGAGTCAGTGATGGAATGTCTCGCCATTGGCTGGGCACGTCGAAAACATCGAAATTCACGCGTTGGACTTTCCAGGGCGACGAGAAAGATAACTGGCTCCAGTCGGATCTGATCGAATATCGGCAGGGACGATCGTATTCTGAACCTATTCAATTCCACTTGCTGGAAGGTCATCTGCTCATGGGAGGTGGACCCCGTGGCAAGTTACCGGCTCATATCCGAGAATGCGCAGCCATCAAGATTCTCTTCAAAGGCAGGCACCTGGTTACATATCCTTGCCGCATGCCAGGTCTGAGTCATCGACTTGATTCAGCACATCAAGGTCATCGGGTTTATTTTGGCACGAGAGATGGATATGTTGTCATTCGCGCAGAATCGCTCAATACCGGGCACATTCTAGAATTCTTGGCGCCCGACATACTCTTCCTTCCAGGGACTTTCGACTTGCCCAATGAATTGAGGGAGAACCGTTGCCATTGGATCAATCTATCAACCGGCAACGTAGAAGTTCGTCATCTGAACCGGGCCTGGAAACCAAATGATAGCGATTGGATAATCAGTCTGGCCAATCGGACAGCTTTTCGTCGACAATCCCAGCTCGTTGGTCCTCAGAGCGGTCTCTTTCGCCAGATTGCAAGCATCTTCGGTGGCTTTGTTGCACCCGAGCAGTTGACTGTCTATCAACCGGGAGGGGCCTTGACCGTGCGGATCCCGGTGTATGACCTCACTTTTCACGTGAATAAGGGTCGATTGGAATGCCGGGAGCTGCAGGCTGAGATCGACCCTGATCAAGATGCGGGCACTTGGTACGGTCTACGAGGCAAGCTGTTTTTCCGAGATGTGCAAAACAAAACAAAGAGGTTTATTCTGGTTCCCCTTGGCAGCCCTTATGCTCTTGAAGGTGGATGGCGACCCGGTTGTACGGCCAGCATCGGCATTCGCGAGGATCCGATGTTTGGACGTTTCGAGGTCGATGACACTCTAGGCCGACTGACTTGTGTGCCTGAACCAGCACTTATCTACAACAAGGCCCTGATCCACGCCTTGACTACGTTCTGTTCGCCGGATCCGCTCACGGGTCGAACTGGCACAGAGGAAGCGGCCGAGACTTTGCGATCAGCGGTTGCGCAACCTTGGCAACCCCTGGCAAACCTACCCAAAATAGCGCTCCGGGCACTGCGGGGACTTCTACCTAAACGAGAGTACTATCCTCAGGGCCTCAAATGTCTGCAAAAGGTCGAATGGGACGACATGCTCCCATCATTTGTACAGTCGGACGCATTCGAGGCTCTGATCTATGACATCGAGCACAAGTCGTTCAAGCTGGCATTATTCTCTGAGACGAGCTCTGCGGAGAATGGAGGTGAGTGAATTGTTTGCCTGAAAAAATCCGGAACTCATCGATCCTTCAGACACGAGCTCAACCGAGCCAAAACCACCATCTGACCTCCGTCAACGAGGCGAGCTTCAACAAGCCGTCTATGCCCCAGGGGTCATCGTCTCGGAGGCGGCTGCTGCCTGGGGGGCAGACTTGTCAACCCGGGTCTATAATAGCAGACATCGACGCGATCGCCCTCCCTTCAGCACCAATGTGTACAACCTAGTCTATGCGATGAGATCGTCAACTCCACTCGACTCATCTCGAAATTTGACCGATATACTCGAAGAGTCCGACCTGATCGGCGGGGTGCCGCAATCCATGCAAGGTAACCGGGGGCCACTCGTTGACCAGATCGTCGTCAACTTTTTTGAGCAATTCGGCGAACTAGTGGACTTTTGTCGACGGACATCCTCGATAAGACCAAACTCCAAACGCGAGTTCCGATTCGCTCTGCTGGCCTTCTCGCCTCAAGTGGATGTGGATCTATTGCATTGGCTCGCTATCATAGCGATGGATGAGTCGATTGCTGAGATTTGTCCTCCTCGGCATCCTCAATTCGCAGGTTTCAAAAAGCGAGAGTGCCCCACACTGGAGGAATTGGTCTCTCGAATGCGACACGCCCATCGACCTTTCAGTCACAACATCGCCAGCTCTATTTTCGGCGACGAGGCTAGCCTCAGGGCAGAAGAAGCGCATAGGCTGCTTTGTGAGGAGGAGGCTCTGCGCCTCGCTCAATGTCTCATCTCTCAATGGCCTCAAACCTTCGATGTAGCCAAAGGGTCCCTCGACTACAACTCCTTTCCGTCTCTCCACCTCCTTGATGCCTTGGTATCTGTGGAGGAAGATTGGGAACGCCGTTTGCACAACAAGGATCTCGAAGCATATGTAGATGCTGTAGAAGCCGGTTTACTGCACCGACAAACTGGACCTCCAGTTGGCCGACCTCTGCCAGTGACATTACCCTCGCAATCCGACAATCCTAATAATTGCAAGCTGCCTTTACGATTGGCCAATGTTTTGCAGGGCGATGATATCGTATCGCCGCTGATCCCTCCTGTGATAACGCAAACCTCAAATGCGACAGCTATCATCGGTCCAATATCGGTCAGCACCCGTCCACGAGTTGGACAACATCCTCGACAAAATCTGAAGATCGTTTTGGATTCGTTCCTCGAGGTCAAGGGGCTACGAAAACCGAATACCGTCCGCCAAGAGTATGCCAGATATCTCTCCGACAGCTTGGCAGCGCTCGACAATCAAACTGTTCCTGAGCGGGTCGACGATTGGCAGTTTCACACCGTCATGCAGGTCGTGGAATCGAAGATCGTCTTGGCTCGAGAGCATGCCAGCAAGATCTTTCAGGATCTACGACGGGCTGTTCTGAAAGCCCATCCCCATGTTCAGTGGTTAGTCGATGGCAATCTTTTCTCGGATATCGCGTCGCCAGCCACGATTCTCCCTCTGCTGCGCCAACAGTCTGACATTGGAATGGGAGCGCCCTTCAAGCAGTTCCTCACCACCTATGGTCTAGCCTTGACAGAGTTGCAAAGATTGCAGCGTATTTTGCATACCCTCAAACAAGGTAATCGCAAGGCAGCGTACGAGGAGATTACCCATGCTGGACACGAGAACTGGGACCCAATGCAGCATCAAGACTGGCTATCTATTGAACTCGACTGCAACATCTTGATCCGCCCGACGCAGGTCGATGTTGCCCGGGCCATCATCTCACCTCGCAGTGGTCGAAACAGTCTGCTGCAAATGAACATGGGACAGGGTCAGTTGAATCCCTCATCATGTAGCATTGGCTGACAATGTCACTCCAGGCAAAACCTCTGTGATCATGCCAATGGTCGTCGCAGAGCTGGCAGATGGTGAGAGTCTGGTACGCATCACCGTGCCAAAACCTCTCGTGATACAGACTGCCCAAGTCACGCAAAGCCGCATCGGTGGTCTGGTCGGTCGTTCGATCGCTCATATACCGTTCTCGCGACGGACGTCGACGACGCAAGGGATGCTAGAGGTCTACGAGTCCCTTCACAGGGCTGCGCGCGATTCTCGTGGTATACTCCTGACGACTACGGATCACCTGCTCTCATTTAAACTTCGAGGGTGGCAGAGATTGATTGACGGACCAGAGTACCACGAGGAGGCTGCTCGAATGCTCGAGTTTCAGAAACGTTTGAGCGTTCATGCTCGCGATATCTTGGACGAGTCGGACCACACGCTCTCGGTCAAGACGCAACTGATTTACCCTAGTGGCGCTCAAACGACTGTTGATGGCCACCCTTTCCGTTGGCTCGTTGCCGAAGGATTGCTGGCATTGATCGAGAGTCATCTGCCCGGACTGCAGAGGAAGTTTGGCTCAGACATTCAGATCATCAATCGAAACGAGTCGTACCCCACGGTCCACTTTCTTCGTCGCGAGGTGCAAGAATGCTTACAGCAATGCCTTGTCGATGATATTTGCTCTGGCAAAGCTTGGTTCGTGCATCCCGCACCTGGCAGCTCTCTTCAACCTGATGTCCAGGGGAAGATCTGTCGTTTCTTACTCGACGCGACAGTCAGCAAGGACTTCCTCGAGGAGGTTGGCAGCCTTGCTATCGAACCGAACTCATTCAAGAAACAGCTCTTGACTGCTCGTGGTCTTATGGCGTATGAAATCCTATTCGTCTGCCTCGCAAAACGATGGAATGTTCAATATGGACTAAGTCCTACTCGTCATCCTGTGGCAGTGCCTTTTGAAGCCAAGGGTGTCGCTTCTGCGCAAGCAGAATTTGGGCATCCCGACGTTGCAATCGTTCTGACTTGTCTCGCCTTTTACTATGAAGGCTTGACCGAAGTTCAGCTTCGACACGGCCTGAGATTGGTCCTGGCTTCGGAGGATCCAGCAGCTCGTTACGAAAGGTGGCATGGAGGAGCCTCCAACCTGAAGCCTGCAATTCGACACTGGAATATCATCAACCTGGACGATCAAGCTCAGATCAGTGATTTGTGGGGTCATCTGCGGTACAACCGACATGTCATTGACGATTATCTCAACACTTTCGTTTTCCCATCGCACGCCAAGCAATTCGCCGTCAAATTACAGGCGTCTGCGTGGGATGTGCCAAATATGTCACTGGACGAGATAGTCGTTGGGCCAAAGGCTAGCTCAGGCGCAAGGACGACAGGTTTCAGTGGCACTAATGACAATCGACAACTTCTACCTGGCGCGATTCAACAAGATGATCTCACTGGCCTCTTGCACACCAATGCCGAAGTCCTCACGTACCTTTTGGAACCCCGAAACCAGGTCTACAATATTCTTTGCCACCCTTCCGGTCAACGGCTCTCGGAAGAGGATCTTTTGAGAAGGATGAAAGACCAGAGGATACGGATTCTGATCGACGCGGGGGCTTTTGTTCTGGAAATGGACAACAAAACTCTTGCCGCGACGTGGCTCAAAGTCGACACCCAAGCCAAGGCAGCTGTCTTCTTCACAGATGATGGTAGAGCCATGGTCATGTACCGAGGTGCTTGGCTGAAGCAAGTGCCATTACTGGCTACTCCTTTCGCCGATGATCTCTCAGAATGTGTGGTCTATCTTGACGAGGCGCATACAAGGGGAATCGACCTCAAGCTGCCACCGTTCGGGAGGGGCGCCTTGACGCTAGCTCTTGGACAGACTAAGGACTTCACGGTGCAAGGTGAATCTCTATTCCGGACTGTGAAATCTTCAATGTCACTGACTTGTCTTCAGCGGCATTGCGCCTTCGTCAAGTGGCTTCCACTCAATCTGTGACGTTCTTTGCTCCACCCGAGGTCGATCGTAGTATCCGGGACCTCCAGCACCTAGGCTCAAATGAGAAGATCACTTCTTCGCACATCGTCTTCTGGCTACTCGAGCAGACATGTCGCTCTCACGATGACCTTCAAGGTCTGCACCGAAGTCAGGGCGGTGACTTTGCACAGCGGATGAGCGCCCAATATGACAATCGAGATTGCCTGACGGACACGAATCAGCGACGAGCCGTGTTGGACGTTCTACAGCAGCCCGAAGCCCAATCTCTGCAGGATATCTACCTGATTGGGCCGTCAAAGCCGAGCGAATCTGCGTCCACCCATTCGCCTTCAGGAACCCAGCAACTTAGCCTGATCGAGCGCTACGGGAATGCTACGGATGGTGTACACCATTCGGCCGGTGCTGGTGTCCTTGACCAGGTGGAGCAAGAACGAGAAGTCGAATTTCAAGTCGAAGAAGTCCGCGAGATCCAAAAACCCCATCATTGGGATGCCTTTAGCTTCCCTGGACTGCACGGGGCCGTGGAGCGGTTCGTCAGGACAGGTGATCTGGAAACGAGCAGTAGCGTCAAACAAGCATACTCTTATATTTCCGGAACATCGCTCGGCGCAAAGTTCAAGGTCAGGAACTCTGGTGGTCGATTGTTCGTGTCGCCGGAATTTAGTCGGACGATCAAGCTACCATCCAATGACAGGACTACTGGAGACAATTTCTTGGTCAGTATTGAGGCGGCGAAAGAGGGCATGAACTGACCAGTTGCCAGCGCCCTGTCCACTGGATCATCTGGAGCTGTAAGACGGAGACCGCCCTTGTCGTCATCCCCGAAGAGGTCGAGTTGATCATTCCTCTTCTCCTATCTGCCAAGAAAGCATCCTCGGCCACACCAAATACATGTTTGGTGACATACTCGGCACCCGTGACGAAAGACACTCTGATCTTTGATGATCTGCAATACTACACCTTGCCTGCGCTGCCTACCAGTTACACATTCCCAGACTGGCTCAGGATCGACCTCGGCATACTGTCTGGTCGCCTCTACCTGCCTTTCAAAGATTGCGACATCCTCGCTCAGCTCATCTCGGCGTCGAAGGACCATAAGCAGAATGGGGTTGGGCCTTCGAATGGGTACACAGTGTCTACGACTCTGAAGCCATTCGTCAATGACATGTCTGGATTTTTGCTAGAGTGGCTTTCTCTTCGCCGACAGGGTCAAGATGTCTACGCCACGCCAATGGGTTATACGTGTACTGGCCGGGTGTTGAATGCCAGTCATCCATTCTTTACGGCTCATTCGGTGATTATCGATGGTGCCGAGGACGACATGACGGCGGAGAATCGAGTCGGAAGCGACGGTGTGAAAAGGCTCACCGAGGACGTCGAGGGGCTAAGTATAGAGTGAAGTCCTACCGAGGCATTGGTCATCTCTGTAGCTTTACTTGCATGACCCATTGTATAGGTCTTTCCCCCAATCAAATGTTCCGATGCCCGAAGCAGGTTCCTCAGGCCAAAGGCAAAAAGAGATCTAGATCTGTTGACCTCCACCAAGAAAAGTTTAGCGATTTGGATGTGGCGTCACAAGGCTATACCCATTCTGAACATCATCACCGTCCTCGAGCTGAACGTTGAGCAGATGCTAGCTTGAGATTACACATGCACATAGTACTACGAAAGTTGCGCCTCCACTGACGGGCCAATCGACTATCGCCCTCGGCGACGACGCAACGGACTACGAATCAACCCCGAGAGGCCAAGCCTGTCGCCCGCTTCCCGAGTGGTGGGGTGAGACGCTTGTCGCTCGGTCAACCGGTACCGTCCCATCCTTTCAAAAGGGTACAAAAGGGTGACTCGTGATGTCAACTTACATCCTCATCCCTCAACCATCCCGTTCACGGCTACACCTCACCTCGTTGAGACCAGCGTCTCCATCTCGATAAAACCCTCCGCCATGTCTGACAGCTCCGTCCAGTCCCAGCTCTGCTCGGACCTCTTACCCCGGGAAGCTATCATCGATGCCCTGTATCGAGCTGAGACGGCATTCGACTCGAATGACAAGGCTCTGTTCGAGACCAGCGTGACGGACGACATGGTCTTCACCATGAATGGAGGGACTGTCAGCTTTGGCAAGGATGCCCTCTGGGGATTCATCTCGTCCAAGGTGGGGGGGTCCGAAGCTGCTTGTCTTAGGTCGCGAACCTGTCTGATGCTTCGCCCTCAGGATACGACACACTTTGCGAGCAACATCCGCGTCATGTACGCTTCCGGAAGCGATACTGCCAAGATGACATTCACGGGTCTCGCTCAGCATTACGGGGGAGGGACCGGGAACGACCTCAAGGCACCGTACTTCCTTGCTGGAGGACTCAACAAGGTTGATCTGGTCAAAGGCTCCGTGGAAGGAGTAGAAGTTTGGAAGATCAAGCATTGGGCGATGGACAGGATCTGGGCGCAGGGCGACCAAGGAGTTCTCCACTGATAGGCCAGCCTCGAACCGATGCCACACCTCGGTCATGGGATTAGTGAGCACGTTTGGTGATGATCAATGCAGTTGATGTATACTTGCGTCCTCTCATGTAAGCAGGATGCAAGCCTTTCATGCCGTTCTCATCTAGGCCTCCATCCCGCATGCTCAATACTGACCTTCGCCGCCATCGGCTCTGGTCTTGTGCCGATGAGATGCCGATGAGACGCCCTGATTGCTTCGGAGACCGAACCTTTATAATGAATGGAACCTAGATCTAAGGTCCGAAGTGGGTCAAGGTGGCGTCGAGCATGATGCAATATTGACAAAGATCTGCACGCGTATATATATAGCCTATAGGGTGGGGACCCTGACGAACATTGCTCATTAGGTACGACGTGAAACTGCACGCACACCAATCGTTCCCAGTCATGACCTCCTCAACTTCCTCCAACCTCCTCATTCCCAATCTGAGCCCCAGAGAAGCAATCACAGATGCCATCTATCGCGCCGTCACGGCCATAGATTCCAACGATGCAGAATTATGGGCAACAGCTGCGTCTAAGGACATCACATTCGAATTCAAACCCGGCGACAGGGCTCTAGACTATGATGCGCTATGGGCTTTCGTGACGAACAAAGTGGGTCCGGGGGTCGCTGTCTATGATCATGAGCTGCCAGACCTGTAGCCATAGTTTCATGCTCATTTCCTTGTACAGGACACGACGCACATCACTAGCAACATTCGCATCTTTTATACCCCTGGCCAGACAACCGCGAGGGCAACTTTCCACAGCATGAATCAACATTACAATCTCGGTACTGGAGGAGACCTCGGCGCTCCACACTTCCTCGTCGCGGGTCTGTCTGCGGTCGACTTGGTCCAGGATACGGTGGACGGAGTAGAGGTCTGGAAGTTCAGGAAGTGGGTATTGAACAGGAGTTGGGTCCAAGGCGACTTTAGTGTGCTCCAATGATCCCCCACTGTGGATCTTCACACCTTACATATGATACAGATGAATTCAGATCTCGAAGCCAGAAAGATACCGAGTGATTGTCCACAATAGAGATCCAGAGATACTGACACGAGCCACCAAAGATGCACATCTCACATCCCCTGATCACCCTGAAGAACCCCGTCAAACAGACCTTCTTGCGCGAATCTGATATCGGCGCTGGGAAGCTCTTCGACGCCCTCCATCCGATCATCTTGCGATCTCCTGATCTCAGTACTTCTCCCGGTGGCGCTGTGCCTGCCGCGTGACATGCCGGTTCCACGACCGAAGCTGACCATGTCCCTCAGGGACACTTCAGGCGAAGGTCGAGATCGAGGCGAGTACGGACTACCAGACGCTCGCCTGGTATCATTTCTCCCCATCCTGATCGGCATAGCGCGAGGCGTGGCCGTATGCGATTTGTTAGCCTCGACAGCCGGAGGGAAAGTATACGTCTCGGCTATCTGACTTTGGGGCGAAAAGGCGTCTGCGGTTGTCGAATCGGGCGAAAGAAGAGTTGGCGCGAATTGATACGGTACCATATTGGGATTGACCTCTCTGAATCCCAACGATGGGACAGGCTCACCCGTGTGAATATCGTTGTATCCTCTCCTGACCCATGTGGCTGCATCTTGGGGATCGTATGTCGGTACATCGCCTCCGAGCCGTAGCGCCACATCGTCAAAGTCGACGTAACCGAAATTGGCCCCTAGAGTGGGTTGAGAGCTGGGCGACATGATTGTAGCCGAGGGAGGTTCACCCTGGACTGATCGGGTTCGTAGATGACCCTGAGTAACTTTGGCGATGTCCGGGAAGGTCGTGGCGTAAGGCGGTGCCGTCTGAGGGTACGAATTGATACCCGATTGCGGTGCGGTTCTGACGTTGCTAGACATGAACACAGTGGAAGTACTGGCATCCGGAGGGATTGGGACGCCACCCTCAACAAGGGTGCTAGGCATAGAAGGGTCTGCCGGATGACTTGTAAAGTACACCGGTCGACTTGGAAGAGACCCGCCAAGACAATCGCTACTGCCTCCGGAGGACGAAGTCATGTAGAATGCAGGACGAGCAGGCGGAGCGTATACCGACTGAAGTCCTGTCGGCGGGGGATAGCTCTGAACGAGGGACGGGTTGAAAGGGAATGAAGCGGGTTCATCTTCGCCCAGACTGCCAAGCTGATGAGGTTGATACATCTCCGGAGGAGACTGGTAGGTATTTCCCGGATCGGATGGCGATGGTGATAAGCCGTGCATCGGGGCATCATCCCGATATGGGTCATTTTGGTCTTGCACAGATGACGACTGTCGCTTGCCAGCTTGAGGCGGACGCGGTGGCACTCTGCGCTTGAAACCTAGAACTTGCTCAGCGGTAGATGACCGTTTGAGGAATGGATGAGCTGCAGGACGTCAACCGGAAGCACGACTGCGCATGTCCACTTACCCCATGTACTCGCATCCGGATCATTGATGTCCTTGTCTACATGTCGCAAGCTCACTTTCCGCATGAAGCCGTAGATCTGGAGGTCCATCATTAACAAACGTCCCAATCCGGACCCACATTTAGCTGCCTCGAGAAGCTTGCAAAGCGAGACTGGCGGTAGACCAGTGGAAGGATCTTTGCTGCGAGAACCTCAGGGTTCTCAATGATAATCGTGTCTCCTTGTTCGTCCCATCTGATGATGGAGTGATATTCTGGAGTGTTCCTGAGCTGACGTGAGCGGAAAGATGAGAGCGGGGCGGCGCGTGCACACCCACAGGATCCTGCAATCTAGTCAGCGGCATCGCCTCAGATCATGTATCGCTTACTGATATAGCTTGGTCAGGAAAGTCGGCTGCTTCCCATCAACCTTTTTGGGAGCTTTTCTTCTAGTCTCTCCACTGCTCCTCCTCCCTTCATCCTCAGATAACTCATGATGGGGTGGCCGTCCATGAGCCTGACGTTCAGCTTCGAGTGAACGTGGTAGCGAGGTACCACTTTGATAAGGGAATGGGAAGGCGCTCGGATCACCTCCAGCCCTACCCAACTCCGGAGGATAGTACGGTGGCGAAGTGGGGGACGTGTACCCTGACACACTACCCTGGAACGCTGTAGGCCCTTGCGAAGCCTGTGTAAGAGTCCAGTAATTCTGAGGATAGAGCTGCGTGACATGTGTTGATGGTGCTACCCTTCTCCCGACGGGACCTTGCTGATGAACAAAGGCCATCGTGAGATGGGGTTGACTCGTCGGGGGCGGCGTCGTCGTCGGGGTCGGAGTCGGAGTCGCCGTCAAGAGGAGCTGTAACAAGTGTTGATACAGGGGCGATAGTTCTGGCGGTTCCATTTTGACGTCAGTATAACACCTTCATCAGAATGGGAGCATCGAAGCTTGGTGGGTGTCCCATACAGGCCGGACGACATGTCATGAGGGAGGCTACGGAGTGTATGTTCGAAGAAGACGATGCGAATGTCTAGACGAATAAAAGGAGAGTCCACTCACCAAGATCCGGACAAGTGACAAGAGGGGCAAGTTGACAGTCGAGGAGACCAAGCGTATCAGATTTGACTTTGTGACACGCGATTGAACGATGGACGGAGAGGCTCTGTCGAAGCGTGTCAGAAGTCTTCTTAAGCAGATCAGAGATGTCGAAGCGCGCAAGGTGTCGAGAACAATGACTGTGACCCTCCTCTCATGCTCCTCTTTACTCCTTGTTTTTTGATGCGTGAATGGTGAGAACACCACTTGCAAGCTTGGTATGACGCTGCCCCCCGTAGATCCTCCTCCAAGTAGGGAAGGGAGCGTACGAGGGGTTCGAGAGAGAAAGGAAGGAGTGATGGAGGAAGAAAGGAAGGGACTGAAAGATGGTGAGAAAGACTGGGCTGGAAGTCACAGTTGGGAGGGATGTCTGGTCATGGATCGACAAAACACTCACAGATCTCTGTGATCGTTTCGGGATGCTGAAACGAGAGGTCGGCCAGCAGTTGTGGGTGGCGGGTGTAGATCGTCGGAAAATGTGAAGAGAGCTCGCAAAGAGATGGTCGCGCCGGCAGTGAAGTGCAGAAGTGAAGATTGAGAGCGCTAGATGATAACGGAGCGGTGTAAGACCATTTCCTCTCTTCACCAACGCTATAACACCGCGTCCTTTCTCCTGAAGCGAGGCAGGATGAACTGTTGATGTTGAGCCCTGTCGATCACATTGTCAAGTGCCATCTGAGATCGTAAGCAGTGATGATCTGTTGATCGTTGATGATGATCTAGGTCATGGGATAACTGTCACAGATATAGGTAGGGGGACAAGGAAGGCGATGTGTTTGCCAGAGTGACGCAGCAGATGAGTGATAAGTCTATTAGTGGGGCTTTGTTGAAAGCGTGTTCGGGGTCAAATTCGGATCGTTTGAATGAATGATAGTGTCAAAGGATGTGATGGTGAGTGGAGGTAGAGGAGTAGCGGAGAGGAAGAGAGGGGTGTGCCATGCCTTTGAGCTGGCTGAATCTACCGAGTGGGCTAGTGAGGACAAGTGAAGCACATAAGGTTGTACTCATCGATATACGCTCAATCCATCATGGCTGCACTGTCCCGGACGCCATTACCATACCATACCTTTGATATGCGCTATTCACGCTCACTTTCACCTATCCATTAGCACACTGCGCTCCCTTTCGCGTGCCTGGAGATAGGTTAGTGGATCTGTGTGCCTCGAGGTGGAGCATCGAGTGCAAGAGCAGTGAGAGACTGAGTTGAACGGAGAATGAGAAGCATGGAGCATATCGGATATCAGAAAGGTAGAGACCAGTTGCAAGGAGGAGAGAGATGATGAATATCCTTTGGCATTTCTGGAGCGAGCACTTGATTTGCCTGGCTCGAAAGCTAAACATTGTTCAGTAGAGGCAGTTGACAGGCTGGCGGATACATGTGGAGCAAGACGATTGACGATAAGACCGCGTACCGCTAGGAGCAGTAGTAGTGATCTGATGAGGTGTCGAGTCCCGTGGTCATTCTCCTCCACGTGGTCCACGTGGCCTTCAACGCGTGGTGCGAATCCGACGCGTCTTCCTGAACATTACCATTTCCTCATTTCTCTCTCTCTCTCTCATCTCTATCCTCTCACTCATTCACACCATCTTCCGTGGCATAGGCTGGTAGTATAGTCAACATGGTGAGTCCAGCGAATCTCATTCCTTCTTCCCTGACACTCTTCAGTCCGGCTTCGATCCATCTCGCGTCTACAGCATCTCGGTGCTACCTGGGGAATCCCATCCCGAGTCCCCGAGTGCCATTGAAGATCAATTCTACCAATTCTTATCCGGATACAGGGTCGGAGGCGAATTTATCTATCGAGACAGGCTCAGATCGAGTCTGTTGATGCACCATCACTCTCTCGAAGTGGATCTAGGAGATCTGGGAGCATGGAACGAAGAATTAGGTCAGAAAGTCCAAGGACAGCCTGGCGAAGTCATCCCATTGGTAAGCCAACTCCGGCAGAGGTCCAAGCTCAGGCGTAGCTTGAATCTGCCCTGACGCGGCTCGCTCGTGCTCTGCTCCATCCGACGGCGAATGAAGCTGAGTTAAGCAGGACGGCTGCAGAGTCTGTCCCAGCGATGCAGGTCGTCTTGAAGAGTGGGATGAACTTGTTGCAATTCAGGGATCTCACCGTGAGCATCGAAATGACTCGCTTTGGGACCACTTCGCTTATCCCTCCCAGGCCAATACACTCACCACCCTCGTCCGACTCCCTGGTATCGTCATCAACGCCTCTCAAATCTCGTCCAGGGCTACCGAATTGCACTTGCAATGTAAAGGGTGCAGAAGTGTCCAAATCGTCAAGGTTCCAAGTACACTTGGTGGTGAAAAGGCGGCGTTGCCACGGAGATGCATGGTGTGAGTGGTGCTGTCACACCGTGTGTCAGTCCCCTTTTGCTCATGCTGCGACGCAGGCCCGCGCCTGAAGGACAGAAGAAGGACTGTCCCCTTGACCCTTTCATCATCCTCCATGATCGATCTACATTCTGTGATCAACAGACGATCAAATTGCAAGAAGCGCCAGATATGGTTCCTGTGGGAGAGCTCCCAAGGCACATGACAGTACATGCCGAAAGGTGAGCTACAGAGGTCGGGTTTCTGTTGGGAAGCTGACGCAGCCTAGATATTTGACAGGTAAAGTGGTACCTGGCTCTCGCATAATCGCTACCGGTATCTACTCGACTTTTGCGCCGTCCAAAGGAGTGAGTCTGCTGCGTCTTAAGGCTTTCGACATCGCTGACACGACTGCAGAAAAGCACAGCTGGAGCGCCCGCCCTCAGGCAACCGTACCTACGCCTGCAGGGCATCGAACTTGATAGCTCATTATCATCACCGGGGTCCAAGGCTTTTACACCAGAAGAAGAGGAAGAATTTCAGCAGCTTGGAAGGAGTGATAATCTTTACGAGAGGTTTGCGAGCAGTGTCGCGCCGTCCATCTATGGCAATCTTGGTGCGCGAGAATTCTGACAGGGAAGTCAGGGTGCGACACTGACTGAACTCTAAGATATCAAGAAAGCCGTCGTCAGTCTTCTTTTCGGAGGGAGCAAGAAGATTCTACCGGACGGTGCGAGATTGCGTGGTGACATCAACGTGTTGCTCCTCGGAGATCCCGGAACTGCCAAGTCACAGTTGCTCAAATTTGTGGAGAAGGTGAGTCGGAGGCGAGCCCATCTTCGTGCGCTGATACCCTCAGGTCGCGCCGATATCCGTGTACACATCTGGAAAAGGTTCATCAGCAGCCGGTCTGACGGCCTCAGTGCAGCGGGACCCTGCCTCGGTGAGCTCGTCCCCATCTACAGATCCGAACATCAAGCTCATTCTGATAGCGCGAATTTTACCTCGAAGGAGGTGCCATGGTCCTTGCTGATGGAGGTGTCGTCTGCATTGACGAGTTTGATAAAATGAGGGACGAAGATCGAGTAGCCATCCACGAAGCCATGGAACAACAGACCATCTCTATTGCCAAAGCGGGTGCGTCAGATCCCTCCGCTGCAACGCAATCGTGTTCTGATCTGTCCCAGGTATCACGACCATGCTCAATAGTAGAACATCAGTTCTTGCAGCTGCCAACCCTGTCTTTGGACGGTGAGCTAAGTAGTTGCATTGGCGATGTCACCAGCTCACTCTGTTCAGGTACGATGACATGAAGTCACCAGGCGAGAATATCGACTTCCAGGTGAGATCAGCTGGTCCTCGTCTTTGATGAAATAGCTGACCAGCCTCCAGACCACCATTCTGAGTCGATTCGACTTGATCTGGCTTCTCAAAGACGAGCATAATGAGGCGAGGGATAGGGTGAGATTTCGGTCCTTTCCGACTCAGACTTCGCTGATGCCTCTTTTTTTAGACGATCGCCAAGCACGTCATGAACATTCACATGAACAAGGAGATTGACCAAGAGGTCGAAGGGGAGATTGACATTGAGCGGATGAAGCGATACATCACTTATGCCAAGTCGTAAGCTGGTTCTTCTTTGAGCATGACAGCTGACGCGGCCCAGACGCTGTGCGCCGAGGTTGACGCCTGAAGCTGCGGAGATGCTCAGCAGTCATTTCGTCTCGCTCCGAAAACAGGTGGCTCAAATTGAACGGGACAATGATGAAAGGTCTTCCATCCCCATTACCGTCCGGTAAGTTTGCATGATGCTCGCACTCGTGATCACAATCACACGTCTGGACCCCATTTGACTCCTCTGTAGTCAACTCGAAGCCATCATCCGAGTCTCTGAATCCATTGCCAAAGTCTCGCTCTCACCAACCGTCTTACCGCATCACGTTGAAGAAGCCATTCGCCTGTTCAAGCAGTCTACGATGCACGCTGTAGCTGCGGGATCAGTAGACGGCATGTCCAACTCTGAGCTCAGGGGTCAGATGGAATCCATTGAAAAGGAGTTGAAGAGGCGTCTGCCGATCGGATGGAGTACTTCCTATGCGAGTCTCACACGGGAGTTTGTCACTCAGCAAGGGTACTCTCAGCATGCGTTGGAGAAATGTCTGTACGTTTTGGAGAAGAGGGAAGTGGTGAGATTCTCCGGACAACGAAAGGTCGTACATCGTTCTGGAGTATAACCAGGGTAAATTCGCATGTAAGGGTACTCGGGGACTAGATGTAATGCGTGATGTATCAAGATATGCAGATAGGTACAGATTGTGTTCCCTCACACACCCTTACTGACTCAACCCGTCTCTCGCCAGCAAAGCCATCATCGCCTTCACCACCTCGTCGTTCCCTATGACTTGGCTCTCATGCGGATTGTCAATCTGCTCTGCCAATTGCGCATCGAGCAGGCGTCTAATAGGATCAGCAATTTTCCTCTCCCCCCCCCTTTGTATGCTGTGGTCACAACTCACCTCAGCTGGGAACACAACACGCCAATTCTCGTAGCTGCCTTCATCTTGACTTGACCATCTTTGCCCAACATGATTCCGCCGACCCAATGATTGATGGTGATCTGACCACCAAACAAGAGGAGACCATATAGTGGAACCTGAGAGCGCGAAAGGGTTTCAGTAATGATGCCGTATTTGCTCACCTCTGTCGCGTCTCGTAGGAAAACCTTGGACGTCTCGGCCTTGGCGAAATAGGCCAAGTAACCCGATTTGAAGCCACTCTCAGAGAACAAGATGGAAGTCGGGTGAATGAACACTCGTCCGGATGAGTCAAACATTTTGACTTCTTTCGCTTCATGCTGCAGAAAGAGTGCGTGAGCATGATATCTCCTCCATAAGCGATGTGACTTGCATCCTTTTGTATAGTCCCCTGTTGAATCTTCTCGAACAAAGCTTTGGGCATCGCTATTCGCGCTATACGAGGATATAGGCCGCCAACAATGATGCCTTTGACAAGATTGTCATTGTGCTTGTTGATCGACAATCCTTCAATGAGCTTGTCCGATCGGTGGGTTACGAAACCAAGCTGTGACAAGGCATCCATGAAGTCTTGTCGGAGAGATGTGATATCTCGGATGGTGCTTTGACTGATAAAGTTCTGCGGCTCAGTGTCAGCGTCCGAGGGTCAAACACAGTGCACCACTTCACCTTGTCGCAGAATGCTCTCACGGCGGAATGATCTCCTCCTTTTGTCCTCACGGCCATACAAGCGTCGTACGCCTCCACGTCAGTCAAGAGATCAGAACGGGCTCTAGCAAAAGATTCTCGGGCTCTGAAGGGACTTATGAGCCCTGACTTGCTGGGAGCTCTGCACTCACTTTTTCGCCTCGTCCCGCTTCTCCATTGGCGATGTGAACAGAGGTTTGGACGACAACAGCGCGGCGATGGTCAAGACTTGGAAGTTGTCAGCTTGCACGAAAGGCATTCGGGAGGGGAGCTCACTTGGATCGAGACACTTGAAGATGGTCCCAAGTACGAGCATCTTTGCCAGTCTCAGATCCACAGGGATCATGCTCATCTGGTATACGGTCAGATCCTATCTGCAGAAAAATCTCAAAACTCACGTGTCGTCCCAAGGCAGTCAACTTGCTAGTCTGGTCTTCGCCTTCTACAGCTCCGAGGTCTAGCAAGATCCTCCACGCAGCATCCATCGCGTCGAGTTTCGGCGGGTCGATCGCCTTGCTGTGGAGTGTGTGAGTCCGCTGACGACCTGGGGGATTTTTACACACCTGAGGAATGCCTTGACATCCGTCTCCTCATTCATCGCTTTGACCTGTAGGAATAGAGCTTCGAGCGGTGTCCGGAGAATCTCAGGGATTGGGAATCGAGGCATCGAATTGTTCTCCGTCCGGCGAGTGTAGAGCTTGTAGCACTGTGATAATGGTCAGCCCACTGCGGCCACAATGTCACTCACATGACCTGGCTGAGTACGTCCAGCACGACCTCGCCTTTGTCTCCCTGACGCTCGACTCGTCCACACTTCCACAAGTCGCTGCATGCTCGTTTCGGCATCGTATTGCGTCTCTTTAACTTTTCCACCATCGACAACATAGACGACATCCGGGATCGTAACGGATGTCTCGGCCACATTGGTAGCCACGACAATTTTGCGTCGCGGCGCGGTCGACAAGAACACGTATCGCTGTTCAGCGCTCGACAAGTTTGCGTGAAGCGGCAAGATCTCGACTGAACCCAGGGACGCGTTCTGCAACTCGGTCGTACATTGTCGAATTTCCATGACTCCAGGCATGAAGATGAGAATGGCACCTTCAGAAGACGTCGTGACGATATGCTTGACGACCGCAGCGACAAGAGTATAATCGATCCGGTCCGAAGCAGCGAGGATCTCGAGCGATTGCTGAGCTTTAGGATCAAGATTGAGTTTCGCAAATGCTTCTCGGATTGAAGTCTTCTGCTCCTCCGTCTGCCTTGGACCAAATCTCTGTGGTTGAGCGGTGAAGCTCAGCTGAGTGATAGTATCTTCGAGATAGCTGAGGGACAATAAGCTTCTGCGTCACGAAAATGGCCCTCGGCAGCTCACTGATCCGTGACGGGATGTGTAAAGCCCGGAATAGTCAAGCTAGGACAGCCGCCAAAGTATTCTGCAGAGGTATCAAACGCAGGTCATGAGGAGAAGGAGAGAGATTTGGATCGACTCACGGATGAATATTTGCTCTACGAGGCGTCAGCTGCTTTAAAGGTGTTTTGGAACGTCTCGGCTCACCGTTGATCGTCGCGGACATCAAGATCACCTATGTCCGTCAGACTAAGCGCGCGGCTGCCCTTACCCACCTTGATCGTCTTATTTCTCTGCAGCAAGTCCCTCAATAGGCAAATGAACAGATCAGTATCCACACCACGCTCGTGAGCTTCGTCCACAACGACATGGCTGACGCCTTCAAGATCCGGATCTCCAGACCCAAGTCGACGAAGGATGACTCCAGTCGTGCAGAACAGGAGCCTCGTTTCTGTGCTGGCTTTTCTTTCACCACGGATGGCATAGCCTACAGAGGATGGCTGTTGATCCACATCTTCGAGCCGCTCTTGTGCGACTCGCGATGCCACGCCCATGGCGGCGACTCGTCGTGGCTGCGTGACGATGATATTTGTACTGCCCCCGCGATTGGCCTCGATCTCGTGATCGAGGATGAATTGAGGGAGCTGTGTACTGCCAGAAAGTCAGCTTCGACCTTTCAATTGGACCATGTTGAACACCTTTTACCACAACCGGTCTGCACATTCGTTCAGCATTCGCCTTGTGTCGCCACGCTCACCTCTCCCACGACGACCAACACGCGATTGGTCTCCAACAACTCTACAATCCTCTCCCTCTCTTTCCACGCGGGTAGCTTCCGCCTATCCGCCATCATCTCAGCATACTTTGGGTCTCTCTTCATCGTCTCTTGCCGATCTCGGGCTTTCCGATGATCATGCTCTGTGATCTGTCTCTTCTTCACGGTTCCCTTGGTCTTTGTGGCGACTTGCTTCCTCGGTGCAGCTTCCTCGACCACTTCCTCAGCCTGTGGAACGAGATGCTGCGCGACTTTTCCGATATCTGGAGGTGACTCAATCATATCAGGAAGGGCCTGTTCAAGGTACTCGATCATGCTGAAAACTGCTCCGCCTTGACCGGATTCCAAGATTGATCTCAGATCGCCTCGTTCTGGATTTCTGAGTTCTTCGTAGAGTGATGCAAGGAGCGCGAGGCGCATATACGATGGAATGGTGGACGAAGCGATGAACATGGCCGGAGGATGTGTCGCATGAGCTGCAGAAGGGTAAGGCGAGGCAGCGTCGTTGATGATGTGCAGGAAGATTTCGTCGTTTGAAGTTGTAGAGGCGATCTGGACCGTGTACTCTGTAGCGGACACTTGCCGGTAGCGTTCGCCTAGAAGCGCTTCAAGGGCCAGGTTCTCCTCTTCCCGGGCCGTATCGCGCTCCGATGGGTCTGATTCGTCGTACACATGTACATCGTCAACTCCCCATCCGTCATCTGCATGTTGCCAGCCACATAATCGACGGCACAGGATGGCTAAAGCTTGACTTTCCGCAACGTCTTCCTGCAAAATGGCTTCGACGACCTTGCGCGGAAACCCGGCTTGCTTGACGAGCTTGTTCACGATCCACCCTTTGACTGCTCCGCCCTTTGTGGCACCGGTGACAAAGTCGCTCGAGCTTGCGGTGGTTCGATATCTGACTGGAAGGTCGTCTTCAGGCAAATGTAACAAGAGCCATTCGATCGTGGCTTCCAGTGGACTGAGCATGGACAGGGACAGGACAAAGGGATCTGACGTGCTACCTCCAGAAGACGAGTCGAGTCGAGCCATGGCTGATTGCAGGGCAGTAAGTGCAGAGGAGACATGAGCAGGTCGGAATTTCAGATCGATCAGCTGAGTTTGAAGCAAGGCTAGGTCGACCGAAGGCGTTGAGACTCCAGACTTTGAAGAGGCAAGGGTTGCACCAGTGTCTCGAGCTGCATCCAACACAGCGGTAGGGAAGCGTCGCATCATCTGAACGAGATATCAGACGATGTTCAAACGACATCTCGACTCACCTTTTTCACGACACCCTCGACCTGTTCCCGGAGACCCGGAGCCATCCTGACTTCTGGTACGCCCTCCCACATCTTGCCTCCGGGCCCCGTGGGAGTTCCACGTCCACTACCACCAGGCGTACCCTTACCACTCCCTCCGGCACCGCCTTCACCATCGTCTCTACCATTCTCCGCGGCTCTAGCCGCTTCCTTTCCTTTTCGTTTGGCCTGACGTTCTTCCACCTCGTGTTTCGCAGCAAAGGGGTCAGGACTCCATTCCCAGCTTCGGTGGTCTGGCGCAGAAGCCTTTTCAGCTGTCAAAGTGGACCAGTAGGGTCTGATGGAGGGAGGGAGAGTCATCGCCATGGGCAGGTGTGAACAGAACTGATTTGAAGCCGTCAATAAGCTATTTGACACCCCAGTCTCACCCTGAACATAGCATAGGTCGCTACGTAGTGCTTTGCCTCGACCGCCGTAGCGATCTCCAATGGTGGGTGAGGTGTCAGTCTAACCGTGTCGAGGTCGTAAATGTTTTTGCTGATCCGCTTGCGCAATGTCACATAGCCAGTCCAGGTGGTAGGCGAAGAGCCGGGATTAGGTCGCTACACACGAGGTATAGAGTGTCAGCGGACGTGAATCATTATGGATAGATATGGCAGCCATAGGACCGCGCGCTCGACGCATGACTCCACGCGAACCCACTCACCGTCTCTACGAGAGGTTTTTCCCAGCCGGCTTTCTGACATTTTTCATATAGCATGCTCAAGGGCGTCTTGTATCCCACAGGGAACAGAGGAGGGGGTCGTGGAGGACCATCTGTCGATCCATTCGCAGATCCGTTGGCACCACTACTACTCGACGGATCCTTGTCCTTATCTTTGGGCTTGGAAGAATTACCAGCATTTCCTGATCGGACAACATTCTGAGGTCGTCTACTTGGGGCCATGATGTCTGTGTTATCTTCTCATGATGAAGCGGGATGCCTTGTATGTCTGATATTGTTGAATGTCGATAATTCATGATTGGCCGACTCTCCGAAATATACACGTTTCGGATCCGAAACGTTTCACCGTTTTAGGATCCGAGATGATGACAGACGGACAGACAGCCTTGATGACCCATGTGCGCGACCATGGTGAGCAGCGAAAGCCACCATCCGGGCATTGTTGGACGAGCTTATCCGACAATAACATCTCAAGACAAGTATAAAGGCGAGCGAAAACGAAGTGATTTTCTTCTAAACCATTGCACCATCATGACCTATCCAACTTCGCAGTGACCTCTTCGAAGCCAGTCGTCTCGTTTTCCAATTTCCTCTTTTTCCCCTTCCCTTCCACGCCTATGCCTCTGAGCGAAGGATCTATACTGAGCTCCGCTAGCGTACTAGGCTCTCCTCCGACAGTAGCGCCAGCTCCGGCTGACTGGCCATTCCCTCCACCCACTCCTATCCCTGTCAACCCAGATCCCAAGAAATCGGACGAATTGGAGTGATCCGCCATGCCCTCGATGCCTTCAATTCCCACTCGAGCCATGTGATGGAGTGCTCCCTCATCGGATCCCATGTCGAGGTTGATCCCCGCTCCCATGACGGCGTCCATGGCTTCCATCACTGCTCCATCGCCTCCATCATACTCATGATGATGACCGAGTCCATCGATCCCATCCACAGCGAGCGAATGGCCTTCTTCCAGAACACCACTAAAATCTCCAGCGTCTAAATCAGACGGTCCTGCGATGCCATTTCCTCCCGCCGAATTTGGGTTGGTCATGCCAGCTTCAACAGCCTCCCGTGCTGCCTTGTCTCGCATCTCCTTGGTCCGCTTCCCAGGTCCTCGGCGCCTGACATGATCGTCATAAATGCACTCCTCGCCACGTTTCAAGCAGTTATCGCATTCAGGCCGTTTACCATCGCACCTAGGTCAGAGTCAGCACGTGGTCGGACCATCATCCACTCACTTTAATTTCCTCCGACGACAAAAGTGGCAAGCCAGAGGCAGCTTGACCCGCTTCCTGCTCGTCGGGGGACCGCCATTTTCACCATCCTGACCGTCACCTCCAGAGCCGCCACCCCCACCATTATTCTCTCCATTATCCCCATGGTCATCTCCTTGATCATTCCCAAATCCAGATGGCATGTCTCCATCCCCATTGGCACCAGAGCCAGAACCGGACCCATTCCGATTTTGTCCGACGCCGATATATCCAGCGCCGATGTCCCCATTGCTTGGTACATCAGATGCAGTATGCATGGGATAACCCATAGGTGCTGGATCTGCCGACGGATACATGTGTTCGTTGCCCTGCAAGGGGAAGAGAACGGGAGGAGTCATGGGAGCCCGGTCTAACGAGTCGATTGAGCTCGAAGTCTTGTGGGTCAGGGTAGGCGTCGGAGCCAGTGAAGCCATTGGAACAGGAGCGGGTGTCGGGTTCTGCGACAAATCTCCGGATTGATCATTCTGCCACGGCCTTGGAACGCCGTTCGCAGCCATAGACCAATTTGGATCCGCACCTGTTCCCCATTGCATATAGGGGGGCATCTCAGCAGAAGCCTGCTGGGAAAGGGGTCCGATCGGTCGACCTTTGTTCTCGCTCGCATTGACCATCTGCATGTATGGCGAGTGTTCAAACATTTGTGGCCATGTAGGGGGGGTTCCGATGGATTGGGGAGGATGAGGTGTGGTCTCGGCGATATGAACGGGTGATTGAGCATGGTAGGCCAGTGATTGCATCGCGTCACGAGCCAGATGCTGGGTCGGAGCCATGTGGTGGCTGCTCGCGGTAGGTTTCTGATTGATGCCTTGAGATGGATCTGTAGGCGCATTCAATGGCCAAGCAGACTGTTGAAGATTTCTAAGCCCCGAGTGAGAGGCATCTGGAGTCCGGGCCGAGGACCAGGTGCCCGAGTGCTGCGAGGTCGGATTCATAGGCGGATAAAACATCGATCCAGTCCCGTTGGTGCCAGATTGTGGTCCCTCGGCAGCCAGTTTTGCGTCCAACAATTGGCTAAAACGAAGGGAGGTGACTGCGGAGGAAGGCTTCGGTACACATTCCGTTGACCCTGGTCTCGCTTGAGGTCCATTCCTTTTATCTGTCCAGTCCGCTGCAGAGAAGATCAGGGAGCGCAGGAACACGCTGCTGGATGCGGACTCACATCTCCATTGAGAGCCAGAAGCGGTTGGGACTGTGTTTTGATGTGCCTGGGTAGATGATGGCCCAGACGTTACAGGATAGGTAGGGCCTTGAGCTGGACCAGCGTACTCGTGATGGCCTTCAGATGAAGTTGACAAGTGCCGCCTATGCGATGACATGGCTGTGGAAGTTCCTGACGATTCCCTTTGAGGCCAGCGACTACTTAATGACGCAGAGCTATCGAGTGGGACTGGGCCACTGAACCGCTTGTTCCAAAGACGTTCAAAGTAGGTTTGGGCGTTCTGCTCGAGGCCAATATGTGAGGAGCTTGATGATCCAGCAACTTGGGGTGCCGCTGCAGATTGGTCCATCACTTTGTGGCGGACCGAGGGATAGGACGGTACAGGGGGGAATAAGCCCTAAGAGCTGGCTGGTCAGCAGAGACAGAGGTTGAAGGGAAAGAGAAGCATCATCCAAAGGGGGTTAGTCGAGCAGTTCACATGAGCCTGGCACGACAGCCAGACCCATTCACAGCGCCATGCAGATGGACATTGCGAGGTACATGAGAGAGATCTTGACGCGTGTCTCACCAGGTAGAAGTATGAGAAAGCAAGGGGACCGACGAGCTCACTGCCAGTGATGCTCAGCCCTCCTTCCAGGTCCAATGGCAGTCGATAGATCCAAATCCAGTGTCCACAGATGCTGGTATGATCCCAAGGTTGTCGGTATAAGTATGATAGGCAGGCTAGTGATAGCGAAGTGAAGAGAGTTGAAATGAAGGGGAAGAATGGAAGCAAAAATAGACTATATGACCAGCGAGCTGGAACCGCCCGCGACAAATCAGATCACGTGATCTTATGTCTCAGTTGTTTGGTTTTCCACACTTCCACGAAAAATAATCCCGCCGAGTGTGGCAGCTGCTGCTATCCCTCTGCCCTGAGTTCGTCTCTGTCTATGTAATGTCAGAACGTTGGCTAGGATATTGGGCAATGACTATCTGGTCCATGGTCATGTATACTCAAACCTGTTCTGAGCACTATGGGAAGATTCTATATCCCTTCGAGCACCGATACAGGAGGTCGATGTGCAACGCAGCTGAAATGTGGCAGTCTGAGAAACTATCGACTCCTCTGCATTTCCAGCATGAGATCGGGGGACCACGACCGACAAGAACAAATGTCGAGGAGAATCTCATGATACATAGTATGGGAGAAGTGGAAGCGATACGAAACGCGACAGTAGTCGGTGCCTCTCTCTCTCTCTTAGTCCTCGACTCGTCGCTTGAATTCTCCCGCCGCGTTCGCTTCGATAACTCGGGACCGATAATCCTCATCTTGACCTCTTTCCAATGCTCTTTGAGATATACCCCGGCTCACCGATGCCTCCCCAGACACAGTCTGGACACTGGCTAGCTGAGGAGGGCGTATGATTTCGGTTTCCGGTCTTTGCGCAGCGATCTGAGGAGGAACCCTCGGGGAATTACCATGGATCGTCGCTGATCTTCCGAATGATGGTCTGGCCCACTGGCGTACATCAGGTCTGTCTTTATTGACACCACTCACCGGTGCGATCGCATGATCAATGACACACCCTTCATCACTCTTGATTGCCTTGACTCTATCTTCGTATCGCTCGCTCGCGCTAGACATAGAGGAGCTTCTTCGAGTATGCCCGTACTTTGAGGGATGGACATGGGGAGAGTCGGACAGAGAAAAGGTATCGCAAGGCTTGGCGTTCGAGGGATCGCAAACGTGACGGATTGTGAGGTCACGTTTCGTCCGTGAGTCCCCTCGATATTCTGGGAGGGTTTGCGGACCGAATAGGTGGTGGTCTCGCCGTGTCATGTTCATCCTGTCAGATCCGCGGTCGATGTGTGAGATCGAGGCGAGAAGCTCGCCGAATGATGGAAGTGTTGTGGATTCAGGCAGAGAAGACGAGGTCATGATGATATGGACAGAGGGAGGAGCTCATAGCGTGATTGACATTCACAGCTACTGTATTTATGACTGGCCAGTCCCTTGAAGACACACACATTTCGCCTTAGTTGCGGTGTAGACTGCTGTGCGTCCATCTGCAGTCTGCTTGGAGATCATCTCAGCCAAGCAAGCGACAGTTGCTGACAACGTTTTCTCGATTGGACGCCGTTGTCGACCTGACTGCCGTAGTCAAGGTGATATGGGCTGGGGCCGCCACATTGGACGCACTCTTCAGTTTCGAGCACCGGACGCGGCCTTGTTATCGATTCCTTGTTGCGGCGAGTCCTATGCACTGTAATTGATAACTATTGATGACAACGGATCAGAGCTCATGGATACGGTGCATTGACCGTTGGTATGGGTGGAATACAGTCAGGTATATGAAACTGTTTAAAAGCGCTGAGGCTGCGAATTACGAGCTTGAGGAGGTACCCTCACAATGCATGAATCACATATCGATGCCAGCTGGCTAGCGCATGTCATATGTTACAAGAGAACGCCTCAAGTACTATCGCCAGTCTGTCTGAGCTGTCCATGCCCTTGCCAATACCGTGTCCTTCTGGTTGGCCCACCTGCCACACTCGACAGAGAAATTTAATAGAGCCCCTCGCTAATGATCCTTGCTGCTTTCACCTGAAATTCAAAAGATCAATCCTCGACGACACAAGGGCAAGACACTTGCCATTCAGTCTCAATAGCACCAGGTGGAACACTCTCAGCGGTCGGATCATCCATATAGACTTCTTTGGACGAGATCAACCGAGCAGTTGTCCTCCTCGAATCACCTGACGTCTCCCAGCCCTACGACACCCTCATCATGGCGAATCTCGGAGTTCCAGTCAAACTCTTACACGAGTCTTTAGGGCACATCATCACGGTCGAGCTCAAGACAGGCGAGGTGGGGCTCTATGGGTATTGATGGCTCGCTGATCACTCTCTCTCTCTCTCCAGATGTACCGTGGCAAATTGATGGAAGCTGAGGACTCGTTGAACATTGCGTTGAGGGAAATCACTGTCACGGCGAGGGATGGGAGGGTATCACAGTTGGAACAGGTGTACATCCGGGGCAGCATGGTGGGTTCCCGAGAATTGCATACATATATAGAGGGAGGGCTGGAGACTGTCGCTTTCAAAGACTACCTTCTGGAGCTCGGGACAGATGCTCCTGCGCAATTGGGCAAACGAGCACACACTGACACACTCTTCCAGATCCGCTTTATCATCGTCCCCGACCTGCTGGCCAATGCACCCATGTTCAAACGAGTGGGTCCAAATGCCATGCGTGGAAGAGGTATCGGAGCTGCGAGAGGACGAGCGACCATTCAACGAGGTGGGTGTACAAAGACTTTTGAGCGCTAATCTCTCTAGCCAACGCTCGGAGAGGTACAACGAGGACCAACCAGGGTGTCCGTCGTTAAAGCTGTTGTGTGTGTGTGTGTGTGTGTGATATGGGGATCAAAAGTCTGTAACAGGACATGTATATGATAACGCAATGGTTGCGACGTCACGGCTACCCATGGTGCCAACTCAGGGAGAACTCAAAAGTCCATTGCATCCTCAACGGTCTGCTTTGGCAACTTTGCTATCTCCCCTTTGACCAACATCATCATCTTCTTTGCACTATCGTTGCCCGGTTGATACCTCAACACCTCTTTGAGATCTGCTTCCGCTTCTCTCCACCTTCCCAGACCTCGACGAGCCATCGCACGTTGGAAGAATGCCTTGCCGTTCTTGGAATCCTTCAGCAAGATGTGTTTGCAATCTTGTTCGGCTCGCGAATGCTCGCCTAGGGCATTGAGCGCGACCGCACGGTTGGAATAATAGACCGTCTTTTTTGAGTCGAGGGATATGGCGCGAGTGTAGTAGTCGACTGCTTTGCGGTGCTGTACAGCGGACACGTATTTGTTGCCCTGAGTTGGATCAGCAAGGCTGAGTGAGAGAGAGACGTCGCTCACCTGAGCCTTCTCCTTCGCTCCTAGCTCTTCGGTCCACTTGTCCATACACTCTTGCCAGGCTCGAGTCTCAGTGCCATTCTTCCGACGAGTCACAGAAGGCTCCGCAAGGCGTCTGTACATGGCGACGGGGTGAACTTGACTCAACTCAAGCACGTCGTCGGCGTAGGAAGGATACGAAAAAGGCGATACGGAGATGGCGACTTGGTGAAGAAGCTAAAACAGGTCAGCAAGCATTCGCGTGCGTCGACAGATCCCTCCCCCCACCTTGACGAAATGCCGAAATGTCAGCACGATGGCCGTATTCCTCGCTTGAGCTGTCTCATCGGTCCACGTAGAAGGCAAGAAACATCTAGCCTTGTCCTTTTCCTCGTCCTTGGTCTTATTCGGACCATCGACGACTCTTCTGACTTTGCCCTTGCCCCTCTGGACTTTGACGACGCGCATCTTTTTCGCTCCAGTCTCGGCCGACGCCGTTGACTTGTCTCCATCGTCCGTTTTGCCGTCCGTCTCCGGCAAATCGATGCCTTCCAAAGCTGCAGGATCATTCTTGGATGGTCCATAACGGGTCTCCACCGCGGGATCCGTCGCGCCCATCTCCTTCAATCTCCAACGGATGTGTTCCTCGACCGCGAGAACGTCTGTCATTTGAGGATGTTGAAAGAGGATAGGTGGTTTGAGAGGCGTATCTCCGTTGGCGCGATTCCTGGAATGTCGGACAAATCCAACATCCTGGGGTAGATTCTGTGGCTTCAATGCTGGTCCAGAAGGTCCCTTGAGATCTTCGATACGTTTGGTAGCCTGAGCCTCAGTTTCAAATTTCCCCGCAAAGCCTTGTGTGACATGGGGGGTGTCTGTCAATTCGAACGGTAAGAGACAATGGGGTCCTCGCCGTGACAAGCCGGAAGTGTGGAAACATCCAGTACATGTGGTCAGTTGACACAAACACATGCCATGGTCGTCATTCTCCTTTGGCGTGCCATGCAGAGCGGCCAACGAGTCGAAGCAGACGCCATCACGGGGTAATAATGATGGGAACGGTTGAGCGGGACTCGTGGGAGAAGGGGTCGAAGGACCAGCTTCGGATATCCTGTGACCCGAGAGGCGTCGCTCAATCTCGGCAAAGAGGAGCTTGAGCATTTGTGTCTGGAACAGCTTGTCCACGGCTGAGCCACCATGAACGATCTGCTTGCGGAGAAATTGGGGAGAAGATTGAAGGATGATGAGTTGGATGAGGAGACTTGGGACATCGTGAACGAAGACAGAATGAAACGCTTCGACCCTGCAAGAGACGTTAGCTCAGAAGGAGGAGGGTGGAAAACAGCCATGCACTCACCAGCACTGCTCGACCCAGCAGTCAAACTCTCTCCTCATGACATCCCCCATATCCCTGATGAACTCGTCCAGTTCCTCCTCCTCGCACCGAGCACATCGTACGTCGGAGTGCTGCCCTCTAGGCGGGTAAACATTCCCAGCCGGACACTTTGCAGCCCGCTCCTCTCCTACACTGGGCAATGATGGCGCAGCGCTAGTCGTCGACTTTGAGTTAGTCTCGTGACTGTTCGTCGTCGAGGTCGGAGCGAGAGGTGTCAGGTGTCTCGCTTGAAGTTGAAGGATGGGTAATTGTGGCGGCGGAGCAGGTCCACGATAAGCACTGAGTTTGTCACTCCCTGGGAAGCCGAGCGGTTGGAAAGCTCTCGAATGCGTCGCGAGTCTTTCGGTAAGCGCGTGCAAGGTTGCACTCGAGGATATTGGATCGGAAAGGGGCATCAAAAAATGCGAGAGAAGAGGGAAGTGAGGGATTCTACCGTGACATTAGAGGGGGGGAACAAGTTGTACAGGTGACTTTGTGTTGATGTTGAGAGATATGGGTCTGACTGATGACCTAGGATATGGAATGCGTTTCGACATGAACTTGGTCTACGACTGCCATTAGCCGACCGAAGGGTCAGCTGGCGGATGAAACAATGCCACGTCATGGTCACCGTAGGGTGCGTTGTTGCATCTCTGCTACTGTTATCGCTGTAACATACATTCACCGGCAAAGATGGTGTACAACGGAGGTGAGATCAGCCTGACCGACGCTCTGACTGACGCTATCAAGACGAGGTCTCTGCCATCGTGGTGGATTTCGGTTCACACACCACGCGAGCAGGGTACGCAGGCGAAGATTGTCCTCGCGTTGTGTGTCCTTCTTTTTACGGGTACACCGAGGAATCTGATGCGTCGACGTCGAGCGGAGCTGCGAATGGAAATGGGGAGGATGTACCGATGGATGGGAGTGTCGTGAATGGCTCCAAAGGTAAACGCAGGTACTATGTTGGGGAGAGCGGAGTTCCAGTATGGAGGAAGGGCATGGAAGTGGACAATTTCATGTTGGATGGGATTGGTGGGCATAATGCGTGTTTTTTTCCACACGGTGGCTGATTGAGATCGCGTCGGACCAGTACACGAGCTCGAACCTGCGGCACAACTCCTTCACCATCTCTTGACGGACAGATTATCTGTGGATCCCACAGAACACCCGCTCATGTTTACCGAGCCAGCTTGGAATACACCGGCGTCGAGGGAGAACCTGACACGTATGGCGTTCGAGCAAGAAGGTGTTCCAGCATTGTACTTTGGATCATCGGGAGTACTCTCTGCGTGAGTGGACATATACGCTTGCCCCGCTCATGATGATGCAGCTTTGCGGCGGGCAAACCAACCGCTCTGGTCCTCGATGTAGGATACGCCAATACGAGTGTTGTCCCGGTCGTCGATGGATATGCACTGCGTGCAGGTAAGGAAGCTATGCTCGAGAGCCACTGCTGAGGTTCAGGTACCAAGCGACAACCCCTCGGCTCAGCTCTTCTTCTCTCTCAACTCCAACATCACTTCAAATCCCCTACCTCCTCACGAAACTTTCCTCTCACCCTTACGCCTCGTCAGTTGCTGGCCAAACGGGATCCAACGCCCGAATCAGGTATGCAAGTCAATCCTGTGCTCAGAACGGACCGAGTCTCCAATACCACTCCATCCTGGCGTCATTGGGCCGAGGGTAGCGTCGTGGAAGGATGGAAAGAGTCTTGCGCCGAAGTCATCAATTACAAAGGATTCGACTTTCAGACCGCTCGAGAACTACCTCAGACACTGTACGAGTTCCCAGATGGTTATCAGCAGCAATTTGGCGAGGAGCGATACAGGTTCACAGAGATGTTGTTTGACCCTAAAAATTACTTTGATCAGGTGGGAGGTCCATTTTTTAAGGAATGCACTGACATCTACCCAGTCTATCGAGCCGCCTGCGGGTCTTCGCGTGGTTCAGTCAGGAGACCATGCACACTCTCTGAAAGACCTCGTGCCGCTCTCTCAGCTCGTCCATGATTCCATCATGGCCTGCGACGTGGACGTCAGAGCGGCCCTCTTGCAGAATATCGTGGTGGTCGGCAACACGTCTTTGATCAAGGGCTTGACTGAACGTTTGGATTTGGAGCTCGCGGCTTTGATGCCTAGTGTGAGTACTGAATGGGGAGCGAGTCAGGATGGCCGTTGTGCTGACTGTCCTTTAGCAAAAGATCAAAATCCATTCGCCCACCATTCCATTTGAGAAAAAATTCTCGTCTTGGGTCGGAGGCTCTGTTCTGGCGAGTTTGGGTACGTTTCATCAGCTGTGGGTCACGAAGGATGAGTATGAGGAGCATGGGATGGCAATTGTGCACCAGAGTGAGTCGCGACGAGTGCTCAAGAAGACCTGCTCACAGTTTCACAGGGTGCAAGTAAAGTGTAGCCCAGGGTCTTGAGCTCCATGCATGGCATGCTGTCCCACGAAAGAGTCGAACAATGATAGGGGGGAGAGACCAAAAAAAAAAGAGAACACTGCATCCACAGGGGTTCGAACCCTGGAAGATTTTCATCCATCAGTGATTCAGGATCCGCAGGAGATCTTAAAACTGACGCCATCACCACTCGGCCATAGATGCCAAAAACTAGAAAGGGTCCTTAGCTGAGCATAGTTTTGCCACACGATTGCTCCTTGTGCCAAGCCCTGTTGAGAGACCTCAGGACCGCTACGTCCAACATCCACCGCGATTTCCACTGGGAAAAGCCCAGTCGCGCCTCGCCGCTGACACCTGGAGCCCGTCTGTAGACGCGAGATCCGGATCACTCCGTTGGCCGCTTTTATACCTGTCGACGGACCGAGTCCTTCGAAGAGGAGCTCGGTTCACGATAAGACATTTTAGACAGCTTCAGGCTGTTCTCACAGCTCTGACTCGCTCTGCCAACCTCCTTCCCCTGTTATCCATGGCTGGGAGCGCATCGAGGAACCCTTCATCTGATCTCGAATCGGTCGTAGGGAAATGGACAGGTCCCAGCGTCTTCACCGACATCATACCCTCTTCATCTTCTGCTAGCTCATCAACATCTGTCCTATGCGACTCTACGAACATTCCCGAACCCAACAATCGTCAGGCTGCGGATCCTGCTTCATTCACTACGCCGGATCGCGCCGCAGCATCAGGATCTGTCAACTCGCCCATCTCGATCAAATCAACTCCTTCACCTCTGACTCGACCTCGGGGTAAACCCGACTATGCGAGTCCGATCGCCAAAGCGGCCTATGACGTCCCTCGACCCACTCGACCCATTTTACAGAGTTCCAAACCCTCTCCTCCTCGATTCACAATGACAAAATCAACCGTCAAACCTATCCACCCGTTCTTCGGAACGGCTTACCGTCGAGCCAAGTCTGCTGTGCCGATACCTCGAGCTCCACCTACCAATAGACCTCGACTCGTCGCTCATTTCTCCTCCACTTCCGCTTCGGCTTCTGGTTCTGGACTCAGCTCTCAGTCTACCCAAGCTTCCCAGCCTCGACCTCAGACGTCGAGCATCAAAGGAAAAGGCAGAGCATATGATCCCAATGTCTGGGTCGTCGATGGGGTCGAGATCGAGCTCACGAGCCTTATCATTGGCTCTGATCGCGGATCGGGGAAGGAAGAGAGCGATGATGAAGAGATTTACGAAGAGCGAGTGACGGAAAGTGAGATCAGAAACCTGAGCGAGATGTTGGCAGAGATGGAGCTGCCAGCGAGTGCCCCCGTTATTAAGGCCAACCCAGTCATTCCGATACCCAGGACGCTCCATGCTCGGCGAATCACACGCAAGTCGAAACCAAAGGTGGTGGTGCCAACCGGTTTGCCACTATATGATCACACGACATTCACGCCGAGGCCCAAGGTGGCTTATACCTCCGATGTAAACGAAGCGAACGACTTGTTGTCTTGTCTCAAGGGAGATGTCCTCGGTTTCGACATGGAATGGCCGACTGCCGGTCAGAGGGCTCCTAATGGAACGGTCCTCGGGAGATTCTGGGACGATGAGGAGAAGAAATACCGTTTCACTGTGCCTCGCACTGCTTTACTGCAATTTTGTGACGACGAGTTGATCGTCATGGTGCATATATGGCACATGGATAGTGAGCCGCTTTAATCAGCCTTGCTGATCCCACAGGGATACCCGAAAAGGTGGTTGAGATCCTGCAAGATCCCAAAATCTTCAAGACTGGCGTTGCGATCAGGAGTGAGTGGGACGGCATCCGCCAAAGCTGACCTCTCCAGACGATGGCAACAAGCTACTGCGAGACTACCCCGAAGCATTCCCTCAAGGCATAGCATCGCTTCTCGAGCTCTCGCTCCTTGCCCGTCGTGCAGATCCTCTCAACACTGGTCCCGGGAGGACGCTGATCGGCTTGGCCAAGCTCGTCGCTTCGTACTTGCACAGACACCTGGACAAGGATCAAGATGTCCGTGGGAGTAATTGGATGCTCCCATTGACTCGAGAGCGAGCGACATGTGAGTTTCTCGATTGTGCCAGCAAAGCTGACACGTTCAGACGCTGCGAACGATGTTCATGCCGGAATGCACCTATACCACGCCTTTAGGAGGCTGGCGAAACAGAACGATGTTCCGGTAGATCTGGATTACATTGCCACGCATCTGCCTGGACGAGCAGGGGCTGCGCCCAAGGCAAAGACTGTGACGGGGGGAAAATCGTCAAAGCCTAGGGATCCATCGACTCCCTCCCCCGCCAAGATGAAAGCAGTCGAGATGTACAAGACGGGGTTGAGCACGACGCTGGTGGCACAGAAGAGAGGCGTGCAAACAGAGACCATTCAGTGAGCGGCAGTCGCGTGTATAATTGACACTGCGGTACAGAGGGTATATCTTGGACGCGTTGACAACTTTGCCAAAGGACACGCTGGACTTGAGAGAGAAAAAGAGGCTTGTGAGCGAGGTGATGGGATTCGAGTATGTCATTCGCCGTCATCGAAAGATGTGGACAGAGTTGCTGGACGAGGTGGAGCCAAAGGCAGAGGGATGAGCACAAAGCGGATATCGTTATTACCATCTGGGGATCCTGTATTATGCTTCGCTGCGGACCATACAATGGGACATGATCCCCATGCGTCATCGCTGCTTTCACCATGCAATGGTTGCCCACATCGATCTTGAATGGTACAGAACCGAGGTACACGCCACTACGCATGGTCTGCAGGCTGTGTTGAATGTGGACCAAGATCGACTATAGACTGACAGAAATATCAGCCCTCGCGGTCCTTTGCCGAAATCCCAAAGCATTTAAATACCATTCTCTCTGTTCAGTGTGACTTTCTCTCCGCTCAACTGGTGCATCGAGTCTTCTCAGCTCGTGTCTCAACATGGTGCAGAGTCTCGTTATCGGAGTCTGATGCATACTGACACCTCTCCTCCAGGCCAACGCATCCGAAAAACGACGAGCAACGACCAACGAGGCGTCACTCCGTAGTTTGCGAGTAGGCCTCCTGCTGGTGAACGTGAGCGTGATGGTGGCACGAACCGACAGCGCCCGCTCACCTCTGCTTTAGACCCTCTCGGCCGTGCTGCGATTCGTCCTCTGCAAACTCACCTCAAAACCTCTGTTTTCCTCCAAGAAGATCATTTTCCTACACGTCACCACCTTGCTCGTCACGCTATTCATCTGGCGATGGTTCACGCTCATCGGGACGCCTAAACGCGTCAACGGGTCCGTCAAAGCGGGAGACGATCTCAATGCGTCTGGCGTCATTGAGCTGTCATGGGATTTGTGAGTCCCATTTTCTCCGGGCATACAGTTGACAACAATCTAGCGTTTACCTCACTTGGATCTGCGTGCTGCTGAGCTCGCTCGTGGGAGACTGGGTGTGGTGGCTGTTCATTCTTGTACGTCGGCGACCTCTGACTCTGGGCTCACACTCAGATTCCCATCTTTGCGGGATACAAACTGTTCACTCTTTTCCGCCCCTTGCTGGGGATGTTTTTACCTGGTATCTTTGGTCCCCGGTCGTCGTCCGCAGCAGCGGCTCAAGAGCATCAAGCAGAGCCCACGGAATCTCGAAAGCAACAAAAGCTACGAGCCAGAATGGAAAAGGGAGACAAGCGTGTTCAACAGGTCCAAAAATGAAAGAAAATGCATGAATTACCTCTTGACCACGGCGACATGCTTTGTCCGATTGGCTCTCCATTCATCTGCCACCTCTTTGACGGTTGATCCTCTTGCCTCGATCCACTCTTCGATACCTTCCAGACTCGGTTGAGAGTCCTCCATTCCAACTCCGCCTCTATCCCAGACGCCAAAGAAAGCTTCTTTGACTTGCTTCTCCCTTTCACTCTTTGCCAATCCTTTGATCTCGCGTTTAGAATGGATCCAAGATGATTCGATGGGCTGAAACGTTCTCCAATGTGAAAAAGCAGGTTGAAGCGTTTCCCTCTGCTCTAGCTCTCGTCCTAATGGGGGCAAGTCTTCTCGAACAGGCCTCTCCTTGACTTTGGGTCCATCCGCAATGTGTTCCAAGACCCCTCGCTTCCAACGTGAAAAGGGTAAGAAATACGGCTCGGCCTCGATGTATCGAAAGGCGTTATCGAAACCGGTCGAAATATCTTTTGCTTGGTGCATGAACGACGCGGCCGTATGGTGGAGTGAGACGAGTCGAGCCAAGACATCCCGACGTGCCCGCTTCGAGTTGATCGCGGTGTGATCTGGGGCGTGTTGGCGTCCTCCATGTCGTTTCGGTTTCCAGGCTGGGGGGGATGCTGGGGGCTTTGGCTCGTTCGATCCGGTAGAGCGAGGACCGGTGGAAAGGTGTCGCAAAGGAGCAGTGAAAGCCAGCCGAGACGGTCCAGCCACTGATCTCATGGTGATTGCGCTGCTCATCGTGGAAAGTTGACTTGTGGTCGACTGACTTGCAGTGGTCGAGGTTGAAGTAGCTGAGAGTAGATTTCGATTGATAAGCTGTGGGATTGATTCGCTGCCACGTCATGCTGTTTTCAAAAATAAAAAGTTGGAAAGATCTACATCCCATGTCTCTATAGTCCTCTGCAACCATGGAGAAGGTCCAATTTCAGCTCGAGGCGACTCTACCAGAGCTACAAGATCTGCACGATAAAGGGTTATTCACAAAAGTGAGCAGGCGACAGAGGCTTACACCCCCGGCTGACACCTCCCCGCCTAGCTCGAGATCAACCAGATCACCAAACGTCGGACCGCGTTGGAGACGTCCCTCGTCAGACAAAAGACCAGAAAGGAAGACTACTTTGCCTATGCAGAGTATGAGATCAACCTCGAAAGACTACGTAAAGTCAGGTGGAAACGTCTAGGTGCGGGTACTCACCGGTTCCTCTGTGCTGATGTACACCAGGGTACGAGGAGAACCCCCCTCCGCCGTCTGCTTCCACCTATTCTATCCCTCGGAGAGTCTTGTACATTCTCAAGAGAGCTACCGTGAAGTTTCCAAGTGACCTGGCTGTGTGGCTGGCCTATGTCGAGTTTGCCGCTCGAGAGGGTATGCGAAAGGTCGTCCTGAAGGGTTTGACCAAGTGGGTCGTCACCTGACTTTTGAGAGCTGACCCCCTTGCAGCGCGTTGCAACACCATCCACAATCTCCCACCATTTACCTGTTGCTTTCTTACCACCACATCCATCCCAATGAGCCGTTCCCACGTGGAGTCATCCCATCCTCTTCCTCCCTCACTCTGCCTCTGGCCCCGGAACCCTCGGCGTCTTTCTCCATAGACGGCACCTCTTCAGCTCGGACGACATTGCTTTTGGGTCTGAGAACGTGTCCAAAATCTCACGCGTTATGGACAGAATACATCAAGCTCGAATTAGGCTGGGTAGAAGTCCTGCGCCGGCGATGGAGTGCTTTGGGCCTGGAGGGAGGTGACAAGACCAAGACCGCAGAGATCTCTCTGGACGGCGGGGAAGGATCCTTTGGTCCAGATGGGGAGGATGCGAGGAAGGCGATCCTGGCTGGGCAGTTGGTCACTCAAGCCCTGCGCTCCGCTCTGGAGACTATCGAGGCGAATGCAGATGGTATGGTGTTTAGGGAGAATCTATTGGCCGTGCTCCGGGTATATCCCAGCCCGCTGCGACAAATCGGTTTGGATCTCCTGCATGAGGATCTCAGTCGAGTCGAACAAGCGGGTGGCAAAGAAGGAGCCCGAGCAAAGTTGCTCAACCTCACGCGACGATTATATGAGCAGCCTTATGGGAGCACTTCAGCGGGCGACTTGGCGTTGGAAGGCATCGAATTGGTCGAAGAGCTGGGCCGGATCGGCAAGGAGATCAGGAAGACTGCAAAAGGCAGAGACAACGCGTGGACGGACATCGCTGGATCGTGGCTACACCAACAGGCACGAGACGTGCGCATCAGCGCCGAAATGGTGAGTGTATGTGTTTGCTCGCGTTGACCATGTTACAGCGAGCATTTCTCTTCGCGACTCTGGCATCGATCTGTTCGCCTCGGTATAAACCTTCTGCGGCGCTTCTCACTCTGCATATTGACCTCGCACCCACGTTCCTCACGCCCGAAGACATGCAGAGAACCCTGGAATCCCACGCGGCACAGTACCCCGACAACGCCGCGTTACAGAGACGGTATCTCGAGGTCCTCTCGCAGAATCCGTTATTATTGGACAAGCTCCTTTCAGCGTGTCAGGCAGCCGCCAAGGGTGTTGTTACGAGGGAGCACTACGAGCTAGAAGATGTTCGAGCGATCTGGTCGATCTGGGCGAAGCATGCGCCACCCGAGCAATTCGAACAGATCCTTGCACTCGCTAGGAAATCTGCCATCTCTGCAGACATCTTCCCATCCCTTCTTGCTCACCATCTCCAAGCCTCTCTCAGTGAGTCGGATGATGACGGGCCTCGCGCATTCAACACCTTGGTCACGCGTTTCGGACCCTCGTCCTCGTTCTACGTCGACGCTTGGCCAGTCGTCGCGAGGCAGTTTGGTCACTCTGATATGAGCAGCGTTTATGAGCAGTGGCGAGCTGCATGTACCAATGGGAAGAGTCGGATCCAAGCTGCCATCTCGTGGTCCGATTGGCTGCTCAGACACCGCAAAGCACATGAAGCGAGACGAGTTGTCGAGATTGCCAAGCAGAGTATGGATGGGTCAGACGTCATCGAATTGGACGCAAGGTGGGCCAGGCTTTTGGATGATCAAGCGGGGGACGCGGGAATGGGGGAGTGAGCGAGCGGGCAGCGGCCATGCATCCTGATTTTCCACGTGTTCAAACTGGGGTGGCCGCATGTGCCGGGTATACGCTTGAAGGACACACTGTGCCTAGTATCGATACATGTTCAGGTTGTAAAGAAGCTATGGATGCACCCCCACCTAGTGCTGCTGAAACAAATCGTGAAAGACGGACGGGATTTCGGCCGACTGGTGATGACCGGTCAGTCCAAACCAAGGGCTCTGGCCGCGCTCACCTTGAAGCGGTATGCACATTCGGTCGATCGCAACATCTCCACATCACCCCCTGCAGCCTGGACAAAGCTGACAATGACGCCATTGACCGATCCGGCATTCCGACCGTTGGGAGGTAAAGCAGCGGCAGCACGTTGCGCGTAACCTTCCACGGATCTGGGTAGGTCAAAGTTGATCACGAGAGGAGACCAAGGGATATCCGGTGGTTTCACCACGACATCAAAGATGACGAGGAATCTGGGTCCTTTACTACCAGCCACGGACGATCGCCAGTTCTGGAGGACTGCCTTTTTCTGAGGCGGGGGCATATCGGGGGAAAGATACAATGTTTCCCATTGACGATTGCTCAACCTGTAGACGACGGCTTCGAGCATGGCGAATGTCCCGACGTGGATAACCGCCTGCCATAGCGGATAGTCTTCCAGCATTTTGACCAACGTATCGAGTTTGTACTCTTTCGCACGATTCGCTTCCTCTGCCTGAGGACCGTTTGCGCTGACGTTGTTTCGGCCAGACCCAATCGCTCCGGGCCCTTCGTTCTGTACAGGTGCATCGGACCGAGCAGAGCCAGTGATGGTGAGGTAGACATAGGTGTGTTTGAGGTTGATCCCAGGCGTGACGGATGATACTGATTCTTGACTATTGGGTCCGCCTTCGCGTCGGACGAGCACTCGGACGGGGTCCCTGACGTTGAGCGATTGAGAAAAGTTGATGACATCCGTTGGGATGGTGTTGGAGCTTGGGTCATGAGTGATTGCGACAGAAGGAGACTCACAAGATGCACGTCTGCCTCTCAATTTCGGCTTGGGCACCTGGTGCCGCCGCGGCGCCGCCCGAGGTCGTGCCGGGGGCGCCGAACCTAGAGCCAACGCCTGGAGGAGCGGCTTGTTGATTTGGGAAGGGGGTCTTGCTTGCCGGGTTGAACGGCGAGTGCTGGCCTGGATCGTAAGGACTGGCCATGCCGAGCGATGCACCGGGGGAGAAAGTGGGAACGGGGGCGTTTACGGCTGCAGCGCCGATACCTCCGCGCCAAGGTGACGGGAGGACTTTGGCGACGGACAAGACGTTTTCGTAGAGATTACGGGCCTAGGTGGGGATCAGCGAGAGAGGGAGGGTGAGCTTACGATTAGTTGATCCACTTCGTCAAGCTGAGATGGTGAGCACTTGGGGTTGGGCTTACACGACTCACGATCAGCAACCTCACGTGCGAGCCTGCCAAGGCCCCACGCGATGTGAGCACGTCGTTGACTTTTGCCGGTGTCCCGATCAGTAGATGGATATTGTCGTGCTGCATGGACGCGATCTCATCTTGGAGTGATGATGATCCGGCGGCGCCAGTGGCCAGAGCGGATCGGATCCCGAGTGGTGCACCGATGCTTCGTACGACTGGGGCATCAACGGGGCTCTTTGAGAAGTCCCACTCACGTTTATGACACTGTGCTGCTTGGTCTACTGTTGTGGTGATGACGACCACTGTTGGACCGCGATATGTCGTGTGGGGTGCGACGGTGAGGCAGAGCTGCAACGCCGGGACGACGCTTTGGCGAGTGGTTAGCGTAGAGGCTTTTGGGTAGCGCTCACTATGAGATGATCCGCTCTTGAGTGGGTGGCGCCTGGGCGATCACATCGGACCCTTTGAGCATGAAGGGGAGGACCCGCGCTTGGATCTTGTTCGGGGGGCCGATGCTGAAGGACATTAGGGCGCTCTTTGGGGCGACCTTGACTCACCCGTACTTGCCGATGGATCGTACCAGATCCGCCTTGAGGTTCAACTGGTCCCATTTGGTGATGACGTTGCCGTTCGAAGGACCTCCTGAGGGTGGCCCGGCAGCACCTCCCGGTGTGCCTGGCCCTGTGTTCTGAAAGTATCCACCTGGCGTGGTCTGTCCATTCATCTGGGTCCCAGGTGTCAGATTGGATGGATCGGGTCGACCGAATGCAGGACCAGGGGACCAATCGCGAGAACCAGTGTTTAAACCGAATGATGGAGGTCCCCATTTATCTGTATCGAGTCCTGGCATTCCACCACCCAGCGTCGCGGCGGAGGCCGTAGACACTGCACGCGAGCCGTGAGGTCGGACGGGTGGACTAAAGTCTCTACCCGCCTGGTGGTTTAAGAGGGATTGAGCGGGTCCATTGAGCATGGACGGTCCGGGAGATTGCAGTCGACCACTGCCAGCGCTTGCACCCGAGGGTATACTGGGGTTACCTCCTCCTCCTCCCAAATTTCTCGGTTCGGCATGAAGTGGTCGGGTGATCCCCCCTCCATTAGAATACCTCTCTGTGGCCCCGAGCGAAGGTCGCGTGAACGAGTTTTGGCGTGAGGCATGAGCTTGACTTTGTTGTAGGCGTTGGAGTTGAGCGACGGAAGTGGACAGTGCAGAGATCTGTTGAGTGAGAGCGGTGATGGATGATGCATCACTGGATCCGGAGGGTGAGTGACCGGCGGATGATTGAGCCGCCGCCGCCGCCAGACCGCCTGACGATTGGGGATCTTCAAAGGGTGAGAATACAGGGTTGGGAAAGGTTCCAGGTAAGGCTGCTTTGACGAGCGATGTCAATTGAGCGACTTGGGTAGATAGGACAGACAGGGCAGATTCATTCTGTGCCAGACGACCCGATATGGCCTGGTACATGGGAGAGGACTCCCAATCGCCTCGGGGGTCATAAGTGCCGGGATTGGAGGATCTGAAGGGTGAGGATCCACTCGACATGCCGAGGTTGTCACCTGGGGTGTTCTGGCCGGCTAGGGAGTAGAGGTGGTCGGACATGGTGCGGGCCAGCGGTGGGGCGACAAAGGTCTGGTGGGCTAGTATGTCATGCAGGGGGGTGGAGGGGGCAGGGGGGCAGGGGGGCAGGGGGCAGAATAGTGCTCTGAGGATGCGATGGGTGGATGCGTGAAGCCGGGGTCAGGCGAGTGACAATGAAGCCCGAGATGGAGAGCTACGAGCCGGGGGAGAGAGGGGGGGACAGAGCGCTCTGGGAGATACAGAGCACACACTCCCTTGGGCACCAGAAGCGAGTCAATGACTAAGTGGAGAAGAGGGGGGATTACAAAATGGTACCGATTTAAATTGTCCCGAGACTCGCGGGAATGGACAACCATGTCGCCTCGCCAGTACAAGTCATAAAAAGTGTGCATGCCATCCACTGTCGCACTGGCCCTCGCGTGCCTACAGCTCAAGCCCCGAGCGACGCGGTCCTCTACTCGACCATCTCGACATCTCCGCTCTCCTTCTGGCTCTTCTTCTCAGTCGTCTTGTTGCCCTTTCGCTCCAAGATGGCTTTTCGGTCGTTGTCGAGCTAAGGGGGTCAGAAGAGACAGTCACACGGGCTCACCTTTAGTGTTGTGATGACGACGTTGGATGGGTGAATGCCGACGGGGACAGTGGCGGCGTTGGATTTCTCGACAGTGACTCGCTCGACGTGAATGACCCATTTCTTTCGGTAGACCTGAATCACCTTTCCTTCCCTCCCCTTGTACTTTCCACGGACGATCAACACCTCGTCGTCTTTCCTGATGGGCATGGTTCGGGTCTGCAGCAGGGTTTCAGCATAATATAAAAGGCACAACTCACAGAGTGCTTTCCTCTAAGATCCTTGCTCAGAGGAGAAGACATGATCTTTCGTTTGGTACCGGAAGAGGCGGCATAGTGAGCCTTTCTTGACTTTCGTCGGTCAGAAGCGAGGCCTGGGGTTGGTTAGCGAGGGAGCAGGGCGGAAGGACGGCGGTGGATCAAGCACGGGTTTCCTGCCAGTGTCACGTTGCAGCGACTCCGTTCACACCTCCCGACACACAACCCTATGCCATCGACCAAGCTCCCGAAGCGAGTCCACCTATCCAGTCGTCTGACATGCCGATCCACCACCCGTCCCGCCTCGGCGCCAGCACTCACCGTGAGCAGAAGCCATTTTGGAGATGTCGAACCGTACGGCTTCTACTGCAAAAAACCTCTAAATCACAGAGGTGAGGTCCGGCAACGGCGATCGGCGTTATAAATGCCTAATGCCGAGAAAATCCAGTGTGGCGCCACAGGAGTTATCGGACTTTACAGCTCTATTATGTTATCGCCGACAACGTCGACCACACCCTCGGCAGACGTCCATGCATAAGCATCTACCCTACGACAATCGGAACCATGCCCGTCCGCATACTCCTATCGCCCTCAGACCGAGGTCCCAAGACCACTTCTATCAATCCTCCTCCCCAGACATGCGTGAACGCTTCCTTGACGGCGCCTGATTTGGGTTGCAGGCCCACTTCGAGAACATAGGTGACGCCGATTTCAGGCGTCATGAAGCTTTGAACGAGCGTACGGAGCAAGATCGGCCCAGTCTCAGGCAAGTTCAAGGTCAATTGACCGAGGAGATGGACATCGGTCGCGCCAAGGGGTAGCGGTGTCAAGACCGATTCGGAGCCGACCACTTCGTCCCCGAGGGGTTGGGCGGAGGGTACACCGTTGGGGAGATGGGAGGAGATGGATTCGGGCTCGGGCTCGAGGGTGGGTGAGGAAGGGGGCTCTTCCGCGATGGTGGCAACGGTCGAGGCCGAGGGCGCGATAGCGGCCGAGGGCGAGGGCGACGGCGCGGTGGTCGAGGGTGCTGGAGCTGCCGTCGGTGCCGTCGCCGAGGTCGACGACGATCGCCGTCGAAGGAAGGAGGCACGTTCGGAAAACGATCGACGTCGGCTGGACGGTCGAGTGGGCGTCAGCGCGGGCGTGGGTGCCGACGTAATTGCGGGCGCCGGCGTCACGGACCCTGTATCCGCAGCTTGAGGCTCTGGAGGCCTCGCGGGCATGCCCAAATTGGACGTCGCCGATCCCGTCAAGCCATGCGCTTGAGGTCTCGACTCGGGTCCAAGCGTCATATGTGGTCCACCTTCCTGCCATATCTCCACTTTGGACGGTATCTCCATCCGTCTCATTTCTCTCTCTGAGCCTATCCGCATGGAAGCGACGCGCATCAGCCGGACGATGAAATGGCACTGGTTGGGATCAGAGAACGTGGCAAGGGGCAAGGTCGAGGCGGAATGGAAGTGCAGGTGGAAGGGGATGGGCGGGGGAGGCTGGTCAGCGGGAATGAAAAGGATGGGTGGGGAGGGCAGGAGCAACGTGACTTCGACCCCGGGTCGGGGAGCGGCGGTCTGGTCGGTGTTTCTGCTGGGTGCTCCACCATGGAGTCGGATGCTGCGCCAACCAGGGTTCAGCGCGTCGTCCGTCGTCAAAGCGCGTAGACGGCGGGGTGTGACAAACGCTCTGGGTTCGTAGATGATGGGGATGCCGATGCTGCGGGTGTCAGAAAAGCACCAATCGTTTCACTCACGCCTCGTTCAGTCGCCAGCTCTTTCGCGTCAATTTGATCCTCAGAAAGTACTCGACGCTGCACTGCATGCCGACTTGGAAGATCTGAGCGGAGGGAGGGAGGGGGACCTGATCGTCCCTGTAGTATGTCTCTGGCATGCGGAGGGAAAAGGTGAATGCAGAGTTTTGCGGGACCATGTCTTCGTAGACCGGTTCGAGCTTTTTAAAGTGTCGAAAGTCAAAGTTTTTCACCGGGTTGGAGCGATCAGCGGAGGCGTCGTTGGGTATCCCGGGTGAGACCATGGCACCTCGGGCGCCGTCGCCAGTGACCGTGTACGGGGCATGGGGGGAGATCGGGCGGTTAGATGTGCGGGGGGTGGGCGGGGCCGGGTGGAACAGGGGGGAGGGGGCAACAGGGGGGGAGGAGGGACCAGGCGTCGCCGTATCAGCGGTATGTGTAGCGCCAGGTGTAGCGTCAGAGGTTGTGCCCGCCGCGTCGCCTCCCCCCGCCGACGGTTCATTCGGATCAGGCGGTGGGTACAGTTGAAGCTGCCGGCGTGCCAGGGGCAACGTATCGATCAGTGTGTACTGTCCACGAACGTAGTAGCTGGTATTGACGAGACCGATGATCTGGCATGTCAGTTCACTCCCGTTCACGCACTTACCGAAATCTCCAAGCCCGTGGCATGATCGACCCTGCCGACGTGAATCTTGCCTTCGACCACTCCGCCTCGGCCCATCCGCACAAACACTCGTCCCGATCCATTCATCGACTCTCCGCCACATGAGATGGTCACTTTGAGCTTTTTGCCCCCCGTCTCAAGTTCATCGGTGGCTGGAGGAGGAGACGCCAAGGGGTTCGCAGTGATCGCCGAGGCCGTCATGGCACTGAAGAACGCCGCCGCGGGGTGATTTTGGTCGAGGTGGACGGTGGAGATGAGTCGAAGTTCGTCACGGGCGAGATGGGCAGAGTAGGACGGGAGAGCGTCGGCAGGGGGCGCTGGGAGTTCCAACGCGTGGGCGGGGGTTAATGGGTCGAGCTGGGAGGGGGGCAAGGAGGGGGAGGCGGAGGGGGCGTCGTCTGGCACCGGGGACGGCGCTCGGCTCGTCAAGATTGGTTCGGTGAGACGTCTCAACGGTCGGAGTGTCCTCTCGGGGGGAGCGCGTAACAGTCGTGGGATCAGCGGATCGTCATCGTCCTCCTCCTCCTCCTCCTCCACTGCTGACGTCGTGATGCCGGCCAATGAAGGTCCATCCGTCCCGTGATACGCTGATAGGGTCAATGAAGGACCAGGTGGGACGTCCTGGCTTGCATCTGGGAATGCCGCGAGGGCCTCATCGTAGGTGGGTATGGCGGGATGCGTGTTGCGCGGAGACGTCGCATGGGAGGATCCTCTGCGAGATGAGCCGGTGGTTGGAGCTTGTGGAACGATGGAGGGTGATCGATGCGCCGGTGCAGAGACGTATCGTGAGAGGGGTGTGCTCGTGTGGACCTCAGAGGCGATCTCTGGGGTCTCATTGTCGATCCGCGCGCGAAGCGCTGCAACGGTGACTCTCATTGGGGCCGGCGGGGGCAGTGGTTGGCTATGCACAGGGGTGTCGCCGTTGCAACGAGGAGTCAGATGGAATCGTCAGATCATGTTTGGCAGGAACGAGATTCCGGGGATAAGGACAAATTGCCGAAAGCGGAGATAATGGGGGTGTGGGGGGGGGGGGTGTTGAGGGGACGAGTTGGGTGCTGCTGAGGGGACGAGGTGCAGCGTGGCTGCGGTGTATGGGCTGCAACAGCGTGAGGCTGAGCCCGACGTCTGTCGTGATGGCATCCCTGGCCCGCTGTCACGGTATCAAGAACACACACACACACCCCGGCAACACGATGGTGACTGTGTCGGTCCATTTATTTGCTTCCGTCATGACTCACATTGCCGATCATCGCCCATCGCTAGATTTGTAACATGACCAAAGCTGGACTACTTATAATCCTCTTCATGGCTTTGGCAATCGTCTCAAGGACAACCCTCAGAGCGATCAAGAGACCGTCAACACAGTTCATGCCATTTTCTTTGTTCTCGAGCAACAAGACAGACACCATGACGACTTCCGCGGCACCCAAGGTTCAAAAGTCGGACTCGGAATGGCAGGCGATCTTGTCCAAGGAGCAGGTGGGGAGGGCGACGGGGTGGTTGCTGACATCCAGTTCAGAGTCATCCGTGAGAAAGGGACGGAACGTCCGGGATCACACGAGTATGACAGGAAGACGAGTGCGGATGAGGGGGTGTATCGTGAGGCATACCGCGGGGTGCTGCTGACCCGAAGATTGCGCAGCGTGTGATGCGCCGCTGTTCGTGTCAAAGACCAAGTTGTGGGTGTGGGCGTGCGCGTTAGCGTTAGCGTGCGCGTGTCTTCGATCTCTTCTGACCGTCTTTCAGCAAATCCGGGTGCGGTTGGCCAGCATTCTACGACTCCATACCCGGCGCCGTGAACAGGCACGAAGACAAGTCAATGTTCATGACCAGGGTCGAGATCACGTGTGCAAACTGTGGAGGCCATCTCGGGTGGGTCAGGCCTACGCACGGCTTAACACTGATCGCCATCAGGCACGTCTTCAAGGGCGAGGGATTCGGAACGCCAACCGATGAACGGTGAGTCAAAAAGAGGGGTTTGAAGCTGAGCATTCGTGCAGCCATTGCGTCAACGGTATCTCTCTGAGCTTCAAGGGGGAGTAGCGTAGTCATCACTGTAGTTCCAGTCGTGCATAGTGCCGTAGCCCTCGTTCAAGGCGTGACGAATCCTTTGCCACCAGAAGTGACGTGTTATACTTGTCGGACGAGCCGCTCCTCCACTCCACGTGTCTTTCGCCTATCTTAGACGTCTCTCTTTGACGTGTCCCACACTCGTAGCTATCATACCTCCCTTGACGTGTCCTGACAGTCTTTGTTATCATACCTCCCTTGCTCCTCTAGTCACACTCGTATCAGAACTCTCCTGACGTGTCTTATACTCATAGCTATACTGGTTATACTCATAGTCTATCAAATTATTGATGAGTTCGCCTTTGATGTGTTGATTCTCGCGTGGTCGACGCGTGGCTGTCTTACGTAAGTTTTGGAAATGCTTGCGGCAATGGGATCAGCGATTGAAAGACTTAGGGGGCGTGGTGTGGTCTGGTATTGGTCTATTCCTTGATTCATTCACTGATGGATGGATACATGGCTACAAAGCGATACTGACCAGCTCTGATCCGAAACTTTGATCTTCTAGCCTGACCATTGACCTGACGTCTCGCGCGTGAACGCCTGAACCAAGGGAACTCTGTGTGGAGGGAGAGAAAGAATGGGCCACTAAGAATTGACACGCGGGGGGGGAAAGGAAGTTGACGAGATCGACCCGAAAACGAGATCGACCCGAGAACGAGATCGATCCGACGAGCGTGGACCCCTGGGGTGGCCCGCGCGAGATGTTCGTGTTCGTCGCACTGTTTATCCGCCGCACTCGACTACCCACCACACTGGGTCTTCGCCGCACTCGACTATCGCAGTCACCGCACTGTCTCATCGCCGCACTCGACTGTCACACCCACCGCACCGTGTCTTCACCGCACTCGACTATCGCACCCACCGCACTGTCCATCCACTCGATATTCTTTCAGACACCCACTTCCACCTTGGACCTTTTCTTTGCCTCTCTCCTCCAACTTGGACCTCGAAGGATCCACTTCATATCATGCCATGTGAGCCCAGAGTATTCTCGACGGACTGACCCCCTACCTGTTCACCCCAGCCACCGCTTCTCTTCTCACCACCCACCTTCCTCTCCTTTCCCACCTCATCCCCTGTACTCCTCTCGATGCGACCTTTCTCCACGGCTGTCTTCACCTTCTTTACTGCGATCTACCTCTGGGACCCGCCCTCGAGGCTCAACTCAGTGCTGAGCCCTTTGTCAAGCATGTAGAACCCGGCAGATTCATCTTCCACTTCGAGGTCGACAGTGACCATCTACCCGGACATCGTCTTGCAGGTCACATCCAACTGGTTCCCATGGCCGTCCTCCCGGCCGCACCCGTCCCTTTAGCTCCAGCTCACCAATTGCAGCTCCGAGCCATCTGCGGTCATCTTGGCGACATCCTCTCCGCTCGTCAGCTTCGAACCACCTTTGCAAGCGGACATTAAAATCTCATTCGCCAACAGTGGCGAGGCTTCATCGCATTGGAGGCCGCATGTCGAGCTGGAAACGCCTCGGTATACCCCATCCTCACGCCCATATGCAGCTCGATCCGTCTGCTCTCCAATCCGATCGCCATGGTCGTGCATGATCGTATCAACGGCAAAGGTCCGTGGCTAGTCTCCGACATGCCACGGCTTCAGGTGATTCTTGCTCTACAGCAAAGACTGCCGGGGGCTTCGTTCGCATCGGACACGGCTTACAGATCGGACCGGCGCACCCTCGAGCAGATGGCGCCTTTGACAAGGATCTCGAGCTCTCCGGTCGGTTCGCGCGGGCATTTCGACAACGCATCATGGACAAGAGGCAGCAGACCGACATGGCAGCTCAAGGTGTCTTTAAGATAGCATCATTCGTTGGGCCTCCTCGCCGCCAACCAGCCATCGCTCCCCTGGTGGTCACCTGGCACATCATGGCCAAAAACGTGCCGTGCGGACAGGCGGGAGAGGACCGTCACAGAGCTGGCGCGCCAGGTGCTCAGCCAGATCATTCATCCTCCACCCCCGGTCTACGACGACTTGAGCAACGTAGGTCGACTCGTCATCCGCTCCGAGTCTCTTCCACACTGGGACATCCCCCTTGCTCAACGATGGGCCCATCGTCATGCGCTCGATCCCAGGTCACAATTGTATTGGCCAAGATAGTAGTTCCCGTCGGCATGCCACACGTCGTATCGTCCAACTGGAGGGCTGGGTTCAGCTTCCACCCATTCGCTGTAGCTCACTCTTGGGAACGCCAATGTGCACATGCGTGGCGCCGGGAAACCCATTGGGCATCCCAGCCAGATACTGCAAAACATCCCAACGCCCTGTCCTACCTCTTGAATATGTTGAGGAGTCCACGAGGTGAGCCGGACGCGATGCGTCAATGGCCCCAGGCAAATGTTGCGAAAGATGATGTCAAACAGCGGCTCGGATCCACATTCGCGAGCGACTGCCAGCGCATCGACAATGGCCGTAAAATGACAGTGGATACCTGGCATGATGAATGTTGCCGTGAGATCGACATGTCGAGATAGGGTGTCTCTCAGGTGGGGAGAGAAATCCATAATTGACAATGGCGTCAAGGATACGCAAAGTCTGGCGAGCTGTCAAGTTATCGAGTGGATGTCCAGTCATGAGATGCAAGAGATTGCAGAGCTCCAAGGTTCCAAGGTTCACTTGGACCGGTGGTTGGCGGGCATACGGGACACCACTGATGTTTGGGTCAGCAAGCGGGGACACAGCTTCTTTGGCAGCTTACCTGAACGATTGCCATATGGCGACTGTGGGAGGATAAAAGATTTCGCCTTCGGTACTGATCAAACGAGGACTGTGGACTCTGCTGTAGAGTGGATGAGGCATGGCTGGAGGGGTCAAGGTTGAAAAATCAGCTTCGTTGGCGTGAGCAGATACCAAATTTAGTAGCAGGAGAGGCACTCACCGAGCTCGCCGGAAACCATTGTGAAATTGCGCGAGAGTGGTCGGTCGCAAAGATGTAAGAGGGATGTGGATGTGTGCGTCGAAATGAAGTAGAGTGTCCAAGTTGGAGAGTCGAACGAGAGCCATTATAAGTACTTGACCCCCCCATCTCGTCGGGTCGATCTCGTCGGGTCGATGTCGCTCGGGTCGATGTCGTTTTCGGGTCGATCTCGGTTTGCTCCCGTGGCCACAGCCCAGGTTGACTGGACCCACCGCCTTGTCTGGACTCTTCTTTGGGTTGTTTTTTTTTTTCGGGTCGATCTCGCCCAACTCATAAAGGGTTCTTCGCTGTTCTCCTCTTCAGGTATTTCAGCCTGTGGTGTAGACGATCGCGCGAGCTTCAGACGGACACGGGCAGGGAAGGGAGAGGTAGAGTTCCATAGTTTAGACGTTCGAATATGTATACCTTTGTGGCTTCAATGTCCAAGTTCGTTCCAAGTTGCGCTCGAACAAGATGTCCAAGTTGACCATCCACACGATTGAGAGATAAGCTAATGCTCTTGTTTCAGAAAGAACAGCCACGTGACGTCGCTTCACGTGGTTGCCACGCGAGAATCAAAACATAAAAAGCGAACTCATCAATATTATGATCAGATATATGTGTATAACATGTCAGAGAAGGTCAGAGAGGATGACACGGTACTTTGATAAGGTATATGTGTATAACAGGAGTATATGTATGACATGAGAGAGTATATGACATGTCAGAGAGAGTGATAAGAAAGTACGGCTGACACGTCAGATGATACGTAAGACACGTGATTCGCCATGTGACACCTCGTCATGGGCTTTGGCTGCCGATCGGCGGTAAAGTCACGGCCGTAGGAGTGATGAAATAGGGCGACTGTCATTGGCTCGTTCTTCAACCATGGCGATGAAACTGCTGATGATGACAACCAACGACGCTCGCTAGAGCCATCGTTAGCTAGTTTCGCATAGGACATCTGGTGTATATAAGCAGCTTGCCCGCTCCCCCATCCCCCACCCACTCCCATGTCACACGACCTCGAATCCGCCGATCGCTCGGATGATCGGCAACCTTCATCACGCGAGCAGCCAGATCGCCGCACGTCCTCCACCACCCAGGTCGACAACTCCTCGAGCAATGAAAAACCAGGTGACCGCTGGTTAGTCAATTGGGATGGTGACGATGATCCAGAGAATCCACTGAACACACCTCTCTGGAAGAAATGGTGAGATCGCCCCACAGGCACACTGACCTATCCCCAGGGCGATGACCGCTGTGGTGGCCTTTTCCAGCGCGACGATCACTTGCACCAGTTCCATGGGAGCTGACACGTACGACGGGATGATGGCTCAATACGGCATCAGTCGAGAAGTCGCGACACTCAGTGTATCACTTTTCGTCGCGGGCACGGGCGTGGGTCCATGTGAGTGGGGTCACACGAAGCGGGGTCTCACCTCCCCAGTGATCCTCGCCCCGAGTTCCGAATTCATTGGTCGATCAAAAGTCTTGCACTATTCCTTCGCGGCGTTCTTCCGTACGTCCACCCCTGTGCTATGCCTAATCCACAGTGCTAAACTTCCCCGTGGCATTTGCCAACAACGCCCCCGTCCACCTCATTTTCCGTTTCTTCACCGGCTTCGCGGGCTCTGCCTTTCTCTCCGTATCTGGGGGCCTCATCAGCGACGTCTTCAAAAACGAAGATGTCGGGACGTGAGTCAACCCTCATGCCCTCCCATCTCACCCCAGTCCCATGATGGTGTGGTCCGCCTCACCCTTCCTCGGTCCCGTCCTCGGTCCCCTACTCTCAGGTTTCATCAATCAAAACGTTGATTGGCACTGGACATACTACGTCGTCATCATCTGGGCCTTTGTCCTGCTGATCGTCAATCTGGCCGTTGTGCGTGAGACGTACGCACAGGAGCTGCTGCGTCAAAAGGCTATACGGTGGGTGGCCCGTTGCACCCCACTACTCACGTCAGGATGCGCAAGACCACTGGCGAACAACGATGGAAGGCACCGGTCGAAAAGTCGGGTCAAAGCGTCCTCGCAGCGCTGAAGAAGAGCATCAAGACGCCTTTCTGTGAGCCACCAAAGTCACCCCCTCTGACTTCCCCAGGGCTCCTCCTGACCCAGCCAATGGTCCTCCTCCTCGACATCTGGAGCGCCATGATGTTGGGCATCCTCTACCTGTCCTTTGGCGGGATCCCTTACATATTCGAACATCAATACGGATTGTGAGTACCTACTCCCCCGATCCCGCTCACCGCAGCAATCTGCAACAATCCGGGATGGTCTTTTTGGGCATCGGCACAGGTCAAGTCATCGCCGTCCTGACCCAACCTTTGTTCAACAAAAAGTACCGAGCGTCACTCAAGGAACACGGCGGCGAGGCACCTCCAGAGGAACGACTCCGGCCTGGATTCTTTGGCGCAGTCCTCTGTCCGATGGGACTACTCCTGCTCGGCCTCTTATCCTTCAAGCAGGTCCCATGGATCCTCCCGATTATTTTTTCGAGTCTCTTCGGCGCGGGCATGGTCTTGTCGTTCACCTCGACGTTTACGTATCTCGTCGAGTGAGTCTAAGCCGCCGTCGTCGCGCTGACTACAGTGCCTATCGGCCGGTATCTGCGAGCGTCTTGGCTAGCAACAGCTTTATGCGATCGGCGTTTGCTGCGGGGTTCCCACTGTGAGTCCTTGGGGGCGGGCATAAGCTCACTCGACAGGTTCGGAGAGCAAATGTACCGTCGTTTAGGAGCCGTCGGAGCGACGTGCCTCCTTGCGGGACTCATGTTTCTGACGACCCCCCTCCCGTTCATCTTTTTCCGCATCGGCGCGAGGATACGAGCGAAGTCGGATGTCGCGGCGTAGGGGCGTGTGCATCCAGTAGCCGTCAAGTAGCCGTGCATCAATGTGCCGTGCATCACTGCGCCGTGCATCACTGCGCCGTGCATCATCTCACTCATCCGTGCAGAACCACCTGCCCCGATGATCCTCGCTGCCTATCTCCGCTCGGAGTCACACGCCACGCCTCCGCTTGTGGTTGAAAAACGCGGCAATCCCTCTCATCGCCACTGTCCAATCCTCCTGCACCTTGACATCCTGGTCTATCCACTTGGGCAACTTGTTTCGGATCCGAGATTGAGCATACCTCGAGTCGACAAGAAGAATCGTTGCGTAGTCGTTTGCATGCCGAATAGCCCGACCTAAGCGTAAGCGTGGAAACGAAATCGCTCACCGATCGATTGGTTCACAGCCCTCATGCACAGATTCTACGCCGTTCAGCAAACTCCCTCTGGGCTTCTCACCTCGTAAAGCTCCCTTGAAGCCCCCCGCCCAGCTCCATCCAAACCCTCCACATACTTCATCCTCTCTTGCAACTCGACAGATCCCACATTCGCAAATGGCAACCCCACCATGATGACGCAGCGTCCCAGTCCATCGCTAAAGTTGATACCTACATTGTCAGTCATTTGCCCCTCGCGACACCCTCACCTTCAGACAATTTGCCACCAACCACAGCAAACATGAGTGCACCATTGCGTTTTGAACCTCCCTGACCGCGTGAGCCTACGGCATATGCCCCCGCCTCACCGTCGCAATGGCGAGCGCATAATCTCTCAAGATGCTCTCCACATCGCCCGAGCTCTGCGGTTCGTAGAACACCTGTTGTTTTTAGCTATTGTCTTCTCGCCCCCACTTGCCCGTTTCTTCCCCTCAAGCTTCTCCATGACACCAGACTTTGTCCAGACCGACTTGATCGAGTCCAAAAACGTATACGACGGGAGGAACACGACCACACCGTCCGGAATGAGATTGATCGCGGACTGTATCACCCGCCCGAGCTCGGCGAGCTGGGAACAATCTCAGCTGAGCTGAGATTGAGCTGAGATTGTTCGCTCACCACTCGCTCGTCGCCACGACTCCCAAACGTAAACTCAAAGTCCACCTTGGTGGGCCCTCGACAGATGACTTGAGTCAAGAGATTCGACTTGGGAATGACATGAGCACAGGACAGCGTCTTGAATCTGTCCCGGGGCACGAAAGGGAAGAGCTGAGTGAAAAAGTCGGAGATCTACATGATATCAGTCGACTCCCGCATATCCACTCATCGGCAGTCACTCACCGGCTCCATCGTGCCCCCGGCGAGAATCACGCTCCGAGCTTGCTCCACCACCTCGCGGAACCGCTCCGCAGGGTTCAACAAGATATACTTCAGGTGAACAACCTTTTGATCCACCGACAGGATGACTCGTCCGTCATCTCGGGCGTCGGTCAGGGAGAGGAGGAATGTCTCGACGGTGTGAAAAGCGGCGATAGCAGAGTGCCTGCTCGAGGCCTTCCCTGGCACCCCCCTGGACCCCCCCTCACCCCCCTCCGCCAGCTTCTCGGTGTACCCTGACACTTTTCTCGCCAATTTGCTCTCCTTCAGGTACTTGACCATCTCCATGAGATTCACCTGATCATTGCCCTTTCCCGTCCTCCCGATGAGCGTGTTGGTATCGATCATCTCGGCCTTTGCCTTCCCGTTTCCATGACTCGCGAGGACCCTCTCACAGACGCCGACCAGGCCCTGTAAGAGGCTCAGAGTCTGGCGGATCCAAAGTGCATGGGTCGGTTTGAGACGATTTCGAAATCGTGCAAGGTATTGGGTGAGCTGTGAAATGGCATTCCCCAATTGAGACGAGGTGAGGGTGGTCGAGTAGATCGACAGAAGCGTATCGATGAGGTCTGTAGGTCAACATAGTGCCCCCCACATAGAGCGCTCACTGTGCGCCTCGTCGATCACCACGATCTGATCCGTCAAATCGATCTCTAGCGCTTCCCTAGCACTCTTCTGGAGCAAGAGGTTGTACGGCAGGGTGACGATCTGATATCAGCACCGACACGCCGGCACCGCACCCACCTGGGCCTGCTTCACGGCGCGACGTGTGGCATAATACGGACACACGTGGGATTGCTTTCCAGCAACGACCAGATCCTCAATGTCTTTCACTGTGGCCTAAAGATTCAGTCGTCTCGTGTAGATAGATCACACTCACCAGAACCGAGTCTCTCGCGTCAAGCATGAGGTGTTCCTGATCCTTTGACGGTAGGTATTCGCATCGCGCGTTGGCTGCCAGGTCAGGTATGGCTCCTCAGGCCCGACCCACCCGACTTTTGCATATCCAAGCATGTCTCGTTGAGACGATCATCTCCTCCAAGCGATCGAATTTTGTCATTGATGCAGAGCTGTTTTCGGCTCCCAAGAGGGACAAGACTGACATCCATGTGTTGTTGCGACTCTGCACCCTCATTCGCGAAGCACGTTTTGAGTAACTCCGATGTCAATTGGCGTAGCTGAGTGTGGGTCCGCGAGGTGTAGTAAATCTGTCGGCAGTCAGACCTGGACGCTTGGGAGCTCACCTTTGGGACATCCGTTTCGACCTCTTCTTCCAGAGGCTTGACCGACTCGTACCTTGACTTCAGCTCCATCTCCATTCGCCTCTTCCCACCTCGCCATGAGCTCCCTGACCTCCCTGGACAAGACCAGTCCATCCGAATGCTCAGCTGAATCCGCATCTTCAGGTAAGAATGCCGAATCGTCCGCTCCTTCTCGGCCCTCCTGACCGCTGGATTCCCCAATCTTCACCCTCTTATACTGTCCATTCTTGAACGCCCCACGCGCAGCTGCCAGTCTCAACTGCCTCTCTCGCTCTTTGGCTCGACCTAGTCTCTCACGCCGAGCGTCGCTCATGGCTCGACGGTCTGCTATCGCCCTCTTGACAGCGCGGTCGATGACCCAGGCGGGATCTGGTGACCACTGAGCGGCGATCTAACCCCACCAACGCACCATCCGGATCATCCTCCGAAAGCTTTGCTCTCAATCGATCCTCATCCGCCTTGTCTACCCTTTGCTGATTGTGCTCGAGCCATGACAAGGTGGATGTGAGGAGGGTGAGCGATTTGCCAGTCCCAGTGGGCGATTCAACCTAATCACCTCCAGCGTGAGCTTGATCTCTCGCGTGTCCAGACCCACGCACTATAGCTATCTTTCTCTGCTCTATAGCTTCGAACACTGTTCGCATCAATTCGACCTGGATATCGTATGGCTTGGGGAATGGGAAGGGAAACGATTCCGGCGTCGATATCGGTGGTTCCATGTGCTCATCACATCCTGAGCTTGCCCCTGCGTCCGTCATCCCGAGTTGCTTTGAGACCACTCCCCAGCGAAAGACAGAGTGAATGCGTTTCGTCGCGTCGTGGCGGCGATCTCCGCCTCCATGATGACGTCTTTAATCGATCGATGCTGACCCTGCACACGCTATCGTGTTCACTCTTGACCCAAACCCAACATGGCCAACCCAAGAAACATCGGAGCCGTCCTGGCAGCTGCCACCGGTAAGCCCTCCATAAGCGTCTCGCGCGCTCGCTGACGCTCCCGGGTGTAGGTCTTGGAATCGGCTACTACATGATCATACCCGGTATCAAAGAATCGTCTCAGCAAATCTCTGGACATGGACCTGCTCCTGGTCCTATCGAAGACGGCCGAAGTCAAGCCATGAAGGATGGGCAGATTGGGTACGTCCATCGTCTGTCGTCTGCCGCCTTACTCACCCTTCCTTCCCCCCAGCTCTGGCTCTGCAATGCCGCGAGGACCTCAAAGGGAAGGAGGTGCCAACTTTAACAACCCGCTGCACCCGACCGTGGCGGGAACCACGCCAGAGAGCAGACGTACAGGATCAGGCAAGTTTTGGAAGCCCTCTATCCCCGCTGACGGGCACCAGCCGACCACAACCCAACGTTCAGGGATGATCCCAATGTTCACGATGGCACATCTGGAGGTGGTGTAGGTCTCGCAGAGATGAGAGAGAGAAAGATGAAAGGGCAGGGTCTGCCTAGCCCTCAGGTGGGTCTGTAGCTGCTTGCATCCCCTGACTCCGACTACAGGGGGGTGATACCAAGCCACAAGCTGTGAACGCTGTGGCGAATGAAGGTGAAGGGGGAGGAGTACCAAAGGGCAAGAAGTGGCTAGGAGGGTGGTAGGAAGCGGGATGAAATTGTAGCTATGCAATGAATTACAACCTGTTTGGATCTCCCTTATACCCCAGGCAGACAAAATACGCCTCACTGGATTCTGAACAGCGACATTCAGGACCTAGCTCTTCTCGCTTCGCTCACCCTTTCTCGACTCTTTCGGCTTGGGAACGGCTACTTTGCGAAACCTCGGTTCCAAGACTTGTTTCTGAAACTCCACCATGTCAGGGTGCATGAAGAACTTGATGCTGTCCGCGATACGTCAGCTCTGCAGACGTTTCTCATCTCACACGAGATGACCTCCGGTCGATCTCGGATCTCCTTTCCCTACCCGCGGTGCCTCCTTGAGATTGGCGAAAGCGAACGCAGACGCCGCCTCGACAAGATCCAAGCTCGTCCGCACATCCGCAAGCTTGTTCCCCGTCATCGGTCCCATCATGTCGCTGAGCACGAGGTCGACCATTCGATGATCACGATGGTCGGGGTGAACCAATGCCCCGCCATAGATCCCTTCCATGATCCTCGCTCTCAATCGTTTCTGGATCGCTTGTTCTAGGAAATCACCCTTGAGAACCTCCACACCTTTCAAAGGCTCCATGTCGAGTATGTCGAGGGCGAAGACGAGGTCTTGTGGTCGTGCTTTCCGCCTGATCACTTGAGACCATCCGCCTGGAGCGGCACCGAGATCGACGATTACTTTTGGAAATCGCCTAGCGGGCTTTGCACCGACCGCCATGGACGACGCTGCAATGTCATCTGATCCCGCCCCTGCTTCCGATCCTTGTGGCTCTTTATCCAGAGTCACCCCCGCGCCAGCCCCTGCCAGCAATGATGGATACTTGTCCAACAACGAGATCAACTTGAATGACGATCTTGACCTATACGTCACCCCGCCAGCATCAGCGCCGATACGCCCCTTGACATAGGGATCATTGGCTTGTCTCGCAAGCCATCGTGTAGATGACGCAGATTTCTTGAGCGTCACAAGCGTCGCTCTCATATCATGGTTGGAGGTGAGTTATCCTCGACGCCCGTGGGCCTGTCATTGGCGACGGAATCAAATTTTCTCCGCCGCGTGTGTCGCGTCCAAGTCGCTCAACATCCTCAACAAGCATTCCCAAACGAGTTGAGCGACGGACCCGCTGCCAGCGTTGCATAGGACCTGTCTCTAGAAAGTATTGTCCTGGATTTTGCGTCTCAGTAAGCTCTGACCACTACCGTACCACCCATCCAATACGCCATGTCTGTGTACACTGGGGAATGTGAGTTGGCCCAACGCAGTGTTCTCCCAACCTCACCCCTCGCTCACTTCGCGTAGCCCGGGGAGAGCTTTTGGCGTGGTTGAATGACCTGCTCGGTGCAACTGCCCCGGCCAAAGTCGAGGAATGCGGTAAAGGGTACACGTATTGTCAGGTGAGTCCAGGATCCTAACGCATTGACTGATTCAAAACAGATCCTGGACTCTGTATATGGCAAGTCGCCCTAGACCCGCACTACCTCACGGACGCTCGCTGACCCCTCCTCTTCCCAGGTGACATACCAATGGCGCGAGTCAAATTCAACGCCAGGATGGAGTACGAGTACCTTGAAAACTTCAAAATCTTACAAAAAGGATTCAAGACCCACCGCATAGACAAGGTAGGCCCGCCTCCGTTGCAAAATCCCGGTCTGATCCCATATGCCCATTTAGCCCATTCTCGTGGACAAACTTGTGAAATGCAAAATGCAGGACAACCTCGAATTCTTGCAGTGGATGAAGAAATTTTGGGATGCAAATGCCAGGGGTGACGAGTACAACGCGGCGGGGAGAACGTGAGGCTGCTCATGCTCGCAAGACACTGACGGACATCCTCCACAGAGGCGGCGTCGTCCCCCCGAGTGCTCCCTCATCATCCCGTGCTCCAGCTGCTCGACCCGCCGGCGTCTCACGGACAGCAGGGGTCGGTGCCGCTCGATCGGGCTCGGCGGCGAGTACGGGTCAGCTCAATGACTTGCGAGAACAAGTCGCGGAAATGCAAGCGCATTGCGAGACCGTGGAGAGGGAACGAGACTTTTACTTTGACAGTGAGTCGCTTCCATGGACCCATGCTGATCATTCAAAACAGAACTGCGCCAGATCGAACTCATCGTTCAGCAGCGAAGTGGAATCGAGGGACTCGAGACGGGTGAAAAAGACATGATTGGTCAGATTCAAGAAATCTTGTATTCCACAGCGGTGAGCAGAGAGTCTGACCCACGTGCCCTTGGCTCACGCAACGATGCTCACAGGAGGGCTTTGAAGTGAGTCGGAAACGTTAGAACGCGACACTGACACGCCTGAAGCTTCCGGACAACGAGGCCGCACAAGCCCCAGCTGATGAAGAGACATTTTAGACGGCGTGGACCAGGAGCCGCAGATGTGCGAACAGGACTTGGCATAATGACAAATGGGCATGCAATCGAGTGCCATAGCTACCTCAAGCAGTCCCTGCCCAGGTCAAATTCTGCATCAAAAGCCATCAGCTAGTGGACTGATCACGAGTCCTCTGCGCTCACCTCGGGGTGCTCGCAATACTGCCACATTCCCCAGTACTTCCCGGCCCATACATACTGGACCAATGTGTGAGCCGGGGGGCACTGTACGCTTCACTCACCGGGACGAGGATCCTTCTCACGAGGTATGGCAACTTGAGCAAGGTCTTGCAGCAATCCATGTTGACAGTGGCTGGAATGTTCAGTGCAACAACCCACGGGCCGACTTGAACCTACCGAACGAACTGCACAGGAACCATTTAGGATCATAAGCTTGGAGGTGTTTCAAAACGATGACCCCGAGTTGTTTGAGGTTTTCTTCTCCCACTGCTTCCGTCATGGATGGGCCGATCGTGTCGATCTCTTCCAGCATATGATCCATCATCGTTCCCAACCAGGTATCCATGTGTTTCTGCAACAGGGTGGGGTCGAAGCCCTTTGAAGGATCCAAGCCGTACTCTCCCACAATGTCGATCGTTTGAATCTCCTCATCTGGCTCAGGTACTGGCGATGGATATCGAGCTGCATCAGGTAGAAGAGCTCGGACTCGTCGAATGTAGAGCCAAGTGGCGTCCATTGCCCGAGTGAATGTGTGATGATCTTGCACATTGCCTTCGAGGCTGGCTCGCTAAACGTGTTAATGCGTTGAGTGACGGTTCAACTCACGTCTGCGCCGTGCTCGATGAGGTAAGGGAAGATGACGGTTTCTGACAAGCAAGCATGAGTCCAAATCACACATGAAAGACGCGTGGACTGACCTTCAAAGTGGTGATGGTTGTACACCTGAAACCCGAGGTCAGCTTCTGGCCCCGTCGCTTAATACTCGCCTGGTAAATGGCCACTTCACTGAAGCTAGACGGACAGGTCAGTTTGTCCATAAGCCGTCAACAGGGACTCACCCAAGGTAGTTCAAAAGGTCATCCTGCTCGACGGCGTCATGTGCAAACTGTAAATGTCCACCGTCAATATTTGGCTTGGCATCGCCGCCACCCGAGGTCATTCACCAAATACACTCGCTTGACCAAGTTGGTAAAGAGGGAATGGGCTGCTCGCATCTCCCACTGATTTGCGCACGAGTCAGGATCCTGTTCGACAGACCGTTCGCCATGGACTCACTGCGAATCGCTCACGCCATACCGGCTCTGGCAGGTTGGTCGCTTCGTAAAAGCTCGCTTCAGCGTCTTGAGCCTTTTTCGTCGCCCAGACAGAGTGAGAAGGGATAGCGGGTAGAGGGTGAGCGGGCATGGAGACTGTATGGTGCTTGCCAATGGTCAGTTGGTGAAGTGGTTTATGGCGATGGATTGTATACCAAGCATCACCTTGCTCCTTTTTGGTTTCTCGGAATCTTTTGGCATCATACGCGTAGGGTGGGGAAAGACCGAGATCACCGAGACCGAAAGATGCAATCTAGTGAGGCGTGCAGCAGCAGCAGCAGCAGCAGCACCTGCAGGGAAGCTGGCGGATGCGCATTTTCTCATTTGGACAATGTTTTGAGAAGCATGCATGGCATGTAATATGGTACTGTCACACCGATCACGCAGTCCCCGCAAATGTCAGGTTCTGGAGCATATCAATGGATGATCTCCTGCTCGCTCGATCACTCACCTCCGGAAAGTCACAGTATAACCACATCCCCCAGTATTTTGAACCCCACCAGAACTGTCCCGAATGAGCAAAAGAGTCAATCCCCAGTCACCTACGGGAATCATGAGCCTCCTGACGAGCATTGGAAGCTTGAGATTCTCTTTGGCCTCCTCGATCGGCATGGTCGCTGGGAACCCGTTGTCAGTGCCATGTTCCGCAATACGACCCACCATATGCACTACAGAGGAACCACGCGGGATCATATTGAAGCAGTCGCTCCTTGATCAAGGTGTCCAGTTTGACCAAATCCTCCTCCCCGACCTTTTCCGTCATGTTCGGTCCGAGCGTCCCAATCTCCTCTGCGAGATGGTGCATCAACTCGGGGATCCACGTATCAAGATGTCGTTGGAGAGCCTGAGGATCAAAAGGTTTGGCAGTGTCCAGGTTGTACTCTTTGACGAGATCGATAGCTTGAACATCGGCCGAGGGCTCAGGGACAGGCGAGGGATGCTTGGCGGCCCCTGTGAGAGCTGCTCGAACGCGAGTGAGATAGAGCCATGTTGCTTCCATTGGACGGGTAAAGGTGTGATGCGATTCGACATTGTGCTCGAGTCCGCAGTCCTGAGGGGGGAGGGGATATGAGCTCAAACAAACACTTTTCAGACGCACCGTTGCACCGTGTTCGATCAAGTAGGGGAAGATGAGTGTCTCTATGAGATGTTACCGTCAACCCAGTGCTGACGATCGACATGCATCATCACCTTCTGTATGGTGGTGGCTGACAGTCTGCCACTGGTCAGTGACGTGGTGAACTGATGGGTAACCACTTACGTGGTATATCGCTACCCCAGCGAATCTAAAGTGACGTTTTAGCCATCAAACTACAAGTTTGACTCGCCCAAGGTAATTGAGCAGATCATCATGCTCCACTGCGTACTGAGCAAACTGCAGAACGAGGAGCGTTGAGCAACGTATCCGGCAGAACCCACAAGATACATTCGTCTCGTCAGACTCAGCAAGAACAAATGTGCACCAGCCATTTGATGCTGCGCGAAGGGATCAGTGGAAAAGCCTTTCACGACCTGCTCACTGAGAATCCATCCTTCCAATCTGACTTGCCCTTCTTCACTCTGTCTACCAGTTGAGTTTCGGCATCTCGAACTGCTTTCTGCTTCCATACGGACCCATCAGGGATCTCAGGAAGAGGGTGACCTAATGCCATGGTTGTGCTTGACGTTGAATGGTCAAAGAGGTGGGATCTCGTGCTCCCCACTCTTTCAATGATCTCATTCCTCACGTGGCAACCCCATTTTTGAGTCCGAGCCGAGGCAACCGAAATGCCAAGAAGGGGGTTGGCAGCAATTAAGTGGCGATTGTGCTTCGTGGCGGGCTAGCGGACCTCGACTTCTATGCTCGCTACATCCCTTGTATACACTACTCGTCGATACACTACGAAAACTCTTGCCTTGAATTTACCCCTCACACACACCAGCCACTTGCCCGCTGAGCCTTTTCAATGAGCTCGTTCAGGTCGCGTCCCTTCCCCAGCGACTCCTTCCAAATGGTACAAAGGTTCGAGCTTGGCATCCCGCCTGAACAGGACATATCGTTTGATCCACCAAGGAAGCCAGGTGGAGAGTTGATATTTGGCGAAGACGCCGACCGGCACGGCAAAGACAAAGTCGAGTTCTTCAAGTGTTCTTTGAGCAGTCTCAGGCATGAAAAAGAAGATGAGGATGAGGCCTGGGAAACATGTGTCAAGACCTGGTGCGATTGAAAAAAAGGCTATACTCACCCAGGATGTTGGTCCCTGCGTAGAAGTAGAAAGCACCCCATGGTTGAAGAGCGCGGAGTAAGGAGGGGAAGGTGAGGCCGAGAACCGAGGACCAGAAGTTGTTCTGCTGCACGGCACTGGACAAACGCGTCAGGGGAGAGGGATGATGGGTTCGAGACTCACAAGGACATGCCGATCTCGCGGTGCGTCAATGGATAGCATTCGGCCTGATCATCAACGTCAGAAATGGTTCCCATGTCCTCGGGCCGGTCGACTTACGGCGTAGACGAATGGACATGGTCCCATCGTAGGAGAGTACGCGATCGTGAACAGATAGATGGCTAGGAGGTCGAGTCAGGCTTCGCAATGCCAGACCTTTCTCACCGACAGCTAAGACCGGGACGCGTGCCGAGTTTGCAGGGTCCATGAAGAACATTGAGCCGGCCCACTGAGAGGCGTGTCAGACTGGACGTGCGGATGGAGACTCACTAATAGCGATAACGCCATCAGAGGGAATCCTAGGAGGAGCAGGTTCCGTCGACCGAATGTATCGATGGTCCAAATGGCAGGCAGAGCAAAGATGCTGGGAGGGCGACGTAAGCTGTCATGGCCATTGCACCCTCGAGACGTACGTATTGATGAGACCGAATCCGAAAGAGGCGAGGAGCGAATCTCGGATATTGTACCCAGCCTCAGCAAAGATTGTCGAGCTGTAGAACGCCATGATGTTGATACCGCAGAGCTAAGACACAAGGTATAAGCCAGACCCGCTAGACGCCAGGTAGAGACTGACCTGTTGCCCAATCATGACCGTCCAACTGGCCAAGTTGGCGCGCCTCAATCGAGGCTTGGTGAAGATATCCCGGAGACGAGTGAAATAGGTCGTGCCTTGATGAGCTTTCATCTCTTCGAGGATCTGGCAGTGGGCATAAAACTGGTACGACCGCTCAGTATGATTATCGCCAACTGTCGAGGTCGACCCACCATGTCCCTCGCCGCCTGGATCTCCGAGAATCGTAACCTGCAAAAGGACGCAAATGCCTTCTGGTACCTTCCCTTCTTCATCAACCATCTAGGCGACTCGGGAGCGAACCAGCACATCAATAGTACAGGGATAGCGGGTACGAACGCAGCTGCCAGCTGGACTCTCCATGCGATCGCGCCGATCCGATAAAATATGAGGTTTGAGCCTTTCTTTGCATCAGTCCTGGTGCGGAAAGTCTTGTTGAGGACTCACAAAAGCCAAAGAAGATACCGAAAGCTACCCAAAGTTGGAAAGACATGACGAGAGCACCTCGGATGGAAGGTGGGGCGCTGGGAGAGAGCCGATCAGCGGGACCGAACGTCATGGGAAGTAGACTAACGTTTCTGCAGTGTAGATCGGAATGGTGGTGATCTATACCATGGGTCAATTCTGCGCATGGCGTGTCACAGCGGGACCCCACCTTGACTCCCATTCCCAGACCAATGAGGCATCGACAGATGAACAGTTCCCACCAATTCCGAGTGAATGCTTGACCGAGGACGGGAAAGACACAGAATAGACCAGTGATGAAGACTGCTCCTCGTCGACCGAGGTAGTGATTGACAGGGTCACACAGGGGAGCGGAGCTGGGACACTTCAATATGGATGGTCAGATTCAACAAAGAGACTCACATCGTGCCGACGATCAGACTTGGTCTGATTCATTCTCAGCCCCCGTCCACTGGCTCATCAACTCACGCAGCATTGACCAGACCCACGAGCCATGTATTGTCCTCGATACCAAATTCCTTGGGGAAGCTCAAGCTAGAGGGATGCTGTTTCAGCGGTGAGACCTTCCGAGGCGACGGGTTCCTCACTTGCTACCGTTAGCACCAGTGTTGTCCCAACCTGATCTCGTCAGCAGAGCATAAGGACATACAAGCACATACCCTGCACGGCGGAACCGATAGAGCAAACGATGACCAAGAAGTAGAGACTCCGAGTCTGACTCCATTTGTCTGAATGCTTCAGCCTTTTGTCTGCGGTACCTCCAGCGTCCACACTCACTGGTGTACTCCCGCCTGACCCAATACTTGTCATCTTCGGTCAACTCTGACAATGACTCGTAATCGTTTGGATTCTGAGCGAGGACCGCCGCTCGATGGAATAGGTCTTGCTTGTCTTGGAACCCATGGGTATCACAAAACTCGTCTGCGAGCTTGTACAGCTGAGCTCGGTCCACACCCGTCAAAGGATTCTGAATCCTGTGTCACATGGTGGCGTTAGCACCGGGTGCAAGTCAAGTCATCAAGGAGACAGGACACTCACTTTGCGGAAACGTTCCTGTTCCGGTTGACGACGGTTCCGGAATGATGCGATTCGATATGAGCTACATCTTCAAACTTGTCATCATGGATAGCAGTACCACCCTTGGGATTGTCCTGAACGCTTTCAGTGCTGGACATGACTTTGCTGTATATGATAGCAATGAGGTATGTGGGGCAAGAGGGGGGAAAAGACAGTGCCCCGCATCGGACAGGGTTGCCTTCTTATTAAAAGGTGGAAGGTCAATGTTCATTCCACCAAAATACCGAATAACTCCATGGTGTCCCTGGCATCTCGCATTGCGCTTGGTCTCAGTATACGTACGGAGGAATAGCGGAGAGCAAGCTTCTTAGCAACGCTGAGAGTCAATTACCGACTGCGCTGTTGAAGAAACTCAATGTTCAGTCATGCTGCCCCGAATCCCTTCGCTTGGCTGCCGGATGCATTCGGTCCGATTCGGCAACCCAAGTTCCGGCAAAACTCCGCATATCCTGGGCAGCCACGCTGGCGCCATCCTGCTGTGGAGAACCGAGGAGTTCATAACTCCCTGGGAGCGGCGTCGGAGGATAGCAAGGTGAGATCCAAGCTAGCGGGTATTCGAAGTACTATATATATAGCGAGAGCACCCTCTTTCGGGTTCTCACTCCATCAGCGCACACTGTGTCACCACCCACCATGATCAACAAGCCCACTCCCACGCTCCTTGAGCAGCTCGAGAACTCTGGCGTCGGTGTCGACGTCGATGCTGGAGACCCCGAAGTCGCCAAGTCTCTCCCCTTCAAGCCTCATGACATGACCTCGAACCAGATTCTGGTCCATGAGCGAATCATCGCGCCAGAGAACAAGGAGCTCGTTGAGAAGACCATCAAGGAAATGAAGGGTGCAGACTGGAAAGACATCCACATTGTCTTGGTAAGCCAATTTATCCTCACAAGCTAAAGTGATCCGCCTTCAGACCGCCAGATTCCACGCCATGGTCATTCCCCATATCCAAGGTCGAGTCCTCGCTCAAGTCTCTACTTCCAACGCGTACAACAAGCAGGCGATCATTGAGCACGCTCGAAAGTACCGAGATGCTTACAATGCAGAGGGCGTATCCAAGTGAGTCTCAAGACAGCAAAAGCCATCTGACACATGACTCCAGCGACCGATTCTGTATCAAGATCCCCACCACGACGGCTGGAGTACAAGCAGCTGCTGAGCTGTACAAAGAAGGCATACGCACGCTTGGAACGTCACTCTTCTCCTTGCATCAGGCTCTGGCAGCTGCTCAAGGAATGATGCTGTCCATCTCGCCATACTTTAACGAAGTCCGAGCCCACGTTGAGCAAGACTTGTGGCCCGATGTCGAAGACCCCGCGACTCAGCATCCATTCTCCGCTCGAATGATCCATATCCGAGATGCGTATGCAAAGCTCAGAGCTGAGGGCAAACATGTCCCTCTCAACAAGGCGGCCTCGTGAGTGTGTTTCAGCACCCATTCTCTCGCGCAGAGAAGCTGAAATGTTCTCAGTTGCGTGACGGCCCGAGAGTGCATGGCGATGAAAGAGCTCGGCGCCGATCAATTGACAATCCTCATCGGATCTCTTACCGATCTCCTGACATTTGACCGACTCCCCGTTTTTGTCAAGGGCAACGAATGGCAGAAACGGTACAAGGACATCATCAACAAGCCCAACATCCAATGGGCCAACTGGCAGGCTCCTGAACCCACCGTGTCGAAGAAACGCATGGCCGAATTGTCTCATGTAGACCCTCTCAGTAAAGTCATGAGCAAGGATCTCAAGCTGGCCGATCCTGATGTGGACTATCTCGCGGACGGAGTCCTGGACAAGATGAATGAGGAGGACGAAGTCACTCGATTGAGGTTGAAAGATGCCTTGGTCTTGTTTGACGGGGCGGAGAATGATTCGAAAAAGGAGATACAGAGACTACAGGCTTTGTACAACAACTAGAGGCGAGGCTCTAAGCTTACAAACCTCGGCACGATTGCATGCACATGACATTCCATGGGTCTGGTTGTCCACACGGGAACATGTTTGCATCTATCCTCCCCACCCAAGGACTTTCGTGGCGTCTTGGCTGTTCTGCCTCGCTTTCGACCGAGTCCACGGTGCCACGGGCCGAAATGACCATCTCGGTTGATTTTCCTCCTCCCCGCTACGATGGGAGATCGCATGTTGTTGGACTATCGGGCAATTTTCAGAACCTCTTGTTTTCGCCTCTCGCCGAGCTTTGGTAGCTCTTATTGGACGTCTTGCACTCATCTTGTCTGGTGCTACAGTGACCATTCGCTGCGGAATGTACTCAATAGACACCATGCGGACTGTCCTATCCCTCGGGTTATTCGGGACCCTGGTGGCAACAGCACATCGAGGTTGTGGCGGTCACGAGATTGGGCGGAGAAATCATGGCATGCTGGCGCATCGTCAAGCGATCTCCACCGATGAAGCCAGCGAGGCTGTCTCGATAGGCAAGTGGCATCCTCCTGACGCAGCCGTTACTGACAATCTCGACCCCTTCAGACCCCAGCACGGAATGTACCAATTATTACTACGCTCCAGTCGCCAATCTCAAACCCTACTACCCCTCTCCATGGCCTTACGACAACGTGACCAACACCGATCTATCCGCTGACATCCTACCTGATGACGCAACGGCTATGGATCTGTTTGGGACCATAAATGCCGAGTTGATGGCCAAGTTCCCCAACATTCAACCGCGAGGGACTTTGGACGGTAATTTCACTACCGCCCAAAATTACAGTTATCTCGATCCGGATTGTTGGTGGTCCTGGCGACACTGCACGACCCCAGCAGCGGATACGGGCCTTGTCGCGGATATCACGACGGTGCCAGAGCCCGAGACTTGGGGATTGGGCTTCGATGACGGGCCCAATTGCAGTCATAATGCTCTTTATGACTATCTTCAGCAGAACGACCAGCAAGCGACCATGTAGGTGCCGTCGACAAAGGTTGCGCTGAGTTGTTGTTTCCAGGTTCTACATCGGATCCAGCGTCTTCAATTGGCCACTGCAGGCACTCCGAGGGACAGCTGATGGGCACCAGATCTGCGTCCACACGTGGTCCCACAGGTGGGTGGGGCTTGTCGTGAAAACACCGAGCTGACGATGATGCAGGTACATGACTGCCTTGACCAACTCCGAAGCCTTCGCAGAGCTATACTATGGCCGAAAGATCATCACTGACGTCCTTGGCGTCACCCCGACTTGCTGGTGAGGTCCGATCTTGCCCGACGAGACGCAACCACCTGACTAAAAGGGTCTTAGGCGACCACCTTATGGCGATGTGGATAATCGGATTCGGTTCATCGCCAACAAGCTCAATCTTACCACTATCGTGTGGTCAGACGATACGCTAGATTGGGAAGAGGATGAACCATCACGAGATGTCACCGCTGCTGATGTGACTTTGAACTACCAAGCCATCATCGACAAAGTCGCCAATGGCACTTATGTGACGCATGGCCCAATTGTTCTGAATCACGAGCTTAGTGAGTCGGCAAAGTCACTCGAGGAGGCATTCCACTCACCGTCCGTCAGCCAACTATACCATGACCGAGTTCATCAGCCAATACCCCTCAATCAAGCAGACCTTCCAGCACGTAGTCCCCCTTTGCACAGCTCTCAACCTCACACACCCTTACGCCGAGACGGACATTGTCTGCCCAGACTTTGCCAGCTACATCGCGAATCGATCAACATCAGCAGGATCAACAACGGCTGCATCAGGTGCAGGGTCTGCACCTGGGTCAACCACGGCTGTGGCCTCAAAGACTGGATGGGCGTCACGCAATGTCGCGTACAGCTTGTTGAGCATAGCAGTCGCGTCTTCGTTCTTCGTCGCTGTCACATGCGGATGACCTCATGCACCTGACCTATGATAGAAAAACAACAGCCTGACAAGCACTGGTTTGACGAACAAAGCAGGGCTGGATTGGAGGCGCCTGTTACATACGCTGATTATAAGCATAATGTCCGGGATGTGTCCGATGGACCCCCTCGTGAGCAGAGAGGGGATGTCCTCAGGCTGCTGCTGTCCAGGATAGTCTCATGAGGTTCACGTGCAGCGACGCGCTGTACCCTTGCAGCGTTGTCCCATCCTCCATCTTACCGCTTGATGCGACTCAGCCACTCTCGCTCCACGCGGGCGGCTCATTATTTCGGACAAATCGAATTTTCACAATTTATTTTTAGCCATCGGATCTCATTATTGCTGTGTCCACCCATATCTGACCGCCCCCTCCTCCCTCCTTCCCCCAACGCAGGAGACATGTCAATTTAGCCACGGCGAGGGACGTCGGCGAGCAGCCAGACACGGGGGGGCCTCGTTCCCAGAAAAGACCCGTCTAACTCCATTGCCTCTTTGGATTTTCTCTCGGGTCGTCAGATGCAGAGAATGTTGACGAGAGTGTGCTGTATATAGACGAAATCAAGCTATGACCCTAAAGTGACCCTTTCGCTTCTTACTTTCTCGACTGACTGCAGCGACGCTCTTCGCCACAGCCAGCCCCTCTCTCTGAAATTCATCTTTTGTGTATACTTAGAAAAGGTTCTGACGTCTGACCGTTGACAACTTATCACTACCCGTCATGTTGGCCGCACTCGCGCTTTCATTATTGGCCACCGAGGCTCATGCCCATGCGGGATGTGGAGGACACGAGATTGGCAGGAGAAATTTGGGTCTCATGAATCCTCGACAGGCTGCCCCCACAAATGTGGCCAGCGGTGCCGTGTCGATTGGTAAGCGATATTAGCGGGACGATCGACACACATATTGACACATTTCCCTTCTCTCAGACCCCGCATTCGAGTGTACCGACTACTACTATGAACCCGCCTCGAAACTCGTCCCTTTGTATCCACCCGTTTGGCCAGAGAACAACGTGACTGGAGCACAAGAATGTGCCGATATTTTACCTAATGACACCGAGGCGATGGCTCTGTTTCAGCCGATCAACGCCACCTTGAATGCCAAATTCCCAAATGATCGTCCACATGGAACCCTCTTAGGAGACTTTGCCGGTGTCCAGTACAACTATACCGATCCCGATTGCTGGTGGTCTTGGGCCAAGTGCGACACTCCCAAAGCCGACACCGGTCTACAACCTGATATCACCACGGTTCCGACACCGGAAACCTGGGGTCTCGGATTTGACGATGGACCCAACTGCAGTCACAATGCGCTCTATGACTATCTTCAGGAGAACAATCAGAGGGCGACCATGTGAGAGAGACGATGGGCAATCACATGACCGACCGCTAACTCTCCGCGCTCTAGGTTCTACATTGGCTCAAACGTGCTAGACTGGCCCCTGCAGGCTCTGCGAGCCACCACAGACGGTCATCAGATTTGCGTTCACACCTGGTCGCACAAGTGAGCTTTGTCAAGTGGAGGCGTGTGAGGATTGACCTGGATCCCCAGATACATGACGGCTTTGACCAACTCCCAAGCGTTTGCCGAACTTTACTACGCTCGAAAAGTCATCAAAGACCTTCTTGGAGTCACCCCTCAGTGCTGGTAAGCGGACCACTTCTGCTGAACACACGGGATTTGCTGATTCCCCCCATCAGGCGACCACCATACGGTGATGTCGACAACCGAATCCGTTACATAGCTTCTCAGCTCAACTTGACGACCATTGTCTGGTCCGATGATTCTCAAGACTGGCGAGAGGGCGTTCCGGCCGACAATGTCACTGCTGCCGACGTGACGCTCAACTACCAAGCAGTCGTGGACAAGGTCTCCAACGGGACATACATCAACCACGGTCCCGTCGTTCTGACACACGAACTGAGTAAGCCAGCACCCCTCTTTCCCTTTGTCGGTTGATTCGTCGTGTCACTCACGCTCTACACTCTTTTAGCCAACTTTACCATGTCCGAGTTCATCTCCCAGTACCCATCCATCAAGAATGCTTTCAAGCACGTCGCCCCTCTTTGTGTGGCTTACAATATTACACACCCCTATGTCGAGACAGATATCGTTTGTCCAAGCTTTTCCCAGTACATTTCCGGAACCATCAACATTTCCTCGTCAACCCCCATGGATTCATCGTCGTCATCCTCATCAGGAACCACCTCCATGTCCGGCTCGATGACTGGATCCATGACTGGTTCTGCGACCTCATCTGGGACTTCCGCTTCAGCGACATCAAAGAGTGACACGAAGACAGGATCAGCAACACCAGCCATGAAATCTTCCTTCGGCCTCGGTGCCAGTTTACTTGGCGCCATGGTTGCTGGACTCTTGTTGGCATGATAACGTCGCATTTTTAGTCCCGTTCGTAGAGTCATGTAGCTCCCCCATGGACAATGTATCTGCCGACGCGCGGTGCTTGGGCCCGTCGAATGAATCAACGCGATTCTGATTACATGATCGTGCTCAATGCCCGTGTGAAATGATGCGCACAAACTAATACAGCTCTTTAATCTACTTTAGTCTCCTTCATCGCCAATTGCGGCTCCCCTTGCCCTTCACCTTCATCACCCGACTCGGTCTTCGTCTCTGGCTTTGAAGATTTAGATTGATCGAGATGCTTCTCAATGTAAAGATCCATCTCATCGCCGTTGTCACTTAGGGCAACGAGTTAGCATCGCCAAATTAACGCCCCCATCGCGAAGATACTACTCACAATGGCCTCGGGCCAAGTGTCCGTCTCATATCCTCACGCGTGATAACCTCCTTCTTCAGCAACAGTTGCGCAACCTTTTCCACCGCTTCCTTCTTCTCCGTCAACAACTCGGTCGTCCGACGATGAGCTTCTCGGACCATGTTGTGGACGGCCTTGTCGAGAGCTTGCGCCGTAGCTTCACTGAATGGCTTTTGGAAACTCTCGTTGTTGTCCGTCCGACCGTACGAGATGGGTCCAATGTCAGGATTCATTCCGTAGTTGGCACAGACTTCGAATGCCATCTTGGTGATTTTCTGCAAGTCATCCTGAGCTCCAGTGGTGATGACGCCAAAGAAGATCTCTTCAGCGACTCGGCCTCCAAGCGTCATGCACATGCGATCCAGCAGCTGCTCCGTAGAGAATAAGAATCGCTCCTTGGGCAGGTACTAGAAACGACTATCAGCGCGTCGTCCCGAGATGTGGCACGTCTTTAGCTCACCTGGGCATATCCAAGCGCACCTGCACCGTGCGGGATAATGGAGACCTTGAGCAAGGGATCCGCATACTGAAGATACCAGCCGCAGACGGCATGTCCAGCCTCGTGATACGCCACAGTCTTCTTCTCACTTGCGTCCAGGACTCGGCTCTTCCTCTCGAGACCGGCAATGACACGCTCAATCGCGCCATCAAAGTCATCGTCCGTCACAGAGTCTCCCCCTCGACGGGCTGCCCTAAGAGCAGCTTCGTTACACACGTTGGCTATATCCGCTCCTGAGAAACCCGGTGTCAACAATGCCAGCTTTTCAGAAATGTCGCTGAGTGTGACGGTCTTGGAGAGGGCGAGGGGCTTGAGGTGAACGTCAAATATTTGCCGTCGGCCACCGATATCCGGTCGATCGATGGCGATATGTCTGTCGAAACGACCCGGTCGCATCAATGCACTATCGAGAACGTCGGGCCGATTGGTGCCCGCCAAGACGACAACATGCTCCTTGGTCCCGAAACCGTCCATTTCCACCAAGAGCTGATTCAACGTGCTCTCTCGTTCATCGTTTCCACCAAAGCTGCCCCCTTTGCCCCTCGACTTTCCGATGGCGTCAATTTCATCGATGAAAATGATACACGGGGTTTGCTTCTTGGCATTCGCGAACAAGTCTCTAACTCGAGATGGTCCAACACCGACAAACATTTCGACAAATTCGGATCCAGATACTGACAAGAAGGGAACACCGGCTTCGCCTGCAGTCGCCTTGGCCAAAAGGGTTTTACCTGTTCCAGGGGGTCCAGATAAGATGGCACCGCGAGGGATCTTGGCTCCGAGCTTCTCATACTTCTGAGGTTCTTTGAGGAATTTGACGAATTCAAGAATTTCCTATACCGTCAGCGTCTCCCGCCTGACTTGTGTTTCCCCACCTCTTTCGCCTCGTCACATCCTGCTACATCCTGGAACCTGATTTTGACCTGCTCGTCCTTGTTGAACATCTTGGCTCTACTCTTGCCGACGCCAAAGATGCCACCTCCAGGTCCACCTCCACCTCCAGCTGTCCGTTTCATGCTCCACAGTAACAGACCACCAATGAGAAGGGTGGGAGCGAAATGAAGGAGGGTCTGTGCAGTTGAGATCTCCTCACGATACGAGACGGGAACACGCTCAGCAGGGGGGATGCCGAGTTCGTCTTGCGTTTGTATCAGCATGGACTCGAATGATTCCACAGAGCCAATGGTGAAGGAATAAGCTGCTGGACCGTGAGAGGGTGACGGGAGGGATCCGCTCGACAATGGGCCTGACATATCGGAAGGTGTGTTGATGGGATTGCGTAGGTGAACTCGTACTTTGGAGCGGTTGACGACTTCTAAAGAGGATACGAGACCGCGAGACAAGAGGGAGTTTCGGCTGAATCCGCAATGAGTGATCGAGTCGCGCAACAAAGACTCACAATTCCTGCCAGGTGATCTCCCTTACCCGGCTCTCACTAGGAGCAGTGAATTGCCACAAGAGATATGACCTGGACAAAGGTCAGGCCTGGTGACTTTTCAGCCGAATGACGGACTTACAATACGATCGACAGGATGAGCTGATTCGTGCCCATTCCAGGAGGGCCACCAGGTAGACCAGGACCACCCGAACCGTCCCCTCCCCCTCCGCTCGGTCCACCATCTCCTCCCGTGCCGACCTTTTTACCACGATTTCGACCTTGTCCTTTCTCAGCAGCCTCCTCTGTCTTTTGATTCTCCTCAGCTTGCTCTGCGGGTTCTGGCTTAGCACCTTTCGGTAAGCCTTCCACCGGATCAGGAGGTGTAGATGGACCAGAAGGTTTGTCACCTATCGGATTCGGAGCAATGACCGATCTGAGTATGGATGCAAATGAGGTGGTCTCGGTGGCCTCTTTCAAACGATCACCAATCGGTGAGGCAGCGGATTTTGCTGGACGAGCACGATTGGCTGTTGATGATGATGACGCTGCTGATGAGGGTGATGATTTCTTGGTGCTTCGAGGTCGGGCCGCATAATGCCTGAGGATCGACGTTGATGGTGAGACGAGTCGTGCACGCTGAGTCAGAGCTGTCGATCGAGCCAAATTATGATAAGTGGCGAGTCGCAGTGACATGATCGAAAGTTATGCTCTGATCAATTCGATAGCGCACTGTTCGTAATGACAGAAGAGCAGTGATCAGCAAGCTCTGATTGCTCCAAAGCTGAAGCTCTCGACAGGAGATGTTCAAGACGATGATGTTCGATTTCGTCCTGAACCCTTGACCGGCCGAACACAAAACGCGACATATGCCGGGTACGGTTATCAACAGCACGAATCCTACAAAATAACACGTCAGAGTTCTTATGGCAGTCAATCTACTTTGGCGTCCCGTCCCCTCGGGTAGAATGCCCGTGTGAGGAGGCTGTGGGATACCATCCCGTGTCTCTAGCCCATGACAAGCTGCTGCGCTGAGGACACTGCCAGTCAGGTAATCGATTGCCCCGGCGGCTCATTCATTTGTGCCGGGCAGGCTGGCGTCTCCCGCCTTGTACTTATATTTGGAACGCAAGGGCCGGGCCCAATGACATTTTGTAACTCTTTTCAGTAGATCCTATGGACCCATCGAGACGATGAGCTAGACTGATAGGTTCAGAAGAACTGATCAATGGTATCTCCTTCCACAGGCCGCCATGAAACCCAGTCTAAGCGTTCCGAAGTTGTTGTCGTTGACTTTCTTCGTGCTTCTGCTGACTTTGACAAGTGGCGATGCGATCCGGCTGTGGGATCCCTCAGCTCGCCGCGAGCCAGCAAAGTCATTGGGTGCCCAGTCCAGGCAATGCTCGACGAATGCAGAGTGTTTGCGTCTTGGCAGCCCTATCCGAAAGCAAGACGTTACTGGAGGAGCCAAGGTACATAAGCGGGCTTCTGTCACGATGACGACTGGCACTACCACTACACTCAGTCCGAAACCCACGCCAAGCAAGTCAGTGTCTTCATTTCACCTTCTTCTTCTCGCATTATTGACCGAAAGCACCGGGTATCAGGTTCTCTACATCTATCGCAGTATTTGCTTCCTACAACAGTTCTTTTTTGGGATACATCTCTAGGTCCAACGTCGCCCCGGACGGTGTGCTCCTCCCATTCTTCTCTGGTTTCGATGTAAGCGATTACCGAAGCGCTCCGTCATTCCCATCTGACGGTGGGTCACAGGATTCTCAATATCTCCAAGTGATAGTAGACGTGACGCCGCATGAGACTACCTATGGTCATAACATCACTTTCCCGTGGAGTGGTACCCCTCCGGCTTATTTCCTCTGTGCTTTCATGTACGCGATTGCGAGAACGAGAGATATTAATCAACCGTGAGTGGTTCTCATCTTGTTCTGCCGTGACACCTCCCCCAGAGACTAATCGAGGTTCAGATACGCCCAAGCTTATCTTAGCGCCTGCAATTCGCAGGGTATTGGTACGACCCAGGCCGGTTCTCCCCCGGCTCTCGGAGAGAACGCAATAGTCAGTAGTCGCCTTCCAAAGATTTGCGATTGACCTCTCTCCAACAGTGGACCATCGACGGCACTTCCGGGGAGCTTTCAGCCGTATGGGAGCAGCCGAGTGGGGAGCTCTTACCCCTGACATGTTACTATGATCCGGGTATTCCGACCGCGGGTGTTCCACCCTCATTCGTCTTTGTGAATGGCGAAGACATCTACGGAAATAACGGCGCTTTCAAAATAGTCAGCATCTTCTCCCAGCGTGAATTACTGGGCCGCCGTTGATTACCAACCTCACAGAGACTGTTCTTGCCTATTGATAAGCGATGTCGACCGCAACTGTGCTCGATCAAATCTATGCCAGGGTAATCAAGTCAACAAGCTGAATGGGGTCGGGCGGCGTGGCGGCGCGACGAGGTGCTCCCCACGCGGCTGAAAGCTCTGGCGAATGAGCGCTACGGTCTCTTGCAATGCGTGATGCAGAACCGGCGAGAGCGTAGAGCTGCGTGGATTATCTCACGTCGTGGTACTCCGGCCTCACATTCCATACTGTATTAGTAGTCATGCAATCATGCATATATAGCCTATGTTGCGCTCAAAGTGTCGACACGTGGTGTAAAGGACATGCCACAGAAGGCTCCGCGCCGAGTCTGCACCATCATTCGCCTGTCACAGACCTCTGCTCCATTGCCGTGTCTTCCCTCCCATCGTCGAAGAGGGCACAGGCATAGATCAAGAACATCCAGGATGGGATCCCGACGCGCTGTCATCCCTCCTCTTCTGCTCGTCTTCTTGCTCGTGCTGAGCTCAGCAGCCGTGACAGTCATGGGTGTCAAACACGAAGACTTCAAGCTTTGCTCCCAATCATCCTTTTGTCGACGTCTTCGATCCATAGCGACGAAGCAGAGTGATGCTCATCCAGGATCATTTCAATCTCCCTACTCTCTCGGCTCACCCATCCCCTCGCCAGAAGTAAATGGAGCAAGTTGGACTTGGCCAGTCACGTCCAGTTTGTACCCTGATATCGGCTTCAATCTCCGAATCGACATTCTCTCACAAGGGGATGGTATAGCGAGAGTTCGGATGGACGAAGTGGGGTCGAGAACACCTCATAAGCGATATAACGAGACTGCCAAATGGGCTTTGGTAAATGCTGAACCGTCCTTGGCTCCGACATCTGCAGTCAAGCTGTCTTCAAGTAAGACAGCCTCAATATTGTCATTCGGTTCTGGACAGAGTCTTGCAGTGGAGCATGCCCCGCTCAAAATCACCATGTTACGCGACGGAAGACCAGAGATAGTCTTGAACGAACGAAGCCTTTTCCACATGGAGCATTTCAGGACAAAAGCCGTTGACTCTCCGGCGGATCCCGAGGCCATTCAGAGTGAGGGCGAGCAGGCCGTCTTGAAGGGCGATGAGATGGATCGATCATGGTTCGAGACGGCTGATAACGATATGTTTGAAGAAAGCTGGAAGCGATGGAGAGATTTAAAGCCGAAAGGTGAGGCCGTCGACTTCAGCCCCCCCCCCCCCCCCCCCCCCCAACTGACATTCCCCAGGACCCGAAGCTCTATCCCTTGACATCACCTTTCCAGGCGTCCAACATATTTATGGTCTCCCGGAGCACGCTTCACCATTATCACTGCCTGATACAGTGGGATCTGCTGCAAGATACTCGGAGCCTTATCGACTGTTCAACGTGGACATTTTCGAGTATCTTGCAGACTCCCCCATGTCCCTGTACGGTGCAATCCCTCTTCTCCACGCACATTCCAAGACGTCTTCGGTGGGCGTCCTCAACCTGGTTGGATCAGAGACGTGGGTTGATGTCCTGCACGATCAAGCGGACGTACACACGCACTGGATGTCTGAGTCTGGAATTCTGGATGTCCTTCTGCTGCCTGGACCTAGACCACAACAGCTGTTCGAACAAATGGCCGTCTTGACCGGTCCCACGCCTCTCCCACCTCAATGGTCCACAGCGTACCATCAGTGCAGATGGAATTATATCGACGAAGCTGATGTCCTGGAGGTCGACAAGAAATTCGACGAGGTAGATATTCCCCTCGACGTCACTTGGCTCGATATCGAATACGCAGAGGAACACAAATACTTTGAATGGGACAAGAAGCATTTCCCAGAGCCGACCAGAATGCTGAAGAAGGTCGAGGAGAAGGGACGCAAGGTGGGCACAGGAGGATTATATCGCGCTGACAGATCTGCCAGATGGTGGCCATCGTCGATCCTCACATCAAAAACTCTGATTTTCGCATCGCCAACGACGCCAAGCGACTGGACATTCTCATCAAAGATGCCAACAAGAATGACTTTACAGGCTTCTGTTGGACCGGAAACAGCGTCTGGGTGGACTTTTTCAACCCCAAGTCTATGGAGTGGTGGAAAGAAATGTTCACGTTCCAGGTTTGGGAGGACTCCGCCAAGAACCTGTTCATCTGGAACGACATGAACGAACCTTCAGTCTTTGACGGTCCGGAGATCACGGTACCCAAGGATTCTCTCCATTATGACGGATGGGAGAATCGAGATGTCCACAACATCAACGGGATGCTTTTCCATCGAGCGACGTCGGAAGCTCTGGTAGCTCGAGAAACGCCGTCCCAACGACCGTTTGTCCTTTCGCGAGCCTTTTTCGCGGGATCGCAACGATACGGTGCCATCTGGACGGGCGATAACATGGGAACGTGGGATCACATGGCGGGAGAGACCGCCATGTTGTTGTCCAACAATATTGGTGGCATGTCCTTCTGTGGAGGTGAGTGGACGATGAGTGGGATGGCATCGCACGCTGAACACTTGATCAGCCGACGTCGGTGGATTCTTCGGCAACCCTAGTGAAGAGATGCTTGTCAGATGGTACCAGGCCGGGGCATTTATGCCATTTTTCCGGGCCCACGCCCATGAGGATACTCGTCGACGAGAACCATTCCTGTACGACGAGCCGATCAGGGGCTACATCAGGGACAGTATCCGACTGAGATATCAACTGCTCCCCATGTGGTACAATGCTTTCCACGATGCCAGCATTAGTGGCGTACCCATTATCAAGTGAGCAATGGGAATCCGGGGTTTCGAATTGACACTCTAGACCTCAATACGTTGTCTTCCCTGAGGATGAGGCTGGGTATGCGATCGACGATCAGTACTACATCGGTGACTCTGGAATCCTCTTCAAGCCAGTCACATCAGAGGGCGCGACAAAGACGGATGTGTATATTTCTGACGACCAGGTGAGTGCTGTCGGTCCCGTAGCAGACGCTGACGTCTGTCCAGCCTTACTACGACTATTTCACCCACCGCCTTCACCCCGCCGCATCGCATTCCAGACGTCTGACCTTTGACACGCCATTGTCTTCGTACCCCTTGTTGATCCAAGGAGGCCATATTATCCCCTCTCGCCAGCGTGTTCGTCGAGCTTCGCCCTTGATGTGGCAGGATCCATTCACGCTGACTATTACCGTCTCAAAACAAGGTACTGCGACTGGTCAATTGTACCTCGATGACGGGGTTTCATACGGCTATCAATCTGGAGAGTACGTCTGGCGCCAATTCGACTTCACGTCGTCAAAGACTGGTGCAAAGTTGATCTCCTCGGATCGATCGACGAGACAGAGTGAAGCTGTCACACAGAACGCCGTGACGCCTTACGATGAATCAAACCTTTGGGCCAAGTCGATCGCTCACGTCAAGATCGAGCGGATTATTATTCTCGGTCTGGCCGCTGAGCCCAAGAGTGTGACTGTCGCCGGACAAAAGCTCGAGTCCACTTGGCGATCGGGAGCGGCGGGCAATGCCAACAAGGAAGGAGCGAGTTCCGAGCTGGTCATCAAGAACCCTGGCGTCGGCGTCATAGGTGGATGGGAGGTGAATCTCAATTAGAAGGGCTTTTCACAGTCCATGAGTGAGACGTTACAAAATCATGTGGACACTTTATTTTCGCCTCACGACTAGAATACATTTGCATGTTTGTGTAGGATCGAGACCGCCATACATGTTCAGATTCATGTAATTGGAGAACACGTCCTTTGCTCTAACCCAATCGAAGACCAAGCATGAGACCCGCGAGGAAGGTTGCTCGTTCTGTCGATTTGCCAAACCCAAACCAAGAAATCATCAGCTCCTCCCGTGCCAAGCACCGTCAATAGTCACTCACGTTGGAAGTTGGCAGTGAGAAAATCGACCATCCAGGCCCAGGCTCCTCCTACAGATGGCATCCTGACTTCACCGGTGGCAGGAATTTTGGTACCAAACGTCTTATTGTAGCTTCCGGTGAGTTTGGCCCAGTCAACGTTGATGAAGCTTTTAGACGAGAGGTACTGATGCGAGGAAACGTATCAGCCGCAAGTCTGACAACGAGGTACGGTTTCCCCCGGTCGCGCATCCCCCCTCTTGTTTCTCCTGACTCACCTGGAGCAAGACGAACGCTCCTCCGAGCAAAAAGGCAATTGCTTTCAATCCCTTTTTGATAAAGACGCCCGTACAGATACCAGCGACTGATCCGAAACCAAGTTGGAAGAGTGAGATCTGACTTTCATTCGGCAATTCACCCCCAAACACCTCGGGTTTGGGTCTTCCCGTCAAGGTTGTATCGGTCTTTCCGAAGACTTGCGATTCACATGCGAGCGGACGAGACGAGTGGATGGATTGGAAAGCGATGAAGGATAGACCGAGACCGAACGTGTAGAGTTTCAGATTGGATCTCGGGGCTGATCGAGCTTGAACACGAGCGATGATATGAGAAGTGGAAGATCGATTGTAGAGAGAGTAAGGTCGGATGGAAGATGGTCGGAGGGAAGGAGCGGAAGGTGAAGAGAGGAAGGGCGTAGGACGAGAGAAGAGTCTAGGAGATAGACCTAGACGGAAAGACATGGCTGACCCCAAGAGAATCCCAACAGCTACCCTCTACGATGCAGTGACAAGACGGAGGACAATTCCAAGGTGAAAGAGGTCCACACGTTGGGTGCTGGTTGCAATTCAGATCCCGGCGGACGACCAAACGTCATAACCAATTCACGGACATTCACTGGATCTCCGGATCTCAAACCACGTGGGATCGGAATTTTGTGATGGAGATATTAAAAGTTGTCAGAGAACAGTAGTCAAGTCTGTAGGGACACCCACCGCGGAACAATGGACAAGATGAACGGAGCAGAGGACTGGGAATGGGATCTCATCTCGTCCTCTGTCAAACTCGGAGAGAGCTCTACGTCTTCGCGTACGGCGACGCTGGCCAATTGTCTCTGCCGAGCTGAATTTCAAGCGATCCTAGAGTCTGATGAAGCAAAGGATGTGCTGTCGGATGAACGATTGTACCGGGATCTAGTGACCGGATACCAGGCCAGTGGGCCGAGTCACGACGACGAAGCCAACAGGCCTATCGCGATGCAAGCCGAACAGACCCTCGCCCGATTGATCATCGCCATAGCTTTACTTCATGCTTTCGTTCAAGCCAACTGGACAGGACCAGATCTCGACTTCTCACCGCTGGACCTCTTGCCCGCCCCAATCGCGAAAGACGTCAGCGTAGAGCAGCTGAATGAATCAGCCATCCCTCTCCTCACCCTTGGAGGCGAGCCTGCCTATCACCTCTCGACTCATTCTTCACTCTTCCTTCTTGCCCTCCGAGTCCTGAATTCATGTCAAGGCCTGCATACATTTTCATGGTGGAAATTACGTTTTCATCTCGTTCATCTGTCTCTCCTGGATGAACCTGTCGAGCTTTCGCCGTCGATTCTGGATCAAGTGAAAGCTTTAGCGGAGAATCTACCGGAAGATCCTGATCTACAAGCACGATATCACCTCGAAGTAGGACTCTACCACCAGGCACTGGGTCAAGACAAACTTGCCAATGCTCATTTCCTTGAAGCTGCGAGGTCCAGTGGTCTAGAATTCCAACTCACGGGTGCATTAGGAGTCAAGACGAAATTCCAGGTCAATCCATTGAGTCAGTTGGTATTATTGGCCGAATCAAGGGATCGCCCCGGAGGCGACACGGAGGCGGCGATAGCAACGGCGGATCCCTCCTTGCCAGAGGCATCCGCGAGTGGGACACCAAGCTCTATGCCCGAAACCATGGCTCTGAATGACGACACCTTGTTGGAAGAAACGCAGTTCACCAAATTGGTCAATCCTGAACCCACAGCCCCGACATCGTCTCTATCCCGGCTTGCCCATCTAGATCCGGCCAATCAACCGCCTCTTCATCCTCTCGATCAATCTCTCCTCTTGTCCTTGTGCTTATCGCAACACAATCAAACGCCCGAATCAGGTCTCACCGCAAGTCAAATGATGCCTTTTGTCTCTCGCGTCATTTCCCATCCTCGCAATTGGTCGGTTCATACCGTTGCTCTGCTCCTTCGATCTCGACTCGAATCGACCCGCTCGCGGACCGTCGAGCGATCGGCACTACAGCTCGCGGCCTTGATTGAGCAAATGCCTACTAGCGATTCGACACCCAAAGAGAGATTGAGATATTTCCATCAAATCCCACTCCCATCACGCTGGGCCATGGAAAAGGAACTCGCTAAACGGTATCTTTCCCTCGGAGTCACCCGATCTGCTCTGGACATTTTCACTCGCCTCGAGATGTGGGAAGATGCTGTATCTTGTCTCCAACGGATGGAACGGGATGAAGAGGCTGAGAAGATTGTCCGGGATCTGCTTGAGGGTCGAATCATCGAATCAGATCTCGTCCCTGTCCTCAAGAAGGATATGAGCGACACTCGACGTGAAAAGATGTCTGCAGGTCGACAGGCTAAGCTCTGGTGTATCCTTGGTGATTTGTCCTTGACTTCGGACGGTGCTTCCAAGGACCCTCAAGCAGCCAAGGACCGAGCGATGGAATGCTACGACAAGGCTTGGCAAGTGTCCAACGAGACCTTCTCCCGAGCAATGAGATCCAAGGGGGCTCTGCATTTTTCTAGCAGAGAGTACGAACAGGTCGTTGAATGTCTTCGAAAAGCGCTCGAGATCAACCCGTTATACGGTCGGACGTGGTTCACCCTCGGTGTCAGTCTGACCCGCTTAGAACGATGGTCAGAGGCAAAAGAGGCGTTCCAGAGAGAAGTTGGAGTGGACGAAGAGGATGCCGAGGGATGGAACAATCTCGCTGCGATCTATTTAAGGCTCTATGAGGATTCGAAAGGGGAGGAAGAGGTGAGGAGAGGATATTTGAACCATGTCGGCGGAAAAGGGCTTGTCGCTGACCCGTGCGTGGCCTTTTAGCTCGCGGCCGCTCCGTTCTCGGACAAGTTGATGGCTTTCCGTGCGCTTCGACAAGGGATCAAATTTGCCCCTAACAATTGGCGAATGTGGTCCAATTACATGATTATCGCTGGCGACGTAGGCGAATTGGCAGAATCAGCACGCGCCATGGGCAGAGTCATCGAACATCGTAAGGCTGATTCGTCCAGAGCAGTCATGGGGGAGGTCGAGTTCGACGTCTTGGACAAATTGGTTGACAGTGTGACGAGGGACGATCACGCTCTTGTCAAGCAGGGTTCGCTGCTCTCAAAGTCCTCCAATGAAGGCATCGGACTCTTGCCGATCCTTGATAGACTGTTTGACCATTCTATCCTCGCTCGTGTATCGGATCAACCGCGAGTTTGGCGAGCTCATGGAAGATTGGCGAGATGGAAAGAAGAGTGGAAGATCGCCATGGAGGATTATATCAGGGCGTACCAATCTGGTCCCAGTTGTTTACCAGGTGTAGAAACGGATAAAGACAAGTTCGCGGCGGCGGTCTTGGAACTGGAGGAATTGGTCGGTGTATTTCAAGCCCTAGGACCCAAGATACCTAAAGAAGAAGGAAAAAAGGCAGGAGACTGGACTTTTCAAGCTAGAGGATTGGTCAGGACGTTTATAGGAAGGACGAGAGCTTCGTAAGTGGCACCGCAAGAGACAAGTCCAAGTAGGACTGACACCGTGGCCAGGTTCGAAGATGATCCAGAGATGGAGAGGCTCAAGGCGCTATTAGGTGAGTTGAAGAATAGCAAGTAGGCTGGTCGGCAAAGGGGGTGGGGTCGTGGGCCTCCAAATATATCCTGCACTTTTATACCCGGAACGACGCGTGATATCTCATACCTGCCATGTCATGTACAACATAAAAAGTATCACACTGAAAACATCAGAATGGTTCTCCTCCAGCTCTAGCGATCCTATTCCATCCATCAGGTGGCGCCTTACCGCCTACCGCCTCCTGTTTGGCTTGAACGGCCTCTTGCCTCCTCCCAGACCCGTCGCAGCGACTTTACCCCGTCTCTCCTTGACACCTTTACTCGAACGCCAATTGTCTCGTCTAGATCCCCTCGGTGCGGAAGTCGAGATTTTCTTGCCTAAACACCCAAAAGGTATTCATTAGCATGGATCAACACAGACCTTTGACGAATGATGCCACCGACTCACCGTCTCCTGCCTTATCTTCTCCCTCTTGTTCCTCGACCATCTCTTCGTCTCCTTCTTCATCCTTTACGACCTCCTCGCCCTCTCCCTCACCCTCACCCTCCTTCCCTTTACCCTTGCCTAATAATTTTGCCGACAACCTCGCGACTCTCGCTGCGTCTGCTGCGTGATAGTTGCCTGATTCTCGCTTCTTTCGCCTCTGCGCCATCTTTTGTTTCGATCGAATAGATTTGGCCATGGTACAGAGCGAGTAGTGGGTTGAGTCGCAAGGTGGGGTGTGTGTGCAGAGTGGTGTGTATGGTGCAAGCTTCGCAGATCAGTTAACAATTGGTTGAAATCAACTTTTTGGGATTAAATAGCATGATGCAAATTCCACCAAAGATAAATATTCCCAGGTGGAGGCCACGGCAGTTACGCGGCCGCGAGCCAGCAGGCAGCATTGAACAACGCTTTCAACAGTACACTGACAATCGACGAGGTTCACTAGCGACAGCGAGACGCTCAGCAAAAGGGGCAACACATATAGCTGATCTCCTGAGACTTACCCCTGGTCTCGCGTGATTTCCGAGCTTCGTCTTCAGTCTCTCTCTCTCTCTCTCTCTCTCGCTCTCTCTCTCTTAACGTCGTCAGCATGTCGCGATCATCTTATGACCGGTAAGCGCGGCTTGGCCAAATCTTCTTGTGCTTCTGCATCTGACACCTTTGTACAGATACTTGACAGTCTTCTCTCCAGAAGGAAGGGTGAGTCTGACTTTGACATCTACGTACACACACACCTCGCTCACACATCCACTCGTTCATCCTTTAGCTGTACCAAGTCGGTGAGGCCTATTCATTTCGAATGCGGTTATGACCCAGCGAAGCTCATGTATCCTTCTAGAATACGCGATCAAAGCTATCTCTGGAGCTGGAATCACCGCGGTCGCCGTCAGAGGCAAAGATACTGTCGCCATCATCACTCAGCGCAAAGTTCCAGTGAGTCTGGGGTACAGTGCAAGGCCGCCAGCGTCAAAACGACTGCACTGTATCGAACCAACGGCTTCGGTCTTCCGGATGTACCGACGAAAAGCTGACCCTTTCAATCCTCCAAGGACAAGCTCCTAGATCCCGATACCATCACTCATATCTTCCAAATCACCCCTACGATCGGGTGTGTCATGACGGGATTGATTGGTGAGTTGATCGATTCAGCATTTTGACAGCTCTCGCCTCGCCCTGACCATTGCGTTTTAGCCGATGCTCGCGCTCAGGTCCAACGGACAAGGAGTGAAGCTGCAACGTTCAGATACAAGTTTGGATACGAGATCACACCTGCTGCGCGTGAGTCCGTTCACCCTATGGCCCCAGGTGTTCTGGTATTCAGCTGACTCTTCGCAGTTGCCAAGCGGATGGCCAATATCAACCAAGTGTACACTCAAAGAGCAGGCATGCGGCCATTGGGAATATGTATGTGGAGCAGCTAGTGGCTCAATCGCGACCAGAGCTTACCAGAAAAAATTAGCGATGATCCTCATAGGAGTTGATGAGGAGCTCGGACCCCAGATATTCAAACTTGACCCAGCGGGATACTTTACAGGGTACAAGGCCACTGCTTCGGGACAGAAACAGACTGAAGCCAGCAACTTTGTGAGTTGAGATTCATCCTTTTACCGCGTCATTCAGCTCACAATACGCAGTTGGAAAAAAGGTGGAAAGGGATCGAAGCGGACAAGACGGTCCTAGATCGAGGAGCAGTTCTGGAGGTGAGCCTTTCGGCTGCATCGAACAAATTGTGATAAACTGATGCGTAACGTAGGCCGCCATCGAGTGCCTGTCTACAGTCTGCGCGACAGATTTCAAAGCCTCCGAGATTGAGATTGGCATCGCGTCCATTTCACCGGATGAGCCTCACCCAGAAGGCAAAGCTGGCGCGGGTGGCATAGGGAAATTCAGACAGATGAGTGAAGAAGAGAGGGGCGAGTGGTTGGTCAGAGTAGGCGAGAAAGACTAGAGGAGGCATGTACATGTGACTTGAGATGCATAGGATCGGCATTTGACGATGGACAGAACCATGCTAGTGTTACTTGGTAGCCCATACGATTAGATCGGGATGCGCCGGGGCAAAAAAATGTTGGGCCAAGAATTTCCAGCCAGTCGAGGTGTTTCTCTTGTACTCGATCATTCATGTCCACCACCATGAAGCATCTCATCAGCATCGTACGTCTCAGCATTCCACCTGCTCACATCATCCTCTTGCTGATTGTGACCGCAGCCATGCAAAGCTGGACCGTCACGGGCGTCACGCCCATTCTCCAAGCTGCCGCCGATGAGTCCTGCCGGTCCCCCTCGTCAATCTCTATCGACAATGTCGAGACATCTCTCGCCTCATCCTTCCTCTAGACTCAAACACGCTCGATCCGGTACCTCTACAGCTTCCTTGAGTGCAGAATCGACAGGGTCCACCTTGGGAACTCTTACCAACGATGACATTCGAAAAGTCTGGTTGGCGAAGAACAAGGCGTTCCAAGATGCCAGATCGAAGAGGAATCAAACGCTATTATTCTATTCTTTGGGAGCGGTGAGTGTTGATTGGGCGTGCTGGATACTCGGTCTGGGCAGGAGGATCGTGACCCGCTTGGATTCTGGCGCGAGCACATGATTGGCATGGAAAGCGGAAATTGCGAGGTGTCGCGGAATATCACTGCTTTGCAACCTTCGCTCTACAGTAGGGCATGGCCGAGAAGCGCAGATCTATGAGTGGGGATTTGCTGCCGCGAGGGATGGCTACGATCCAGGCAAACTGCCTGCAACTTGAATCTCCCGTGTCGACGATCTCGCGATATCTACACCTCCTCGCCCTGCCCTTCCATCCTGTATCTCACCGCTCAAAAAGATCACCCACTGACCGCCCTGTTCCCCTCCAGGTCTTCATCATGGGCGGCGTGACTTACGCCGCCATACCCCTCTACAGAGCATTCTGCAGTGCCACTGGATTCGCTGGAACACCCATTACTGATCCTACTCGGTTTTCCCCCGATCGACTGTATACGACCCCGGAGACGGAAGGACGAAAACGAATCACTGTCCATTTCCAAGCGACATCCAGCGACGTCTTGCCTTGGAAATTTGAACCTCAACAGAGGACCGTGAGGGTCTTACCGGGTGAAACGGCTCTCGCCTTTTACAGGGCAAAGAATACCAGTGATAAAGATATCATTGGCATTGCGACTTATAACATGACCCCGGATAAGGTGAGTGAGTCTCAGTGATCGAGCGAGTGCAAGCGATCGAAAGGGTACGGGCCAGCGCAGCGAGTGTTGGGGGAAGGTCGAATGACGAGCAGGAGGGCAGGGTCGATGCTCAAAGCACAGAGGGGCTGCAGGTGGATTCGATGGGACGTTGAGGGATCCGACAGGCCAGACTTTGGCTGGCACGTGTCAGACTGCACTTGGACACTGGTGCCACGGCCTGATCGGAGCTTGTCCAGTCATCCTGCCGCTCATGAGGACATGAGCGTACTTCACGCGAAGGGTCGACAAGCTTAGCTGCGCACCGTGTCGCTGTGCCTTGTGTCCAGCATCATTCGCGCTTGCCATTGATCTTCAGAGAGACTTGGAATGTTCGCTGACATGGTTGTCTTTTGCTCTTCCTCCTGCTATACTCATCGCCTCGCCTAACTCGCAATGACACCCCTTGACTTCTCTCTCATTTCGATCCGCTTCGCCGTGCTACTCGCTAGATCGCCCCGTACTTTGCCAAAGTGGAATGTTTTTGTTTCGAAGAACAACGTATCCGAGCAGGAGAAGAAGTGGATCTCCCAGTCTTCTTCTTCATCGACCGTGATATCATGGATGATCCTGCACTGGAGAATGTGGATGATATAATCCTCAGCTATACATTCTTCAAGTGAGCGTGGCCGTCGGCGGCGTATCTCCGTCAACGAAGTCATGAACTGACACAAAACTACTACCGTTCAGGGCTCGACGGAACGATATGGGCCACGCCATACCTGATGCTTCCGAGGAGGCTGTTTTGAAGTCTCAAGGGTTCGATCAATACGAGCACGCGCCAGTCAAGGCGTCTGCCGCTGCTGCTGTGTGAATAGCGCTCAAACTCCGACACGAAGAGCGGCGATGGAACCGTGGACGTATCACCTAGGGCTTCGTCGGAGGCGTACCATATCTGACTTTCCACGAGATGATCGAGAGGCAAGGAGGCGGGCGCCGAGGGCTCTACGAGGATCCCTAATCGAATGAAAATTCGGATATCCCGGATGATGATCATCGGGAACAAGAAGGTTCTTTTGGTCTTCCGCCCTTTGGTTTTGGTCCCGCCGTTGAGCGAGACATATGCATGTTTAGATCATCTACTTACCTTGAAAAGTCGCGCATTATTACGTCTCGGTGAATGCGCAGCGGTTTTAAGAGCACCGCAACTGGGATGACCTACGTGGGGCTTCGTGCGGGATGGTACCTCCGCATCGTTCAAGTGGTAGGTAGCCATTGAAAAAACATAATGTGATGGTGAAAAAGAGGTGAAACCCGGCCGTAAGGGAGAGATCGGAGGATTTGTGGCTTCTATCTCCACTCTATGGACGCATCCAACCCGTCTTTTGTGTTCCCACGGCTGTATCGCTCCTCAAGATGAAAAGGTTACTGCTGTTGTCGCTGTTGTCGCGGCTGCTGGCCCCCCTTCTCGCTACAAAGTGCCACACTCGATATTTTTGCTCTTTTTGGATTGAAAATAGCTTTTGAGCCGACGATTGAGGCCGCTATTTTTAATATAACAGCGAGCAGGCAGCGAGCAGCGAGCAGCATCTAGGCAGCACTCAGCAGCAGCGACCTCTCTTTCACACGACCTTGCTCCCCCCCTGGCCAAAATCAATCTCAATCCCACCTCGCAACTGTTCCATCCAACCTCATAACATCCATCCATCCACCCATCCAACCTCTTGTCGAGGCGACTCTCTGGCCCCCCTCTTCCCGTCAAGAGACAAAAAAATATAGCTCCACTCCTCTCTCCCCCTCTCAACTGCTATTTTCCCCTACTCGCTACCCCAAAATAGAACATTTCTCACCCATCTGAACACTCTCTCTCACCTCTGACCTCCATCGCCCTTTCTCTCTCTTCTCTCCATCCAACCCACCATCCCTCCAACTCGCTCTTGGCTTTTTGCTATAATCATCTCACTCTATCCCATCTTGTTCTTTTGAGCCCTCCATACGCTCGCTGCCAAGACTTATCAAAGCCATTCAAAGCTCATTCATAGTCAAGGATGGGACGAAAAAAGATTGAGATCAGGCCATTGCATGTGAGTTCCGTTCGGGTCCAATGGAGAGCGGGGGCGTCGTTTGAGAATTCGGGGACGGGCGGGGACACACGTCGCTGACAGTTCAACTGTTTCTTTGTTCTTTCTAGGATGAGCGTAATCGAAATGTCACATTTCTCAAGGTGTGTTGTGATGAATCTGTGTATGGGTATCGCGAGTCAGATCGCTGACCATGTGTGTCTCCTCACCATCCGTCGTTGCTGTCGGTTTTCCCCGGTCTCTTCCTCCCTCCCCCCTAATCGCTGCACCTACACTACGCCCACCTACTAGCGAAAAGCCGGGTTGATGAAGAAAGCATGGGAGCTGTCAGTACTATGTGGTGCAGACGTTTCCATTGTCATCTTCTCTGCCGCTGGCAAGGCATTTGAATTTTCCAGTAAGGAGCTGGATTCAGAGATCGACCGGTATCTCGAGGTGAGATGACGCGCAAAAGAAGCCCTTTCAAATGTTCCAAATCTGACGTCCCTTGCTCCTCCTCTCTTCAGTACGAAGGCGTCATTGAACGTCGACGAGCACCTGAATTCGCAGCGATGGCCGAAGCAGATGAGGAAGACGATGACGACGATGATGATGCGCCCAACAGTCGACGAGGCTCTCTAGCCAAACCTGGAGTCACCAAGTCACTCAAGGGCAAGGAAAGCTACAAACCAAAGATGCACTCTCAGGCCGAGCTCAATCGTCTCATCTCTCGACGTGACAAGGATCGTGGAAAAGACAGGGACAGGGAAAGACACCGATCTTCAAAGGAAAAACATCGGGTCAGGGAAACAGATTACGGTCGGAAGCCAGTCCTCTCCAGAGGTATCATTGGTGACGATGGAGATTCATCAAACGGGAGTGGTCTAAGCGAAGACGATGAGGATGACTATGCTCGAGCGGATAAACGCAAGCGCAAGTCCAGGGAGACCTCTTCAAGGCACAGAGATGCGGTGAGTTTAGGCAAGAAGCCATTTGCATAGACAAACGTACTGACACTCTTGACCAGTCCATTGCCGGCCTGCAGTATGCTATGAATATGCACCAACGACCTTCTTCTGCCCAGTCTCAGCACGCCACCCAGGCCAACGGCGCAACAGCCGGCCGACTGCCCGGAAACGCTTACAACTACCACGTTCAGCACCCCTCCCAGCTAGATTACTCTAGGGAATACTCTTCTCAACCCCAAGGACACTACTCGTCTGGTCCCTCCTACGCCCAGCCTGCGTCCTCCTCCTATAATCACGATCGATCTCCTATGAGTTACATGAACACCATGTCTGGATCGACCGCCCAGCCACTAATGAACCACACTCATACTCTGCCTGCCCCCGTTCCGATGGCTCCTGGAGGCCCGACAACTCTCAGCAGCTCACAGTATGTACCCTCAAACATGCAATGGGATCCTGCACTTCTCGCTCGATACGCCGAGTTTCAGCTCCATCAAAACCACCAACGTCAACAGCGAGCATTACTAGAGCAACAGCGACAACAACTCGCCGATCTAGGTATCCCAGTGGAAGACAAGTCTCTCCTTGATCAACTGTTTGGCAACAATGCGTCTGGTAATGGCGCTCACAATGGCGGAGGGTCCGCAGCCAACTCTGTCCCCGCTTCAGGTCCTCTGACGGGTGATTCACATAACGAACCCATGAATACTGGTTCAGCACCTCCCATCTTGATGGGAGATCAGGAGGATGATCTCATGTCGCGACATAATGCAGACCCAGGGTCAGCGCATCATTCCTTTGAATCGACTCGACAGTCGTTCGACTCGAATCACCACGCGTTTGAATGGCCAAATGTCGGTGCTCCACCCGCAGACAGAGGGGACGACAGCCACCCACAGAACGCCGGTCAACACGGCGGTGAACGAGATGAAGGGTTATACAAGCAACTCTCAGCCCTTGTCAATGCCTCACACCGTGGTGGACCAGGGGCAGATGACGGACATGAAGACGTGGACAGACGAATGAAAGAGGAACACTGGGGACCTGACGACTTCCAGCCGTTCCCTAGTCCTGCGTCGGCCGGAGATCTTAGAGCGGCGAGATAGAGGTTTCGGATTTGTCTTGATTATTGAAGAAGAAGCAGACTCTGCTTTCCACTTGTCCCTGGTGGACTCTGTGTGTGTAGGTAGAAGGCTTGTTCCCCATGTTGTCCAGTTGTATGTCGTTCTAGCATGCAGATCTTTCCAGAGCATCCAAGACAGCGTCGAGCGTTGGTCCCGGGGAGTCGGGTCGTCTCGTGTTCAGTCACGGCGTTTCTCAAAGACATGCTCCAGTTAGTGCAAGGGTTGAAATATAAACTTGCATCACTAGCTATTATTATCATTGCTGTCTCGTCGGAGATGACGCCTCGTCCTGTTTTACTCCTGCCCTGATCCTCTGGAGCGTCCACTGTGCGTCAATACTAGTCACCCGAGGGGGAAAGCCCTCATCACCTTAGACCACGCTCGACACAGATTTCTTCCATCGTGATTGATCCCAGGCCGATCGTCCCGAGTCCAGCCCAACGTCGATTTCTACCAGGACGAAAGGGTCTCCTCCAAGCCCCATTGTCGCACATACCCCATCTCTCATCGCCTGATGTATTTGTCATTTTTCCACCTTGAAATATGTCGTCTTCCGTCCAATCATCCTTCGCTCCTCCCTGTGATGATCCCTCCTTGACAGATATCATCGTTCCGCCTTCTCTTAAGTGAAGTCGAGCGCGGTTTGCCTGGGCGCCCTATATCCTACACTGTCTTTGCCGCGAGGGCACATACCACAACGGCCAAACCAAAGAAGAATTTATCGTCCGAGTCCAATTCTTTCTTTTTGACTATCATCTCGACGCAGAGCAAACATGCGTACGCTACTATCCCCACCTCCATAACATAGTCGCTCATGGTTGGGCGTTCTTATTGAGTGAGCGAGCGATTGCGGGGATGTGGTCAAATTCACATACACATACAAGACAGCCATCTACTCTACATCGACAAACCGCTTCGATCAGCCGTTGGGCTTTTGCCACGTGAGAGAGGTCAAAGCTTTCAGGCCGACGGACGTTAACGTTGTGACTTTCAGACCACCAAAACGATATAGTCCTCCACCACCCCTGATGAGGTACGCCGTGCTCGTGACTGGTCCAGCAGGAGCTGGTAAATCTACCTTTTGTGCTTCCCTCATCACTCACGCTCAAACCCTTGGTCGAAGCGTCCATTTGGTCAACCTCGATCCGGCTGCCGAACGATTCGAGTATGAACCAGCACTGGATATACGAGATTTGATCAACTTGAAGGATGTCATGGAGGAGTTGGAATTCGGTCCGAACGGAGGATTGATCTATTGCTTCGAGTGAGTCTGAGCGCAGCGGGAGTGGATCACAACGAAGCGACAAGATGCGCATCGCTCGCTCTAGACATCTAAATCTCTAGCTGCTCGCTTCGTTTCGCTGCCTTGACTTGCTTCTTTGTCTTGGGGGCTTTCAACTGACACTACACGCCTTTGCTCAGATACCTTTTGAACAATCTCTACTGGCTGGAAGACGAACTTGGGCCCTACGAAGACGATTACCTCATCATCGATTGCCCTGGCCAAATCGAACTCTACACCCATATCCCTCTTCTCCCTCGACTCGCGTCGCACTTGTCGACTTCGCTCAACTTCAGAGTCTCCGCTACGTACCTTATCGACAGTCAATTCATGCAGGACAAATCAAAATTCTTCGCGGGCGTCATGTCAGCCATGAGCTGTATGTTGAGTCTGGGCATAAGCATGGTCTGCATCATGTCAAAGATGGATCTGGTGAAGGATAAAAAGGGGAGATTAAAGAAGGAAGTAGGGAGATATCTGGATCCTGATCCGGGATTGATGTGGGAGGAAATCAAGGACGACAGTGATGGTGGAAGTACAGGGAACAGAAAGTTTGATGCGTTAAATAGGGCAGTAGTGGGACTGGTGAGCGGTCCGCTGCAATCGAGGGTTCACGGGAGGTTGCTAATACGTAGTCATCAGATCGAGGACCAAAATCTCGTCTCCTTTCTCCCTCTCGATGTCACATCGGAAGATTCGGTCAACACCATCCTCAGTCATATTGACAACATGATGCAATACGGAGAGGATGAAGAGCCAAGGGTAAGTGGTCCTTCGTTCTTGGCGGTACTCTCCTGCTAACCGTTGCGCATGCAGATACCGAAAGATATGGATGATGGTGCGTTTCAGCTTCCCTCCTGACAATGAACTGTTGCTGATACGCTCGCAGGGGACTTTGACGCTGACTAGTGACTCGATGGCAAGCATACACATTCATCATGTATAGTATAGGCATCAACAAGGCTCGTTCGTCATGTGTCATCAAGGTGTCCTCTTGGGGCGCCGCCAGGGCTCAGCTGGGTCTACCCTCAGTTTCGTTCGCGTTATTCCGTTATCTCGCGTGTCTCTTTTTTCTCGGTCGGCGAACCTATGTTCTGCACCGAATCACGTCCCTCTGCCAGCGGAACCAGCCCTCGGCCGATCTGGTATGAGCATCGTGGCCGAGACATAACTCACCTTTGGCGCTCTGTCTCGCTAAAAGCTTTTCAGTCCTATACTTTTCATACAGCACCTCTCGAGTCAAAGATCTCAGGAGCTAAAAGATCTGTCAGTAGGCACTCGCGGAGAATACCGACGCCTTGAGCCGCCGCACCTTGGTATGTGTACCCAGAACGGCTTCTCGCAACGCCAGGAAATCGCACTGATCGGAGTTGAAGACATCTGCAGTCCCCCAATTGTACCGTCTCGTAAACCCCATATCATCACCTGCTTTCGACGGCGAGAACAGGGCGAACGGGAGTCCTTGATTCCGGCAATGGCTAAGAGCAGCTGGTGTCGGCGGTCCAGCGTCTGGAGAAGCTGGATCCATAGGCGAGACTGCTAGGCGACTGAGTTGCTGTGTGCACCCATGCGTCAGCCGATGAAGCAAGATCAAGATTCATCAAGTCATGCTCACATTGCTACTATCGACGTCATCTTGAACCGCGAACACTCCAAATCCAGCGTCCTCTGGGAAAGCGAGCTGCAAGTCGTCACGAACGACTCGGCGCACTTGATCCAGCTCAGCGATGGTGAGTGTGTCGATATGTGAGAGCACAGGGAGAACATTGGCTCGCTCTTTCAGTCTCCGGAGCTGAGATCCTCAGTGAGCTGAGACCACCCAGGGAGGAACAGCTCACGATGGTTATGTCCGTCTCGCCGAGGTGAGCTTCTGCGGGTGGCTGCCCATGGTCATCCTGATTCTGCACATCTGTCTCGCTGAATACTCCAACGGCAGACCAGTCAAGGTCCATAGGCTCGCTCGCCTGGGGATTCAGCACCCGTCTGGCATCAATGAGGTAGACGACTGAGCAGTCATCGACGTCAGCCCGAAGCAAGCCATCGATGTCAGACCGCTCTCACCGATATGCACCAGGTTGTCGTCTCCTCCCGAGCTCTTTCTCACGATTCGACTTTCCTCACTCATAAACTCCCCGAATTGATCCTCTATCAACCTCATCAATCCCGCTACTCCTCTCTCTCTCTCCTTTTCTCTGACCGTATCTCCTGAGCCGAGCTCTAGGCCAGGCGTATCGATCAATCGGAGTTGCACTCGGTCGTATCCTTCAACCTGGACTACAGAGGATCTGGACGTGATTCGATTTGTGGCGTGCTGTCGTGTGATGCCTATACCGATTCGGGCGGATTGGATCGGTGAGGTCGATTCTGGGCGGTCGGAAGCTGACGAATGAATCTCGGCTGGACTACCTAGAGACCGAAGGATGTCCGCTTGAGGCGGTCCAGGGACAGTCGGTGAAGATAGAGTTGAGTCGGGTAGGCGGATCTTGCTCGGTGAGATGAGTCTTCGCGGCGGATCGTGGGCTACGGCAGCAGCGGGAGTCGGAGCATGTCGGGGCGAGAATGAGGCATAGATGAGATCTATGAGACTGGTCATGTCGCACAGTGTCAGCAAGTACCCTTTCAACTCCAGGTCGCGTTCTGGACCCCGACTCGATCCACACTCACCTAGTCTTTCCACTTCCTTTCCCTCCGACCACAACCACATTCAACCTCGGCGCAGTTTTCATCTTGCCTCTTCGTCGACCCCGAAGCCCATCTAGTCCAGATGTCTGACCCGAGGCAGAAATGTTGGCTGTTGAGATGATCGTATCTGTGCCCCATCGAGCTCGAGATGTTCGAAAGTCCTGTGTGATGCTGGAAGAATCTGAATCTCGGGACGGTACATCGACCCTAGGTACGATCTGCCATGGTGAGAAGGGTTTGTGAAATTGTGGAGGTGTAGGGCCCTGAGCACCGACTAGGGAAGTCTTTCGGCGCCAACCTCGAGCGCTGGCGCTGGCTTTGGGGGTACTTCCTCCTCCTCGAGCTTCAGCTTCAGCTCCATCTCCATCTCCAGCTCCGGCTCCAGATCCCTGTTGCTCTCCCTCTTGTCTAGACGCGGAGAGAGGCACATTCTGCTTCTGTTCTCTTAACGTTGACTCATAAGTGAAAGAAGGCAATTCTTCCCATGATTCCGGATCAAGGAGCGGGGTCGTCAAGTCTGGTAAAGATAACGAGGGGCGGAGGTTCGAAGGATCATCCTGGTTCGATGAGGTGGACCGAGAGGCAGTCAATCGTTTTCGAAGCAGAGAGACCATGAGGAGGGGGGGCCAAAGTCTAGCGAGCGAGTAAACGAGTCAATGATATGGAGGAATGTGATACAACGAGAGCAAAACAATGAGAGAGAGGAGGAGGTTTGAACAACCAAAAGTCCCAAGCGGCGAGAGAGACACTTGCCGCTCAGACCTCTCTCTCTCTCCTTCTCAACGACGAGTGGGGGGAGGCAAGACGCGTGTAGGTCCAATTGCTCAAGCCATGCAGGGCTCTAGAGTGAGTTGAACATACATCGCCAGACGTTCCTCGTCAATACCACCTCAACGCCGTCCTCCCCTGAACGAGTCCTTGACGACCGCATACCCAATTAGAAATACGTGCAGCGGATAAACGCTTTGGGTGTTCCGTGCCGCCGCGACGCTGTCAAACTTTTATTATATTAACCTTGTTTTTCGTCCCAACATTCCACAATTACAGTAATATGCCAGGCTGCAGCGGTGATCAAGTCGAATTCAAACGTCATGCAGATAAGTGATGTAATGTAGAGTATATCAGGATGGTATAAAAGGGGATCATAAGATGAAGGATGGACTGGGCTGGGAGTTTCCCCTCCAAGCTACCAAGTCAAATTGTACAGTATAATCAATAATCTCTCCCTCCGGAAATCCCAATGGAAAAATAAATCTATAGTGGTCTGGAGCTGTGTCCCATCTCTTGCCTGCCAGCGTTCGATTAGGACGGATGCCAGCTTCACATTGACGCGTTGGCCGAGGCGGTGCAAGTCAACGTGGCCTTTTCAACCAGAGCCAATCCTGCACCCAAAGCCCAGCCAAGTTCGACACCATTCAATTTTTTCTCCACCAGCAAATCTCGCTCTGGTCCAAGCTCGTATCCCAAGCCCAGGAGCGCATTCATGAATGTCAAGTCGAGACAGTATTCAGGTCGATCCTCAAGTTCGGCCATGGCTGCGGCGTCGGAGCCCCAGCGCAACCTCCAAGCCTCAGGTCCATCACAGACGTCCTTGGCCATTTCGGTCAAGTCGGCGATCTTGAGGTCGGCGGTACGACCCGACAAGAGAGGCTTGATTCGGTCTGTAAAGTAGGACAGGGCTAGGAGTTGCCCGTGAGGGAAAGTGTCGAGGAGAGATGGTTGGTACTGGCCGGCAAAGGAGCAGGGTTTGACCTCACAGACGCTAAAAAAAGAATGACGTGAGCAGGGTCTCGCAATGAACGACAACGCTACACTCACTCGTCTTTTGCCATGACAAGCTCGACAACCCTGTTGCAAGCGTCGAAACCACCATTGCTACCGTGCATAGTGACGTTCACAGCGGTCCTGCCGGGGGGGTCCAGCTCGACTCGTCGGGTGGTTCCCCGCGACAAGCAAGGGTTTGGTACCTGTTCGTTCTCGCTCAGAGTGTCCCAGTCGAGATTCGAGTGTCCAAATGACCATGTGAATGCAACAAGGTTGTGAACGCTTCGACGGGCTCTCATGAGTCCATATCCGAGGTACGAGTGTTGGTAGAGGGTAAAGTCTTTACCACCGAATGAAAGCTGGTACTTGTGTTCACCGTCCACGAGCTCCTGGGTGGAATCGGCAGGGAACTTGGGTTCAAAGACGATTTGAGTGGATGCTCCGCCGAGATCCATGACTGCCAACGTATCGGTCGACTTGGCTCCCTCGCCAATCTTGCCAAGGAGGTAGTTGGCGGTGATCCAAGCGTACACACCTGGACAGAAAGCGTCAGACCCCCAGGGAAGGCTCTTTGTGACAGGCTCGACTCACCCTCGTCCTTTCCATCCATGATCTCGACAGCGTTCTGGTTCGGTACGCTGAACGGCCAGTATGTCTCAAGTCTGTTCCTGACCTCGTCTAGGATCGCATTACTTTCATCGGTGCCCAACAATCTCAATCCAGCTGTCGCCTTGACTTCAACAGGTGTGCATGACCACAGGGACTTGGGAACGACTCGTTTGGCTTCTCTCAACAGCGGATCAAGAGACGCCGCAGCAGCTGTGGGGTCCCGCGCGTAGGCGGACAGACCGGGGTTAAGCATCTTGAAAGTCTCGTACTCCAAAGTAGGGGATGGACCACAGTTGTGGAATTTGTATACGTGAATTCTAGATCCAGTAGATCCAGCATCGATGGTGAGGGCGTATTGAACCAAAGGTCGCTTGGAGTCGTATGGGTCCGCACAGGCAGTGGTGGAAGCAGGATCGGGATCCGTTTCAAACGTCATGACGACAACTTCGGGAGTGTTATCAATTTCTGTAAAGTCGTTCTGAGCGCCTTGAGCCTCTTGTGCTTGGTCAGATAGAGGGTTGTGAGGACTGTTAGCGGCTTCTTCCTCATCTTCGTCGGCCTCGGTGCCTGAAGCGTCGTCGTTGAAGCCCGGCTTGGGTCGAAGATGGTTGAATGGGAGAGCGTGAACTCGACCTTCATCTGTGTCTGCGACGCCGGGCTCGGCGATACTACCAGCACCGATGGGTCGGAAGGGAGGGGATTTGAATTCAGAATAGTCGGTCATATCGTTCTCGAGTTTCTCACCGCCGAGCTGGGGCGTGTAAGCGTCTGAAAAGGAGATTGACCTAACGTCAGCATCTAGGCACTTTACAGAGGTAGCGAGTCGCTAACGCGATGGCAATCGCGCGCTCGCTATCTCGCACGCTTCACTCACTGTCGGTTTCCCAAGTCTCATCATATGTCGAGCGAGTCGAAGGGAATCTTGCATAGCCCACGACCATGAGGACCAAGACGCCCGTACCGATGAATGCCCATCGTTTCCAGACGGGCATTCCGGATCGACGCTGTGGTCCGGAACTGGTGGGGAGAGGGGTATATTTTCTCGAGGAAAACATGTCGGCGGGAATGGTGACTGGTTCCTTGGTGGTAGGTGAAGAAGAAGGGAAGTATTCGGTAGGTTTCAAATGGGACGTTGTCTTTCGACGTCGAAGTTGATTGACTAGATATCCTGCTGTTGGACCTAGAAACTCTGTTGAGAGAGTGAATGGAGATCCTGATCGGCTTCGAGAATCTTCACGGTCGGATGATTGAAGATGGATGGGGGTGGAAGTACCTGATTTATTGTTGGCTCGTCTTTTGCGTGAGGACCGAGGCATACACAGGAAGCAGGGGAGCGGAGGGGAGAGAGAGAGAGAATGCGCGAGAGATGGGTCACTGCAGTGAGTCTGACGAGGAGAACGACGGGTTAGATGTCAGCGACGATCAACCGGATGGTTAGGGTATGTAAAAGGAAAGACGTGGCACATATTTCCGCGTGTGTACACTCACCAGCACACCCGAATGATTTACTCGCTGCTACAACCTGCTAGGAAGGGCCGCTGAGAATCTCCAGCTGCTCGAGCTCGACGATATGAGAACAGCAGCAGCAGAAGGATGAAGAAGGAATGCTAACAAGACTCGCTGCTGCTACTTTCTTATCACCGTCCGACACGGGAAGCTGCTTTCAAACTTTTTTTTTGGTTGGTCCCTAACACAACGGGAGCTTCCCGTCTATATTACGTAAAATTACTACTTTCGGGAAGAAACCCAAAAAAAATGTCTTGGGCCACACACTACGCCGCCACCAAGTATCGCTCCAACCAAGCTACAAACTCTGGACATTCCACCTCTGCGTCCTCATCATACGCATGGAATAGCCCATCCAGCGTCTCCACAGTGACACTGCTCACTAACTCTTTCAACATTTGTATACTCTTCTCTTGTGGTTGAACAGCAGTATCCGCCGTGGGATGAGTAAAGTAGATAGGAGGGAAGTGGGCAGTCGAGGCACCTGATGTCTGAACGAGCGCGAGTCGGCGAGTCAGAGATAGAGTCTCAGGATCGGGTCGTAGCGATTCGCCTTCGACCGTGGCTGATCGTTGGCGAAGAAATAGGAGCGAAGGGAAGAGACTGTGTTGAAGCATGTACATGTATAGGATGGACCGAGGTCCACCTGATACAGTACTGGCCACTGGGGCAGCTTTGAGGTCCAGGTGTGGGCGGGCTTGTTCATCAGATACGCTACAAGTGTTCAGCATGTCAAATCACAGTGTCAGACACTCACTGTTTGCCGTACCACGGCACTGGATCCGTCTTGACGGCCCAGAATGGATCATCCAGATCGGTGATGGGATAGAACGGAGCGAGGCATTTGATACCTCGTCCTGAACCACTCTCACCGCGATACCCTCCAATATCTCCGATTCGAACTGACTTGGGCATGATCAGTCCGGCAACCAGTGCCAGGTATCCGCCGGCAGATCCTCCCGAGAGACACATCCTGTCGAGATCGATCTGGTGATTCGGATGTGATGATCCAACTTTGTCATTCAACTTGGTCCGGACAAACTCCATCAACGCGTCGATGTCGGACAGGATGTCCAAAATTGGCACTTGAGGTGCCAAGCGATAGTTTGGTGATATGACCGCGACCTGCTCTTTCGATCCGTCCGCCGAAGTGAATTCGTGCGAAGGGAGTCGGCGGAAATGCGGAGGAAGATTCTCCTTGTTGCCTTGAAGCAGTCCTCCACCGTGGAACCAGATGATCAACGGATGGCCTTTGGGCCCGGCAGGTTTAGGCGGAAGGTATAGGTCCAGACCAATGGCCAAAGGTTCGGAATCGAACGTGGCGGCTGGATAAGTCTTGAACGTAAGGGTGAGATCAGGTTGAGGGACGGGCAGACCAGGTATGCGGGTGATGGACCCTACGGTCGTCGTCGTGGAAGAAGGTACGGAACCTGAGGCGGGATTTGGGTTTTGCGATGAATTGGTCACTATGTTACTGCCTTCCACCTGAACCTCCAGATCTGGTCTCCCATCAAACGATTTGAGCGCCGGCATCTGGTTCATCCCCAGGGTTGCAAGCTTTGGTGTACTCTGCTCGACAAGTCCAATCTCATTGGCAGATATATCCCCTGAAAATTGATTGCCAGATAAGTCGAGTTTACTCAGGGAGGACAGTTTGACCCCTCTGAACGCCTCCAAATGTTCATTCTTCAAAAGATTGTACGAGAGATCGAGAATTGCCAGCTGAGGGAAGATTGGGCGATCACCGATGGAAGCTCGGCCGAAAGATGTCGTGAGGAAGCCAGCACCGTATGACAGTCCTTCATCAGAGGGCTGAACAGGTGACGAGAAGTCAAGGGAGGAAATGAGGTTGTCAGAGAGGTTCAGGTTCTGCAGGGCAGGCAGGAGGAGGACAGTCGGAGGGAGCTCTTTGAGGCGATTGAAACTAGATGAGTAGAGTGAGCAGCTTCCAAGAGAAAAGAAAGCCCTGGAGATCCCATACCTTAGATCCAGCGAGGTCAGCCGGAGCAAGTCGGCAAATGATCGGGGCAGCGAAGCAAGTTGATTCCGAGCAAACTACACCAATGTCAGCATTGTTGTCATATCAGGGGCAATGACCCGAGACTCACGTCAATACTCTTCAGCCCACCAAAGGCACCTATCTCGATGTCCAGCTCAGTCAAGACGTTGTCGCCTCCTTTGAGACTTGTCAATTCGGCCGGTTCGCCCCATGCGACCTCTCGACCGGGAATCCCAAACACATCTTCGCGGGAGCTCGGTGCAGGCACAGACCGCCCATGGGAGCTCGGACGTATATCTGGCGTCGAATCAGGTGCTGGTGCTGGCTTTCTCGAAAGATCCGCAGGCGGTACACCCAAAAGTCGTGTGTAGACCTCTAATGGGACAGCATCCAGCGAAAAGGATGAAATGTCCAGTTTTCCTGATGTAAACATTTAGCTCGACTGTTCATCATGAGCTTAGCCGGATTTAGCTGACCTGACCTGTGGGCTTTCTTCACCTCCCCAATCACCGTCCTGTCGTCCAAGCCTTCCTGTCTCGAGATGCCACGTCCCATGCCGACAGCAGCATTCCGACTACTGGATGAACCCTGTCCTCCGCTGCCTCCACCATGACGTTCAGCTGAACGAGCGGCAATCTTTTGCGCTTCGGCACGTTTTGCCGCGATCTGATCACGGATAGACATGAGCTTCCAGTGAGTTACGCACAGATATCTTGAGCTGGAGCACAGCGAAGCGGACGCGTTGTAAAGTGTGGTCGAGGACAGAAGTAAATGATCAGCTCATGGATCGGCTTCGGACCATTCGCGTTTGCCGAGGCGGCGGATTCGTGGCGGGATGGGGATTGTGGCACATCACCATCTCGTCAGGATCTGATAACGATGATGATGATGACGAGGAGGAGGAGGAGAAGGCGATCAACATTGACGAGATATCGACAGGTATGCAAGGATAGATAAGAAGCTGCTTTGTATTTATTAGCTGTATGATTCTGACTATTACCTCAACTTTGAATGCCCGCGAAGAACCATCCCTCAGCCAACGGGGTGGACACTCCTGAGCAGCTTGCCATCATCCTACGGCTCCTACAGAGCAGGTCCACGTTGATAAGAATCGCTCGTCATCTCCTCTCAGAGATCAGAATGGAAAAAAACAACAAGAGCATGACGGTCCTGGGAGCATCAGCCGCCATCATGGGATCGAGGGAATCCGAGATCCGTATGCTGCCGAGTTGTTCACATCTAGAGGTAAGCATTGCGGCAAATCACGCCACGTTCCGAAAGAAGACAACTCACACTTCCTCTTCAGCCAGTCCAGACTCTGCCGGATCTACTGGCCCAGTCTACGGGTGACAAACGTTCAAGAACACAGTCGCATTATCAAGGGATCCCAATGTCTGTGATCGTCTCGGACCCGACACTTGACGAAGGAGGCCCTCGGAGCCACTCAAAGTCGCCAGTCCGCCAAGAGTCGTCAGGAACCCTGCAGAGTGCTTGTATGGGGCTCGTCTCCCGACCAATGATCACGCCTAAGCGATTGCGACTATCACGGTGCTTCCAACAGTTGCGTCTCGTTCAGGCCGACAGAAGTGATCCACCAACGGGAAAGTCATCCGGCGCAGGCGGAGTGCTACTAGACGAAGGGACTGTGGAAGATCATAATGAGGAATCTGAGGACGACGAAGAGGATGTCACGTTCGTGCTGTGACTACAATATGCTTGAACATGCATTGCGGACCCGTATCTTCGCATTACACCTCTCGCTACAACAATCTGTCCCATGTATGTATGTATAAATGTATGAACGATGCCTTTTCACACCGCGCCAGCCAGGATCTAAAAGCTGAGATCCCTTCGGTTTCGATCAAGTGAGATCCCACTGCCAGATATCCAACATTGGACAGAGATCCCTCACACTCTCTTCTCGGTACCCTGCTGCCTCTACGAACCTTATCTTCCCTCGATCCATCCGTCTCCTCACTATATCCCTGAATCTCTCCCTACTGGGTGACCACCAAAGTCGACCCCACCATTCTTCACTGAGGTGCTTGCTGCCTCCATTGAAATGTATGATCGCAGGCACTTCACCATGCACTTTGTGCTGCGCCAGTGGAGGATATAGATCCCAAGGGATACTTGAGCTGTCCGGTGGATCGTCCATCGCCAAAGCTTGTATGGATGGGTCTGGCGGATACCGTAGACCCGTGAACTGGGCATTGATAAAGTCATCGTGTAAGGGCCAGAACAGACGGGTATGATAGTCCAAGTCGAGGTTGCCATCTGCGAGTAGCATGTTGAATGCCTCTGTGAGCCATCTTTTAGCCTTCATCCCAGATACCGGGAGGAGAGAATGAGCGGCACTCACTTTGATCATCGTATCCGTCGTACCTGTCACTGTTCATAAAGCCCCACAATCCGGCGTAGAACGCCCGCATATCGCTCAGTCGACCGATGACCGTGCCGGAATTCGCATGCCGAGGCGCGAGCTCCCTAGACGTCAAGTCAGCCAATACGCCCCGAAGAATGTTTCAGACTGTGGTCGACTCACTCTGGATCCAGCTGCCTACCGTTTCTGTCGTCCTTCCAGAATAGACCCTTGATCAGTGGTGACACTGGGGCATCAACACAATCGTGCTGCAAGACCCTTGTCAGATCACAGGAACATACGTATTCGGGGATTCGTGAGCGACTCACTCCCTCCTTATCATTTGGCCAACAGTTCTTTTCAGCAGCTACGACAACGCTGACATCGCCCATCTCCAAGAACCTCCTCGCGACGACATCCGGAGAGAGCTGCAGCCAAGCATCCAGAGCGTCCATCGTGAGAATCAGATCATCTTCCTTCATGTCTCGCATGTAAACAGGCGATGCCAAAAGTTCCGCTAGACCTGTGCCCAAAGAGTCAGTTTACCTGACAAACATTGAAAGCGACCCACCTTGGACCTTTCTGAACTGGTAGCTCGACTTGACACTCCAATTGAAGATGATCGGCGACCATCCATTCACCACAGCCCCTTGCATGGTCCTACAGAATGCCGGTGTGGTGATCGCTGCCTCCTCATTGACAGGGACAAACAAGTGGACTTTAGGTACCTTTGACCACGAGGCGAGATGGAGGCCGTGTTGAATGGTCGAACTGCTACCATGCGAAGACGTGATAGAGTACAGAATCATCAACAAAGTCAATGGAATGAGGATCGGCGTGAGAACAGCGATTCTAGGACTGATCATGGCTGATCGGGCCCAGGAAGTCACCGTACGTTTGTACAGTGTCCACCAGCTGGTCTGTCTGCTAGTTTGTTTCAGTCGGTCGTCCGCAGGCGTTGAGACTATAGCCATGGCATGATCCCCATGTATGGCGATATCAAACCCTTCAAGGATCTGGCACTTGGGACCTGATGGTGAGGATGTCTAGGTATACGAGTGTATATTCCAGGACGCCCAGGGAGGTGGAAAGGGGGGCGGCGTCTACTAAGCAATTTTAAGGTTTCTAAGCGTAGACTATAACCGGCAATATGATCTATGCTCTCGACTGATTGAGGTGCTCTGAGATGGTGTCCCCCAATGCAACTCTGAGAGCGCGTACAGATTGCCCAAGAAATGCATGTAGATGATCACGGCGGCTGTGACTCGAGGCTGTCAGCGAGCGGTCACCTCATCACGTCCCCACGCGCGCTTCCTGGACTCTCGCGATCATCGCCAGGCGGCTCCCTCCGCGTCTCCAAAGATGCCCATAGTCACGATGAATCCTGTCGCTGAGAGAATCGAGACGAGTATCCCATATCTTCGGAAGGGTCTCTCTGGCGACATACAAGGGATCATACCATTACACTTTCCTGCTCCACTGTCCCATCATCTGACTCTATCGCTGCATGGAGATACCATGAGCCACTCCGCCCCTCATCCTCCCGTGTTCGGCGGAGCCGAAGACCTGGAGAAACCCGAGCACGGAAACGTCAAAGAGGTGGAGGTGGGGGAGAGGGGGTGAGGAATTCTTGCGAAAACTTTTCGATATCGACACGTATCAGCTGGGGCAGGCAGCTTTGCAGCGTCTCAAGATCCCTAGCGATTGTCCGTGACTCTACTTAGAGCGGTCCGAAAAGCCCCGCTGAGTCTCCCAGCATGGCCATGATGGAGACCGGTAGAGTTGTGGGCAAGCCCAAGAAGCGGTCCCCACCTTCCGAGAAGCGGATGAAATGGATGTTGTGAGTCGAGTTGGGCGAGGCAGGCCGTATGGACGACTGAGTGCTGACAACGTCATCGTCAGAGCAACCATGGCCATGATGATGATCCTGGAGGGCTGGAATGACGGGAGTCTTGGACCTGTAATTCCCGCCTTGCAAGATTACTATCATGTGAGTCAGATCCAAGCTGCTGTGATCGTACTGATCGACATTAGGTCGATTACATGCACAGTGAGACTATAGAGCCCTGAGTCAAGTATCTCACCGCCCGCAGTATCTATGATATTCATCTTGACATTTTGTGGCTGTTTCATCGCTGGGTTCGGTAACATTTGGCTCGACGATGCGCTCGGTTTTGGATATGTGAGTTCAGAGAGCCTTTACCAGGAGGACTGATGGATTATTACAGACTGCAACGTTCGGATCAGCCTGTCAAGGCATGTCATATATAGTCAATGTCTGGGGTCCACCTTTTCCCATCTTTGTTGCTGCATTCATCTTCACAGGGTTCGGATTCGCTCTTCAGGTCGGTTCGGGACCATCCCGTTTCCCCCCCTTACCGCTGACTCCAGAACTGACCACTCGACGTAGGACGCTCAATGTAATGCCCTTTGCTCCAGGCTGCCCAACGCTTCGACCAAATTGTCCCTGCTTCACGCATGTTTTGGACTCGGCGCGTTCATCGCACCGTTCTTCGCGACCGCCTTTGTACAAGCTTATCGGCAAAAAGTCTATCTATACTTTTGGATGCCATTCGGGGTCGCCGCCATCACGGTTACTCTGCTCGTGCTGGTATTCCAAGGCCGCAGCGTAGATGATGTCGTCGAGTCCGAGTCATCGGAGAAAGCGATGGACGACGAAGCAGCTGTACCCCTTGTGGAATCTGGTAAAGACGTGCTCAGGGAGGAAGAGGAAAAGAAGGAGGTCATTTCTGGGACCGACAAGCTGCGGCGATTGTTCAGCGATTCCGCGATCATGTACATCCTACTGTTCATCATTGTCTATGTGAGTTCACTCATCATGAGACTCCACAGTGCTTAGCCCTGTAGGTCGGATACGAGGTGGCCATAGGTGGATGGGCTGTCACCTTTTTGATTGATGCTCGAGGTGCAAGTCTGGATTCGGGCTATGTCTCGGCAGGCTACTATGGAGGTGAGTGACCATCGATCTTTGATCCCCTTCTGACGGACTGCCAGGTATCGCCGCTGGCAGAGCTATCCTCATACCAGTGACCAACGCCCTTGGACATCGTCGGGCAATCTTTGTCTAGTGAGTCTATACCGCCATGAGCTCGTGGCTCACGCGTCAGCCTGATCGCTGCGATCCTCCTGGAAGTCTGCATAATGCTCGCTCCATCCATCTTTATTGATGCCGTGGCATTTTCTCTCGTGGGAGTGGTCATCGGACCTATCTATCCCGCCGCCATCGTTGTTATCACCGAAATCATCCCCTTAAATTTGCAGTCTGGAACCATTGGTCTCATGGGCGCACTGGGAGGTGCAGGGAGTGCCATGATGCCATTGTGAGTCGGACTTGGTATGTACGCATGGGATCGTCGCTGAATCCTGATAAGTATCGTTGGGGCGTTATCAGATTTTGTGAGTTGTGTAATCCAGCCGGAACCGTACGGGATGCTCATGTCTCTTCAGCTCGGTATTTGGGTGCTTCAACCTGTCTGCATCCTGCTCATGATAGGAGACCTGATATTATGGATACTCATCGCGAGGAAGGAGAAGATTGCACCATCGATCCGGTGACCTGTTCCATTGTATAATCTAGCATCTTACCTCAAGGAAATTGCATTGTCTGAAAAGGGGAAACGTACAACGAAAAGCCCGAACCCTTCCATAGGTATTATCAATGCCCGATCGATCTTACAGAGCGAGATTGCCTTAATTCCTCAAAAGCTCTTGAACAATGCCAGGAACCACACGAGCAGCAGAGACGTAGCGAGGGTGAAAGGCGTCTCAGACCTGCAAGGTGGAAGGTCAACAGGTGGTGCCAATAGGAGAAAATGCACTCACGCTCTCAGGCCAGCTCCGCCACTGTGCGAGCCACCATCGCTGGTCGCGTTGACGATCGTATAATTGGCACTGACCGTGTAGAATGGTTCGAGGCCATATGTCATGTTACCGACGATCGTGAAATAGCTGGAATGTTGGAAAGGATGTAAGCTATCACGTGGGGAAGCAATGAAACGAAACGTACAAAGATTGCCCAGCTTCACCAATGTAGCCTGAGCCAAGCATGGCAACAGGTGCGACTGTATAGTTGAAGTAATTGTTGGAAGTGGTATTCGAGCTCGACAATCCTGTCGTGTTGAACGGCCATGAGCACTATCAGGAGGATCAGCTGAGTCCGGAGCGAATCCGATGCACATTCCAAAGGAGGAACTGAGCTTACTACGATAGCGTTCGGTGTTACGTAACTGCGAATGAAGCTCATATCAGTGACACCGTGATTCGAGGTGAAGTGCAAGGAGCTCACACCATCGATATGTTGTATGGAGGCGAAGCCTGGTGGGGCAGTGTAAAGTTGACTTGAATTGTGCTGTTAGGCGTTGTGGTCATCTACATGCAATGTCAGCCGGTGGAACCCGAGATTCATCTCCGCCTTCGAGTCTCGTGTGCATACCTGAACCACGTTTTGTGGGCCTTCATACTCATAATTCAAGTTGAACCAGGTTCCGCAGCTCCCATGTAAGCTTTGAGGTAGGTTGGTGATAGGGTACATGGCGTAGAGCGAGGAGCGACGAGTAAGGTGGTGGGGTTGACTTGTGGGTGTGTAGTCTTTTGTATATGTCAGAAGCGGAGATGAGGAATGCCCGACCAGCTCATGTACAGCCTTCGTTTGATAAATGGCCGGTTGAATCGGGGTGCCGGGGTAAACTAAAAATAGGCTATCACAGGGGGTGCCTCACTCTCTAAAAGGAGCAAGTAGCAGTAATCTTCTGTGGAGTGTACCGCGACGCCGCAGGTATGGGCCGCTGAGCCCAAGTCCCTCACCCATGTAATGATCATTCCAGTAATAAGATCTCGCTGAAATGACCACAATGAATCCCCGGCAAATCATGCATATAGAGAATAGTGCTCCGTCTCGGCAGGCCAGGTGGTGGAGTCCAAAGAGCTTACCGTATGATTATTGTGCAGCTCCGGGTGGATTGGACCCCAGATCGGCTTGACTGGTGGGCACGAAGGAAAGCGCTTTGTCCACCGAATCAAACCAAGCTGTGTACCTCTCGCTTTCAGCCCTCACATTGTTGCTACTGTCTAACGTGAATGTGTCCGATTCAAGGGGTTCTTCGCCATCCTTGAATGACTTGTAAGTGCCAGTAGACACGACCTTGAGCGATATCAGCCTATCGCAATAATCAGGGTCTTGTGACTTTATCCATTCTCGAGTTGATGCCGCTTCGTCGCCTTCAGACTGCATGCGGATGGCCTGCAGGCCATCTCGAAGTGCGCACCAGCCGGGCTTGTTTGGCCCTACGAGAGCAAACGTAGTATTCTCAGTGTCCTGGAATCGAAACACTTGCATGTCATCGTAAAAGATCACAGGTGGCATCATGGTGCCTGTTCGATGGGACAAGCACTCGCACTTGTCAGTGATGGAGCCTACGGTGCCATTCCCTTGCGAGGGCACGGCAGTGTCAACTTCCGATGCCTTCTGGTCTGCCATGATATTGTGATAGGTGTCGTGAACAATTGTGGACTTTCTGGTGGGTGGAATTGGAACGGGAATGGTTATGGGGGATTGTGGGGAGACGGACTGATCCTATATGGAAAGAGAGAGTATCGAAACAATTCACGAAGAGGCTTCCTTTGTACGACAGTCCCAGCGGCTCCATTGACCATTACGTGCTGTGAGCATGGAGACCAGAAACACAGTGTGACGTTTGTGTAAGAAATGAAGAGGGTGAGGTCGCCTACAAAGAGGCAAAACGAACTCAAAAAAGAAAAATAGAGGTGACGCGATTTGAACGCGCGAGCCCAGAGGGCACGAGATCAGAAAGCACATAATAGCCATTCAAGTCTCGCGGAATAGACCACTATCCGACACCTCTTTTCACAGGGAGGTAAAAGCAAAGGCGCGCAGACACCTGAGCAACCGATGCCAAAAACAAGCTGTCAATCTTGCACAATACATAATCTCCAATTGTTACGGTTATACCGATCGGCTGCTTGCCGCTGGCTGACCTCCAGCTTCTACATCGATTCGAGTCGACGCAGAGTCGTTAGGAAAGGCAGGCTTGCTTCGAGTGGCGAGGACCATCTCGGCTTGTATCTCGACTCGGAGTCCGAATCAACCCTTTATTTGTCCCCTTCATCACTCCACCACATCGACCTGTACCTTCTCCGATTTGAACGTGCTAACTGGTTGTGGGATCGACGATGACAACATTACGATCATTTCAAGCGGAAATTGAGCAGATCTCGTTGGAGAAGCAGAAACAGGCTATTCGAGAAGCTAGAGAGGCTCATGCTGCTGCTGAGCTGGCCAGACATCATGGCAAAGCTCCCAAGGTCCAGCAAGTGGAGGTAGCGAATCGCAAGGAGGAAGTGACCGCCGATGAGTCCGTCGAGGAAGAGCAGAGCCTCGAGGTGAGTCTCCCGCCTGAATTCAGGCAGCATCTAATCAGATCAGAGCCTGATATTAGGGGAAGATGGTGAAGCGCTGCGATCCAATCTTGCTCGATTGCTGCTGAGAGGACATGGCGAACAACTCATACCACTCGGGTCCCATCCTCCTCCCTCCGAACTCTTTGGCTCAACGTCCACATCGCCTCCCGAGAATCCGATCGGCCAAGCAGTCACATTGGTCGAGCTAACACCCGCCCTCGGTCGCTTACGAGAGGCATGCACTGCGCTCCGAGCAGAGTTGAATGAGTTATACCGAGTCGAGAAGGATGGCAAGGTTTACGGATGTTGGCAGGCACGATTGACGCCTAGGCGTGTCGAGGAGATCATGGAAGTTCGAGTGGCCGTTGTTGGGAATGTGGACGCAGGAAAGAGCACAACACTAGGTGTTTTGACCCGTGGAGGTCTGGATGATGGTCGAGGCAAGGTAAGTTAGATACCTCGGCCTCGTACGCTGATACCTTAGGCTCGAGTCGCTCTTTTCCGCCATCCGCACGAGATTGAAACAGGTCGAACGAGTAGTGTCGGTGGCGAGATCCTAGGCTTTTCACCCACCGGACAGCCGGTCATACCTACGAGTCATACGGATTCTGGCGGTGATCATGGGCATCTCGCTGCGGCGAAACGGGAGAAGCTCGGTTGGGAGGAGGTTTGCAAGCGTGCAGCCAAGGTCGTCAGTTTCATTGATCTGGCAGGGCACGAGAGGTGGGCAGGGGGTCTGAACTTCACTCTAGGATGTCAACTGACCCGCGCAGGTACTTCAAAACCACACTGTACGGCCTCAGCGGATGTGCACCAGACTATGTCATGTTGATGGTGGGCGGGAATGCGGGACTGATAGGAATGTCCAAGGTGAGACTGCGCCGTTTTGGATCTTCCGCTCACCCATCAGGAACACCTCGGAGTCGCTCTCGCACTCAATGTTCCAATAGCAGTATGCGTGACAAAGGTGAGCGCCCTTCCAGCCTGATCCAAAGCTCACGAACAACAGATCGATATGACTCCGCCCAATATCCTCGAACAAACCGTCAATATGCTCGTCAAAGTGCTCAAAAGTCCCGGATGTAGGCGGTTACCGGTCTTTGTCGACACGGCTCAACAAGCTGTCGATTGTGCGCGACACCTCGGTCAGCCCATTGGCAGCGGCAGTACGAGATTGTGTCCGATATTCATGGTCTCCAACGTCACTGGCCACAATTTGCCGACCTTACGCACGTTTCTCAACTGCTTGCCTTCGTCCCAGTCGGATGACAAGTACGTCGTGGATGCGCCGTTTGAGTTTCAGATCAGCGACGTTTTCTCAGTGCCTTTTGTCGGTACAGTCGTTGTGAGTTGCAGATCCCGTCTGCGAGAAGAATATCGTATCTGACGTTCCCTCAGAGCGGTGTCATCACCTCGGGCACTGTGCAAGGTGGGTTCAATGTCATCGGTCTCGGCTGATCTGCGTAGCGAACGACCCGGTCCTTCTCGGTCCCGACTCCGTCGGCCAATTCATGCCGACAGCAGTCAAGACGATTCAGCGTAAAAGAGCTTCAGTGAACAGTGCAGAAGCCGGTCAGAGTGTTTCGTGAGTATCATTTAGGTTTTCGAGATCATCGACTTAACTGACGTGACTAGCTTTGCGCTCAAGCGTATACGGCGGACGCAAGTTAGAAAAGGCATGGTTCTGACTGGTCGGACGGAAACCGCCCCAAAAGGTATGGATTCCCGTCGTCATTAACGCTGACCATCACAAGCTGTCAGAAAGTTTGAAGGCATCGTTATGGTCCTCCACCACGCCAGCACGATACAGCCCAAATACCAGGCGATGATGCATTGTGGTGCAATACGGGTGAGTCTTGTGTCTTCATGTTCCTGCTTGTCCTGCTGATGATGCCAGCAAACTGTTCGAATATTATCACTAGACCACCCTTCGGGTCTGATAAGAACCGGTGATAGGAGCAAAGTCGTTTTCGAATTCATCAGCCACACTGAGTTTGTCAAGGAGGGTCAATTGATATTATTACGGGAGGCTAAGACCAAGGTTCTAGGAGTGGTCACCAAGATCCTGGCATAGCTTGTTTCTTTTGTAGTCTTGATAGATAAGTCACCTGTATCCTGCGCTTCGTCGAGTTGTCACGCGCTGCCACATTCGCGTCGGTTGATGTTTGAATGACGTTGACCGGACAACCCGATATTCAACATTCATTCAACTTGCATCCTGACCAATTGACTGGAAGTGCCAATCACGAGGTCACAATTTCGTATAGATCAGCTTAACAGTTAACAGTCCCAACGCCTCTGTCACTATGTCAACCGAGAAGAAGGGAGAGTGAGTATGGGATCCCATTAGTCTTCGGAACTCGTGTTGACTCAAATAGTGGAGTCACAACCTTTGAACCAATTCATCCGTTCGACATGAGCGACCCAAAGTCATGGTGAGCTGACTGTGAGAACGACCATGGACAACAGCTCATGTTCTGTTCAGGGCCAAGACCATCGGTGTGTGAAGGATCGATAGTCGGGACCGTGGTCTGTGCTGACATTTACCTTTGCAGGAATGATGAATTGGGACAAGTAGGTCGACGGACGCATCACAACGGGAACACACACCTGATGCTCTGTCCAGTGACAAGATTGTGTTCTCAAAGCGATCGCTTCTGGAATTCCTCAAGTGAGGCTGGTTGCGTGACTGTGCAGCAACGCCCTGACCTCCATGTTTCCAGGGCTTGCGATTTAACGGTCAACACCAACTTTACAGAAATTCAAAAGCTTCCCAGTGAGCTGCGTTCGCATCATCATGGACTAGCTAACTTGACCCAGAGTTTGCGACGTTTGGCCGACTCAACAAGGAAGCTACCGATGCCGCGGTCGCAGACCTCGTGGAGGTACGTGCTGACGATTTTATCGAGAGCCCCGTGCTAATCGGTTCCCTCCCCCCTGCAGGCCGAAATCGCAGACCCCACCACTGACTCCTCTGTACATCCTTCCAAATCGACTGTACCTCGGACTACGCGAAAAGTGACCGAGCCACCCGGTGGACGAGGAAGCTTCAGACTCGCCCCTCAGGAGTACGAAGAGACGGATGCGCTCTCGCTCGCTCCTCCCAGAGATGGGGGTGACGGGGTTGACGTCGAATTGGACCACATGGAACACCTAAGACTTCACGTTGAGCCTGAGCATGATGGAGGTGCCAAGATCGAGGATGAGAAGGCAGAGTGAGTTTCGTGATTTCAGTCTCGCGAGTTCAAACTGACCGTACTCCAGGGCCACACCTGCAGCTGCATCCATTCCATCCAGACCCTCCGTCGCCGGTCGTAAGTCATTCTCAGTGCCTTTGGACAACCTGCTGACTTGTGCACAGTGTTTGGCGACAACGCCGACGGGGCCACAGAATCTACTCATGGACGCAGAAAGCAGACCCAGGCCCCTCAAGAGGAGAGGAGGGGCTTCTGGTAGAGTATCATCTTTCGAGACCGGTCTCACTGGCCCTCATGCATGCATCAAGTTCATCTGTATGCAATGTCAAGTCTGGATTTGGCTATGCTGAAATTTAGTTCCGTTAAGATCCCAGGGCAATTAAAGCAATCTGCCCGCAACGGGATCGCGGGAATAGCGGATACGTTCCTTTCAGACCAGCATAGGTGGTATAGTAGCACGTTTATCTTACTGTCAAGTCTCGGGATCACCACACAGAAGCCCATTGTAGCTCATCCAAAGGTGTTAAAAACGTATCACTACCCTCGGCATAAGTGAGACCACCCCCGTATCCACAAAGGACCTGTGTCGAAGAGACTCAACCGTCAACATGGAGGCCTTGACTCGAAATCCCACCGAGCTCTTGAGGTAAGTAGGCTGTATCTGATAGCACGTCGCCATGGGTCTATTTGACTTGATACCTTGAGGTGTAGGACGCTGACTGGCGTTGCAGGATTGTCAATATGTGAGAGTATTTCAGTATCTTGACGACCCCTCGCTTTCTATCCAATCTTCGCTCTCACCGACAACCATGTAGACACGTAGCTGAGGTTACGGAAGCTGACCATATCACAGGGCGGTTGGAGGAGTCGCCATCGCTGGAGGAGTTGGATCACTGCTGAATCACTCGTTCTCAAGCATCATCATTGGCATATATGAGGTCATGTTCGTGAAAGAGTTCGCATACCTCGAGGTGCACTGACCTTGCGCAGCGCCGGGGCCATGATTATATTCCTCGAAGTTCGGACTCCGACCGAAGAGCATAAAGAGCTTGTTCATCGTTATGCTTCGTTCATGCATTCTTTCGTTGGGCGGGGTGTATGTGAGTCGGGATTCACATGTGCCCTAGCAATGCCATGAGGTTCTTCCGCTGAAGCCTGCGCAGTCTACTTGTTGCTTGGAGTCCTGATGCTCAAGTACGTCCCTCTCCCACATTCTCTTCATGTCCGTCAAGCTAATGCGGTTTCAGTTACTACACCATCCTCTACATATGCGGTACCCTCGTTGGGGCTGTAGGCGTCGCCTACATCGTCCTCCACTTCTTCCGCATGGTCGAGCCTCCTTCGTGAGTACACTGCATCCCTTCTTCTTTCCTACATCCAATTCTGATCTTCACTACAGGACCATGCAGGCCCCGACCACAGATACCGAAGCACAACCAGTGTGGCAGGGTCCTACGGAGTGATGCGAAGGCATGATAGAACCGGGAGACGATAGCATTATTTCGCGACTGCGAAAACCATAGAGCGGGAGGCACATAGACCTCTGAGTACATTATAGAATGCCATTCCATGCCTTATCATGCTTTGCGGGCAAGCTGGAACTCCTACGAACGCATCACTCAGGAGATCGCCGCCATTTTCAGTTCCTAATCTTCGGCCAGCTCCGAGTCCCGACGGACCTACCGATTCGGGCGTCCAGCGCTCAAGATCCTCCCCCTATCTGCGCGAGCCTTCTTCTTCCTCTTTCCTTGATATTCCTGCGAAACTCAGCGATCTCGCACGATGGAGAAGAACAGCTCCCTTCCACGGCCCGTGCATGCGCCTGCCAGGCGGGCGTCCCGACATCCAACGATATTCCTCGGTATCCTCTTGGCCCTCGCAACTACCCTCTATTTTGGACCGACGTATGAAGCTGTCAAGTCTAGATGTCATTCAGCCATTTCATCGAGCCATGCAAAAGACAGCCTTGATTCTGTCAAATGGAGTCAAGATCAGTTGAAGGAGTACTCCAAATGTCCAGTCCAGCCAAAGCCATTGCACCCGAAGATGACTTGGGAGATGACCTCTGAAGAAAAGGAGAGATCGATCAAGCTGTACTCCGAGGCCGTGGTAAGTCGTAGCAAGATGTCTTGCATCTAGTATCCTGACTTTGAGTCTTAGCAGATTCCAACCCAGAGCTACGATGATAACGGAGAGCCTGGAGAGGACGAGCGATGGGCGCCGTTCTTTGACTTTCAAAAATGGCTCAATACAACGTTCCCTTTGGCGTGAGTCTGTGATAAGCAGGAAGTCTGCTAAAATATATCTTAGCACACAAACGGCTCGTATCGAGTACATCAACAGTGAGCAGTTTGTGTCCCTTGTGCTACGAGCCAACTCTGACACATACTGCAGAGCTCGGCATTCTGGCAACATTCGAAGGCTCAGACCCCTCCCTCAAGCCTTTGCTTCTCATGTCCCACTATGATGTCGTTCCGGCCCCTCCGTCAACGTACGATCGTTGGACTTATCCCCCATTCAGCGGACATATCGATGACGAATTCGTATGGGGGAGAGGTGCAGCCGATGACAAGACGCTGCTCGTGGCTCAATGTGAGCAATGAGCTAAAGAAAGCATCGAGTCTGGCTAACAAGCACCTCTCCATCTCTCAGGGGAATCCATCACCCACTTGCTTGAGAATGGGTTTAAACCCAGGCGGACACTCATTCTGTCCCACGGCTTTGACGAAGAAGAAGTATTTGCTCGACGTGGTCAAGGTCACATCGCCCCTTTCCTCGAAGAGAGATACGGCAACGACGGTCTTTTGATGGTTATCGATGAGGGCTCGGGAGCCAGCGACGATGTGAGTCAATGTGTCTCGAACGATCAAACTCGGTTTGACCATCGGTGACGCAGTTCTATGGCGGTGCCTTTGCGCTCCCTGCAATGGGAGAGAAAGGATACATGGACATCGAGGTGGGTCTCCTGAGAGTGTGGGCGCGCTTGATACGGCGCTGACTTTGGTCGATGCAGATCTCGGTAGGAACTGCTGGCGGAGTGAGTCATCCCCTTTGTTGTGAGGCGAAGCTTACTGTAGAGCAGCATTCCTCCGTTCCTCCAACGCACACTGGCATCGGTATCATGTCGCAGATCGTACTTGGACTGGAGGATCATCCCTTCTCCGAAAAGGCAGATACCCTAATTGATGCTCTTGACTGACGCCTCACAGCTCACCCCCGCCACTCCAATGCTTCAGGCTTTGATGTGCGCCAAGGATCACGCACCTTCCTTCCCACACGAGTACTCCAAGCTTCTAAAGAAGGAAGGACCAAAGTCATATCCCAAGTTGGCCCAGACTCTGTCATCAGAATCCCTATTCAACAAAGCCATGCTCGGTACCACTACTGCCGTGGACGTTTTCCACGGTGGAGTGAAAGTCAATGCGCTCCCAGAGCTTGTCAAGGCGCAAGTCAACTTCCGGATCGACTTCACCGAGTCTATTCAGTCGACCAAAGATCACGTCGCGAGGATCCTGAAACGAGTAGCTAAGAAGAACAGCTTGCAGCTCTCTGCTTGGGAAGGCAAAGATGGGGACAAGGATCTCGGCGGACGATATATCAAAGTCGAGCTCATCGGCAAAGCCTTGGAGCCAGCACCAAGAACGCCGAGTAGCGGTGGTGTCTGGGAGCTCTTCGCCGGAACAGTCAAGTGAGTCTCTTTCGCTTCCTGGTTCAAGCTCAAGGCTGATGTTTTGTTCAATCTTTCTCAGATCTGCATTGCCTGCGCCCGATGGATCTGAACGTATCGTTACGCCTTACCATTCTACTGGGAACACGGACTGCAAGATGTACTATAATCTTACCAAGCACGTCTATCGCTTCATGGGCTCCTCGGGTGGCAAGTCTGGAAATGCTGTGAGTGTGGAGGCGCTCGCATAGTAACGAAAATCAACTCACCAACCGCTAGCACACTGTTGACGAACGTGCTTCGATTGCATCGCACTTCCAAATTATCAGCTGGATCCACGCGATCATCCAGAACGCTGACGCGTACGATGGAGAGCAATGAGAGAGAGGAGAGAAGAATTGGGACATTCTGAAATCAAGACCATGCACACAATCGTCAAAAGTCTATACATTGAATGACTTCAATCATCCGAGTCGTAATCGTCATCATCATCGACCGCATGCGGCTCGTACACGTTGTATCTCCCCTGTTCCAACCAGACTGGACCTCGTGGCTGATCCCAGGCTGAATGTGCAGCGACTTGATGTTCTAGATCCATATTCCAGGCAGCAGCTCCGGAGCTCACTTCATAGCCCTCACTGCCTCGGCGTACTCTGACATTATTATCGGAAGGGTACGGCTGCTGCATCCGACGAGCCTCTTCTACGGCTTTGTCTCCATTTTCCAAACTTTCGTCGTAATCATAGTCGGAGAGATAGTGTTCGGGTGAAGATCCACTGGCTTCACTGCCTTCTGACCCTTCGCTAAGAGTCGATGAAAATCTCCGGTTACGCAGCTCGCCGATCCCTATCTGCTCTAATGCGGAGCTGCTTGAAGATGATGGTTTCAATGCGGGATTGAAAGACTCTCCTCCATAGGTGAATGCAGATTGACCAGACCTCGGTGGAGGATTGGGCAAACGAGTAGGATCTTGAGGCGGCCATTGATATTGGGCGTCCGAGTCTGAGGAAAGCGTCAGCAATGACATTCTACCTGTTACGACGGTCAACGCGGTCCAGCGAAGAGCCCTGTTCTCTAGTAAGAGGCACTCACCCTGAAGCTCGCAAGGTGTGAAGCCACGATCAAACAATGTCGCTGGCGCCTCTCGAACCCCGATGTCTACCATCCGCCTCGAAGCCGCTCATTAAGCCTCCACTGGAGGATCCAATGGCCTGATGATTCCCATACGCCTCCCCTTCCGGCCGCTGATTGTCCCTCGCCACGATGCCCGCCCATTCTGACGAAGACTCACCGCCAGCTTCCGGGTTGACGGGGAACGACAGACCGTCGCCTTTCATCGCTTGAGGCCAGAGCCAAAGGAGAGGGTTGGAACCGAGCACAGAATTCATGTTGGCTATGAATCCAATATTCTGTAGGTACGTCAGTGTGGTCGTGGTTGCGGAACGGACAGTATCGCTCACGTATGGATATTTGATCTCTCTTATCTTGCCTCTCCGAACCAAGGTGGCCACTTTGTCCTTTTCCCATCCCTCGATCGTCGTGGAATTGCCGGAAACGAGGTAAAGGTGGTACATTGAGAACATGCCGACGCAGAGCCACACAGGCACGCAAGTAGCAAAATTGAAGACAAGGAAGAGGATGTCAAAGAGCGTAGGCTCGGCCTGGCCGTTGTCAGCATTCAGCCCAGTAAGACGCACTGCAAAAAATCACAGCATAACGAGGTGTCATGTCCATAACTCGACGGACTAGCATTGCCAAATGATAGCTCGTTGCGAGATCCACGTAGACGAGAAATCGAATAAAGTGGCCTTGATTGTAGTAGCCAACACAATTGACTATCCATGGGCAGTGATCTAGATGTGATGAGTTCGAGGCGGGCGGCGGCAAGGCTCACGGTCCAGCTGAAGATGAGCAAGAGCGATGTTTAGCACCTATACTCTCTTGTCCATTGACGATTCACCTTGAGCTTTCATTGGCGGTCAGTACGAAGCATGTTCCAGCTCGAACACTCACCACACACGTCTTGCACTGCCGACAGTGATGCGCTGACATTCTTCAGCACGCGTAGCAATCGGGCACATACTCCTGGGAGGTTTATAGTGATTGCACATCTTGCAGTATCTTGGCGCATGACTATTCTTCTTGACCTCGACGCCTTCCATGTTGGATAGAGACGGACGCTTTGGGATGAATCGTCAGTGGAGGGCGAGGAGCGCGAACAGTCTTGCACCCACCCATCCTCTTGGAACCTCTCCCGGCGGCGTCGTGACGCAAAGTCTATAATTCCAGAAAACCATGAACACCAGCAAACTATGAGTTTCGCGTTAAACAAGCACTTGGTCGCTCGCTCAGACTGACTTGAATGGGACCAGGAGCTTGAGCAGATCCAAGCTGAGGACGCTGCCATACCATGGCCAAATGATGCCAATCTGGCACGAGAAGGATATCCAGCTAATCAGAGTCAGGGTTCCGCCGAGCCTGCGGTGCGTGAGCAAAGTGACAGCAAGAGCGGACCTCCGACATAGCTCACCATAGTCTTTGAATCCATCCTCGAGGCATGACGGATCTCTGTCTATGGCCCCTTCCACATATGGTATTACCTGATGACGGGCCTTGAAGCAAGGGGATAGAAATTGGAAACGGATCCCTTTGCCGAATTATACACAGTTCACGGAACGCGCTGACCGAACGAATGAGGGACTGCGTCGAGCTCTGCGGCGACGGCGTAGCTGTGCAATGTGCATCGTTACATGTAATTGATCATCGAGGCCGACTATAAGATATGATAAGAGTCCAAGACAATGCTTCAAAGCCATGCACAATGTGCGACGCAGACATGATATTCCCCAGTCATTCGCGTTTCCTCACCGGCGTGTTCTTCGGTGCGCGTATGAAGCCAAGGAGACCAAACGTCAGGGAGTAGAGAGCGGTAGCTGGAAATCTGTCAGCATAGCTCGTAATACGATTGAGCTCACCTCCTGCCATGGCGCTGAACAGGCCTGGACCTTTATGTCCCGAAGCTTTAGACAGATCGGCTTGAGCAGTCGCTGAGAGGGCGTCCTTGACAGCTTCTAGAGCTGATCTTTTACCCGCTTGGGAGAGCGCTACGACATAAGACGTCCAACTCGACAGGATGGATGCGGTCAGAACCTGAGGCTGTATCAGCGCCACTCTGCACCACGATAGCGTTTCGACTGCTCACCGGAACGATCACACGGAGTCGGGCAGATTTCTGCCATTCTGGATACTACAGCTGGTCAGCGAGGGAGCGGTGCAATGCTCACATGTGGGATATAGCCACGGAAGTATGGCAAGAAGAGGACGAGGTAGAGGAATATGATCTGAAAGGCAGTCAGCGAATGGAAGCGTGGGCGAGACAACAGGGCTAATGTAGTCCTCAACATCCAAAAGATCTGGCTGTTTCAAGCTTGGGGAGCACTGGCTGCAATCCATCCTTTGGAGCCACTCACAATAACAAAGGCATGGGATCCGAGAGCGAGAATCAACGTTTTTCTGCACCGAGAGGTCAGTACTGGCACATGTATGGTGGTAACGCGCGCAAACATCGCTCCTCCGGCTGTCATGACTTTGAATCAGTTCATGACCTACCTTATCCAGCCGCCCTCGCCTCTGTAGACAGATTCTATAGCAGCTCGCATGTTGAACCACCAACATCCGGCGAACCCGGCAGCGACATATTTGCCATGTTTGACCAAGACCGATTGCACTCGCGGAGCTCTCTTGTCTGTAGAGGCCAGTACGCTGCTGCTGGAGGCACGAGGCAATGATGCTCGGCGAGATGCCTTGCTTGGACCTGGTTTTGTTGACATGTTTGGAAGTGTTATAAGTCTGACGTCAAGAAATGGTTGGATTGAGGGGGTTCCGGCGATGGAGCGTCTACTGCACGGTTCGGTGCTGGAGATAGCTCTGAGGACCGATTACCAGCCGAGGAGAAGCGCGGTCACGATGACAGACATGGGGTTGTGCAATGCAAGTATCAGTGCGATCTCAAGCTATGTGACGGTTGACGGATCCATTGGGTTTGAGCCTCCGGGACTTTTTCCTCCGTTTGAGACCGAGATTTTGAGTGGCAACTGCTGTGAGGCGAATTGAGCGTGGCACTCACATGTAGCGTAACAGCTCTTTGGAGGTCGGAATACAGCTGTGAGGGTCGATGCGACGCAACAAGGAGCCCAGAGAGTGAGTCCTGAGCAAGTGTCAAGACGCATTCCACACATGACCTGATACGAGGGCGTGCAGGTCACAAGCTGGGAAAGTGCTATCGACAGACAAGGGCATCGTGTTCTCTGTGCGGATTCGCGATGACATAGAGACACCCAGATAGCGCGACGCGCGCGATGACTCCTCTCCCTAAGCCCGATACCCTGCCTGTTCCTGCGGCGACATCGTACTTGCCTCCAAAAACGATCGGCTGCTCCAGTCGGATCGATGATCAAGCGGGGTGTACGATCTCTCATTCTTACAGATCGCGGTGAGTCCGAAGGACGGATCGGCGTCTTTTACGCTGCTTCGCCCTTTGTCGGGAGCTTTCTCGGGCCGACTGGCCTCTGGTACCGGGTAGCTCCCATCTCAAATCCAATGAGCTGTGTGGATACGGGTAGCAATATTGGTCCGTGAGATACTCATACATTTAGACGACACCGATTGCAGCTCATGGGAGTCTTGATCTGGGTGAAGAATTCCGGCACTCTTCTTTCGCTCTCTTTACCTTCTTCGTCAGAGCTACCATGACTTGTCGTACCCTGTCTGATGACTGCTTCTTCAATGGCTGCCTCGCTGGCCCAGCAAATGCTACAGTATATCGTCAGGGGTAAGAGATCAGCCCGATCAGAGTACTTGGTAACGAAGTCAGTAAGACCGACGCAATGGTAACACAAACTCGGGATCAGCTGCGTTCCGATGTCCAGATGACTTCCGGGACGCCAAAATGCCCAGGGTCATGCGTTCAACGTGTGACAGTCACAGCTGCATTTATCGAGAATCATGAAGTGGACTTGACAGGTGCCATACTTGGGATCGTCAACTTGGCAGGTCTTATGCGCTGCAATATCTTCGGGGTATGACATGGCGATGAACGGGGAAAAAGCAAGGTAATACCACGTCTCCAAGGCGATAGATGAACGCAAATACATCCTTCCACCAGCTGCGTTTTGGGGGCTCGACGGCTCAAGGGGTTCTGTCCTCCGGTCTCTACATGCGAAACGATAATTGAAGATGTAACAAGGCCCAAGAATTTCCAGCATCGTACCAAAATGAGGATGTGCCAACCGAGTCATTGGGTGGCGGGATCTGGACAGCCTTATAAGTGGTCGAGGATGTAATGCGTGCGGAGGGCATCAGTGGTCAAGATCGTGATCGGCCGCAACTTCCAGGAGCTTGTAGAGCTAGTCGTGATAGTATTTGTTGAACTTCTCGACCAGTTCCGGATCATTCTTCGTACTGTCAGATCGCCATCCGTTCTTCGCGACGCACCCTGAATTTGCTCTGAAAGCCAGTGAAGCCATCACGGAGAACGTATATCTGCTGGGTCGGCGGAGAGCTCAGAGAGGCTTCCCGAGTCTCGGCATAGATCTTTTATACTATGAGCACGTGTTTGACACTACGATAGGGTGTCTGACATACTCTCGCAGCCTTTGGACCTCTGGAGTTTGGATCAGATGGGATAATCACATATGATTCAGCTTACCGTTGTTGGGAGAGAGCACAGTCTTCAAGTCATGAGTATGCCATAGATCACCTTCCTAGCTCACGGAAGACGACGCTAGGACCTGAAGAAAAGGTCAGCCTCCAGGATAGAGCGAGTGACGGAAGCAGCTGACACTTTTCGAGCCGCTTCACCAGACCCCCGACGCTATCGTGGAAGGTCGAGCTAGGTACATTTACTGCAGAGACGATATTGCCTCCCTGGCCAAGACCAGTCAGCCTTAGATTGCAAGATACGATACGACTCCACGTACAGCAAAATCATCATCTCGTACATCCACGACTGCAATATCCTTGACATCAGACGCTGGCTTGGCTTTGAGGATTTTCGCCAGTTCCTGTTACGATCAGCTAGGTCGAACAAACACCTCACGTCTGCTGTGATGTATTTGTAAGGCAATGAGAATGACATGCTGGAATGAACGGTTCTGATGATCGCCTCACACTGGCTGAGGCTGCTCTTCTGAGGGCGAAGAAGGCGATAGAGCATTCAACAGCCTGAATGAGAGATCGTCATCATTTAGCAAGAAATTCGTTCGGGAAATGAGTTCCGGTCGATGAAGCATCGTTTTATCAGTGGTCGACATTCATCTGCTTCTACTCTCAGACAGTGATATCCCGTATAGAGCAACGAGGTTGCACCAGTGGCGCTCATTCCCCAATGTCTCTTGCTCGTGCTGGTCTCCGGACACTGGTGAGAATGACTGATCGAGCCTCAGTTCGCTGACTCAGACTCGACCTCTTCTAGCGATCCCTTCCCTCTCGCCAAGTCAATCGTGCGACTAGCGTTCTTGCCCAACGCAGATGGCTCTCTGAGGAAGCTAGGAGACAGATCGATAGTGTACGCCTTGTCTGGGTTTGTCTTCAGAATACTTCAACTTACTCTTTTGCAGCACGTCAAAGAGGCCGATGTGGTAGTATTCATGAAGGGAACACCTGATCATCCCGAATGTGGTTTTTCTCGAGCCGTTGCGCAGATCTTGGACGTTCAAGTGAGACACTACGGGCTGATGCTGAGACCGACGTGCTCAAGAGATGCCTCTCCAGGCGTCCGGATGCACCAGAAGCTGATGACGTTACTCAGGGCGTGCCTCGTGAAAAGATGAAGACATTCAACATCTTGCAGGACGCTGAGCTGCGCACGAATATCAAAGAGTACAGGTGCGCGGGACACGCCCGAAATGGGCGATGTTATGACGCTGATTCACGCAGTGAATGGCCGACTATACCTCAAGTCTACGTCAAGGGGGAGTTTGTGGGTGGAGCAGATATCATGTACTCCAGTATGTCAGACTGCTTCCCCTTCGTGTCGCACCCGCTCATAGTCGCTCAGTGCACAAGGATGGATCCCTGGAGAAGATGCTGGTCAAAGAAGAGATCATAGAGGAACTTCCAGAGTTGACGGAGGAGCCCACGCAGTAGGGCAGCTCGAACGCAGTAATTACCGATATCCTACAATGTATACTGTACCCCTCAGCAGAAGCCAAGCTACTTCGTTGGCACCCATGCAAGTGTTTGATGTGTCAATAGCTGAAAGTACAAAAGCTCCGTCCAGGAGCAACTTCTGCTTCTCACTCCGCCTGAACCCAATCTACAGCGCATCCTGCATCATCGCCCACCTACACCTGCGGTGTTGGCGGCAGAGGGTACGCGATCCTATCCTTCCTTCTCGTCGGGTCTAGCCATCTCTTTAATTTACCCTCTCTCATCCTAGGCGCCTTGCGCTTCCACCATTCCCATCCGAGCGACATGACTTCTCCTCCAGCATCGTAGGGTGATGGAATTTCAGAGTACCCGGGTCGAGCAGTAGGATGTCGAACGTAAACACAGGAACAGGTGAGGTAGTTGGGGAGGAGGTAAGCGGGAACGAAAAGACTGGCCTGAGCAAATTTGGGCAGTTCAAAGAAGGATTTAGGCGCTCTTGAGGCTGGTTTGGAGGGGACGGGAGCCGTCTGAGAGGATGAGGCCGATTCTGCGGGGGCTGATGTGGAAGCATCCTCGTTCTCCGCATCCTCCAAATCTTTATTCAGAGTCTGAGCAGGAGCCGCCTTCGCCGGGTCCATCAGGAAGTTGATGACTCTATAGTCCACAGTGAAAAGATCTCCTGGTCTCAGCTGAGACGCAGAGTTGGTGATCTGTCCAGGGAATCAGCTCGATGCTCACACAACACACATTTTTTTTACTCACCACTTTGCCATTGACTTTGACATGCCCCTTGACAACGAATTGCTTGGCTTGGTATACACTGCTCGCGAGACAGGCTCGGAAGATGACCACATCTAGCCTTCGTTCAATGTATGAGAACATCATACTGGTGATTGGTGTCGTGGACTGCCTGGCCTTTTGCTCGGCGTCTTTCACATCCCTATTACGTCCTCCAGCCGATTCTTTTCCTTCGATCCACTTGTCAAGTGTACGCTCAGCTCTGCTCTTCTGCTCACGGTCTCCATGGATGGCCGGTAACAGGGAGGGAAGATACCATCGCTCCCACTGTTTGATAGGGACAATACCCTCCAGATGATAACCCGCTAGATACCTTCTAGCTTTGAAACGTTGCTGATAGAGGGTTTTCGATTTCCCAGCGTGAGTCTCAATGTATAAAGGCCCTTCACTGTGTGTCCGCTGCCAAAGATTATACAGGTTGACGCCGGTCCAACTCTGCGTAGAATTCATGTTAACTTGATCCCTTGCTAAAACGTTCAGCAGTCAGACTTACCATGCGTGGCAGAGCTCTCTCCTTATTGAAAAGATCCCTATATATGCCGCTCGCCGGCAAAGAGGGCTTCATCTTGACCTCGACTGACTCCTAGTCGTGCTATGCTCTCAACGTTACACTGGCATCGACACTTGACCCGAAATTTCAACATCCCATCTGACTCAACGGAAGCAAATTTTACAGCGCATTGTGGCGACCATAAGTGGAGGGAGGGATGGTGGACGAACTCAGCCGGTCATCGTATTGCATGTATATTTGCATAGTCTATCAGGAATGTCAAGTGTAAGGAGAAGAACCACAAGCAAGGCAAGCTAAAGCCCGACTCAGATGTTCGTCGTGTCATATAGCCCCATTCGCGTTTCACCTCGTCCCGTTCCTCAGGCTGATATCGCTACCTCCGAAATGATGTAGGTCATCGACGCGGATGCTCTCCTAGAGCATCATTGGGACCGGATCCCAATGATGCGCAGTAGTATCGAATGCCGAGACATTCTCGATGCTTGAAGTAGCGATGCAATCTGCTTGGAAGTCGCTGTCATCGTGAAAGATTGCCCTTAAAGCGAGAGCGTCTTGGTAACCGCGCTCAGCCACGTCTTACCAGATTCAGCCCACTCTGCCCAAGCTTTTAGCAGTTCAGGCGACACATCTTCAGCTCTCCGTGCCATTGAGCCTTTTGAGATCATGGGATGAATAAGTCAGGAGAGACTTCAGATACCTCCGATGAACGGCGTTTGGCAGTACATTTCATGCAAGAGAGCATTAGCCGATGATATGACAGAGATCATGTGATGGCGTATGATGAAGAAGATGAGACAACAGCATAGCCAATCTAGACTTGAAGGAGTTCCTGGACCACACCTGCAACGATCAGCCACCCGATTGTGGGCGTGCGTAAACTCACCAGCCGCGATGGTCTCGCCCTGCCGACGGATGAGTACACGTCCCATCTCCTTGTTCTCCGCGGCCGTCTCTAAGGGCAACGTGGGTAATTTGCCTCCAGTGTTGGTAAGTCGTAACGTTATTTCCACGAGTGCCGTCATGCCCTTCTGCAGGACTCGAGGATTCTTCCGAGTCACCGTACCCTTCTCTGAGACAGATACAAGCTTGCTGATGGTGGCGGGGACATTGATCGAGTGGTGGAATAATTCGACCTGGTAGATTCAGCCCGAGCCGCCTGGACAGTGACTCACGGCTGCTCCAACAATGATCGGGCTTGAAACATCAAACACCAGGATATTCGCAGAGAATCTCGATACCATCGGAACCGGCAGTGAGGTCGGGCAAAGGACTGTGCCGATGGCGAGATGGATCGCATCGATCCCTGAAAGGTACAGCGTGACGTTCTGTCCAGCAACAGCATAAGGTGCAGAATCGTCATCTATCTCTATCGCTGAGATCATCAGTAGGAGTATTATCGCAATGGCTCACTCCTGACAGACGCTACCTCATCTCCAGGGACAGCTCTCAATCTGTCTCCTACTTGGAGTACTCCACTGCACAATCTTCCCGTCACTGCCACGCCAGACGCCACAGCAGTCTGTCCCTTGAATACGTTCGAGACTGGTATCCGCAGAGCTGAATCATATGGTCGAGTGGGGACCTCAATCTTGTCTAAGAACAATGTAAGCAGTTTATCCCAGGGAATTTCTTCCTGCACATACCAAGCGAGTCCATCAACGTGGGGCCATCATACCATGATTTCAAGGCGACTTCATCGTTGGCCACAATATTTATACCCTCCATCGCTGCCAGTGGCAGACAGACTGTCTTTGCAGGTGCGAATCCAGCAGACAGCAAGAACGGCTTAAGTGCCGATACAATCTCATCGTATCGATCTTGGGACCACTCGACCTGTATCTAGTAAGCAAGTCATTGCCGAAGACACTTGACCACTCACCACGTCCATTTTGTTGATGCCCACGATGATTTCCTTGACGCCGAGACTTCTGACAAGCCAAGCATGCTCGCGAGTCTGACCTCCACGCTCGAACCCAGCCTCAAACTCTCCTGGCGATCCGTCCACAACAAGCAAGGCTACATCAGCCTGAGCTGCTCCACTGATCATCGCCGGAATGAAGTCTCGGTGACCCGGTGCATCTAGCAGGGTGATATTACGATGCGGCGTGTCGAAATGTGTTGTCGCGATGTCTATAGTGACCCCTCTGTCGCCAAGATCAGCATGGATCAAACTCAGGTCGCGAGGCCCACCTGTCACGTTCATCGCCCAGCGCATCCAGTCCCCAAGCAAAGGCAAAGCTGCCTTTGCCGATCTTCTTACTGCCTCGCTCATTTGCAGTCTTCTCCTTTTCAGACAACTCGCCGATATCATATAGTAATCTTCCCATCAAAGTAGATTTACCAGCATCGACGTGCCCTACATGGACTCAGTCGTCGTCGTCCTGCCTGGACTTCCGCCACTTACCGACAACAACCAGACTCAGATTTTTCTTTCCGGTCTCCTCTTCATCCTTGATCACTTTGGCAATCAGTTCCTCTTGCTTCATATTCAGCGCAGGCCTCTCCTTGTATCTCTCCTTTTCCCTCTCCGCATCTTCTTCGGTGCCCTGTTGCTCAAGATGAAGAGCAGCCAAATCATGTTGCAGTCCGCTCGGACCTGCCGTGGCAACGGGCGTTGCCGCACCCGAGTTGCCAGGTTTAGCCGACGCTTTGCCACTCCGCGGTGTTCCTGGCTGAGTCTTGGCCTTCAAGACCCCTTGCTGTTCACGAGGTTTGCCAGGAAGAGACGCTGATTTAGGTGTTGATAATCCGGAGGATTTCGCAGCTGCGCGAAGGTCAGCATCGCGCCGGCCTCAGTCTCTTAAATCAGACGATGGAACCGAAACGAGTGGAACGAAATGACAATGAAAGGGTGAACTGGGTGTGCATTCTCCCACGACTGAGACTATCCCTTGGCGGCGCGTACAGCGGCTTGTGTTTGGCCTGTAACGTTCCCTCTACCGGCCTGGGCTCGGAGCACAATATCGTCGGGACTGAGCACGTCTGCTCCGAACGCCTCGCGAACCCGGTCCTCCAGCCGGAGATCATCGAAGGGCAGGTGGAGAGAAACCGAGGAAACAGGCTCCAACTCTTTGGTGATGGGAGCGGTGAGTATGTCGAAGAATGAGGAATCGGCATCCGTCGGTCCGCTGCTCCCAGAAGCGAACAATTGCGCCATTTCGTCATCAATTGAAAGGGCGGCAAGCTCATCTGCCAAGGGTCGAGGGGTCTCTCTCGATAGATCCTTCGCTGGCATATCCTCCAAATTCTCGCGAGCCAATTGAGCAGCCGCAACCTTCTGAGCCAACTTGGATAGAGGCTTTCCCGATGAGCCCGGATCGGAATTTCCGAAGATGGACGGCCTAGTGCTAGCAATTGATGGGGCGGTGGCAGCAGCTGCAGCTGCGGCTTCTCTTCGCTTCTGGGCCAACGCTGCAAGCTTGGATACTGGCTTCGACGGAGTGCTCGAGGTCTCAAGGGCAGAGCTGGGTGGTGCAGGAGTGGAAGATCCGGATGTGGTTGGAATCGTGGACGAGGATCCCTCCCTAGCGAGAGAGAGACGTTGCAGGGCAGTCAACGGGACGCTGGACGATGACGCGGCGGACGAAGTGGGGCCAGAAGCTGGTTCATGAATTGATGTGCCAGTAGAGTCTATGCGAGGGCTTTTATTTGACCCTCGCCGCCTCTGATTGTCGGGAGTCGGAAGGAGATTTTGGGGGATGGGCGATCCTAGGGGTCCAAGTTTAGTCGATGGCGGTGCGAGTCTGAAAGGCACCACGATATGCGGGCGTTGGCGTCCCAACCTCAGTATCTCCACCCTCTCCCTACTCCTTCCAGAGGTTGCAGAACAAGAGCCAGGCAGACGGAAGAACTGAAGCGGAATAGGGGGATAGAGGAAAAGGAAAGGAAGAAAATCTCGCCCCGGGCTGTGTCTGCGACCACACTCACCTTTCTTCTCCCAGTCTTTCCTCAGCCAAGATACGGCCTTGTCCACATCGAACCAGTAGTGCCATAAAGAGTCGAAGATCGCACTATCCGGGATGGTTGGTTTGAGATCGCTCAAAAGCTGACGAGCGATCGGGAGAGCAGTGGCCATCTGGGCCTTTTCCTCTGCATTCATGGTGAATCCATCGTCCTCATCTTCTGCCATTTCGGCTATCATAAGTGCCATTGTCAGTTCGGGGTTTCTCAGCACCTTTGACAACCCACCATCGATGTCCATATTGCGGACGAATCGATGTCTAGACATTTTGAATGTGTTGCCGGGATCTTCAGGACGCAAGCGATGGAGATGGTTCAATCGAGAAGAGACAATATGCAGTAGATCATATCTTGATCTCAGTTCCTGTCCACTGACTCTCCAAGAGACTTTCAGTGTTGCAGCTGGCGATGAATGGGAAGTATCGATACAGAGAGGGAGGTCTTGGAGGTGAGGACCGATTGAGTGCATGCACGTCACATGAGGTGATTGTTTACGTAAAAAGTTAGACGGAATCAAATCCAGGAGCTGCGTCCCGCTTCCGGAGGTCGTCGTCACTGCTAGTTCATGCTTGCTGGCTCCATAGCATTCAGCATTCGAGCATTCATTAGCCAACTACATCGTCGTGGAGAAACCTCTGGAGCTTTGGACCCTTGTGTAATCAGTCAGAATGTCTTGGTGAGTCGATGATGGCTCCCCCCAAAATCTGCTATGACTGACTGTCACACCGCAGGGGAGGGTGAGTTGATCCTATCTCGCATGGCATTGTATTGCATTCAGGCTACTTTGAGAGTGAAAGACTGATATGGGTTCAGACTTAAGAAAGCGACGTCCCGTATGGGAACGACGTTGATGCAGAAAACCGGTCAGATTGAACGAACAGTTGATCGAGAATTTGCAGAGGAAGAGTCAAAGTATAGAATGTGAGTCTGCGGTTTCAAGTCTTGGCAGCAGTGTCTGATTATACCTCACAGACTCGAGAAGGAGACTGGCAATCTGCAAAAAGAAGCAAAGTCATACCTGGACGCTATGCGGGGTCAGCACACAGGGATCTTTAGGCTGTGTACAAGGCTGACTCTTGCACAGGCATGTCGGCATCTCAGACTCGAATCGCAGAAACAGTGTCGATGTTCTACAGCGCCGACCGTGCTAGCGACGTGAGTCCTGAAGCTGAAAGTGACTCTGATGACCTCCTTCAGGGAGCAATGTCAGGTCATGCCTACAAAGCGGCCGTAGACGAGCTGGACGCAGGAGTCGGTCGAGATCTCGATGCTCCTTTCCGCGCGACTGTCTTGGAACCAATCGGCAAACTCAACTCTTATTTCACCAACACCAACGCAGCTATAGAGAAGAGGAATCACAAGGTGGGCGCATTACTAGGATGTTTTGCTGAGATTCGCCATAGATGTTGGACTACGACTCGGCTCGTGCCAAAGTCAAGAAGTTGGTCGAAAAACCGTCCGATGACCCTACCAAGCTTCCGAGAGCGCAAGCAGAGCACGATGAAGCTAGGGACATTTTCAACATTCTCAACGATCAGCTTATCTCAGAATTGCCACTGTTGGTAGATCTGAGAATACGTACGTCTACTTTGCGACTCCACCAAGTTAGGCTTACAAGCCAATACAGCGTATCTGGATCCATCATTTGAAGCAATGATTAGGTGTCAGATGAGATTTGCCGAAGAGGGATATGAGAAGCTGTCTGGAGTGCAACGGTGAGCCATGGCCCAAGGAATGTAGCTCATGTTACCCAGGTACTTTGCCGATAGCGTACGTGACGATTACGCCAATGGTGCTCTCGATGGCCAAGTGGAAGGTGTACTGGACGAGATGAAGGGACTGTCGATCTGCGGACCATAGGCACCGGGCAAATTCCAGCGTTGTACAGAAACGGATGCATCGAAAGGCCACCAAAATCTAACTTGGCAGAATGGTTGTGCCGTTGCGCGATCGCTCATTCGCGCCTCTTCTGGGGGGCCTGCGTTGCCTTGCTACCAGACTACATCGTCTTGGATTTGCTTGCACTCGAGCCGCGGTCGATCTCTCCAGCCGCCTTGTCCAATGTCATCTCGGGCACTTCCATCTCGGAAGCGTGTTCGTTTGTGCCGGGCAACATGAGTGGAGAAGCATCCAAGTTCTCCGCGTCAGTTTGATCTCCGATAGAGTTGGGCGAGATCGGTTGGTCAACAAATGGAGTGGAGGGCATTGAAGGTGTTGCGCCACTTGAAGCTAGCGAGGTTCCACTCGCAGACGCGAGTTCCATCTCTTTCCGGAGCCTCTCCAGCTCTTTTTCGAATCTTTATGACAATCAGCTCATCTCCTTTACCGCAATGTGCTAGCTCACTTCCGACCGAACACCTCGACGTAGAACGTTGCCCCATTCCAGGCGGAGACAGCGAAGATGATGATAAGGAACGCGTAGCTGGCATGCGCCGAGCGGATCAACAGTGTAGCTGGGGGAAGCATGAAAATGATGCTGTAAACTGGAGGTTGGTCAGCTATGTTGAGGTTCTGAGTCTCGCAGAACTGACTCAATTGGCCGAAAATGAACCACAATTCTCGATGATCGGGCTTGATACCGCGCAAAGCCTTGCCAATCGGTCCACGCTTATCATTGAGCATGCTGAGGGGCATCAGAGCTTGTTTGACCGGAGCCTGCTGGCTCACTAGTGGAAACTGCTTTGACGCTGGCCGGATTCGATCTTTGATTTCCGGTCAACAGAGATGAACTGGATGGAATAAGCTCCCTGACCTGCCAAACAGTTCTGACCCACTTTGTAGTATGCCGCTTGCCATAGCGTGTCTGAGAGACCTCGTGAGTGAACGCTTTGGAATGTGCATCCGCTGTACTCACAAGGCACTGCCGCCATCAGGATCATAGTCCACCATTTGTAGTCATGTACGTGATTCAAGGCAGGATACCGCGCCGGAGCGTCTTTATAGCCATGTCTGAGATGTATGAGCCACCCGTCGGGATAATTACGATCCACTCACAAGATGACTGTCAGAGTGAGCGGCGGATAGCTGGAGACAAGCATTCAGCCTGAGGTCTCGAGAACAAGTCTATACGCACATGTGGATGAACAAGCTCGTGACCTTGTCCAATGAGTGAAACACCAGCGAGTTTCGCCATGTGATAATGGCGCTCGCGAGGGGCCCTGTATAGTCTCAGAGAAAAGGCGTAGAAGGAAACGAGGGTTACCTACCCAGAGTGAGGAGATAACAACAGATAAACATGACGGCTGAGCCGGGAAACACCCACATCCATAAAAGATCTAGCACATTGACAAAGTAGCAAAGACTACGATGATCAGCGTGTGTATCTCGGCGAGGCAACATGTTATCGCTCACTCTGCCGCGGAAAAGAGAGATCGTGACATCCTGATCAGCAATGGAGATTGCTGCTGTTAGCAGCTCACCAAACAAGAAATAATGCCAGGCCTTTCGCTTATAAGTCCATATTCTCGTGGGAAGGTAGAATGCAGATTGTGCCGTATATGCTACGGGCATCCATTCCGGAGCGATTCCGTATAGACAGCATGTGAACGCGAGGGATAGAACACCGAAAAGGAATGCTGTAGATTCCAAAAAATATCAGGCCAATCCTCGCGAGCACTCGTGCTCCCCTCACATATCTTGTCCCGTGTTCGTACGATCTGAGCAGACCGCCAAGACCCAGATAGGTGAGTCACTTTGGCCGCCAACTGATCAAGTGTAAGTTATCTACGATTGTCGAGGGATTTCGAACTCACCTTTACTTTGATTCTATCCACCTCTCGCTCGACCTCCTTCTTGTACGCTTCACCTCGCCCACGGAGATCTTTCCTCTTTCTAAGGCCATCTGACCCGTTGCCCAAGTCTTCCTCCTCCTCATCCGCTATCAGTATACCTCCTCCCGCCGGTGTTCTCAAGCCTTTGGGTAACAGTTCCACGGCTCGGGATTTCAGGCGGGCAGACTGAGCTTTTAGTCTGCGGTTGAACAGGTCGAGTCGTGAATCTAGGCAGATGGTCAGTCCAGAGTCTCACCCAATGTAAATGCGCATACCAAAGAATGTCTCTATCACGTCTACGAAGCGTGGTCAGCTCAAAGCCTAGCAGATCGCGTCGAACCGCCCTTCCTCACCCAACAGTGTCAATGCGGTTCCGCTCCATTCCTCTCCATTCCGCTCCAAGCTACTGAAACTCATGATACCACTCAGCGAGGAGCTTGAGCGAGTCAAACCAGGCCGTCTGGCGACCGGAGAGTCGGCAATTGAGGACGACGACATTGAAGACTTCAAGTCATGAGATGACGTATCGGCCATCATGGAATGCGTGGCCACCAGAGATTTCCAGGTTCAAGCGAGTGACCAGCAGACTGAAATTGCTGCACAGCAAGCTATGGCCCTCTGAAGCCCTTCGCAAACAACCTAGAGTCTGACAGACAGTGGGTCGAGGATAGACGGCGGGGAACGAGGTTCCAATGGTTAATGGCAGAGATGACGCGATGGGAGTTCAGAAATTCAGGAGACGCCGCGGAGAGTGGCGCATGGGAACAGTCAATCACCACAGACATCCACCGTCTCAACCATGATGGGGCATCGCTGCGGCTCGAGCACTGCGCCTGAGTCCGGCAGATCCTCAATCACAGGCAGGCATCCATGTATCGTCTTATCAAAGCGCGAGATCCAACTTGACTCAGGATATGTGTAGGCATAAGGTGCTCTGTCTCTCAGACCACATACAGAGGCCACATTTGGATCTGGCAATGAGTAGTAGGATGCATGGTATGTATGTATATATCGGCTTCTAGTAGCGCTCACGATTCATTCCCATAGATGTCTTTCAAAGATTAGGTGTTGTAAAGCTGCAAGCGCAACTGAGCGCTACTGACTATACACCTTATTATATGCCGGCGGTATGGCGTGCACGTGAAATCCTGTCAAATCGCATATCCTATCATGCGCTTCTGTTTGAACATCTTGCACCCGCTGTCCGTGTCGGTTGCGAACTAGTCGTTGTGCCTCCCATCATCCCTATAGCCAGGCATGTTCTCCCCCACCCCCTTGCCGTATCTCGGTTATAGTCTCGCCGATTGGACCTCCCAAACGCCCCATTTCCCGGGACCTCCACGGGGGTGTTCAACCGATCCGATATCGGAACAATTTCAATGAAAGAAGACTAGCGTGCATCTGCCGATATACCTGACAATGCAGCAGACTGGACGCCAGGATTGGCGGGTATGGCTCTCCGATGGAGGGCGTCCATGTCCATTGAGAGAAGTACACACTGACAGTGTCGGAATCGGACAGACGGTCTCAAAAAGCCGCACCCACCATCACCCAGACAGATTGAACTGCTCAGATACGACAAGATGCAGGGGGCACTTTTAAGTGTCCTCGCGCTGCTTGCTGGAGCTGTAACGGCGCCTGTACTGGCTCAGTCGAGTCTAGATCAGATCACGTTTTCCTCATTTACTCCCTCGTCAACGCTGAAGTCGACCAATCTGACTGATCTTGTTCAATGGGATGGATACAGCCTTTTCGTCGAGGGGCTAAGAGTCGTGCTATGGAGCGGAGAAGTGCATCGTGAGTCGTCTCCCAGATGCCAAAGCTCAGACAACCCAGCCTTCCGATTGCCGGTCCCTGGTCTTTACTGCGATGTCATGCAGAAAGTCAAGGCTCTAGGTTTCAACGCAGTATCATTCTATACCTTTTGGGGCTTGCATAACCCATCGGAAGGCGTATTGGATTTTACAGGATGGAAAGACCTGCAGCCATTCATTGATGCTGCACATCAGGCCGGCCTCTACCTCATTGCTCGACCGGGACCTTACATCGTGAGCGAAATCACCGTATTGAGACGGGGCTGACTAACGATCATGGTAGAACGCAGAAATCACCGGCGGAGGTATCCCAGGCTGGGTGACGACTCTCAATACCGATTTGCGGACCTCTAATGCGACTTTCATGAAGGCTGTGACACCATACTGGCAGCAGATGGGCAGCGTCATCGCTCAGAATCAGATCTCCAACGGAGGCCCCATCATCGCCGTACAGATGGAGAACGGTCAGTCCAGGCCCGATCCATTCCCTGACTTGGTTTAGAATACTACCTCGACTCGAACGGAGATATTGATACACAGTATATTGCCGATCTTGAATCACTTATGCGAGGATCAAACGTCACGATCCCGTTCACTTTCAATGATGCAAGTGAGGCTGGAAGACTGGTCACTGGTCAGGGCGCGGTGAACATCTATGGATTCGATTCGTATCCGCAATCATCAGACTGTACGAACCCATACATCTGGCCCTATCAGGTCGATCCATCCTACCGACCATTCTTCCAGAACACCAGTGGCCGTGTAGGTGAACCATTCTTCATTCCGGAGTTTCAAGCAGGAACTACACCTCTTGTTGCTATGCCCGGCTTTGATCAATGCTTGCCGTTGTATTCAAGCGACTTTGAAAAGGTCTTTTACCTTCACAATCTCGCCGAAGGAGTCAAGATGATCAACTATTACATGGCATTTGGAGGCACAAATTGGGGCCACCTGGCCTTTCCACGAGCCATCACGACATACGATTACTACGCTCCAATTGCTGAAGACCGATCACTTCAGGCTCCAAAGTATTCTGAACTCAAACTTCTGGGACATTTTGTCCGGTCGGCCAAGTCACTCCCAAAGACGTGGATAGTGGGTTCGAGCAATTCGTCTTATACAAGCCCAGAAGGTGTGGTTCAGGTGGACGAGTTGAGGAATCCAGACGATAATGCCGGATTCTACGTCGTCCGACAGGCCAATTCCAGCTCTGTCAGTGACACACAATTTACACTCGAAGTTCAGACGTGGCAGGGCAATGTGACTTTCCCAATAACCCTGTATGGGAGGGTGAGCACATCAATTCTGACTACGTCCTTCATTCTGCTCACGTGCCCTGTCTAGGACTCGCGGGTGATCGTCTCAAACTACTGCTGGGGCTTATCCTGTATCGCCTACAGCTCGGCGTCAATTTTCACTTCGACGACGATCGGCGATTGTGATGTGCTGGTTGTATACGGCGAGGCCACCGACAACATCCAAATCGGCCTATCAAGCTCAGAGATGAAAATGCAGCAGCTGGTCGGATCCGCTACGGCTTCGTTGATCGCGAACACTAGCACATCGACGCTGCAGATTCAAGTAGACCAGATGGACCACTCGGTCTTCAATATTACGGGTGGCAATCGGACTGTTCTCCTTCATGTGCTCGACTCGCAATCAGTCTCCAACGCCTGGGAGACCGTCATCGAAATGAATAACACTTCGCCTTACTTTCGGGCGGAAATGAGCGTTTCTGCATTGGTATTTGGACCGTGAGTCTTATCGTCTGATCTTGCCTCCAGCATGAGCTCAATGCCTCCCTCTCAGATACCTTGTTCGATCAGCAGTCGATAGCGATGGATCACTTTGGCTCTCTGGAGACGTCAACGTCACGACCTCCATTGCGATTGCCGCGGATCCCAAATACTCGTGTATCAAGTGGAACGGCAACAAGCTCGATTTGAGCCAAGATGCTGCTGGAATGATGCATGGGACGATTCAGGGTGTATGCGAGCCGGATACACCCGTGATCTCGAGCTGGGTCATGGAGGACTCCTTCCCTGAACGTGAACCAGACTTCGATGACTCACAATGGGTCGTCGCGAATCACACGCCCTCTATCAATCCCAACGCCGTGTACCCAAACTACACTGGGACCGCAAATCTCTACATGCAGGACTATGGTTTCTACGTCGGAGACACGATACTGCGAGGTCATTTCAATGGAACTGGAGTACAGACGGGATTCAACGTCTCCTATTCGCCCGGAACCAACGGAGTGGGAGCCATGTGGCTTAACGGGGAATGGCTCGGATCAGCACTTGCGCCTCAAGCAGGAGGTGTGGAAGGTACGTGTCTGCAGGGTGATCGACAAGGGGCCTGATCACGACCAGATACCAACGCGACTTATAGCTTTCCTGAGGGCTCCATCAAATCAGGAGACAATGTCATTGTGAGTGATCAATACGAAAGCCGTTTTTGATCGTTTGCAGACGATCCTACTCGACAACTCAGGACTCGAGGAGACAGATCAGTTCTCTGGGACTCCCAATAACATCAAATCACCTCGCGGTCTTCGGGGCTATTCACTCATTGGCGGAGGCGAGATGGAGTGGCGTCTACAAGGCAATTTAGGCGGTAACACCAACTTCCCCGACAAAGTCCGAGGTCTGTACAACGCTGGTGGACTGTACGGTGAACGAGAGGGATGGTATCTACCAGGATTTGACGACTCCACTTGGACCGCTGCGGAACCCCTCACCGAACCTGGTGTCACTTTTTATCGGGCTGAGGTTAACCTGGCAATTCAGGCAGGTATGGATTTGCACTACAGGTGAGTGTGAATATGAGAGCAGGTCTCAACGGGTGCAAGCTTTGTGTTTCCCAATCATACTGGGAACTATCGGGCCCAACTTTTCGTCAATGGATGGCAATTTGGCCGTCGCTTTGGTGATCTTGGTGAGTCCAGGTGTCAGTAAGAGCCTTTTGAGCCTTATACTGATCGATGATGCGACAGGTCCACAACTCAGGGTACGTATCAGCAATCTCCTCTGCCTCTTTGCTGACGGAGTCTTTTAGTATCCCGTACCACCGGGCATCCTGCACAACGGAACGAACACACTCGCCATGTCAGTATTCGGTTATAATGACACGGCAGCGGATTGGACTATTGGCGATGCTGGGTTGACGCTCGAGATTGACTCATACACTGCTTCTAGTCTCGACTTGAGCAGTATGACGGTGGATAGTCCATCTTGGCACGATATCTTTGGCAGCTAGCCAAGGGTTAGGGTTCAGAGCAGGTATAACGTTGGATTCTATAATGCATCTATCTTGATCTGGGCTCCGTAGACTGGCAGCAGGACCAAGACCTTCAACGAGGGCCATGCGTGGGATAGATAAGTGCTCAGCCTTTGACGAGTGATGTGCCCTCTGGGTTCAAGTGGTAGGTCGAGTAGCAAGAGGCCACATAACGAATCCGAATCTCTCTCCTTGTATCGCTGGTGACAGTGCGTTAGATAGCGACAGACGGTGTCCACCGGCGCCAGTTGGATCTTGAGGGCGGAGCCGTACTTGAGCTCCTGTGGCACACCTCTGGAAAGGGCTTCGCCACTCTGGTTCTTCTTACGTAAGGATATTTTACTTACTAGCGATTGCGCGTGTGCGTTGAACTGACCTGTAACTTGCATGCTCATCATCTCTTCAGCTCACCGTCTGCTCCTGACTCAAACTCATCAGCGACCCGTTTGAAGGTCCTGAAATATACGCCAACGATACGCCCCTGCCTTTTGCCCGAACAGCGCAGATTCGTACACCTTTGTCGTCCACTTTGGACCGCTTGAAATCGCCTGATCATGTCTGACGCTCCTGGTGGGGGAGGAGGTGCATACTCGTAAGTCGCTGTCGGTCGCCAGACTTGCAACCACGCAGAGCGGAAGCCCATAGCATCAATTTGACCTGCCTGCAGCTTCTCGCTCACTACCTTTTCCCCATCTGGAAAATTGGTGCAGATTGAACATGCTTTGGCTGCTGTCGCCGGAGGTGATACAAGTCTCGGTATCAAAGGTATGTCTGGCTCTTTTGATCGTGTCAAGACCGGGTGTCATGGTCTTGCTCTTTCTTGAAGCTCGGGCTATGGGAGTGCCAGAGATCCCTGGACGCAGACGAGGTTTTTCTCGCGTCGATCATGACAAAAGCCCCGTTGCATCATACTCAGTTGCTGACCCCTGTCTGTTCCAGCTACGAATGGTGTAGTTCTCGCGACAGATAAGAAAGCCCCCTCTCTCCTCCTTGATACTTCTGCTCTCGAGAAAGTCGCTCCCATTTGTCCGAATATTGGATTCGTCTACTCAGGCATGGGACCTGATTTCAGAGTGCTCGTTGCCAAAGCGAGAAAGATTGCTCAGGCTTACTGGAAAGTATATGGCGAATATCCACCAACAAAGGTATTGGTTCAGGAAGTTGCTGGAGTCATGCAAAAGGCCACGCAGTCTGGGTGAGATAGTCTGACACTCCGACCAAGGAACTGAGCCCTTTGCTAATCGCATGTTGCTTTCCCCCTCCGCAGTGGTGTTCGACCATATGGTATCTCCTTGTTGATTGCTGGCTGGGATGCACACCGGGGTCAAAGCCTGTATCAGGTCGATCCCTCCGGTTCATATTGGGCTTGGAAAGCGAGTGCTATTGGAAAGAACACGGTCAACGGAAAGACGTTCCTGGAGAAACGGTGAGCGGTTTTATCGCTTGGGGAAGTGATTTCTCAACCCAATTTTCCCGCTTTCAGGTACAACGACGACCTGTCGCTCGAAGATGCCATTCACACTGCCCTTCTGACACTCAAGGAAGGCTTCGAAGGACAGATGACGGAGAACACCATCGAGATCGGTATCGTCACTTGTCCTACCGCTGATCAGCTCGTCGAAAAGCCGGGAGAGAGATTACCACCAACATTTAGAAAATTGACCGAAGCTGAAGTACGAGACTACCTGGCATTGTAAAGATGTGATTAAAGACGACATGGCAAGGCATGCACTGGATGAACAACCATTTTGTCATGTAGATATTTACAACATACCCATCCTCATCCCACCGCCTTCTCGCTCCTCTTCCTCTCCGATGCCCATCGCTCGTTGTGCTTCTCGCTCTTCTTCCCAGTCGATGCCTTCTCCGCGTTCCATGACTCTCTCGTAGTACCGCTTGGCTACTGCGTTCAGTCCGATAGGGTAGACCCTGATGGTGGGCCGCGATTCGGTCGTAGGTTGATCAATGTTCTCAGCTTGAGTATGTTCCTCCGACCCCTGGGCCTCCTCGGATAAGTCTTCTGTCTCCTCCTCGGGAAGAGGAATTGTCTCTTGAACAGGTGACGGCGCAGCAGACATCTCGCCCACGAGAACCCGCATTGATCGTTCTCGTCTCCGAATCGCACGCGCTCGAATAGCCTCCCACTCAGGTATCAATGTGATGAACCACAACGCTATAGGGAGCAAGAGCTGCGTTACGATTCGCCACGGCCTGGCCAGAGGGGTCCGGTATGGTTGTCCATTGAGATGAAGCTGTTCCGCATCCGTATTCAAGTGAAGCAGGGGGATGCTCTGGGAGATGACGCTCAACGGCGTCTGGTCTCGTTGTTGTCGCACACGACCAGGAACGGCTTGCCAATTTCTAGGCGCATCTGCCTGCGCGCGCACATTCGGCGGCGCTCCCGGATCTGCAGGAGCATTGGGTTGTGCCTGCTGCGCTCCGTCGACACCTGCCTGAGGTTGCGCTAGCGGTGGCCGAGGTCGTCTCGCTTGTTCCTGACGGAGCTCATACCAGACATCGGCGATCCACCAACCTACGGCGGCGCCAACAATAATCCATAATCGCATATCTGTCCGCTTCATACTTGCGCACATCATGTAGAGCATTGCGCTGATCTTGATGGCGGAGAAAGCAGCGTGCGATAAGAGGGACAAGGAGATGGAGGGCATATGAAAACGGATGTGGAGACGGAGAATCTCCCTCTCGCCTTGACTTTCAGTAGGAACTTGGATTCGGATAGTCGGTGTTGGCACAGGAGGAGGTGGGATGGATGATTGCTCGAGAAGGTGGTTCAGGCACGGCAGGAGTGCTGTGATGCGGAGGTATTGTAGTAAGTGGCAAAGCTGTTGCGGTGACATGGCTGCCATTGGAGGGAGATTAAGCTCTCGAGTCGCCCCGCTGGGTATGTCAGCGTGGTATCACCGATTTCCACCGACAAGGACTAACTCGAATTCAACGAATACAGTCTCCCCAATCGGACCCTCAAGCCACTCGCGACCCAGATTCGCTTTCCACATCAGCTTCAATTCCTCTTCTAGACCTCGGCGTCCAAGGCTCTTCCATGTTGCCTCCTGATCCTCCTCGAAAGCCTTTTGGCATTCAACCCAGACATTCTCCCCTTGCTCAAAGGCAATCGCCCGGACTACGGATATGATAGCGCTTCTCGCCATTGTCTCCTCGACGACAGGCGGTGGAATCATATCCTCCCAGTTGATAGGATCGCGTCCTAAGAACAAGCACAGATGACGACGAGCGAGGAAGAGAAGGAAATGTACGGTGTCTTCTAATGCTCTTGAATGTCTATTCTGGGGCGTTGAGCGCTGGATAGGGGAAGAAGGTCCGGAAGTCTGCGGTTCCTGAGAAGGCTCTGGTATTGGCAAGGGGGTCGGACGACGAGATAAGCCCGGTCTGCGTCGGCCGACAAGATGAAGCGTATGATGTTGGGAAGGATCTCGAGGCTGCGGCGGGGGACTGTCAGTTGCCTCCACTTGATATCAATGTCAGCATGACTCACTTTGCCAACGACGCTGCCTATGCTTTCCTCATCTCTGACAATACGTCCTTGCCATACCAACCTCATCTTATCTCGCTCCCAGACGCTTCCATCCCAATTTCCAGACGCAATATCATCTTTGATCTGAGCGATAAGGCGATCTCGAGCGACTCGACTGGCTCGGCGGCCCTGTGACCCCTCGATGTCATTGTATGGCGTGGCGATGCAGAGCCAAACGGAGTTCTCGTCATTCAGCTCTCCTTGAATGTCTCGCCGAGTTGGGATAGTCCTTGAACTCGGGCCGGCTCCAGAGTTGACTGGACGTCGCCTCGAAAAGGGGTCGATATCCTCACCTGTAGGTGTGTGAGTCGGTTGATGATGCCGTTGGAAAGCTGTACTGAGTGGAGGTGAAGCATTCGGATAACCAGAGCTCTCTCCTGCTCCCTCATAAGCATCTGCTACCCTGTGAGGTGGCTCGTCCATGCTTTCGAAGTTGCCAGCAGACAAAGGGGTATGAATGATAGCGAGTGTCTCCTCCACGTCTGTCTCGCCGGCCTCCACAGAGCATGATTGATGAGGTGGCTGACGTAATTTAGCGGAAGCAAATTCTGGCCCATTTTGAATTTGAATAACAACAACAAACGACGAGACTGACTTTTCAACGTCAATATATATAGATACTACCTATCAGCCTTCAGGATGGCGACGACAGGGACACCCGCAAGGGTGACATTCGCAGACCATGCTGCTCAGGTCATTGCATCACCATATGGTCAAGCTGTCCGGTGAGCAGGTCCTGGCTTTACCGCTCAGGGGATCTGACAAATTTCCTCCTAGATCTGATCCTCCCCCTAGCCGAACGCTCGATTCTCTCAACAATCAGCTCATGACGCATGGCTGGGCGAAAAAAGCTATCAATGTGGATGCTCTGAGCTCAAAAGACCTCTCACATGTTGTTGGGATAATGTTTGAGCTTCTCGGCTCCTCGGTGGTGGGCACAGTCCAAACCCGGCGTACACGAACGATACTGATCGTCATGTGTCTAGTCTAACCTTGCGACTTTGGACGATCTCAACGCTAGGCACAGGACAATGACATACGAACAGGAGCGTCTGCAGAAGCAGCTGTCCGCTCAAATGAGCGTCAGAGCCAGGATCGAAGCTGAGATGCTGGGATATAAAGCAAGGCACGACGAACTTGAGAAGCAGTTGAAAGGCGAAAGGGAGCAGGTCAAAGATCTGAGGGAGGAGTTGGCCCGGGGACGAAAAGCCTTGGAGAGTGTGAAGCTTGCTGCGTTAGTGAGTGCAATACTAGCAAGAATCCCTCTGTAGCTGACGATGGCAAATGTCAGCACGACGCCAAGAAGAGTCAGATGCAATTGGATAAAGCTCATCAGCAACTCGCTAGGATCGCGGGCGATCCCACAGTGCCTTCGAAACCTCAGGGTCTTATCATTCTCAATCCAGTCACTGCAAACCGATCGCACCCTATCGCTGTGAGTTATCGCTGCCCTCTAAGGATAATATGTTGACGATACGACAGCCCGCTCAGTCTACCTTGGTCGAGCAGACAGTCAAAGACTTGGCTGAAATCAGAGCGACGCTGCAGGAAGAAGCCGATGCGTTCAGACACGTTGTCGTGTCCACTGCGAACACAATGCGAGACATCATAGCTGCCGCCGAGGCACGCGAGGTTGGTACTCTTGAGTTGTCGTGTGATGTCTTTGCTAACTTTAAATGTCAGGAGCCGACCCGAGTCCTTCACGCTCAGTTCTTTGCTCAACTAGATAGCTCAAGGTCTCGCTCAGCGACGCAGCAAATTGCACCCACCACATCACACCCTGCGATTGCTGATGCGAGACTCAAGAACCTGCTCGGAGATATCAATCGGATCATCTCGGACGGGATCAACGTCGCCCTGCATACCCAGGAGTTCGTGCCTATTTCTCCCGAGGAAGAAGAGAGACGACAGGAGCGAATCAAGGAGGAAATGCAAGCGCGTGCAGACCTTGAGAACCACGTCAAAGACCTCGAGGTCGAGATCGCCTGTGTCAGGACGAAAGAGGAGGAAGCTAAACGGGTGATAGAAGAATTGAGTAGAGCTCAGGCGACCCGAGAGTGAGTAGACTGCGCGTCGTTGAGTATCTCCTTATCGCTGTAATCAGGACAACGCCGACCGATGGCGTTCAGCAGCGGATGGAGCGGGAGTTGCGTGAACAACGTGTCCTGCTTGAGGAGGAGCGACGAAAGTTTACTGAAGCGGCAATGAGATTGGGTCAGGAGCGCCGCCATTTTGAGGTAAGTCGATGTTACTGTGACGGATCAATCTGATCTCCTTGTAGTCAGAACGAACCGCTTTCCTGGAGGAGCGTCGACAGGCCGACCTCGACGCGATGCAAGGGTATCTGCCGTCCTCCCCCTCTCAGACATCAAGCTCATCAAAGGGTCACCAACACGTCACTGAGCCCTTAGACACGCATGTCGCCCCGACTTCACCTTGGATCGCGCATCGCTCCATCATGCCTTCGCCGCTTTCCGTTGGACATAAGCCAAGGACACCTAAAGTGCACAGTGTATCGCGGAAAAAGGTCAAAACGCCTCTATCGCGATTAGTGCTCGAGAAGGGATTGAAAGCGAAGAGCAAGGCTTTGGAGCCTGAAGAAGTGGTGGTGGAAAAAGAATCGCGACCCTCTGAACCGGCGGCTGCCATCAATGTCTTGGGCGCAGAAAGCGGGAGGAAGACGAACCGAATCCCGAGCGCAAGCAGTAGGTCTGCAGTAGCACCTTCTACCCTTGGCAAAGCGGTCGCACAAGATTCTGAGTTACTCATGAAGAGAAAGGAGCGCGTCGTGTCGGATACTAGGAGAGCAACTACCGGTCACGTCTTGACTGCCGAGCCCAAAGCTCCTCGACGCACTGTCTCTGGCGCCGGTGTTAAGGAAGGGGATCTAAGGACTTCAAAGGGTCCAAGTGTCGCTGTCAGCACTTCTGCCAAGCGAGGAGCCTGGCGATAGATTTCATGGGGGGCACATCTGATGGAAATGATAATCGCTGCTTGTATCTCCTACATGTACGCTATGTAAATCTAGGGTCACCTTCCGCTTGGCACAACCTTCGGGGCCGGCCGGGTATCTCCGGCAAGTTGGGGCGGTCACATTCCTCAGATCATATCACTTCTTCTGAAGGTCAAATTGTTGCAGCTCAATGCCATCTGCCAGCAGAGCAGGCGGACCTCCAGGACATCCATCATAAGCCATTACCTATGCCTATGTCTCTTGCAACCGCTTCCTGTTCTTCCAATACGTCACGCCATGTCTATCGGTCGTCTGGACGCCAAGGTCAAATTAGATTACCCTTCTCGAGTCCATTATGGTCCCGATGACAAGGTGACTGGCTGCGTGCACCTCACTTATTATCCAGAAGCGAAGACGATTTCTGATTCCAACCACGAGCTGTTCGCCAAGCTAGCCCTGGACGTGACTTTCCATGGTCGGGCAAAGAGCAAGATTTGGGTCAACCGAGGTCAACAACGGAGTATTCATCGTGGTCGAGTTCAGTTGTTCACCATCACCAAAAGGATATACCATGATGTCTTCAAGATCCAATCGGGAGAGAGTCTACCCATACCGTTCGAGCTTTCATTTCCCGAACGTGCCCAATTGATAGGGTATCAAGAGGAATGGAGATCAAACTTTAGGTTCTTGGGCCTTGAATCGAATTTGATTCTACCTCCTTCAATGCACATCGAAAGGTCTCTCTTTGGGAATTCGGCATCTGCCTTTGTGGAGTATAGAATTGGATGTTCAGCTCAAGTGGAGAGACTCAAAGTGGTCGTTACGACGCCTAGTCGAGCTTTGGAACCGATAGTCAATTACGATAGACCCAGACGACCCATGATCCATTCTGAACCTTGGACACTTCGCGGTATGGTCACAGTCTCGAACAAAGAGCTGGTATCAGAACATGAACGACCGTCTGGGTTCAAAGAGAAGATGAAGGCGGCTTTTCATTCGGATTATTACCCAACGTACACCTTTGACTACACCGTTGATTGTCCCAGGGAGATATACAACCATTGTCCAATCACGTTGATCGTCAAGATCATGCCGAAGGAAACGACGATCAGGCGGTCCGATTTAGTCGAACCCCTTGTGACGTTTGGTGAATGCTCGATGGAATTCCAGTCTGTCGCGAGTATTCGAGCATCAGCTGGACTGTTGAGTGAACACGAGTACGAGCGGGACGATCAAGCAGTGACGCTTAGAGGGAGACAAGAGCCAATGGGCCCGTTCAACGCGTCCGAGGGGAACACCAAGGTCATCACCTTTGATCCAGTCTTCGTACCTAGTTCATTCAAGTTTGTCAATATCACACTCGGTTACAGGATCAAGGTCAAATACGAGTTCACAGTGGCAGGCAAAGTCTCAACATTTGGAAAAGAATACCAAGTGTCTGTTCGACCTCCACCTCCAGGGACGAACCAAAGCTCTGCACAGACAGAAGTCGCTCCGAGCTATCGCGATGCTATGGCCAGTCGCAATTCCTCGTCGTCCTCTTTGGCAGGTCCGTCTTCCAAGGAAATTTTAGCGTCTACTCAGGTTAATCCCAGTTTGCCTAGGGATCCCCCACCGCCAACGTACGATGAATAGACGAAATGTCGCATCCAGCTGCGTCAATTCAGGGGACTTGACACTCCTCCTCCTTGTTCGCTGTGCCTGCTTCTTAAGCGCCCGATGCATACACTATGAACACCACAATCGGACCTCGCCATCGGCTCCGGAACTGACCAACCACGGTTTCTCAGGGTGCCACCGGACGTCTAGTACGCCTAGCCCTTCGACAATCTTGTGACCTCGGAGAATCTTGAGCGGTACAATGAGCGGATTCTGCATCAGATCGGTGTAGATCGTCGCGTGAAATACATGGATGGTCCCATCATCGGAGGAAGAAGCGAACAGTGGTAGTGTAGGGTGAAAGGCGACGGATCGTAGAGCTCGAGAATGGTATCTACAGGAGTAGAGACTTCAGCGACCAAGCTAGCTCCACATAAGAAGCACCTACCTTAATGTCTTGAAGGGTTTGTTGGATAGATCCAAATCGAACCAACCAAGCTTCTTGTCATAACTTCCGACAATCACATTATCTCCACCTGGATGAATGTCGATACTGCTGATCCAATTGAGACCCGTCTGAAGCGTTTTGAGAAGCTTTTGAGCAGCCAAATCGTACAATTTCACATGACGTTGCGTCGCAGCGAAGAAATGAGGTTTCGAGGGGTGAAATGCAACACGTTGAACGGCTCCAGAGGTTTTACGGAAGGGCGATTGGGTGGCGTGCTTGGACAATTGATGGATCAGGACGGATTTATCTGCGGCTGGATATTTGACAATCAGCCATTCATCTCCTCATTCTTTTGATCTCTCGACTCACCCTCTGTCGCGACCGTTGCGAGGTAGTCTCCTCGTCTGTGCCAAGCAATGTGCTTGGGTGTCCCTGGTACCTCGATGATGACCAAGACCCCGCGCTCTCGCTCATCTTCCGATGGCCTAACCCATTTGATGGCCTCCAAGCCACCTGACTTTGTCGTCGCAGAGCTACTCGCAAAGGCCGAATTGACGTGATCCAGGGTCGAGGTACAGACAGTAGGAGAGGCCAGCGCCAGCGGGGAGACTACCAAGATCTTGCCCTGAACCAACGCAGCAAGCAAGAGTTGCTCCTTGTTTGGAGACCATTCGACGTGTTGAATCGCTCCTGCTTTGAGGTTCCACTTCCACACTTCTCTGCCATTGCCCAGATCCCAGACTCTGACAATGCCATCTTCACTTCCCGATGCGACCCATTCTCCACCTGGATTGACAGAGATACCTCTGACACGTGTATCACCAGGATGTCGATACTGAACACAGGAGGTTGTAGGAAACGGCCGGAGTTCACGAGGAGATGGGAGTTTTGGAATCAAGCTCTCTGGGTCGATATTGAGCTTGACCCGTCGAGTACGAGGTGCGAGGTAGAGATCCAAAGCTCGCTCAAATCGTTCTTGAACGAGATCCTTGTACGCCGGTACGTGTCGGAGTGAGTCGTACTTTTGAGGTAGAAAGTCTTGTTTCCGGTCTTCCTTGTCTGTGGCCTCAAACTCGGCTTTCTCCTGTTCCGTCGGGAGGTATTCCTCGGGTGGATTGTAAGATTCCGCAGTCTTGGGAGGGGGAAGTTGAGGTGCAGGCATGTACATGGCATGAGGAGTGTGAATGTCAGAATCGGACCAGATGGCGTAAACGGAGGGTTTGGTCGCGGAGGGCTTGTTGGGAACAATTCGACCTTCACGAATGGCCTTGACAATTTTCATGACCTATCGAGGCAGGAGTCAGTAGATGTGTATTGACGTCTAGCGGAGTCTCACGCACCTTTTGGTGCTCCCATTTGGATGGGACGAATCGTCGCTTGGGTTCGGGTGCACCGCTCAACGGCATTTTCATCTCTTGACCTTTACCAGTGAACCACTCAATGGTATCTTGATACGGGTTGAAATCCGCATCTGGGTTCTCGGCCCGCTCCAGGCGTCGGATGATATCCAGCTCCTTGTCTGTGAGCTGAACATTTCGCTGCAATGATTTATCTTCGACGCTTGTCCATGCCGCTGGATCTTCCGCATTGGAGAGGAATTTATCGAGTTCATCTCCTCGTGCTGGTCGGAAGATTTTCCGACCTGATACGTCGTAACCAATGTGTGGGAGGTCGTCATACCACTCCATAGGTATGTTACCGACGGTGTTAGGATTCTACATCATGGTCGTCAGCTCGTCATCACATACAGGAATTTCCAGCTCACATCCTCGGTACTACTTTCGCTTCCGTAACCTGCCTCGATATCATCGTATTCTCGCCTGTATCCTCCAGGTACAAGCTTGCTGGGCTTCAGAACTCCCTTTCCCTCTTTCGCCCAGGAGATCTTGGCATCTGTACCGATAGACTCATCAGGTTTCCTGGTACCCGCTTCAATCATTCGTTCGAGCTTCTCGTCCGTTGTCAAGTCGGTCCTAGCAGCCAACTTCTCATCATCGACCTTCTGCTGACTGCTGATGATGCGTTTCTTGCTTGAAGAGGCGCGGGAGGAGACTGACGTCGAAGAGGAGTACATGGCTTCGATATCTGACGAATTGTATCCTGATTCATCTCCGCTCTCTTCGTCGTCGAAGGCCTCAAGATCCGATTCATCTGAGCCGTCCACTTCATCCTCCGCTTCATCTGAACCGTCGTCGTCGTCGTCACCGTCTTCTGAAGCGCTGTCCAGCTCAGGAAATGGGTCCTCGTCATCACTTGCTTCATCGAGCTCCTCTTCATCGTCATCTTCGCCGTCGTCAGAGTCCAACACATGCCCATTGAGTTGCAGTTCGTCGTCTGAAAGCTCTGCAGAAACATCCGCTGCTCGTTTCTGGCCTGGACGAGCTGTTGAGAGTCTCGAGGGACCAGCGCCGTTCGCGTCGACCCGTGAGGTGCTCGGTCGACTACCGCGATGGCGGACATTTTGCATCTTGGTGGCCATATCAGAAGGCTTGATGCTGTACCGGAGACCACGCCCTTCCTCTTAAATTCGATCCAATGATAAGATCAAGTCAGTCAGTCCATTAAATGCAACACCGGGGTGGACCAAAAATTCTGACGACCTCCACCCGACTGCCGGCATGGACACAAAGCGCCACATCGTCGGTGTTTTCGGTGTTATCTGCCCTGGGGGGCTGTAGACGCGGCTGTTTTTTTCGCTGGAACCTCGTGGCGATCGGGTGGCGAGTGGCGATCGAACGGGGGACGAATGACGCAACGAAGAGGAGCGGGGGGATCTTGGTGGTCTTGTTGTCAACAGATCATCTTCAAACTCATCCTCAACAGCCAGTACACATTCACCATGAGCAACAAGTCAGAGGCAGAAGTGGTCAAAGAGTTTAATGGTGAGGGCTCTCCATCTACCAACTCCCATGTCTATGTAGCTGATTCAAACGTTTGCCTCAGAGATCGTCAATATGACGGCGCAGGTGAGCATGGCAGGAGGCGTCAAGAGGAGGAGCACGGTGGTCTCATGGATTCTTTTTCCTTCAGGAGCTCGAGTCATTTCTCAAGACATCCGAGTCCAAATCCGCAGGATGGTCCAAAGGCGATTCGTCAGGCGAATCGATAGGTCACGATTCGGGTCGAAAGATTGTGGATATTCTGAAACGGAATCCGAAAAAGGTGTGACCGAGGCACGAGTCCCAAAACTATCGGCCTTTCCAGCGAGCTGAATACAGTCTTTTCAGGAGGAGAGCAAATACACGGATGAAGACAAGGAACACATGCGCAAAGTTGTTGCGTACTGCAAGAGGCATTTGGCCCAAGAGTCTCATCTCAAGGAGACAAAGAGTGAAGAAGAGTTGAAAAAGGCTAAATCGACATTGAGTTTGAAGAACTGGGTCAGTGAGGGGGGCAAAAAAAGGGGTAGCTTTAAAAAGATCCCGAGCTGACCTAGCGCTTTAGGGTCACGATCCCTTGAAAATTGGAAAAGGCGGTAGCGGATCCAAGAAGCCGGCGTCCAAATCAGAGGACAAGAAGCCAGCTTCCAAGGGAAAGCCAGCGTCGAAGAAAGAGGAGGACGATGAGAAGCCAAAGTCGACCGGAAAGAAGGCGGAGAAGCCAGCTTCTTCGAAGAAAGAGGACAAACCGGTGTCGAAAAAGGCGGAGAAGCCAGGATCCAAGAAGGAGGAGAAGCCTGTTTCGAAAAAGGCGGAGAAGCCAGCTTCCAAGAAAGAGGATAAACCGGCTTCAAAGAAAGAGGACAAGCCCGTCTCCAAGTCAAAAGCTACAGGAGAAAAACGAGGAGCAGAGGACAAAGCTGAGGAGAAGGAGAAACCCGCATCAAAGAAGGCAAAGTGAGTGATGGAAGTTGCCGACAATCAGTGTGACCTGACGCCTTTCGAAGGACGGACAAGCCCGCCAGCGAGGGGAAGAAACCAGCTAGCAAGGGAAAGAAGTAAGGTGCATGGCGTGGTCAGGCCGAGCTGGAAGCAAGTCAGAAGTATATGTACGGAGCCTAGCAGATTAATCATTCGAGTCTTGTATTTCGCGCCGAAGAACGTTGCATGTCACAAGATATGGCGACTATTCAAAAACTGCCTTTCTACCATCCCGCCTCTCCCCGTCTGACTGTTTAGGCGGATGCCGAGAGTTGAGCGGACGAAGAGGCAGCCCCGAGGAGATGCGTCAATCTCTGTTCAGCAATGGTTACGGCTTCCTTTCGGATGACACCCTTGACACCCGCGTCGAGTCGCTTGGGAGCCGATCCATCGTCGAGTCCCAACTGGGCATCTGTCCAGATAGGCGACACCTTTTCAGCCATGGGTATTCCTACGCCTGCTCGACCTCCCATTTGCTCCCAGTCAGACGTTCGCTTCAGGTTGAGCTGTTTGAAAACGCTATTGATCGACTGGACGAGATGCGCCATCTGTTCAGTGGTGTGTCCAGGTGTGGGTGTGATTCGGAGCCGCTCCTCGCCAACGGGAACAGTAGGATAATTGATGGACTGGACATAGATGTGATGCTTGGACAAGAGGAGGTCGGAAGCTTCCTTGGCGAGAGCGGCGTCTCCGACGAGAACCGGGATGATGTGTGAAGGATTGGGGACAACGGGGATATCAAGTTCTTCCAACTGTCGCTTGACTTCTCTAGTGTTGATCTGTTGCAATCGTCGATCGCCCTTGTATTCCCTTTGGTAGGCGATAGAAGCTTGTGCACCAGCTACGACGGCAGGGGGAAGCGAGGTGGTGAAGATAAATCCAGGAGCATAAGATCGCACGACATCCACGAGACCAGCCGATCCAGCAATGTATCCTCCGACGACACCGAACGCCTTACCTAGGGTACCCGTGATGATATCGATTCGATCCATGACAGATCCCTTGATGGTCTCTGCTGCAGGCGTAGAATTGTTCGCTTCAAAGTCCAAGTGCTCGGCAACTCCAGCACCGGAAGGACCGTACATCCCTACGGCGTGGACTTCATCGAGGAAAGTGATGGCACCATACTTGTCGGCGAGGTCGCAGATCTTTTCGATGGGTGCGATGGATCCACACATCGAATACACACTTTCAAAAGCGATAATCTTGGGAGTGTCCTTGGGCACAAGCGCAAGCTTGGCTTCCAGATCTTCCATGTCATTGTGCTTGAAGATGACCTTTTTAGCTCCCGAATGTCGGATCCCTTGGATCATCGACGCGTGGTTGAGAGCATCAGAGAAGATGATACAACCCGGTAGCTTGGAGCCAATCGTCGCGAGACACGCGTCATTGGCGACATAGCAGGATGAAAAGACCAATGCGGCGTCCTTTCGGTGCAGCGATGCGAGCTCATTCTCCAGTGAGAGGTGCAAGGCGCCATTGCCGGCAATGTTCCTCGTTCCGCCTGCTCCTGCGCCGTATCGGTCAAGAGTGCGTCTGTGGAAAGTCAGCTTGAGATCGTCGGACAATGAAGCCGACAGCTCACTTCATCGTGCCAAGGACGACGGGGTTCCTGCTCATCCCCAGATAATCGTTGGAACACCAAACGTCCACTTCATCGGTAGTGTTGGACGTGTGAGCCACTGGGAATTTCGCAGCGAGTCGATTGATGTTGTTGAAGTAACGGTAAGACCTAGGAGGGATCATCAGTCAATGGTCGTCCGAGCTGGAGGGAAAACTTTTCTCTACTCACTTGTCTTGATGTTTCTTGTCCAATTCAGTATGGTAAAATCCTTGATAATCAAACGCCGCAGCCTTGTCCGAGGTACTGAGCTTGTGTTCCCTTTCCGCCTTTTCAGCGGCTTCCTTGGCAGCTTTGGCATGGGGACATTTATCCGCTTGAGAAGGATCGTACTTGATGTCTTTGGACTACAAAAGCGATCGATCGAGAGTCAGCCAGAAACCTTAGCCTGATGTGGCCCCAGATCGAACAAAGTGTGTTTGTAAACTCACCCTATGGATCTCTGCGACCTCCTTGGGCTCAGCGACGCTCGCGAAAGCTCTAGCCTGTGCCATCTGAGCCAATTTTGGACCCATCATGGGACATCTCAATGCCGATGTAGTCAACGATGACATATTGTTCACACCGTGTGTTTTGGCCAATGCACCCAGAGTCTGGGGCGTAGTATGGCCCAAGAAGGGGCATACTGCTCCAAATCGGAGCAACGAGTTGACAGACATGACGAGTGGTTCTTGTCAAGACCGGTATAGACTATTTGAGGATTGAATGAAATTCGATGAATGGGCAGCAAATGTAGAGTGCAGGAACAGCAACAGCAAACAGCTTTGTATCGCTGTAATTCTCATTGGCCGGTTCATTTTTTTGATTGGTTGGCAATAAATAATATGATGGACTGCTCGGCGGCAACATCTGGCAACTGCTATGCAATGCAATGGTGCTACCAAGTCAGAGCACAAGACTCTGTCAGCTACTACTCCATGCATCCCCTCTTTCCATGCACGCTCGTAGCGAGATCACTGAAGCCTCCTGCTGATTCTTGTCTCCATTTTGCCATTCACCACCAGTCAGCAACTTAAATGCCACGTCACCTCAAGACACGTGACACACACACATTCAAATCTGAAACTTGGGGTGGAGGTCGACCAAATGAACATTTACAGGTCAATTGGTGCTTCTGTATAGGTAGCCACATCCAAAGCTGGACATCACCTGGCACAGTCGGCAGGTCTGATCAAGCTGCCATGGCCATCCAAGTCAGCGCACAGTATATTGCAACTGGTGCAAATCACTCTGCGTCATGTTCCGCCGCTGCACCTGATGGTATCGTAGCTTATGGATCAGGCAAGCTCGTCAGTCTTTGGGATACAGAGGTGGGTGAAGGACTGGACAGGGCGACCTATCCACTTTGAGCTGACGTGGAACCCTCAGAACGAGCACGAATCTGGTGTCTATGCCACTCTGGCTGGCCATCCCGGAGATGTCACCAAAATAAAATACCTTCAAGGGAGCAGCTCAGGAGAGAACAAGTTCGTCTCGGGAGATACCACTGGACAGGTACGCGTTTGGCGAGAAACGACCAGGGGACAGGTCAGTCTCTTCTGTGACGATCGTTTCCCGAAAGCTCATCTACATTGACTCTGCCAGTACTCCTGTGCTGTCACATTTGATGCGCATGCCTCCGACTCCATTTCTGCGCTGGGTATCGGTCCATCTGACAGTCCACTCGCAAATCACATTCTCGTCGGATGTGCGGATGGATCGGTCAAACTGTGGAAGCTGGACGAAGATCGTGTCACGAGCGTACAGAAGTTGGACATCAAGGGCAAACTCCCTCTTGACTTTGAGATGGCTCTATTGCCAGGCTGTCAGAGTGCGCCGAGAATGCCATGAGACCTCTTGTCTGGCTGACTTTTCCCTAGGTGTGGTCCTCGCGATCGGCTGCACTGACAAGCGGATCCAACTATGGCTACACAACGATTCGGAGGTCAGTTTGTACCCAAAATTACAAAGCCTCTTTTCGTCCCCAGTCCTGACATGCCCATCCAATCCTATCAGTTTGAACTCGCTACAATGTTAGAGGGCCACGAGAATTGGATCCGAGCTTTGTCATTTACGACCGCTCCTGGCATTCGCTCCCAATCCGTTGAATCAGCTGCTGTTGAAGATTTGATGCTCGCTTCTGGCAGTCAAGACCATTATATACGACTCTGGAGAATATCAGCTACCTTGCCCCCGAAGACGGCTCGAGGGGGTCTTGAAGCACTTGACGAATTGGAGGAAAAGCTCGGCGAAGGGTCGCTATCAACGACTTCGCATTTACTTCACGTCAAGCACAGAAAAGCGTATGTGACGATGGTTAGGATGGGTGACGTGGGTGATACTGACTCTCGCTTCAGATCTCACTACTTCAACGTGACTCTTGAGGCTTTACTGATCGGGCACGAATCGGGAGTAACCAATGTCCATTGGCATCCCGCACCTCCTTCCTCCAGCCATTCCTCACCGAGACCTCTATTGTCCACGTCCATGGACAATTCCATGGTCATCTGGGAGCCGTCCTCCGCCGGTATCTGGGTTCCGGAACATCGCTTTGGGTCATTAGGCGGACACAAGATGGGTCTTTTTGGTGGATTATGGGGAAAGAAAGGAAAGAGCGTTTGCTGTAGTGGTTGGACAGGAGGATGGGAGAGATGGATAGAGGGCAAGCCTGGAGTCTGGGATGTCAGAGCAGGAGTCACGGGTCACTTTGGAGAAGTCAAATCTGTCACTTGGGATCAGGATGGAAACTACCTGCTTTCCGTATCGTGAGTCACTAAAGCACTTTCATGGATCTCAGTTGACAGCATAGCACAGATCCGATCAGACGTCCCGTATACACGCCTGTATACCTTCAGAAGCTGGGCCCAGCACTTGGGCCGAAATTGCGCGACCGCAGATCCACGGTTATGATATGACAGATGTCTCATTCATCTCGCCATTGAGATTCATCAGCACGGCAGACGAAAAGGTTGCGAGGGTATTCGATGCCCCTGGAGGTTTTGTCGAGTCCCTAGGAGCCATGGGCATAGTACAAAATGTCGGAGATACGGTGAGTAACTCGAACTTGCACGAGTGTCATTCTGACTAATTTACCGATTCAGACTAGTAGACCTCGAGGAGCCACTGTCCCGCCGTTGGGTCTTTCCAATCGTGCCTTGGGCAAAGGTCAGTTGTCTCAAGGAGACGCCGGATGAGGATTTTTAGCTGAAACGAGATCACGCCAGAGGCGATGATATCCGATCACCCAGCCCCAAGGGTTCCACATGAAGCTCGTGATGCTGTCTCGGAGACTCTTCGCTCAAAGCCAACGGAAGAAGTTCTGGCAATGTCTACACTCTGGCCCGAGATTGAGAAAGTCTACGGTCACGGCTACGAGGTGAGTATCGAGAGTCCGAATCTTCATGTCCAGTTCTCGCTCAGACCGAACTCTATCGCCAGCTCGTCAACGTCGCGACCTCTCATGATGGCAAATTTGTTGCGACGGCTTGCAAAGCCAGTTCGGCAGAACATGCTGTCGTACGGTTAAATTCCACTGAAACATGGGATGAGTTCGGCCGTCCACTGGCCGGTCACACTTTGACAGTCACGCGGATAGCCTTCAGAGAGGATGATGAGATCATCTTGACGTGTTCGAGGGACAGAGGATGGACAATGTTCAAGCGGGATGCGCGATGTAAGACGGAAAGTTACAAATTCTTTGCCAAAAGGCTGACCGTCTGTCAGGCTACATACCTTGGGCGAAAGAGGAAAAGGCCCATTCGAGGATGATTTTGGATACCTGTTGGATCGATAAGCATTCATTTGCTACTGCGTCCAGGGACAAAACGGTGGGTCCGCAAGCTGCTCAGGTGTTTGGATCTGCAGCTGAATATTGTATGATAGGTCAAGATCTGGAGATTGACCGAAGATGGCGCGACTCTTCAGAGCACGATCAAACTTGAAGAAGGCGCTACGGCCGTGCACTGTGCTCGGGGACTCCTCGCCGTGGGCTTGGAAACGGGTATCATTGAGATCTACCGGGTGTCAGATGCGGAAAGTGAACCGAGTCTGTCACTCAGACTCGACTCAACGTGAGTCATCTTTCCTTCCTTCCTTGAGGAGGATTATGACTCATAAGCTGCTCAGAATATCTCATGTCGGTCCTCTTAACCGACTCTGTTGGAATCCTCACAAACCTCTCCTGGCTAGTTGCAGTGATGATAAGAGTGTACGGATATTTGCGGTACAATCACATGCATGATGGCATTTTAGCCCTCGCTCATATCTGACTCCCACTGCAAGATGTCACGTATCGACCTCGGCTCCAGCCGGAAGGACAGCGGCTTTGTAGACATATTAAGGGGCAGCACTGATGCTAAGGAAAGGGTGCAGTAGTTAACGGGAGATCCGCGCGAGCATGACGACGATGATGATGTGTTCATCGTATCCCCTTTTTGGTCTGGCATAAATTCGGGCTAAGGTATGAGCAATTCCAATGGTAATGCGTGCGGATCTGTCGTAGGTGTTGTGATACATCGAAGCTGTCACGCAAGAGTCAGCATCGTCATCATTATTGGTTCGCATAGGATCTCAGCTTACCTGAGTGAATCCCAGGAGGCCCTCTGGTCCGTTGAATCGACCCCAACCGGAATGTTTCCATCCACCGTGCGGAGTGAGAGGGGCATCAAAGCAAGTCTTAAGAGATTTCTGTCAATATCGAGCGCGCGCGGGGGAGGGGAGGGGGGTTGGCCAATAAGTGGACTGACTCACAGGTCCATTGATGTGCACTGCTCCACTTTCTAACCTCTTCGCAACGATCATTGCTTTCTCGACATCTCGACTCCAAACGCTCGCTGATAATCCATACGATGAGCTATTGGCAATATCGACCATTTTGTCCGTGGTAGCCCGCTCATCCGCTCCTTTTCCACCAGAAACGGGGATTACGGCGCTGATGGGACCGAAAGATTCCTCGATATACAACCTCATATCGCTCGTGATGGGTCCATAGATGTTAGGAGATACTGTCCATTGGTCCGAGGAGGCCAGAGCGACTTGATCATACGACAGGATCTCCTTCGCTCCTTTACCTATGGAATCTTCTATCATGTCATGAACCTTTTCGGCTGCCTTTATATCGCATAAAACCTTGGGTGCTGAAACCTTGCTCCCCTTGACGGATGCCCAGACCTTGCGGAGAGACTCGACGAGCGCATCGTATTGGCTTTCAGGGACCAGAATGCGTTCCGTACTCATGCAGACCTGACCAGCGTTCATCCAAGCTCCGAAAAGGACTGAGCGGTGTAAGAGTATGTATATAAGTCGCAGCACTTTATGCTCGTCGCGCCGCGCCCTGCGATCACTCACGATGATTTGCGGCGAGATCAAGATCTGCATCGGGGAGGATCAGCGCTGGAGCTTTACCTCCCAATTCCATAATGCTAGGTTTCAAGTGTTTCCCAGCGAGGGAAGCGATGATTGAGCCGGTCCCCGACGAGCCAGTAAAGTTGACGTGTCTGGATGAATCGTCAGATGGGGGTCTCTGTGTGCCAAGAGCTCGTAGCTGTGAATCAGACTCACCTGACCCGTGAATCTGCGATCAACTCAGGGACGACCCAGCCTGCATCTTCCTTCGAAGAATGTAAGACTGTCAAGCAGTCTCTAGGTAAACCCGCTTCGAACAATAATTCGGCCCATAGGAGTTGAGTCCGAGGAGCGTATTCAGACGTCTTGAGGATCACGGTGTTGCCCGCCAAGAGAGGCGTGATGATTGCTCGGGATGTCAACAGGTGGACCTGAGACAGCGTAGCTTGGTTCAGCGTCTTTAATGACAAAGGTGAAATGCAAAGAGGATCATCTCACCGCGTTCCATGCTGCTATGGCTAGGCAGACACCGTATGGTTTTCGCTGCGTATACACAGAGTCTAGAAGTGTGAGCATCGTGTGCGGCTCCGCTTGGACGACGACCACTCACGATGCCCTTCCACTCGTTTTGTCGACTTCAACGTGTCTCCCGCTACGTCCGCCAAAGTATCCATGAACTGCACGACATCGTTCAATTGTTGGTCCGCCCAGAAATCCGATACAGATGTCTCCTCTCTATCTGACCTAGCAAGCTTATCGTACCATCCGCTCTGGCGATCTTTGATCAAGTTTGCAGCTTCACGTACGATCTCGCTTCGCCTTTCTATCGATGTCGAAGCCCACCCCGGTTGAGCGAGGTACGCTGTCTTTACAGCTCTTTGAACGTCCTCCGAGGTTGTACCTGTGACTTGATGTAATTTCACACGGGACTTCGGACTGAGAACGGTGTACGAGTTGCCGGATGAAGATGGTGAAGAGCCAGCGTGCGAGTCTGCAATGTGATGCTTGACAATCGATGAGACGGGTCGGGTATGTCTCGCCGGAAGATTCTGAAGGGACATACAGCTGAGGATCTGCCATTTTCTAACGGGGCATTGCCTAGTCACTGCGAGAGAAGCCTTGAGCATGGTTTCCAGAGTTTTTGGAAGCCAGACTGGATGGACCACAAGCCAAAAGGGAGTACAGCACAAATCACATGCATTTCACACAAACCCATTTTCGAATCATCTCCATGAAGACCGGGAATCTGATTAAGATACAGAAGCAATAGCCTATACAACTAAAAGGGTGGTGGTGGTGGTGGTGGTGGCGGGTTGATGCTGACCTGCATGCGAGCACCTGGCTCCACACTAGGGAGCATGTGCCCTTCCCTTCCCAACCTCACCAGCACTGTTCGTCCGCCTTGTCATGGTCCCACCCGAGCATCTTCTCCGCTTTCGTACTGTCGAAAACGGATCTTCTGGGATGATCCGCCCACCATTCCTTATTGATGACTCTGTATTTCCCACCCCAATGCGTCTCAATGGCTTCCAGTGCACTCGGTCCGGCCGTCATATCGTCAGGTAAACCTTGAAAAACGATCTCCGGTGCGGTAATGTTGAACACTTCATGCCCGTGCCATCCCTCCGAGGTGATGGACAGAAGTGCAGCTGAAGCGCAAGAGGCCATGGATGTCCATGCGAAGAGATCTTGGACCCGCGAATGAGCGATGGACTCGGCGTAGTTTGGTTTACACATGTGAAAGCGGAGAGAGGCGATACGGAGGTCAGGGTAAAACCGGCAAAGGGCGGAGGCTTGGAGCTCGCAGGCGCTGCAAGGGATGAGTCAGCGCAGAAGCATGAGGAGATGGGGGGGGAGGGGGCAGCTCACGCTTTGGAGATCGCGTAGGCGTCTTCCTGTGAGAACTAGATTCAGCGAGATCACTTCATATGAATGGTGAACATCATATCCCACTCACCGCTGTGATTGGCTCCTCCTCAGTGATCGGAAACGTATCCACCCGCTTATGACCCTCTGGCGTGTAACTCAATCCGATGGCGTTCACCGAGCTTGCCTGTACGATTCTCTTGACGCCGTGTGATGCAGCTGTCTGAAGTACATTGTAACTGCTAGTGACGTTGACATTGTGGACGATCCTGGGGTCATGGTATAATGGATTGGGGATAGCTCCAAAATGAATGACACCGTCGAACGGTACAGTTTGCGAAGCGAAAAGCTCCTCGACAGCTTTCCAATCGGCCAGGTCACACGTCACGGTGGTCAATTGACCAGGCGGTCGATCGGTCGCAGAGGTAGATGACAGAGTAGGTATGGGAATGGCAACTATATCCACGGCTGTAATGTCGTGCGAGCGGGCCAAGAGGTATTTGAGAGTGTGAGAGCCTACGGATCCACTCGCGCCAGTGAGTAGCAGCTTCATAATGGTAACGAAGGTGTGAGGGTCAACGGTTGCAAGTATAGCAGATGAATGGTAGGTAGATGGAGGTCCTTGGAGCCGAAAAGCAGATACAGGTTCAAGGGAACTTGTGGCGTGTCAACACCCTCCCTACACTATCTCACAGATATGTATGTTCTCCCCAAGTCCAGCCGATATCGGCAGAAGGATTCCCCCAAGAGCTACCGTAGTCTGCCAAGTCTAAGCAGAGACAGATGTGCGACACGAAATGGGCTTGAACAGGTGTCGGATGTCAAAAGTGGGGGAGGAGCGAAAAATTGTCTTGGGGGAGGGGGAGGGGAGGTGGACGATGTTCGGCCGAGAGGTCGCCAGGATCTATGACCTGCCACTTGATTCAACTCTGAGAGAGTGCCAAGGAGGCAATGATCCCAAAAGAGAGGCGAGGTTGTCAGAAGTCTCACATTGCAGCATCCCCCGCCCCCGCCCAGTTCGGCTGATCTGGTGCCCCACAGACCGAGACCGGCTGCCGGGCCGAATAAACGGGAATTCAAAGATTCGAAAGAACGGTAATTGGGAAAAATTTACAACCCCCAGCGAGCGAGCGAACGAAGGGGGCAGCGAATGGCCATGTAGTAAGCCATGGAGCGAGCGTATGCAAACCTGTAAAGCAGATATTCCCTTCTTCTGGCAGATCCATTTGTTTTTCTTCTTCCACATCACTGTGAGAGACTGAAGGATGGCAGAATCACTCCCAGTCCCCATCTTCAACGACTTGTCCGAGATTTACCCCTCGCGCGAGGCGGTCCTTCGGGAAGGGTGAGTGGGGAGGGTTTGGTGGTAGTGAACCGCGTCGTCGCCGGTCATACAGCCCACATATCAAGCTTTGTTGCAGCATTTGATACTGATATCAACATGACCTACCTAGTCAACGCTGGAATGACCTCTCGAAGAGCTTCAAAACAGCTTATGGAGATGAACCCGCTTTCATCATCCGAGCTCCCGGAAGAGTCAACATTCTCGGAGAGCATATTGATTATTCCTTGTTTGTGAGTGACTACTCGGTCCGTGTGGTGGGAAGATGTACTGGGTCGTGCTGGTCCAAAGGGCTCAACCGGTCCAAAAGACACACCCCAATACGTGCTGCGCCTCTGCTGACACCTTTCAGCCTGTTCTTCCCGCCGCTATCGAACAAGATATCCTCATGGCTCTCCGCCCTCGATCAGGAACCAAACGGGTCCGATTGGCCAATGTTCTTCTCAAATTCAAGGCTACATCCTTTGAAATGACTCATCAGCCATCCGAGCGGGGCTGGCATGTCGACTTTGTATCGCCTAAGGACGGGGGAGGATGGGACAATTACCTCAAAGTAGCGCTTCAAGAAGGTCTAGAAGAGTTTTTTAAATCTGGCGTGGACAGGAATGGCAAGGAACCCATTGGGATGGATCTCTTGGTCTCCGGCACAGTGCCCCCGGGTTCTGGTCTAAGTGTGAGTGAGGCAGCGCCGGAGGGAATGGGGGGACCTTCAACGTCTTGAAGATGCTGATATCTGTTCGCAGAGCTCCGCCGCTTTCGTCGTTGCTTCCAGTATCGTCTTTCTCGTCGCCAATGGCCTCACCGAAGGAGTTTCAAAAGGTGATGTCGTAGGCATGGCAATGGCCAGTGAGCATCGCATGGGACTAAGGACAGGTGGAATGGACGTGAGTGGTACGACGGCAGGCCATGGCATGGCAGGCCAGACTGCTGCCCGGCAGAATTGTTGAAACTGATACACTCCTTGCTTCGCGAATCTCACCTACCTCACTCACCTGAATCTATCGATATGTTGGGTCCGCTCGATTTCCGCGCCCCCTCACTCACTCACAGCAAGCCGCCTCTGCCCTGTGCGTCTCCAATGCCATCATTCACCTCTCTTTCTACCCCTCCCTCAAACCTGTTCCCCTCCCTCTCCCTTCCTCCCTTGCCGTCTGCATCATCAACTCTGTCGCCACACACGCACTTACCACCGGAGCGCCTGAACAATACAATCTCCGAGTCGTCGAGTGTATCATTGCGACTCGGCTCTTATGTCACGCTTGGGGTTTGGACCAAACGCCACGACTCAAGGGTAAAGTAGGAGACGAAGGTAGGATTTGGTTGAGGGAAGCTTTGGACCTTTGGGAGGGAGGGAAAGGGCTGAGTGAAGTGGAATTGTATGAAAAGGCTCTAGGCGAGGTCGATCGAGTACTGGGTAATGGGTACAAGGGAACTCAAGGTTGGACGAGGGAAGATATGCTCGCTGCGAGTGGAATGGAGGAAGCGGCATTCAGGGAGACATTCCTCGAGTTTCTGGAAAGTGAGTTAGTGAGGAAAAAAGAAGCGGGAGATGGTGTGAAGGTAGCCATCAGCTCATTCTGCTCACGCTTTCCTCTCGCTTCGCTCATTCAGTCCGAGCAACCTACTTTCATCTTCACCGTCGACTGAAACACGCTCTCGAAGAGAGTCTCCGTGTATCTAAATTTTCGGCCCTCTGTCGTTCTATCGAGCCATCATCTTCGACTTCTGAATCCGACCCCATCTTGAAACAATTAGGAGACCTCATCACGCAATCCCACGCCAGCTGTAAAGACGTATATGAATGTACGTGTGACGAGACGGATCAACTTCAACAACTTTGCCTTGCTCAAGGTGCTCTCGGCGCAAGGCAGACAGGTGGAGGATGGGGCGGAGCTGTCATTGCGCTCTTACCTGTTTCTCAAGTCGAAGGTTTCTTGAAGAGGATAAAAGGGTCTTATGAGGCTTACAAGTCATTGACGGAGGAAGGGGTGGAGCAAGCTGCATTCGCAACCCTCCCTGGGTCCGGGGCCGGAAGTGAGTCATGAGATCCGGTGGGCCTTCACATGATCGGCGCTGACTGTCTCGGCTCGTGACAGTCTATCAAATCCAGGGATCGACCATCTCATGAGACTGTGCAAAGCATTTGAGGACCCCGTCAATCAATAACGGATCATCAACAGATCTAGCCATAGCCAGGTGACCTAAATCATTCCTGTCTGATCTATGCATACAATGATGACGAGACCGAATTGCCAGGGAGCTGGCATCATCTGACGAGCAGCCCGTCATCGTGTTGCACCTAGTCCATCAACCCCCAAGTAGAATTTTTAATCATCCTTTGCTTCAGCCTCGCCAGCCTTGTTCTCGCCGTTCTCTTCCTCAACCCCTGACCCCGATGTGAATCTCTCCTCCAGGGTCTTTGGCTTCGGCGCAATCTTCCTCTCTTCGTCCTTGACAACCGTCGTACTGCTAAGCGGGACAGGACGATCGCTCATCCCATGTTGCACCATGTTCCCAGCTTCGCCTGCTCCTCGAGCTGTTTCCCCTTCTAGTTCCGGAGCAGATACCATTGGTCCAGTATCCAGTTCATCGACTCGACCCAGATACGGTTGGTTCCCTGGGTCTGAGGATTCCCCTGTTTCTAGAGATATGCTGCCGGACAGGGATAAGGCATTCGGGTTCGCGCTCGATCCACCACCACCGCGGCTTTGTTCTGGCTCTGGCGTCGGACTCCTGACTTGAGGTGCTGGAGCAAACTTGAATCCGCCATCTACATTCTCTCCCGATGCAGGTCCATCATTCGGCTTCGGACTCTCATCACCAAGCAGCAAAGGACTCATCAACCCATCTTCTGCTCGTACAGCCTGATGATCTTCTCCAGGTTGGCCAGTCATGGGCTCAGACAAATCCACCTCCATATCTCCATCCGTCGATTCTTCACGGAAGAAGGTGATAGGGGAGAACATGGGTGTCGCGCTCCCACGTGGCATCATGGATTCTTCGTCGTCTAGACTTATCGTAGATCGAGCGGGTGATGCAGAGGAAGACGCGGCCGAAAAGACAGGTTCCGTCGGTGCGATGAGAGACATTGGCATGGGGATGTAGGAGGGAGGTTCCCAAGATGAAGTGACGAGGAGAGACTTTTCAATGGCTCGGAGGAATTTACCCAGGGATGTGTGAATCCGAGTCGGTGAGACCAAGAGTTCGGCAATACGTTGGATGGTAAATGGGGGACTGAGCGATGAATCATCAGCTTCATCACTCGACGAGATTGATTTCGTGTGTGTGTACGTGTCTCTGATTCAGCTCACTCTTCCATTTCATCCAAGATGTTTATCAACCTCTCGACTTCTTCTTTCCCTTCCACCTCATCCATCCATTCAGGTAATTTCTTACCGCCGATGACGACCTCTTCGTCCCAATCTTCCTCGAATCGATTAGCGTGTCCATTGGCTTTGATGGTACCAGCAGTGCCTACGCTTCCAAGTGGCGGTAGAGAACCCTCTGATCTCTTTCGGTTGGGGTCGAGAGGTGGGAAAGGAGGTATGATCAATCCTCCAACTGTAGAAGGTTTGAATTCTATACTGTCATAAGATGATGAGAGTCCCATCCCATTAGGTGATGATGCGGGATCATCTTCTGCTCCTCCTTCTCCTACTCCTCCACTTGATCCTGATCCAGTGCCGCCATTGAGTCCATTGATTTCAGTAGATGATCCGAATGATGGGAGGGGTGGATCCAGATCGGTCGTCGGATGATCAGGTGATAAGAGGAGAGAATCAGATGGAGGCGCAGTATCCAGGCGCGAGCTTTCTCTCGCAGGGGATGGAGAAGCGGCCCGAATATCAACTGGACGGAGATTCGTGCCTCCTGGATGAACATAGGCTTTCCTAGGTCTCTGAGAGAGGAACAGGGGTACAGTGGATATCAAGGAGGATGTCAAATGATCTTTGAGAGTCTCCCAGTCGCACCTGAGAGAGAAGAAAAGAGAGCAACGAAGAACAATGTCAGACGTGATACGGCACACGAGGATAGACCCCCTTGGAAACCCACTCAAAGGTGTTCGTCTCCACTATGGTCTGCAATATTGGATCCACAGGGCGGCCTATGAGTCCGTGAGTTTCAAGGTGGCACATATTAGTTCAGCCAGCTCACTAGGTCCAGCCACGGCTGCAGGTGATATGGCCATGGTGAATTGTTTTGCTCTGATATGGGATATCTGCCAGTCATCAGCCAATGGCCTGCAACAACAAATCGAGTGATAAGATATGCCGGCAGTTTCCCAAAATGCCCACGTCACTGCCTGTCCCACGTGGAGGATATGCCCCCCCGTCTCACCCTCGGGCCAGACACCGAAAGTTCTCGATAACTTTTTTTACACAGAGACGCGGCTCAGCAACATCGGTGTTCAGTAGTAGTCATCAGTAACAAACACAGTCCTGGCATTCATCGAGGGCAAGCATCGTTTCACTTGGGATCTCATCGCGTACTTCGACTCCCTCCAAGGCGAGCGACTACAACGGTCACCGCAACCGCCCTTTCTCTCCCGGTCCCTCATCCTTCCACCGCCACTGCTTTCAAACTTTTGTTGAAGCCCCTTTCTCAACATCCAAAAGACATCATCCCCGAGTTCACATTTTACTGCGCTAGCGTGTGATTTGTGCCATTCAGCATGGTCAAGGAGACGTGAGTGGATGTGTAGAGCATGCCTAGAGTCCAACACTGATCTGATCTCTTGCTGTATCTTGCTTCATTGGTCGATTGGTCACGTTTTCAACGCTTCGCCTCGCTTGGACCGCCCGCCCACCTTTCATATCCCACTGTCTTCATAATCTGACCCGTTGCACCACGAACTCTTCATGCACGTCTCATCGTGATTTTGTAGAGAATACTAGTGAGTTGTATCGCGTCTCTGACCTCCTCTGAGCACAGCTCACACCGTCCTAGCGACGCCCTCGGTGTCAGCCCAGATGCCGGCGACGATGAGATCAAGAAGGCTTACAGAAAAGCTGCTCTGAGAGCGCATCCCGATAGTGAGCGTCATGTAGCTCACCGCGTTTACTCGCCTCCGCTGATGTTTCTCTGTAGAGGGTGGTGACCCTGAGCTCTTCAAGGAGCTGACTCATGCGTACGAAGTCTTGTCCGATGGTAACAAGAGGTCATTATACGACCAAATGGGAAAAGCCGGATTGGAAGGAGGCGGAGGTATGGGCGGCGGAATGGATCCCCAAGATCTGTTCTCACAGCTGTTCGGTGGTGGTGGTGGATTCTTCGGCGGCGGTGGTGCGTAGCGCGATGCCCAGAGGGGGGGGGGGGGGGGGGCGTAGAGGAGGAAAAGCTGATCATAATTTCCAGGAGGCCGACCCAGCGGTCCACGGAAAGGCAAAGACTTGGTCCACCGTATTTCCGTCTCCCTCGAAGACCTGTACAAAGGCAAGGTTCAAAAACTCGCTCTCTCCAAATCAGTCATTTGCAAGACGTGTGAAGGTCGTGGAGGCAAAAAGGGAGCTGTTCAAACGTGTGGAGCCTGTCGAGGTCAAGGTGTTCGAGTGACATTACGACAACTTGGACCGATGATGCAACAAATCCAACAACCATGTAATGAATGTGAAGGAACTGGAGAGGTCATGAACCCGAAGGATCGGTGCAAGACGTGCACGGGCAAGAAGACCATTTCAGAACGTAAAGTTCTCGAAGTCCACATCGACAAGGGTATGCGATCAGGTCAACAGATCAAATTCGCCGGCGAATCGGATCAACAACCTGGTATCATACCTGGCGATGTGGTCATTGTCTTGGAGGAGAAGGAACACCCCAGGTTCAAGAGAAAGGGGGATGATCTGTTGTGTGAGGCGGAAGTGGATCTCTTGACTGCTTTGGGAGGTGGAGAATTCGCCATTGAACACTTGGACGAGAGGGTTTTACATGTGGTCATCGTGCCGGGAGAGGTCATCAAGCCGGGTAAGTGGAGCAAGAGAGCAAGGCGATATCACACACGCCTCGCCAATGATTCTTTCCGCTCATTTGGTTCTCTTCTTTGCAGGCGCCGTCAAGGTCATCTCTCGTCAAGGCATGCCATCCTACAGACATCACGAACCTGGTGACTTGTACGTTCACATCAACGTCAAGTTCCCAGACCACATGGACCCATCCGCTATCCCTATGCTCGAACAAGCGTTGCCAGCTCGTAAACCCATGGCCAAGTTTGACAAGAAATTGCATATCGAAGAGACGACATTGGAGGAACCGAACGACAGGCAGAGAAAGTCCACGTTTGGAGGTGTGACTGGGGACGAGATGGATGAAGATGAAGAAGATGGTCGACCAGCAGGAGTACAGTGCGCACAACGTGAGTATGAGCCGATGTGCAACAGGAAGAACAATCTGCTGACCCTTCCTTTCTTCTTCTTCTGCAGAGTAAACATTTCGTCGAGTATCTCCAGCACGAGTCACGATTGCCCCCCCCGTCTCTTTTCCTCCCACTCAACCGCCCATTTACTCAAAGATCGACAGGTCGAATGGCCGGTCGCATCGTCACCAGTCTCCTTCTCCTTCTCAGACCCGGTCTCTTTCCCCTTGCCCGCTCTTCTGCGGCTGCACTTCTGCCGGGGGAGACTACCCATCATAGACGGTACAGTCAGAGCTTTGTTTCATCCTTTCATGTATACAGGCATTTTCATTCGCAGCGAGGGTACATGCTGGCTGGTCCAGAATAGTGTAAGGTCATGACAGTGCAACATGTCCCCGGTCGAGAGATAAGCATACTGAAAAAATGGGTAGCGTGAAATTCCAGGAAAAACTTCATGGTGATTTGATAGACGATTGAGGATCAAGAAGATCATCCTGAGCACCATGCCTGCCGCTGACGATTTGTGTGCGTGTGTGTCCTCTCGAGCTGCAGACGCTCTCAAGAGTCCTTGTGCTGTTCACTGACCCATCCCATTGGCTCATTAAAGCGCCGGGACGTACCTGATCACATTGTCGAGGTACCCTCAAGATGCCAAGGTCATGCGACTCGAGATGACCCGGCCGGATCTCCAGTGCCTACTCACTTCATGGCCCATCTCGGTGTGTCTCGACTCGATGATCGAGAGAGAGACAGAGGGACAGAGGGAAGGGGAGGACATGCATCAAAGGGGGGTTAATATGTAGGTTGGTTGAGTTATTCCGGCCTCATCATGGCAGGTTAGATAGTCCTTTGAGGGGGAAAGCGGGAAAGAGAACGTGCATTCAAAACACAGCACTTTGAATCACTCACTTCACCACTGACACGAGGTATCGATAGCTCTCTGACCTGCTCACTCATCTAACGGGAGGGAGGTATACAAGGCCTGGCGTCTTCCCAACACGCCATTCGAGGACCCATCACTACCTATTCCACCATCCCCTTTACCCTGCCTTTGGGAACCCGGGAGAGGACCACCTTTCTCACTACACGGGGCCAGGGAGCGCCACGCCCTTGCGAGTGTTTTGGGAAAGGGAGGAGGAGGGGTGGGCAGTCCAGGTCCGACGGAATAACTACAATCAAGCGAGCTGAGATCGATATGAGAAACATAGAGAGACTCGGTGGCTGCTGTCAGCGTCTCCAGGTTCTTTCTCAACGGAACAGGTCATCATTGCCTCCAACCTGCAGCTCATTGCTCGAATGTCTACTGACCCGCTGCTGCTCAGTATGCTCAGTATCTTCATCACCGACTCTCTCCATGTTCACTTCGCATATACCCCTTATCTCGCCCCTTCCCCTGTGTCCCATTTCCCATCGCTGCCTTTGGTCTACTCTCTTCGCCCCATCAAAAACGACTCAGCCAGCTCGATCGCTTAGAAGGTGGACAACCTTGAAACTGACTGCATTGCCAATACATCCATCCATCCAACCATCATCGATCGTCTACCTTTAAGGTATCACTCGCCCTTCACCCATTCACTTCATTCATCTCTTCCCTCACTACAACCATTCCAAGGCGATCCAAAAGTTCCCATCGGGTCGGTCGTCAAGGAAGTAGCGCTCGAGGCGATCGACCACGCTCAGGGTGAAGTGGAGCCCTTTTCCTCTTGACGTGGATCCTTTCTCTCGTCGCGCGTCGTCCCATTTCGACTCGGGAGCTTCTCTCGTCCATCAATGTACCACGCCTCAACCTCACCTTGTCCGATTACTCGACGCGAGGAGTGAAGTGTGAGGTGAACCTCATTGACTCGTGCTCTTTATTTTTGATCACTTCCTTCTGTTCCCTATCCCTGTGAGCACGTACGCGACTCGCCTCGCCTCGCCTTCCCCTGGCCACCTCTACCTCCCTTGCCACTTTCACTCTGAACCGCCCAAAACCGACCACCACCATCAGCCATCATGTCGTCCCGACATTGAGGTCACCCTTTCCCTTTCCCCCCTCCTGGCTCTCTGTGGCATACCTGTATGACACTGTAGAACGAAGTCAAGGTCAAATCGATACCACACCCGCTATTCTACCACCAATCCCTTCAGTCTGTATCAAACCTGTTTGATCAACATCTCTCTGGCGATACTTCTCACTTTCGCTGCGACTACCCAGTCTTGTGACTTGCTTGACATTGTCACTCGAGAATTCCTTCCCCGCTCTCGCTATCCCATATCGTTCGACTCAGACTCGCGTCAGCTGTTGCTGTTGTTGGAATACATTGAGCGTAATTCAACACTCGAGCATTCAATCGTTCTCTCTTGATTCCTGTCCTATACTGCCTGGAGACAGCTATCAGGACCGCATCCTCTCCAATTCACAAGACAATTCTGCCAGGTCCATCACAACAACGAGCGACTCGGCCTCCCGTTTAACCTGTTTCCCTTCCTCCCCTTCCTCACCCACCAAGCCATCTCCAGCATGGCCAATCCGCCACCTCCGATGCCTACGGACCCCAACGACATCCTCGTCAACCAACTGAACAATATCTCCCTCGTTGACGAGATTTACATGTCTCCACAGCCCTCTCAATCCCCGGCGCATGAAACATTTGCCAACCTCAATACCCCGTCCAACTCCCAAGGTCTCCTTACGACCATGACGATGAGTGGCAACATCCCTTCTGCCATCCCTGGACAGCATCACAGCCACCACCACCACCACCATCACAACCAATCTCTTCACCATGCTCCACACGCGCCACCGCCCGCTTCTGCTCAACTGATCGGCATGCATTACCAGCCTGGTCCACCTGCACCTCCTCCTCTGCTGTCTCAAACAGACGACCAATACATGTTCCACAGCGCCCATACCCTCGGGCCTCCATTCTCACCTACAAATCCAAATATCGGTGGACCAGCTGGTCTACCTTACTCTTATGGCGGTCCTCCGCCGGACTTGCTATCTCAGCATCCCAACGGAGGCATACCAGACAGTCCATTCGGCGCTGCGCATCTGGATGCCGCTTTAATCGCTGCTGCAGGCTTTTCCACCAACAATCAGATGGATCAGCGACAAGGTTCAGGTGGACATCATCAGGCGCACTCACAGCAGCTTCTTCATCATGCAATGTCTCAAATCAATGGGTCGAATCAGACGCCTCACAATGCCAATGGAATATACCGAGTCATCTCTGATGGTATTTTCAATGGCACAGGTGGCATGCTCTCACCTCAGCAGCAGCAGACCAGTATCTACGGGAACCAAATTCAGGGGTACTGGACGCCCCCATATTCGGATAGCAAGAAGAAGTCTGGTCAGGTGAGTTTCGATTCAAATCGTCCTGTGCAAAGCTCATGATAAACTGTAGAACTCGTCTTATGGACCTATGGGTCGAGCCTCGCTCAGTCATTCTCAATCTGGACCTACGACGTACACTCCGCCACATCGGACTGGTAACTTCCCCAGATCCCCAGTGGGTTCATTTGGTAGCGCAAGGGGAGGTCTCAATCATGGTGAGTCTTTTGAGGGGCCTGCTATCCGAACGGCAACGCATGACGCGATCTTGACACCTTATCTGAAGGCTCTTTCAATTCGTTCTCCACTATCACTGGTCTCCGAAGTGGAGGTACTACTTCCTACAATCCTCGAACGCCCACCAGTCCCATCCGAATGGGAATCAAATCGTCCTCCACCACGAGGCGGTCAATCTTCGAAGCGCCACGAAGTGCGGTGCTCGAGGACTTCCGTCTCACCAAGATGACCAAGAAGTGGTCACTGAAAGTGCGTACGATAAATCCTACGGTAGATTCGCATCTGATCCTCTCCCTCAGGACATTTACGGCCATATTGCAGAATTCTCAGGTGACACCCATGGGTCACGATTCATCCAGCAGAAGCTGGAGGAGTGCTCGTCGGACGAGCGACAGAAGGTGAGGCAGTCTGGCGAATGTCCTTGCTTGCTTACGAGACCGGCTGACGGGCCGGGCCACAGATGTTTGACGAGATCTTGGCGAATGCTTTTCAGCTCATGACGGATGTGTTTGGAAACTATGTCATTCAGAAGGTCTTTGAGCTTGGCGATCAGAGGCAAAAGGCAGCACTAGCTAAGAAGATGGAGGGATCAATCTACGAGCTGTCGAATCAGATGTACGGGTGCAGGGTGAGTCGGCGCCACAAATCGACTTGACGGCCAGCTGATTCCGTTTCATTCCAGGTCGTTCAGAAGGCTTTCCAGCATGTTCTTCTCGATCAGCGTGAGAAGCTCGTCGTAGAGCTCGAAGCAAACATCTTGGACTGCGTCAAGTCGAGTAATGCAAATCACGTTGTACAGGTGAGTAGTGGTCACATGAGGTTCTTTCCTTGAATTTACTGACGACGACCAATTCGTACATGTAGCTCTTGATCCAGCTAGGCCCGCCCGCATTTGTTACGTATGCCTTCTTGGGACACATTGAAGAACTTGCTGCTCATCCGTATGGATGTCGCGTACTCCAAAAGACGTTTGAGATGGACGATGTGCCACACAAGCAGGCTCTCCTGGACGAGTTTGAGAGTGTGACGACCAAGCTGATCGAAGATCAATTTGGGAGTAAGTAGCGATGGAACACTCAGTCTGTTACCGGTGCTAACGTTCCCGATCAGACTATGTCGTACAGAGTGTGATTGATACTGGGTCAGAAAGGGATCGTCGAAAGGTCGTTGCGAAGATGAAAGGACAGATAGTATGGCGTGAGTGACCATGTGTTGACTGGAGCACACATTGATAGTGCATTAGTGGCGAGACACAAGTTTGCCTCCAATGTTTGTGAGAAGGCTGTCACCCGCTCGAGTGGACAAGACCTCCGAGATCTCATCACAGAGCTCATTGACATTCGACCTGATGGGTCTAACAATGTCCGCATGTTATTGCAAGATGCTTTTGGGAATTTCCCTCTGCAGGTGGGTACTGTATCGCGACGTATGAGCCATTGTGGCACCTCATGCCATACATGTTGACGCTGACGCATCTCGAAGACTGCCTTGCGATGTGCTGAACCTGATCAACGAGATCTCCTGCTGTCCATCATTGTCCCTATGCTTCCGTTAATCATCCACTCTCCCGTTGGCAAAAGACTTAGCGCTCGGATTCAAACATGGGAAGAAGAAGGGATCATCCCTCGCATGGACAGTGGCATGATCGAATACGCCACTACAAGGCTCAATGAAGTCTCCCTCACCCCCTTTCAAATCCGAACCACACCCACTACCGGCGGCGCCACTGTCGCGGCTACGGTAGTCGATTCAAGCTCAGAGTCAGGATACACGCCTACGAAATCTGGATCCTCGTCGACTGGCTTTACATCGCCTACGAACCTCGGTGGGAAACCCGAAGAAAGAGGCAATAGGACCTCAAATTCGACGCCTGTCAGAGGCTGGAGGAAGGGTGAATGGGCGGACCGAGGTCGTCGTGAAGGAGGAGGAGGAGGAGGAGGAGGAGGAGGAGGAGGAAGACGATATGGTCAAGGTCAAGGACCCAACGATATGGTCAGTTGGAGATCCATGGGACCTCGTGAATGGGGTGATGTTCGTTCTGGATCAGGCACTACGGGAATCGGCCGCAACTCTCGGTCGAGATCCGGCGCCGGGAAACGTTTGCCTCGTGGAGACTAGGAGCCACACCAGGCTTTGGGGATGGGAATGGATCGAAAGGACTTCATATAATCACGAGAGTTTTGGAACAGGCTCGGACACACGGCTAAAAGGGAAGACAATGTGGAATAAAACGACAACCAGATGGACTGAATTTGGATTCGTCAGCGCTATATGAAAGGATCCGTCCCTAGGGGGAAAGGGGGTATTACGGTATTCATCAGGATCACTCAGCTTCTTGATACACCCCCTTCTTGTCTCGAGCACGTTCATCCGTTCATCGAAAAACATGGGCAAAACGTACAAGAAGGAACGTCTCTTATTGGAGTTTGAGTACACCGCCCACTGCTGATATTCCATTGCGTACAGTATGAGATCGATATATTCTTCTTGGTTTAGTTTGATACATATCTGCGACGACCCATTCGAGAAGGAGTCTCGCAAATTGCGTCTGGGAAGGGACGACCAAGGACCAGAGGAGGAAAATGGATATGCAGGTCGCCTGGCAATGGAGCTACAAATTGAGTGACAAGTGAGGAAGAGGCCGATACTATCTAGACATGCAATCAGACATGCAACACATCATCATCATCATCATCTTGATCTTTTAGCTCAAATTCACATATGTAACTGCCCACCGCTCAAAGAACGGTACTGTGTATACATGTCTGTCTGTCTGTCTGTCTCGCTCTCTCACTATCACTCTAACTCGCATCATCTTATAGAACGCATCTCTTTATCTCATCTCGAATCACAGTCGTTATCGCATCTCCTCTTCTTATCCTCCCCCTTGCAGCCGCCCTAGCCTGCTCGCTTTTTCGCTCACTCAACCGACTCCATCTTGACATCGGCAGCTCCTGCTGCGCCTTGGTGCGCCGCACCACTCTGACCATTCGGTCCCGATACCCCTGAAGACCCATCACCATTATCTGCTGCCGCACTCCGCTCCATTGCTGCGATCTTTGCAGAAATGGGATCATTGGCATCGTTGGAAGAGCTAGCTCGAGGGTTGACAGGGCGGCTGGAGGATTGACCGTTGGGTGTTTGCCTGTGATGGGCGACAGGTGATCAGAGTGGTGTGAAGGCACATGCTGACCCGAAACTCACATCATTCCCCTTGGGGGATTGGCACACCTGTCTTTGCCGTAAGATATACGGAGAGCTTCGTACTCGGATTTCGACTTGATTCCCTCGATGGCCTTTTGAGCTGACGAGATGGAGGTACTGCAGAATAGTGAGCCTGGATCGACACACGGCTAGAGCAGCTCACAAATTGACAAATGCTGCTCCCTTCTCGGTCAAAAAGTTGATCATCTCAATGTCTGCTTGCCATCAGCACGAGATCCTGAAGCCTAGTCCATACATCCTCAACTCACCTCCGTATTCTGAGAAATCGGTTCTAAGCTTGTCGATCGTGAAGATATCAAAGTCCGTAATCTGACCGAGATAGACATTTCGACTTGCTCCACTTTGGATGGCAGCCAAGAGATTATTTGGCATCGATCCAGAATGCTTGCCCCTGTGTCATTGAGTCAGCGCGCCTCAAGCCGGTGAAAAGCACAACTCACCATCCAACTTTTATTCTCCTGCTACCAATCGTCAAGCCATTCATAGCCCAATTGTAAAACGTGTTGGCCGCTTGTGGTTCGACAAAGGTCACAAATGCAATATTCTTGTCTTTCAAATGCCGAATCTGTTGAATAACTCCGCCTCGAATGTTGTTGCATAGTTCTTCGGTTGTGGTGTCCGGGTGTATATTTCCAAGGTAGATATTTCGATTGCCACCTTGGGCAGCGAATGATGGATCATTAAACGACGTCGGGGAATGGTATGATGGGCCGCCGCCGAATAGTGGCGAAGCAAAGCCAGAGGGAGAACCGAAGTTTGACATGTTGAAGCCTGGTGTCATGGGAGTGAAGGGGGAGAAGGGCGACCCAGGCGAGATCTGGGCGTGCTGAGACGACATGGCGGCGGCAGCTTGAGCCTGAGCTGCTTGAACGGCGGCTTGTTGAGCCTTGGGCACATAGGCACATCGATCCTGGATACATCAGTCGGCGCTTACGATCAGACACGAGGATCTATCTCACCTTGCCATAGTTGACGCGTCTTTCCGCCCAACCCGGCTCGTGCGGCAGCTGCTGGACGACCTGGACCCGGTCAACACCTGCCAAGCTATATCGCTCACCTTGATAGCCGTCGAGATGCTCAAGAAATGCACAAATCCAATATTTTTGTCCCTGACAATCTTGACCTGATCAATGGGTCCAAACTTGCTGCAGACATTTCGTAAATCTTGTTCGTTCATATCTTCAGGAAGATTCCCGACAAAGACGTTTCGAGTGGCCTGATTGGAGGCCACTGCGATAGCGATGGAAGGAGGGACATTAGACGCTTTACCCCAGCCAATTTTGAGTTCTTGACCATGGAGAGCGAGCTTCTTGACGGATGCATCGGCGTGGAATGCGGCGGCAGTGGACCCGTCTAGGAAGGAGATGAACACGCAGGATTTTTCGGGTAGCAATCGGACCTGTTCGATCGGTCCGAATCTGACGAGATTGAGAAGCTCGTCGACAGACGCCTCTGAGTGGTTTGTGAGCGGGCTGGGACCGTGTTCGGCTTCTCCACACTCACCCGATGGCAAATTGCCAACGTAGACTGTACGGCCAGTCGTGTTACCAGCGGCGGCGGCAGCGGCAGCAGCGGCGGCGGGCCCATAGTTACCAGTCATGGCAGCGGGGTTCATCGAGGGCGATACAATAGGTGATGTGGGATTGAAGCCCTGATCAAGTGTTAGATCGTGTCGAGATAATCTTCACGCCTCATCTCACAATATAGGGGTACCCGAAATTCATACCCATACCATTGACAATGCCCATATAAGGGCTCTGAGGCCCACCATTGGTTGGCTGAGAAGGGGTCGATAGTGGGCCTCCGAGAGTCAAAGGCGACGCAGGATTAGCATTCATCGTGCTGATCCCGTTTGGCATGTAAGGCAAAGGTTGATATTGGCCTGGAGTGTACCTTGAGGCGTTTGGGTGCGTGGCAGTTATTGGCGTTCCGGATAGACTTGTCGTGGGATAAGATGGAGATGTTCGTGCCTTTTTGGGAGGTATGTTTTCGAATGCAGATGCAGACGACGTCGAGGGTTCTATATGCGGGGCTAGACCACTAATCGGATTGGATGGAAGTGAAGAGATGTCTAGCGCGCGCTGAAGAAAGAAAAGTCAGTCGAGTTAACGCCGAGCACAAATCACCTTCATAGCTTCGAGGTCGTTGAGACCTTCGACACTGGGAACCCCCGTCAAGTTGAGTCCACCACTTGGCAGGTAATGACCTCCTGGACTATTGTGAGGATAATGAATGTGTGAATACTGTCCTGGAGATGGCTTTTGAATGTTACCAATGTGATAATTGGGTGAGAGGACAGGCCTGTGATGAGGCAGGTGGTGCATGTACGATTGAGGCGTGTGACCAGACATGAGCGAGAGGTTTGGCGTTGCGAGAATGGGAGGAGGAGTGATGTCACCAGAGGAGGTGGATCGCATCGTGTCCAAGGGAGGAGCGTAAGATGGGTTCATCGTGCAAAGCGGATCACAGTGACGGGTTGTGGTTGCGGTAGGGGAGAGGAAAAGTGCAGGATGAAGTCGCGTCAAAGGCAAGGATAACGACGTGTAGGGGAAGTGAAGACAGTAAAAGCAGAGTATAAGCGACTGAAGCTGGCTAAAGCAGAGAGAAAGCGAGAAGATTGGCTTGTGGGAAAGACTACAGATGTGCAAAGGCGCACAAGGGGTGTCTTTGGAAGGGATCGAGGTCGCTCGACGTGGGAAAGAACGAGATACAACTCGTCTGAGCAACGAAGAACAAGGCGGAGAGCGGAAGACGCTTGGATAAGGATCAGAGCGATGTTGAGATCGAGGAAAGGAGACGAAGAGAAGTTTCGCTCTGGGTACTGACTGACTTTGTTCAGAAAGAGAAAGAGGTAGAGAAAGGGTGGTGAAGAAGAAGGAGAAGAAGTGTGAAAGAGCGAAACAGAGACCAAAGGTGACTGGTCGTAGGGGTGGTCGGTTAGGTGGAGTCCAACAGTGCCTTGAAGGCAGTCTAGTCCGGGTGAAGGGGATATCTTACAAGGTAGGTGGGAAGAAGATGATCAGCTGGTGTGTCCAAGGAAAAGGAGGAGAGGGAGTGGAGTCAAAGCTCACATGATTTGTGCGAGAGTGATGTGTGTGATAGGTCCGTGGGAGAGTGAGATCGTGGGCAGCGAAGGTGGGACGGGCGAAGAGTCGAGCGGATGATCAGCAGCTGGAACTCGTGTCGGGTGATTCGTTTGCAGGTCTCAAGAGAGAGGAGGAGGGGAGGAAAGCGCACAATGAGAGAAGGTAGGAAGCCAAGACTCTGTCATTCGGTCCGAATAAATGATACAAAGAGTCTGGAACGGAGGCAAGCACTTCGCGTCATGAAAGAGCGGAATAGCTCTGTCTGAGTAGCGCAGACTAGCTATGTGAGTCTCCATGGGATGTTTGGAACAGGCAGCAGCAGCAGCAGCAGCAGCAGCATGAGATACTGCTGGCCGGTGTTTCAACACAGCGGTTCCTCCGGAATCTCACTTTTATCTCCTCCCCCTCTCAAAAGGACGCGACTCACCCTGTTGTTAACCCCTTCAGATGAGCGTAAGCTGAGTGATCTTTTTTCCTCTCAAGCTAAATTGGGAACAAGTCCACCTTGAATCCAGTCTCCACGCTCCACGCTCCCTGCTCTGGAACAGAACAAAAGGTCGAGCAGGTAGAGACCAGCTATTAGAGAGGGATTGAATGGAATGAAAGAGGAGGGGAATGTTGGAAAATGTTCTGAATTCGGTCCGAGCCACTTTTTGGCCGCCGCACACGCGAGGAAAGCAGCTGCTCAATGGCTAATGATGAACATTGCTAGATCTGGGACATTCTCCGCATCGATATATGCTGATCTCTCCCTTCTCTCGCTGCCTGTTGCTGCTCCTGCAGGCACTTTGGTGCTGTATCTGCTTCGCTGCTGCTGCTCCCGCCGCTGCCAAACTCAAAAAACCTTGTCCTGTAGGCTAAGGCTGGAGAGACGTACAGAGAGACCCCTCATTTTCAATCTTTTTATACACACTCTTCCGCACTCTATGTGCCGCTGCTGCAAATCTGCCCGAGCAGATTCATATGCGATTGTACTGGGACACGGGACACGACACACGAGAGAAGACACGCCTCAATTGGAACCCACACAATCATCGGTCATAAGCTATACATGCCAGCAGCTCGTTCCCTATATGCCTAGCAAACGGACGCCATTGGAGAAAACACTTTTATCTAGACCGAAGTGAGGACCTCGGGCTCAACAAAGTCTCCTCCCTTGACGACTTTGCTTCCAGTGTTGGCATCCATAGCCTCGCCGTGGGTCTCGAGCAGCTTGGACATGTCGAGTTTGGGAGCCTTGAGAATCTTGGCTTTGCGGATGTAAACGTTGTGCAAGGGGTAGATACCCTATAAGTAGTGTCAGCGATCGTATTCGATCCAAGCGGGACGTTTGTGCGACGCACCTTGCAAGCCTTTTCAATCTCTCGACCGATAGACTCTGGCACAAACTTCTTGACCAACTCCTTCAAGTCACTTCCCTCAGCCTCGCGTCTCATGATCTCAACCATCTTTGCCCGGATCTCCCTGACCTGAGAAGACTTGGCGTAGGTAGTCTTCTTGACCTGGTTGGCCTGACGTTTGGTGAATCCAATAGAGAACAGTCGGAGAACGTATCCATCAGTGGTTCGGACATCGACAGATGCCTCGATGAGGGTTTGCCACTTTCGGACGATCGAGCGGACCTTGTCCGTGGTGAAGTCCATACCGTAGAATGAAGTCAGGCAGCTCTTGCCCTGAGCAATGTGTCAGCTTGATGATCCAGACGAAAAAGAATTCAGCTCACAGAAACCTCTTCAACCTTCAGCTTGATCTTTCGGAAAGACTGCTCCTGGTCGTTGTTGAGGTCGGCGAGAGACAGTTCGAGGACTCGGCCACGGAGAGAGTCGGCAGAGTTCTCTGCGGAGGTGTGTTAGAGGACCAAGCCTTCGATAGAATCTCCATGCACTCACTCATTCCCTGAGTTCGGTTGACAAGGGTCTTGCCCGCACTTCGGTTCTCAAAGAACCCAGGTGCTTTGATGTCGTACCATTCTGCAGGTAGTCAGCGAGACTGCACATTGCGCGCAAGTCAAGGAGATGCGACAAATCGTGAGATGCGACAAATCGTCGCCATGGTGTTCGTCCAGATGATCCTTTCTCCCATCGAAAGATGCCCCTCGAAATCCTTCGAAATTCCAAAAGAGAGAGACCGGATCAAACTCACCTTTCCTGGTGAATGGGTCGACAACCTTCTTCTTAATTCCCTTCTTTCCTTTTGAAAGCCTCTTGTTCTTACCGACGGCCATTCTGTTGGAGATGAGGTGAGGTCAACGTTGGAAAGGAGGCGACAGAAAGATGGGGCGAAATTGAAACGGGTCGGACGAGCGAAGAAAGTGGGTAAAGTCGAAGAAGACCAAAACGTCAGCAGTGTTTCTCACCAGCGAGACAGAAGACTGGGGAGTAATAGCAGCAGCACGCAGCAGCAACAGCAGCACGCAGCTGTGTGATTGGATGAGGATGATAGCAGGGACACACTGATACTCACTTGGATGTATGGTCGAAAGAAAGAAGGAGAAAAAAGCTCGCAGGACTCTCTTCGGTGGTTGAGCAGTTCAGTCGAGCCCGGCAGACAGAGAGGGGGGATTTTTCGGCAATTTCGTTGACTTCGGCGTTTTGTGTTTGTGGCGGGAAATGACCTCTGTGGCTGTGGCCAAAGACGGAACCAAAAATCTTATCCTCAGCGTTTGAACGCGTCGTCGCGTCGCGCCTTCTGAACATTAGATTTCTCTCCCTCTCTGAGCACTCTCTCTAATTCACGAGTCTTTCTTGACATTGACCATTCACTGACGAGTGTCGATACTCCATCACCATGTCATCCCCATATCCGGGCTCAATACCACCTTCCAGTGCACCTGGACCAGCATCTTCCTCTTTACCTCAATCTCGACCTATGATCGACCCGCTGGCATTTGACAATGTTCATGGTCTCGGTGGAAGTTTGCCAGGCGTCAACGGTGCTGGTGCTGGTAGTGGTGGTGGTGCTGGAGCTGGAGCTGAAGTGGGCGAAGACATCACTGGAGCTGGTAACAGACGGATGGGCAGAAGGGCTAGATTCGAAGACTCGAATGATATTCCTCGAGTCAAGGATGTGACAGGGGACAAGGTCATGGAGAGTTTCGCAATGTTCCTGGAGAAGTGAGTGGCAGGAGTCAGCTATCATTGTGTCATTCGGGTCGGCTCATCCTTGAACCCAGCTTCACCGAGCAGATCGCCCTGCCCGATACACCTGGTCAGAACGATGGTGCTCAACCTGAAGAGACCAAGTTTTACGTTGAACAGATTCGAGCAATGAAAGATTACGAGTTGACGACTCTGTACGTCGACTTTGGTCATCTGCTTGAGCGTGAAGAAGTCCTCGCGCGTGCCATTCAATCGCAATACTATCGGTGAGCTTAAGAACCCTCAATGGTGCAAGCGGCTTACCTCTGCTCAGATTCCTGCCGTATCTTCGTCGCGCGCTGCAACTTCTCATCCGAAAGTACGAGCCTACCTATCTTTACACCTCTACCACAGTCTCCACAACCCCCTCCGCTTCATCATCATCTCTGACGACTCGAGAATTCTCCATCGCGTTCTACAACCTCCCTCTGACTTCTGGTATTCGAGATCTTCGAATGGATAGGATAGGTCAACTCGTCTCTATCACCGGCACAGTCACTCGAACATCTGAAGTCAGGCCAGAATTGATCAGCGGGACGTTCACTTGCGAGGCCTGCGGAGCCGCTGTCCGGGATGTGGAGCAACAGTTCAAGTATACTGAACCGATCTTGTGTCAGAATACTACGTGTAACAACCGGACCCAATGGCAGCTTAATATTGAGCAGAGCAAGTTCTCAGATTGGCAAAAGGTCAGGATTCAAGAGAATGCCAATGAGATCCCGACTGGTTCTATGCCTAGATCGTGAGTGATACTAGCTGCACATTCAGCACTCTTATTGACCCTGATATACAGTTTGGATGTCATCCTTCGAGCAGAGGTTGTAGAACGCGCCAAAGCTGGAGACAAGTGCACGTTTACCGGTTCATTCATCGTCGTTCCGGATGTCTCTCAGCTCGGAGTACCAGGGGTCAACACTGAGATGATGAGAGAGAATCGTGGGGGTCGAGGTGACGGAGGAGTGGCTTCACAGGGAGTCACGGGATTGAAGAGTCTTGGAGTCAGAGATTTGCAGTACAAGACCGCGTTCTTGGCTTGTATGGTCCAAGGGGCAGATGCGAGGGTGAGCTATCCGGAGTCTGTGCGCTTGGCTTAAAACAAATCAGTCTGGCACCGATGTTCGAGGCGACCTTGATGATGGCGAGGAAGAGCAGGAGACATTCCTGAATTCTCTCACTCAGCAAGAGGTTGACGAGTTGAAAAACATGGTTAATTCCGACAACATCTATCAACGGCTAGTATCCAGTATAGCGCCTACAGTCTACGGCCACGAGATTGTCAAGAAGGGTATTCTGCTGCAGCTCATGGGTGGAGTGCACAAGCAGACTCAAGAGGGTATCCATTTGCGAGGGGATATCAACGTTTGTATTGTCGGAGACCCGAGTACTTCCAAATCACAATTCCTCAAGTGCGTGGTAATGACTGGACTGCTTGACGTGTAAATCTGACCCCTTTTTTTAGATATGTGTGTGGATTCCTGCCCCGAGCAGTCTACACCTCCGGCAAGGCCTCGTCCGCAGCTGGTCTCACAGCTGCTGTGGTCAAGGACGAAGAGTCTGGCGAATTCACCATTGAAGCTGGAGCACTCATGTTGGCCGATAATGGGATCTGTGCGATTGACGAATTCGACAAGATGGACGTGGCAGACCAAGTAGCGATTCACGAAGCGATGGAACAGCAGACCATTTCCATTGCCAAAGCAGGGATTCAAGCGACTCTGAACGCTCGAACATCCATCCTGGCTGCTGCGAACCCTATCGGAGGGAGATATAATCGAAAAATGAGCTTGAGAGCCAATGTCGCCATGAGCGCTCCGATCATGTCTCGATTCGATCTCTTCTTTGTGGTCTTGGACGAATGTAACGAGAACGTCGATTTACATATCGCTCAGCATATCGTCAATGTTCATCGATTCAGGGACGCTGCTATCGCTCCAGAATTCAGTACGGAGGCATTGCAGAGGTATATTCGATATGCTAGGACCTTTAGTCCAAAGGTGAGCAGGCAGGCAGATTATCGGCGATGCTTATGTCGGTGCTCAGCTCACTCCGGAAGCATCTGCGGTCCTCGTTGAGAAGTATCGATCGCTGCGACAGGATGAGGGTGGTGGAAGTCGAAGCAACTTCAGGATCACGGTTCGTCAACTCGAGTCCATGATTCGATTGTCCGAAGCGATTGCCCGCGCAAACTGTGCCGACAAGGTGAGCCGGGAGGGATTTGCTCCTCGGGCGATGCTGAATATAATGCCCAGATTACGCCTGCGATTGTTCGCGAGGCTCACTCCCTCTTACGTCAATCCATCATACACGTCGAACAAGACGATATTAACTTTGACGAAGACGACGAGGTCGCCGACTTGGCCAATGGTCATGGCCGTACGCAGGAAGAAGACGATGCGATGGACGCGGCGGATATTGCGGCTGCAGAAGCCGCTGAATCAAGCTATGCTGCTGCTCAAACACGAACGAGTACGTCTGGAGCCAACGGGACGCCTACTCCGCCTCCCGCCTCCAAGCGTAAAATGAGGATCACTTGTGAGCCATCCTCTCCGACATGAGAAGGAGACACAGCTGATGGGTTCCAGACAATCGCTATATGGAGATTATGAACCTTTGCGTCCTTCACCTCTCCGATATTGAGAGAGAGACGGGCCAAGGTGTCGATAGAGAAGAACTCGTTCAGTGGTACTTGGAGCAGAAGGAGCAAGAGTTTGAGACGGAGGAGGATTTGGAGTATGAAAGGGAATTGATCGGCAAGGCATTGAACAAGCTCGCCAAGGTGAGTCAAAGCGATACCAGAGTCGGTAAAAGCTCACTGACCAATGTCACTAGGATAACTACCTGTTGGAAATTCGTGGGGATGTGCAGGATCTACCAGGAGAAGAATCTCTCGAATCATCTGAATCAGACAAGGTTCATTACGTCGTCCGTAAGTGTCAATATAAACGCTATAAGTGGGACAGTTTCTGACGACTCTCGACTCAGACCCCCAAGTGGATCTCTCAGATCTATCATCTTCGATTCCGGCTGCCAGTGTATAGTCTTTTGCATGATTTTTAGTGATGCGTCGCCGGGCGCCATTCTTTGGGTAGAATATGTAATGCAATGCAGGTGTATGCGATACAGAACCACGTGAGCCCTTTAGAGCACGAAGAAGCGTGCAGGCTGGGCTACTCATGGAATGTTTCCGATGATGGCATCCTACGGCTTGGCTTCCGCGCCGCCTGCACCCTCCTTCATACCCGCCTCCAACCCTTGCAACGTCCTGAACAAAGCCCCGCCTCCAGCCTGACTCAATACGCCAACCAAGCTCCTTCCTTGGCCTTCTAGCATGCCCACCACTTGAGCTCTCAACGTGTCCAATTCCGGGACCTTGGTCAAAGCTTGAATTTGTGCCGCTGGCAAGACTCGATTTCCATCCGCCAATCCGACTAAAAGGTTGAGGGCAGGTACTTTCTTCGTGGCGGATGACTCTGCTTGTTTAGACACATCCCTCATGACTTTATTGACTGCTCCGAGGACTTTTCCAAGATACGCAGGCGAGATGGTCGGACAGACGAGGAATGCCCGTTGGCCTTGACACCAAGGAGCGAGAGATGCTTCTCTAGGTCTGGCACGGTGAATGGCGCCGAGGACACCTGATCGGACCATGAAGAATTTGGCTCGAAGATCGACGTTTGGCGTCGTGCTAGCTTTCTTCGTCGCGTCCTCTGCCCCGCTCTCCATATCGGCCGCTTTGGCCGCTTTTGATTTTCGTTTCCTCTTCTTCTTTTGGCCTGCCTCCGCAGATGCGTCGGAAGATGAAGAGGAAAGTGAAGGCGATGAGGCTGAGGCAGACTTCACCACCGGTTCGAAAGGAGTTTTGGGCGCTGGGATCTTTCCGATGGCAGATTTGATCGAGTCAAACACCTTGGATGAGCAATTGTCATATTCGAAGAGGAGAGTAAGAGCTGTCGTATCGGTCAAATGGGTGTAATAATTGTATTGAAAGGTCTTTCGTTCGGGAAACTTGTCACCTTTGCGTCGATCGTTCTTCTTCTTGGGAAGAGCTGCGCGGCTTTGCCATGGGTCGGAAGATGAGGAGGAAGAGGAAGCAGACGAGGAAGATGCAGCAGGGATAGCGGGGGAAGGGAGGGAGCTTGAGAATAACCGAACAGATGAAGAGAATACAGATCGTGTGGAGGAGAAAGTTGTCGACCTGATTGCCAACAGACGTGATGGATTGAGTGGCATTGCGTTCAGATTAATTGGTATGCTCGAGACTGGATGCCAGAGGGGTTCACGTTGAAATTGAACTGAAGGTGCAGCATTTCGATGTACAATTGGGCCATCTAAGGCAAATTCCGTGTGACGTGGTAATTTCACGGACTACATTATCAACTCGCCTGCGCCAGCGCGCGTATGGCAGACAGGTCTCGATCATTGATTCATTCATCCGTTCATCGTTCACTACCGCTTGTACAGGCTAACGGCTCTAAAAACCCTTTGAACTGGACAGTTGGCTCACAGACGTTCGCATCGATCACCATGGACGTTGATGGTCCGAAAGCATCGTCATCGACGAACCCACTGCTTTACCTGGAGCAGCAAGAGGCAGCTTCTCCAGCTCAACTGAAATCCTGGTGGACAAAGATCAGGACGTCGTATGAGAAGAAGTGAGCGGGGAACGTGAGGGCATCTGTGGCCATTGCTGAATCTTTCCGAAGGCTATGGCACAATCTCACCGTCGTCTTGACACAATTTGTATTCTTGCCCGAGACTGGGCCGTATCAGATCGACCTGTTCGACAAGTGGGTTGAGGGAGCTGCTTCAGTCGAGTCTCAGCTGACACGATGTAGGTTTATTACCACCATCGAATCCAAGATCAACGCTTTGAGATTGGTAGAGATCGCCAGACGGGTCGGAAGGGAGTACACAGGTGAGCGCGCGCAATCTTACGCAACTCTAGATTCACTCTTGCTGACTACGCACAGAACCCGAACTCACCCTTAAATTCCTTGAATCCCTCCATTCTCGCCTCACTACACCTTATCCCGTACCAGCTACGGCCGATTCACCAGGTACACCCGTCCCACCTCGTCCTATCCCCGAAGCATACGCTCTGTCCCTTTCTTCCATCGCTTATGCTCAACTCCTCCTTGGTGACTTGCCAGCATGCAAGAAATCCCTGGATGAAGTCGAGACTTTGTTATCGGAGCAAGACACTGTTGAGCCTGTCGTGTATGCCGGATACTATGGAGTCGCTGGTGACTATTTCAAAGTGAAAGCGGATTACGGGCCGTACTACAAGAATGCGCTGTTGTACTTGGCTTGCGTGGACACAGAGACAGAATTGACGGAGGAGGATCGGAGAGCGAGAGCGCACGATTTGTGCATTGCAGCATTGTTAGGAGACACGATCTACAATTTTGGAGAGCTCGTGAGTACTCCTCGTCGTTTTGAGTCGATGACTCTCTCTCTAATTGCATCCCCTGTCCAGCTCCAACACCCCATTCTCCAGTCACTCGCCGGGACACCTAACGAATGGATCAAGGACCTCATCAGCGCATTCAACAATGGCGAGATTGGTAAATTTGAAAGTCTCGCCAATCACTTTAGCTCAGAACCCATCCTCGAGTCATCCCTCAACTTTTTACGCCAGAAGATCTGTCTGATGGCGCTCATCCAAGCTGCGTTTGCGAGACCGAAAGATGGTTCAAGCAAGTTGATGACGTTTCAATCCATCGCTGAGGCTACACGTTTGCCGGTCAACGAGGTGGAGCATCTGATCATGAAGGCGTTCAGGTGGGTCGTCATGGCGATGCTACATGATCATGGCTTTGACGGCTGACACTTGTGCTAGTCTCCATCTCATTCGCGGCTCTCTTGATCAAGTTTCATCAACCGCCGATATTACTTGGGTACAACCTCGAGTCCTCGAAGGAGGACAGCTGGATCTCCTGGCGGAACAATTCGATGCTTGGAGAAATGGTGTCGGCGAGACTTGGCAAGAGGTCAATATGAGGTATCAAGAAGCCAGGGCGGCCGTTACCGCAGCGTAGGCAGAGTAAAAGTGAATGGGAGTAGTATGGCATGGTGGTCACTGTCTACTGCGCAGAATGTACATTCGTCCTTGCTCGCATGCATAGGATTGATAGAAGGTCATTTCTAGTCGTTACAATAGAGTACAATGGCGTCTCTGCGCGATGTCGCAGAGGTCTCTCTCTCTCTCTCTTTTTGACCCCTCTTCTACCATCCTCTACCCCGACCCCGACCTCTCGACCGATACGGATGATACCCCCTTCCTCCTCTACCACGACCACGACCACGTCCGCGGGAGTTTGTCATGTTCATGCCGGGGACGTTTGTCCGTTTCTCTTTGACCTTCATGGGGGATCAGTTACTGGACGGGCTAAGAATGAGGGGGGCGTGTTGTACTCACAGATAATAATCTCCCTCTGAACATGCTTTGATCCAAGACCAGCGCATTCTGGACAAAAGACGGTTCTGCAAATTCGACATAGGCGTAACTGTGTGTGAGTCGCGTGAGCTAGTCTCAAGAGAAAGAGAGAGGATTATGAACAAGCTCACCCTTTTGGATGTCCAGTAAATTTATCGCAGAGAATAGTGACCCGATTGATGGTTCCACAAGCTTGAAAATGAGCTTGTATTTCTTCAGGCGTAGCTCCGTAGTCGACCTATCACAAACAAGGTCAGACGATCATCATCATGATGACGACTACAGCGCCAAAGGCAGCAGCGCCCGTCCACTCAAACTCACATTTCCAATGTACACGCTCCTCGCGTCGACCGTCGAAGTCTCCTCCTCCTCCATAGCTTCGTCACCCGCTCCTTCTTCCCCTAATCCAGAAGCATCTTTCGAACCATTGGCTTCTGCTCCAGTCTTACCCGCCGCCATCTGCAAGCAAGAGCCCAGATCAACACAAGTCGTGCACCGTCAAGACGGATTCGAAGACCAACCTTGTCTTTAGCTTCCTCCATTTCTGCTAAACGAGCTTGCATCTGGCGGAGCTCCTAGTTATCACGAGCATCAGCACACACACTTCAAAAGACCTATAGGCACCGAAGCTACCACTCACTTCGTCGACATTGGCATCATCGTCTACTATTTGTGGCTCTTGTTCACGTTGCTCAGCCATGATGGGGGATTAAGTGTGTAAACTGGCAGTCCCCGAATTCGATCGTTTCAGATGTCCCTTAGATTCCTGATTGACGCCGCAAGATACTGACTGTTATAGACGTTGAAATCACGACAGGGGACCGACAGGGAGATCAGGACTGCAATTCAAAATATAAAACGTATAGACAGACAACCACAGACGAGGTGAGTGATTTTTTGCCTCGAGTACCTCAGCCGCCACACTCGGAAATTCTCGGAGTTATCGATGACTCCGCTCCCCCCCTGCATCCTCTGGTGCAATGGGGGGGGGGGGGTTGCAAGCAGGGACGACGCTTTAGGAGAGGATACTTCGAACCCATCCATTCCTTCTTTCCTGTAGGTGCTATTCACCGGTGCCGCCGCCTCCTCTGGAGCCACTGCTGACTTCTCTGCTAAGTCTCCTCCATCATGGCCGCCCGTAACGCTGCCGCTGCCGTAGTGAGTCACTTTTACCAATTACCCTCAAAGCTACATGTACATCTGCTAAATGCTCACCTACGTTGTTAGGACTGGGCTACAATCTACGGTCGTCTCGGACTCGGCAGGGAGACAGTCGCCTCCTTGCAAGCTTTTAGAGCTCGAAACACCTCTGCAGCCAACAGAAATGCCGCTTTGAAATCCACCATTCCAGAGATCGATATTTCTCACTACAAGAATGTTTTGAGGGATCAACAGGTTGTCGGGCAGTTGGAAAAGGTCTTGAACGACTTCAAGCCTGTGACTTACGACGTCGCCAAGTGGGATCAACTCGTTAACCAATTCGAGACCAAGGCAGTGAGTGAAGACTCACATCTTGATCTTTGTACAATTATGTCCTTTCAATTGACACTTCCTTTCAGGTCGACGCCGCTAAGCAGACTTTGGCCAAGATCCAGACCGAAGAGAAGGGCTTGAACGAGACATTGTCTAACATTAAGGACGCTAGATCATTCGACGAACTCACCGTGAGGCGACTCGGCATGTTGCAAGATTGAGATTTACTGATCGTATTCAGATTCACGATGTTGCTCATGCTAGACCAGAAGTCCAAAAGACCGTTGACAACATGGTCAAGAAGGGCAAGTGGGGCGTGCCAGGATACAGGGTGAGTGATTTCAAAGAGATCAGCGCGTGCGCCTTGTCCTGATGCACGACGCAGGAGTCGTTTGGAGAAATGTCCGTTTTGTAAACGGTTCACTTCCGCATGCAAAATCATACAGACTCCGTTGCGACTCACTCACTAATCAGGTCGATGCTGGAGAACTCAGCGTAACGTGCGAGCGCCTGTTGGCCCAAATGCAGAAGTGCATTCAACCTGGCGTACGGACATGACTATATGGGTTTGCGCGAAGATCTTTGTGAGACGCCCCCTTCCTTTGACAAGCATTATCGGATCAATGTTTCTTCTGGGCGAGGTGTCTCTCCGAGACACTTATTTTGTCCAGTCCTTTGTCACTAATGACTTCTGTGGTCTTCCCTGCGAGTCGCACCGTTTGGGCAATATATTGGCCGCTGCTTCATTAGCTTCCCCAACAGCACATCCCTACCATTCTAAGATCCGAGAAATCTTCGCAGAATAGTCATGTCCCAAAGAGAGAACATCAACTTGGTCGAAGCAGAGGCGCGGAAGCAGCTCACGGACCTCTCGACGGGTGTCTTTGAGAGCTTGTGCCAGAGACTTGAAACATGTGCTGAACAATCCGATGGACATAAAGCTTCGGCTCAAAATCTCTGCGACAGCTTCAAGGCATGGATGACTTACCCAGCCGCAAGGGCAGTGACATTCTACTATGATCAATACACCGGACCTCTTGATGACAGCTGCGATTTTCAAATCCGTGTCACGCCTAGCGAGGATTTTCATGGATCCGAGTCTCGACTGGTGTCACTGGAAGTCTGGAAGAACACCGACGATGCTGACAATACTGAAGGTCGGACGCTCTTCAACATGCCAATCTTAGCCACGAATGACTGGCAAGGAGGATGGCAATTCAAGGTCGACGGTAGGAAAGTGGGATGGATCACTAGCAAAGTTAGTAGCTCTGCCGGAGCGTGAGCCAGAACATCGATCGAAGCGGTTGGGTATCGTAGATAGTCGGGTCCGATAGCCTTGATCCACTGCGCCGTGGAGCGAATGAGAGCGCAGAGTATGTAAACCTATCATTTCAGGCTTCGGTGTCCCCTTCGAGCCCAGTGGCTGGAGCACCACAATGTGGCGGAATACTGTCGAATCGCCACACCATGTCATCTCGGATGCACCGTCAGGTTTATGGTTGGCAGCGTTGGCAACCGTTCCCAGTACTTACGACATCCTGTATATACACTCCTCCAGGGAGCGACATACAGGATCGACATTCCGATGGAAGGGAGGTCCCAAAGAGGCTGCAGGTCTGGAGAATAATCTGCTGTTCGAATGTGTTTTGGGTTGAATGGGTCCTTCACCACCAAGTCGTCCCTTGCATTTCACCATCCCCTTCTTCCCCCTGCCTATTAGAAACATCCCACTTCTCCACCCTCGTGCGCATGCACCTGACATCCCACGTCGGCGGAGCGTGTGGAGCACAGCTGAGAAACGCTTTGAGATGATGGCATCCTTTGTTTTCCCCAAGTCCCTCTGACTGGGTACTGCCCTTGTCCAGTTGCTGCCTCCTTTCGTTCGTTTCCTCCGCTGACGCCAGTCCACCTTACTGCTGTTGTGCCGCAGTTCTAATATCTCACCAACATATCCTACTGACGCTCCTACTTCAAGATGCTTTTCCTCGAATTTCTACCTACCATCACATCTGTCAGGACGGCCAAGTCACAGCGGCGGTCTTTGGAGGCAGTAGTGAGGAGAAGACTGAAAGATATCGCAACCGAATGGACAGAATCTTTGCAAGACAGCGTGCAAGCCATCAATGATGAGTCTGAGGATTATCAAGCCTCGATAGCGAGCCTGAAACTCAGTTTCAACGCATGGATGACTTATCCTGCCGTCAGACAGTTGGCAGACTACTGCACAGACCACGCTGGTACTTGGGACGGAAAATCTGACATCCAAATCACCGGTCAGCCATCTGAAGAGATCGAAGCCTCCGAATGTCATGCATATACCCTGACGATGAGTGTGACAAGTCGCCGAGGCGACACTGAGCATGTCCTCCATCTACCAGTCACGATGGAGGATCAGCCAGACAGTGGTTGGCGATTCAAGATTGACAAGGACAAGGTGAAATGTGAGTCCAAAATCGAGACGATGGATGGCGACATTCGCGGAACCAGTACAGCGAGTTTTGAGTAGTACGCTCATCGAATGTGGCACATGCGCACGACATTCGCGTGCATAGGCGATGCAACTCTACTGCCCTTACTCTGAGCATGCAGTCACCTGCGCTCGTAACGATGCTTTGATAAGGTCGAGCGCACCATTGACGTCAGGTTGGTCATCTCTCCTCTATCACACGCCCACTGAGGCGTGAAGACTCCCGCTTCTTGTCTCAGAGACGGAGCGAAAAGGCAACAAAAGAGATGGCTTCCCTCTTCCCTTCGAAAAGCATGTACGATAGGAAATGATGCGTACAAATGTGATTGTCTTCCCACGTTGCGCGACAATCTTGAGCACAAGAGGAGCGTGGGACAAGTCAACAGGATGCATGAGACACTCCGTACCGTGACGACCTTCGGTCTTCTGACACTGCTTACGACAGGAGTCATCTGTAACGGGTTTGAGGAGTGTGAACGGTTTTTAACTGGTCTACACCTCCTTTGCATCACCAGCCATTAGTCCAAACTCCGGTTTGGCTCTCGATCAGCAAGGTGCTCAACGTATGTATTAATCAGCGCGTCTTCTCAGTTCGCTGCATCAACCATATGACAAACATGTCACAATTTCATGGCAGTCCCCAGTAGGTAGAGTTCTCGCTGTCATATTGGGAAACTCTGACTTCTCCTACCTCTCAGACTACCTCCCCAAGAATTCAGCACACTCAAATCAAGGGTTGAGTCCCTGCTTCGGTCAGCAGCCGACACTATTGAAACCTCTACTGAGCAGCCTCTGATTGCAGAAGGAGGACTGGATGCGGAGTCGATTCGGAGCCTCATCTGGAGTCTGGGATCCTGGACCAGATCCAGAGACATCCCAACCCGCTTCTGCCTGGAATACCAGAGTCACGGCGGAACCCTGATTGGCAATCCTAGTATCAAGCTGAGCTGGGTCTGGGACCAGCCACGCGAATCACCTGGATCATCGTTGCTGCGCTTTGGCCTTGGAGTTGAGAGTGACTACAATGAGTTTTTGCGCGTCTTGTCCGTGCCAGTGAACGGCATGCAGGACAGAGCCGGCTGGGAATTTCGGATACCCCACAAGGACGATTTCGACCAAGACCGAAGTGATCAAGATGAAGAAGGAAAGAGGGTGGGATGGGTCTACTTTCCTCGTGGTACCTCGTTTACACAGGCGATGGAAGCTTTCCGGACAGGGAATAGCAGTGGTAATGGTGGTCTTGGTGGCAGGTCTGAAGGTGGCACGAATCCTGATTGACGCTGAGACCTGAAGAGGCTGCTTGATTGGGCGAGCACCAAGCGAGTCTATAGCTTTGTAGAGGCAAGTCTGCATGCTTTGTCGAGTTTTCGATCTCCCATCTATGGTTGGATGAGTTGGACACCGATTGAGGGTTCGGCAGATGATACAGAAATAGGTTGACGGGGGAGTACATGGTGAATAATGAGCATGACCACCATCAGGCCAGTTTGGGCATCCCAAGTCGCCAGCTGGCCCAACTTCCTCTCATAGTCTCGACATCACATACTGATTTGACTTCGCCGACCATGTTCCAGCCGTCTGCGAGCCGGATCGATCTGTTACGAGGGACGGATAAGAGCTCTATCCAGGCCGCGGACGGTCTTGGCAAGGTCTGGAGAACAATAAGCACCATGTCCATAAGCATGGACCTTCGACCGATCCAGGATGGTATATAGAGGTACTGCAGGTCTGGCGAGATTCCGCATTTCTTTCCCTGTAACTGTAACATGATCCCAGCCCCATGGTCATATATGTTCCTCCCTGGTCTCGAAGTTCTTTCTCTGAACGCTGTTGCTGATTTTTGAGCCACGGATGACGGCTTGAGAGGAGTTTTCCACTTTATTCGACCTTTTTCCTCAAGCCATAGCATTTCAGAACATAGGCTATCGCTGTGAACGCTGATTGTGTAGGCGGGATCCAGGACGGTGATGTATCACGGGTCCGAGCGAGTGTTGCGTAAAAGGTGGCGACGGCGGCAGGTGAGTGTGAGAAGAACAGCTCGAACCTCAGAAGCATTTCCAGCTGGAGCCTGATGGCTTGACTTTCGGCGGCGGGAGCCCTGGGTCGAGCGATCTCGGAAAGGTCAAGGTTCAGTCTTGCGCAGTCTCTGGTGTGCCTATAAGGCACGTGGAGGGACGAGTGGAGCAAGTAGTCAGCAACGCGAGCCTGAAAGCGGGTAACCGTGGAGTAGATGGCCCTGCGGCCTCTGAAGCCAGTGACCCAACTCTCAGCTATCTCAGAGCTCAAGGTATTTGTTCTTGCCCCGTTCACAGCACGGCGACAGAGACGTCAGTGAAGCACAAGACTCGCAAGGCTCCGTTTTTCGCTCCATTCACCTGTCACTGTGGGGCTGCCACGCCTTTGCGAGAAAGGAGATGTTCTGTGTATGTGTGGTCTTGAAACAATTTCGAGGCTATATCCTTTCACGACCGATGAGAGAAAGCAGCATCGTCTCTTGGCGTGTCTGAGTATTCTGTCCAGCTCCAGTATATAAATGCGTGGTGGACAAAGCTGTGGTCTCACCCCAACATCCTCTCGGCGTAACATTTGAACACCAATTCTCCATTGAAGTCAGCCTCAGCCTCATACAGCACACCACGGCGCACATGAAGGATTCGACCATCGCCAGTTCGGTCGTATGTCCTACCGCCCCCCTCACCTCCTCCTCTGTAGCTGGAGGGATCAGTACCCAGGATAGCACCGGCCAGGCGGACTGCTCGTCGGTGCCAAGTACTGAGGAGATCTCCAATAGCAATGAGGCCATCAAAACCGATCTCAGGGCATTTTTCGCAGAGGAAATGGTTGAAACCAGCTCAGAGCCATGCAATGTCGCGTGAATGATACTGCCAGAGGACGCCATGGCTTTCAAAGGATTCCAGAAGCCCTCACTGAAAGTATCCTAGCAAGCTTGAGTGCGGGTTCGGCGCTGGATGTCCTCGCGCAGCGTTTTGAAAGCAGGGCATACGATGAAAATTACGTCGTCTCTAATTTGCTAGGTATCGGCGATACTGAAGTAACATGCTTTAGCATGGAGGGCACAGATGAAGATGACATCCCGTGTGGAAATGAAGACACCGGTGACCCTTCTGACGACTACAGGAAGATCTCGTTGCGCCTACTATTCACGAATCCGCATGACGAGCTTTCGGCAGACTGCTACCTACTTGCGCAAAGGAAGGGGGACGATCAGTGGGACATAGAGTTGTACGGGTTTGGAGAAGCGTAGGAGTTACGTGACGATAGATCGGCCGAGTCGATAGATGTAGCAGCCTGCCTGGACACCTTCTAATGCTGGGTGGTTAACCCGCCACAAAGGTGCGCCCGCCACACTCCAGAGCTTGCCGCAGGATTCGTTTGACTGAGCGACCGAGCGGTGCCAGAATGCATTCGCTCCCAGCATGACGAGGGGAAAGGTCAACCGTCAGACAGGGCTGAGTGATGATCAACTGTATAGCTTGTTGAGTCGACCGTCCGCTGTCAGCGATATCAATACAATCTCGACGTTCCTCTCCTCCCCATGTCATGACCTACCTCTGGAAGATTCCGTTGACACGGTTTTCGTCCTTTTAGGAAGCTCTGTGCTGCCTCTGTTCGCAGCCGTCGCGCAAAGTATCCTTACAAGACACGGCAAGACCACACTGGTGATATCTGGAGGTCGCGGTCACTCGACGCAATATCTCTATGATGCTGTTGCCGGTCATCCCGTGTATCACACTTTAGCGGACAAGATCCAAGGTCTATCGGAAGCTGAGGTCATCCAGACTTTGCTCTTGGGGTTCTGGCCAGACTTACGCTTGAAGCTAGAATCTGATCAGCTCAGACTGATGATCGAGGACAGGAGTACGAATTGCGGTTCCAACGCGATGGAGACGAAGCGAGTCTTGCAGGAAGCTGGAATCTCACCCGAGCGGATTCACATCATCCAAGACCCTACCATGCACCGACGGACTTTGCTCTGCTTCATGAAGGCCTACGGCATCGATCCTACGACAGCCAAAAATCAGAGGCCAGATCTGCGTGGTTGGACTTTCGAGCCGACGATCGCGGCATCGGTAACCGGTGTGCCAAGGTGGGACATACAAATGAATAGGCTGGGGGGAATTGAGCGGCATGATCTATGGAACTATGCTCGATTCTTCAGTCTGATCATGGGCGAGATCCCTCGACTGAGGGACGATGGCGATGGCTATGGTCCTAGAGGAGCTGGATTCATCCCGCATGAGGATATTCCCCATGATGTGGAAAGTGCTTGGAGAAGACTGAACGATGAGATAGCGGCCATAGAGCCTTGAAAGGTCTTTCGGCTCGTTCATCGATTCAGTCGCATCGAAGAGCACAGCCCATAATCAAGCCCGACAGATAAACTCGGCCCACAAACGTCCTGGAGCTTGCGGAAGATGAGTCTAGTCTGGTCTGCATTCTCAAAAGCTTCCCAGCAAATGTCAACAGAACATTAAAGCTGTCGGATGCTCTGCTCCATTCACGCCCATGGTGACGCCGGGACGGACGGCTCGCATTGCGAAGTAGTCATGACAGCTACCCTTACAGCATGCCGCATTTATCAAGATAGAATGTGATGCATTTGGTCTTTTTACAGGATTTTGGGTGGAGGGCCATTGCCATTGAACATTGCTCTAAAACAGGCCAGGTCCATGCCCCCGCCTGCGGCGGTATATGCGCAGCCTAGTTGCCTTTGTATCCCTGCTTCTTGGCCATTTTCCTCATCTCTCGCTTCTTCTCCAGCTCCTCCAGCTTCTTGAGCTCCTTCTCGCTCAACTGCTCCCTAGCGGCCTTCTTCTTTGCGAGTTTCTTCTCTTCAGCGGTCATCTCTGGGTTGTCCTCCGCCTGTTCCTTGTTGTAGGCCTTGGTGAGGTCACCATCAACGTTGCCTCGGGTGGATGAGAGCTTTTTGGCGATCTGGCGGGCGATCAGCTGGTTTCAACACTGACAAGTGTGCTCACATCAGATCGGGTAGGTCCCTTGCCCAAAAGATCAGCGACGTTGAAAGCGACTTGTAGCCAGGCGTTGACAGCAGCGTAGTCATCGGCAGAAGAGGGTTTTCGGAATGACAGGACGATCTCTCGTGCCTTAAATTTGGCAGCAAGAGCTTTAGTGGGACGCTTGGCAGGCTGGTCGGTGATCTGAACGGATATGGATGTCAGCTGGCGATGCTTGACACCTAGGGACATGTTACTCACCAAGAAGAACTTGAGGACCTTGGTCGCTGCTGGGTTGGCGAGCAGCTCGGCGAGACCGACATTGGGCGTCTTGAAGAGGATCTCAGAGATTTCAGAATGCTCCGAGAAGAGTTGAAAATTCTTGGGAACCGAAGCGTGCTCATGGAGTTTAGGGAAGGACTGATATAATCAGCTACAGGGAGAATCGGGGCAACTTACGAGATCCCATCGATCAGCGCGAATTTGTCTAATGCTGCCCTTGTCTACAACAGCCCAGACTCCAAGTCCGTCACCTTGAAGTCCAGTCTCTCCACGACCGAGGGTCAGATTCCAGGAGAGCGATTCGCTTCCATCAAAAGTCGGCTCGATAATCATCTTGACGAGTCGGACGATGAGTCCAAAGAGATCGTGGAAGGGATAAAGCATGAGGGTTCCGTGGAGGGAGATGATGTTTCGACGACCGGTAGCATACTGCAAGTGTTGGCCTGGACCGGAATGGACAAGCTTGTAAAAGCTGGAGAAATTGCTCTTGAGGAGCGGTTTGAATCGGTCGAACCTGAGTGCCTGGGTCAGGGTTACGGTCGGAGGAGGAGGAGTCCAGGAACTTGAGGGGCAGTGATGGACTCACGTTTTTGTTGCTCTCGAGTATGACAAGTAGCCGACAGCGTAGAACCACAAGAGGTACGCTCCCAGAACAGACACGACTATGGCTTCTCGTTTGAACAAGGCTGGCCTGAAGACAAACATCTTCCATTTGTACTCCAAACCGTCGTAGGTCCCAGCAACCGGTGCCATAGGCGGGTTGAGGGAGTTGAGGATCTGAACCCAATTGGACATGTTGGGCAGAGCTCACTCGTTGAGCTGGATGCTATGTACAATGCCGAACACAAGAGTTGATCAAAGACTTGATTTATTGGGTCAGGGAGGAGATCCATAGAAGCGGAAAGAAGGAAAAGCCGGAAATGGGAGATCACAACACAGAAGTGGAGCTCCAAGTGTGGCACTTTGGGTCTATCAGCCTGAATTAAGCCCGGGTGATGCTGATCAAGAAGAGGCAGCGGGATACAGAGCATGGCGGGGGCATGCATAGAGAGAGACACAGTTCAGACAAGAGATTTAGAGCCCAGTCGACACTGAGAGCTTTTGACAGACAGTCCAAAAGAATACATTATTCTATCTTCCATCGGCTTCTTGCATAGCTGCCAGGATACTATCCATAGTCCCAGCTTCGGCCATTTGTCTGGCCAGATCCTCCTTACTCTTGCGGTCTTTAGACTTGGATCTGGTCGATCCATCGTCCGGGGATGAGACTCGAGACCCAAGCGGCACAGAGGAAGGTGATGGAAGGCCAGCAGTGGCTAAGCGAGGTGGAGCGTTGTCAGTGGAAGATGGGTGAGATGGACCGATATCGGTTTTCGTAGAGGGAGCAGCAGAGGCAGTATTCTGAACAGATCGCGGTGGCTCCACTTGATCGAGTTCGCCAGCGAGCGCCTCTAGATCTCCGTCCGACATGCCTTTCATGAGTTCGTCCAGTTCAGCCTGAGTCACTGAATCGCTCTTGTTCATGGAGGATTCGTCTATGGCGAGATCTTTGTCCTGCTTGAGAAATTCGCGAAGATTCCCGCACTCGACGGCTTCTTCGAACTCTTCCATGGTCTAAATTGTCTATATCAGCGTGATTCCTCGCTCGGGCTACAAATATCGCATGGACACAACTCCGTCCGGCGTGTGCTGCGGCTCGACCGACTCACCCCCATCCATTCGCCGCCGACAAGGTACCCAGGAAGGCCTATTGGCTTGCCAGCGGGTTTTGCGCGTTGCCATCGCGTCTTGGCAGCTTCATCCATGACCAAGTCAAATGCCTACAAATAGTTGTGTCGTGAATGAGTCATGACCGCGTTGAAAGGCTAGCTGCTCACTTCATAGGGGATTTTGTTGCCCTTGAGGGCACTGTAGAAATGTTAGCAGAATTGCTCTCGAATCGGAGGGCGTGCAACATACCGATGCAGCAAATCTGTATGGGATCGCACAGTTGGATGTGATGTCAAAGATGTAATCTGTTCGAGGGAGTCGGCATCAGATATTCAACACGATATGCAGAGCGTTCCTGTGCTCACGTAGATCGTCACGGGAGGCGGCGGCATCTCTGTCGAACCTCCACTGCCAACATGGGCCCAACGGAGATGTTCGAAGTAAGAGGGAGCAAGATATATGTAGGAGATACAATTGTATCATATCCGGAGTGAATCCAACTCCGGCACCAAATTTGAAACCTTCTCCGAGTCACGGTCACGCCTACTCCTTTCGTGCTGGTGGACGTACAGCGACGGCAATCTACGGCATGACAATGGCAGGAGATGCCAGAGCGAGAACCCCCTCTCAAGATAGCACGCCATCCGCTGATGCATAGAGTGGTAGTGAATTTATTCTGTAGGTTGCATGGTCGTTGAATGCCTCAGATCGAAGTGCATATACAGCGCCTCTCATCCCCACTGAGCAGTCTCGCTCTGCCTCGATCCACTTATCTGGGTATGTAGCTACACTCCATGTCCGTTCTCGTAGGCTCAGCAGGAAGGGCGCAATAGAAGCCTGGGGAGGCGACAAGGACAAAATGAAGTTCCAAAGTCATTTGTATGGGATACGTGTTGACAAGAAGAAGTATCATCATGGCAATAGATGAAAAAGGAGCAAAACGCTGTCAGCCTCAAGCGATGGCCGTTTGTAGAGCTGTTACTCACCCATCGACTGCATGCTCTTGAATAGCGCGGCGCTGTGCATGGCGAGCTAGGCAGGGTCAGCCGATCAAGTCTCGCGGTTGAGGTGACATCAACTTCAAGATGTCGGCAGTAGAGGTGAAGGCGTTGAGTTGCCCTCTGAATAGCAGATTACACTCACCTTGATGCAGCTCAGTCCACCTTCAGGCTCAACACGGCATAGCTCGCAGGATGGCTCCTCTCGGTTCAATCGAGAATCGAAAGTGTACCTAGCTCACAGCATCAGTGCTAAATTCAGTAGAGGTGGTCCATTCGGGAGGGAAGGGTCATATCCAGTCTCCCTGATGGAGCCGACAGTGCAAACGATCGGCGACGACTTGAAGAGGGATGTGTTCTACGGTCTTCTGACTTACCTGGCAGCAGGTGCTTCCTGTTACAAAGTCGTCAGCTTGTCGGCAACCGATCAAAGGATGAATTCTCATCCATTGAGCTGCCTCACCCGTACAAAGCCTACCACCCGCTCGTGCTGCTTCTGAGGCGGCCGATTGATAGCCAGGTCGGACTCAGGAACCGGGATGGAGGACGAGGGGGTCGAGTTTGACGAGGGGGTGGATGAAGACGAATCGAAGAAGCTCATCGTGACGCAGACTGGGCGCTGGTTTGTTCACGGTATATGCGATTGTTGATATTGGTCTACGACGATACAGAACGGGGTCCTCGGAGTCGCTGGATAGCCAGGCAAAGAGCAGGAACATTGACATAGCTGTCGCCGCGAAACAATGACGTTCGGCAAACCGAGAACTGGGTCACGTGATACGTATTTCGTACAGATGCAGGCAAGTATCTCGCCTGAATTGGTAACCAGCTGCGTACAATGCGCCTGCATCAGGTGCGGAAATGGCCAAGATGTCGCTCTGCATGCCCGTGCTTCATCATGTCCCTCGTCGACTGACATCTGAGGCACATGGGATCATTGAGCTGGTATTCGCGATCGTCGAACAGGCCGGTACTGCCACCCATCCCCAACATCAGCTTCTGTGTTCCAACTGAGGTGCATGGATGATACAGAAGCCGACCGTCGCGGTCACTCAGCTGCCTCTAGCATACCTGGCTAGTACTGAGAATGCTAACTATCTCATGTTCCTTTGCGCCGACAAATACGGGGACCTTTAAGTAATCGTCGCGCCGCCCCGTGTGCGACAACACCGCCTCACGCTTTGCGGCAGAGGAAGTCAAGGGTCTCAACAAGCTGAGACGCTCTCGTTATGCCTTACTACATTCGCACTGTTATGATTTGTCCTATTGCTTCAGTTCCATCGGGCCGAATTGGCCTGCAATACTGTATTCATAGGCCCCTCCCTTATCGTCCCTTCTACAGTCGCCGGAGGAGACTGCTCTTGAAAGTGTCTCTATGTCTAAGTGGCAGCTGCAGAGCGGGGAAAAGTCCTTAGACCATTCCCCAAGCGAGTCAAGGATCAAAACAGTGTTTCGATGAATTTGTCAGGCCAGGGCTGTGACAAATGACAGGCTCCTGGAGCAGTCAAACGCTTTGGAACACCTCAAGCGTTCTCCAGTCCAATTGTATCCTCCTCATCTCATTCCGTCGAGATTACCGCTGGCTTCATACGCAGTCCTGAGAATGCTTATCCAATTAATGTTCCGTTGGATCCGTTGGAAGGATGTGCCACACCTCAGCATGCCACATGGATTGATCATCACTTTTTTCGATCGTTCCGATTTTACCGGCAAATGAGTACTTATAGCACACCACAAAGAGGGGGGGTTGCGTTGCTGTGCGCGCCCCCTTCACCCCACACTGATCACCTCACATTCACATCTCATTCCAACCACACATCCTGACTCGCCCATCATGTACGTCCATCGCCGACGTGCTAGCTATACCAAGCTCGTGTCGCTGACTTTCACTTTGCTCCAGGTCCGACTCCAAGCCCGTCATTGCCGTTGCTATTTACACCACCTACGGTCACATCAAGAAGTTGGCCGATGCCCTGATCAAGGGTATTGAGTCTACCGGTGCGACCGTTAAGCCTTTCGTCTTGTGAGTTGTGAAACCCGCCTGTGGCGGTGCGCATAGGTGGTCTGCGACGCGGTTGAGCCTGGTCATGGTGATCTGAGACTGACCTGGTCTCCCAGCGAGGAGACTCTCTCCGCCGAGGTCTTGGAGAAGATGCACGCTGGCCCCAAGCCAGACTGGCCAGTTATCACCCCTGATGACTTGAAATCCGTCGATGGATTCGTTATCGGAGCCCCTACCCGGTCAGTCACTTGAGGCTTCCGCGGGAATTCGTACTGACTTCCCGCCTGGCATCTAGATACGGACGAGTTCCCGCTCAGGTCTCCACCTTCTTTGACAAGACTGGAGGCCTTTGGGCCTCTGGGGCTTTGGTCGGCATGCCCGTCACTCAGTTCACCTCTACCGGAAGTCAACACGGAGGATCCGAGGTGAGTACCTTCTTCCATTATATCTTGGCTCTTCAAACGAGGCGAGGATTGACATCTTCCCAGGCAACCGTTCTTACGACCATGCCGTACTACATCCACCAAGGTATGATCTTCGTTCCTCCCGGTTACCAGGACTCTGGTCTCCACAACCACTCCGAAGTTCACGGAGGTTCCCCTTACGGAACTTCAACCATTGCCTCCGGAGATGGACACCTCCAACCCACTTCGGTCGACCTCGGCGCTGCCGAGACCCAGGGCAAAGTGAGTATCGAGGTCACTTGGCCGGTTTGTGTTCTCGCTAATGCCGCTGTAGTACTTTGCCAATGTCACTGCCGCCCTCAAGAAGGGTCGGCAGTAGATGGACTGGGTCTCCGATCCTCTCTTAGCTAGATCCGCTTAGAGAATCACCACAGCATTATATCTTCAGAAGTACAGCCGAGCACGATGCATTTTATGTGCGTAAAGACGCCACAAGGCGGTCGCAGCAGTGAGATAGGGGGTGCTGGGTTTCAAATGTAGCTTTCAACGCGCAGCATGTCAACATGATCCTGGTGGCTCGAATTGTCACCCTCCCACACTTCTGCAAGTAGAGCCTAGCGGTAGTACCGTCACCGGGATCACGTTCTCACTGGTGACTTATTATGCCCCTCTCCCAAGGAAAAACCCCGTCTATGCTGGACAAGAAGTCGACAAAACTACTGCATGCAACGACACCCCGATCAGACCTTCCCGAATAGGGGTCGATTTTCCAGCAGAACCATCCACTAGGTAAGAGTCAATCTCGGTCGCTCTGCCCTCAGCTACGCGGCCAAAGATCAGGCACCTGGAGAGACCGGGCATCCGGTGGCCAAAGACGCGACTGAGCAAATTTTCGGGGGTGAAGCTATGCCAGATCAAACGTGCGTGCCTCAGCGAAGGTTCCTTCAGTGACGCAAGTCAGAGGGTCATCATCTGAGCCGGTTCATTTGCATGAGAAATCCACTGCGACCAGGAGCCACAGACCTTTGTCGCGCGGTACTATCGTTTCTGTGAGAAGCGGGACATGTTGACCTCCCAGTTTCTGGATTCGGGCTGCGTAGTGCGTAGCTGGCTCCGCCATGAGGCAGCGCGATGGTGGTGGCTGCTTGCATTGGAAGGCTGTGAGGCTGGTTCAGGCAAGAAAATTTTTGGGCCCTTCGGACGATCAACTTTTTTTAATCTACGGTCCGAAGCGTCGCTTCATCCGCTCAGAACTGGTAAATCCCGAATGCATCTCCGCCTATGACCAAGCAGCAAACGCTGTTCTTAATGCGACAAGGTAGGTCGCCTGGCTCGGTATGTTGTGAGCAGCTACCTGCCCTTGGCCACAGTATGTATAATGTATCCCGTTTGCCTACTTCAGGCGACCAACTTGATCTCTTTCCCGCCAGTCTCATCTCCAATCTCCCCTGCCAACGTTCGGAACTTGACGCGCATTTGCAAGTGCCTTACGACGCACGTTTAACCTTGACACACATGCTGCTCCGCAGATGCCTAAATATAGATCGCGCTTGCTATTCTGACTATCTGATATGGCAATAGCTTGGCTTTGGACATTGAGAGTGTGATAGAAAAAAATTATCGGCTGACTCCAGACAAAACTGTGACGATAAATACAAAGGTCGTGCTCCAGCAGACAGTGGAGACTTCTTCAGGAGTTCGCAGATCATTCAAGAACATCACTGAAAATGAGCCAAGCACGCCCAAACCTCTCGTCTCACGGAAGTGATGAGGATCCTCAGTCCAAGTCTCTCGAAGCTGTCGACTACAAGTCATCCCCATATGATACTGGAGCTGAGCCAGAGCTCGAAGCGGGTCAAGCGCCTTTGGGCAAAGTCACAGGTGAGGCGAGAGCCGCAGCACGAGCGAGAGAAGCTAATACGTCTATGTGTAGCCAAAGCGTCTGACTATTTCACGCTGATGGCCAGTGGTTTCGCGCTTGTTTCCGACGGTTATCAGGTGGGCATCAGCGATCATCGGGTGGAAGTACAGCTTTTGACTTTTGTCTCTATCACAGAACAACTTGCCTACCATTTTCAACCCTATCTTCGTGAGTCATGCACTGTCTGGTCATGCGAGTGTTCTGACCCTTGTATCATAGACTAAGCTCTACGGGAAGGAGATCTACAATTCCATCGTCTCCACTCGAGTCAGTAACGCTCTCTTGATCGGAGGTGAGCGGCTCTGTCGAAATATCAAAATCTCAGCAGTGTGGCATGGCTAATGGCGGATCAGAAATCATCGGTCAACTCGTTGTTGGTCTGATATGCGATCGTGTCGGTCGTAAGACCGCCATGGTCGGCACGACCCTAATGATTGTCATTGGAGGTATCCTAGCTACTGCAGCTTCCGGATCAAGTGGGTATTCATGCTGGGGCGGTCAGTCTCCTAACCTGATTTTCAATTCCAGCTCCTGCCGGCATGTTTTGGATGTTGTGAGTCGCTTCTCGACCACTACAGGTCATCCTGTTGACGCTCTTGCCTTAGAACCGTAGCTAGAGGCACCGTGGGCGTCGGCGTGGGCGGAGAGTACCCTGCATGCTCCACGTCTGCTTCAGAAGCTGCCAACGAGAAGTTTGGAAGAGATCGTGGCAAGGTGTTCATCCTCCTCACCAAGTTAGTCACCACCAAGTCACCAGCAACGACCTCCTGGGTTGGCTTACTGACCTCGCCTCTTAGCCTCATGTTGTCTATTGGAGGACCTATCGTCATCTCTCTCTTCTTGCTCATCATCAATGGAGCTCACTACAAGGGCACGAACGATGCTTCCGACACTCACAAGCTCCAATACACATGGCGAATCTTGATGGGCATTGGTATTATCATTCCACTCAGTGTCTTCTACTTCCGGTGGGTCTTGCGCTGCATGTCACGGAGGGAGATGCTGAGTGGGGCTTCAGACTGAAGATGATGAATTCGAAGCTCTACAGACGTAATGCTCTGAAGAAGAGCACCCCCGTTGCAATCTACGGCTTGGTCCTTAAGCGTTACTGGAAGACTTTGATCGGAACTGCTGGAACCTGGTTCTTGTGAGTGGGCTGGAGAAAAAACAAGAACACTGTACCTCGCTGACCACTATCCCCAGGTACGACTTTGTTACCTTCCCCAACGGAGTGCGTGGCCTCTCACCCCTTTCCGAGGACCCCACTGACTTGCCCTAGATCTTCTCCTCCACCATCATTGCCGAAGTCATTCCTGGCGCCGGACTTGTCAGGACTCTCGAATGGAACTTGTTGTTCTCCATCTTGTCCCTGCCTGGAGTCTTCATCGGTGCCTTCATTGTCAAGTACACCGGTCGACGAAACCTCCTCATCATGGGTTTCTCGTGAGTGACCACGCCGACGCATGCTCTCGCAAACGATTGACATTTCGATCCAGTGGATACCTCATTTTCGGTCTAATTGTCGGACTGGCTTTCGACAAGATCATCAAGATTCACGTCCTCTTCATCATTCTTTACGCTTTCATGCAGTCTAGCGGAAACCTTGGACCAGGAAATATGGAGGTGAGCAGATAAGTCGTCCTTTACCACGCCTCACGGGACTGACCACAATGGTCAGGGAACCATTTCTTCCGAATCCTACCCCACCAGCATTCGAGGAACGTGTTACGGAATCAGTGCTGCCCTTGGAAAGACCGGAGCCGCCATCGGTACTCAAACTTTCAGACCGATCCAAGCCTCCCTCGGAAAGAAATACACCTTCATCATTGCTGCGTGCTGCGGAGTTGTCGGTGTCCTGCTCGCGTTCTTCTTCGTTGAGGACAAGGGCAAGGATAGGTTAGAGAAAGAGGACGAGGCGTGGAGACAATACCTCGTGGAGCATGGTTACGGAGACTTGCACATGGGTGATGGAAGTGCTGCTGATAGGTCCGCTGCAGACAACAGGGAGCAGGAGAAGCTGGAGTTCTAGGCCGTAGGTCTTGATAGGGCAGACGAGGATGCATGACGTTTCTGGGCTCATCACGGAGTGACTTGGCTGCGGAAGGTCAACCCCCGAATCTCTTCAGGCCTCTTCGTAGATCCCAAGGATACCGGTAGTCCGAACGACACGATCTCAGTTGACTGTCTATGGATGAATGCAATACACTCGATGGACTAGCTCGCCCTCCTACGTAATACCAGCATGGCTTCCTTCTTGTGATGGGCCACGTCTGACCTTCAGGGTTCAGCCCTGGCCAGGGAGTGACGCTTTGCGAAAGGCTACGTTGATACGCCACTTTGGGTCGAGAGAGGCCGCCACACGCACGTGTCACCAGACCGACGTGTTTCAACCTAAAAAAAATACGAAGCTGAACCCAGATCTACGAGGGTACTCCTTAGATATCTGTCGAACCATTCATCATTGTCTCCTGAGATACTTTTCATACTTCCTGTGTCTACAGCTCATTGCTTTGTCGCCATTGTTGTGGCTGCCAAGAGCACTAGATGGACGGGCAACGTTGATCTCTTGATATTGGACGTCGATCCGGTTGCCAAGCGAAGCAATCTCAATCCTCAGCTACACGACGCGGTTGCCACTTTGGACTCGCATTCGACTGCTGTCAATTCATCGTCAGAATGGGTTACATCCCAGATGACATGAGCCTGCCAACCAGCGCTATCATGCCAGTATCCATCTATACCTGCCTATGCGCTGCGTACTGCATCTTCGCTCCCTTCTTCAGCACAACACGCAAGAGAGCATACATTTTGTCAGTGATATCCTCGAGCATAATGAGCTCCGTCTCATTGCCCTATGTCTACCTCTATCTCCGATATGGTCTTCATGGAGCATACAAAATGTCACAGAATGGCTGGCTGGAGGAGCTCGGTAGATTTGCAACTGCATTCTTTGGCACTTATCTCTTCGGTGAGCATTTCCCCGCTTGCGTGAGAACTTCACCTGAACTTTGGTCCGCAGCGGATTTAACACTCGGCTACCTAATGTACAAGTCTGAGATTGGTTTATTGACTGGATGGGTTCATCATACAGTGTATATCGGCCTTATGATATACCTGAACATGGTCTCAGAGTCTCCCGTATTTCTCATCGCGGGAATAATGGAGGTGAGTGGTCTTTCAGCTCATGCAGGCGGGATCTGATGGTACTTGTGACCAGGTACCTACACTAGATCTCGGCCTCTCAAATCTGTTTCCCCAGGTTCGGAACGACGTGAGGTTCCTGTCATCTTTCTTCATCATCCGGATAGTGTTCAATCTTTACTTTGCCCTGGACTGCGCTCGGCCATCATCCCGAGTAATCTTCGACAATGCCTGGATGCCGACCGTCATGCTGTCTCTTGCTCTTTGCCTACATGTCATGTGGTTCAAGGGAGGAATTGTCGGTTACTTGAAACGACAATCAAAAACCAGCAAATCGGGATCGACTTCAGCCGTGTCGGAAATCATGGAGAATCCTGGCCTTTCGATCCCGGCTACAGACTCGTGTCCCGAGTCACCAGAAGATTCACCACTCATCACTCCGCATACTATTCCTCTTACTCCGAGTGCCAGTGCTACAAGCCAAAAGGACAACTCGTTCTTCCCCAACCTATCTTCACTACCGAATCTCGCCAACATCCCACATCTTGGGCAATTGCCCACAGTGTCCATTCCCAACTTGCCGACGCTGGCTGAGCTCACTACAGCGCTCAACAACCACCGCGAGCATATGAATTTTGGCTTCAAGGATGCAGTCAAGAGTAGAATAGGCGAGCAGAGGGAACGATTCGCAGGTTTGACTGCCAATCGCGGTATCAACCTCAATCTGGGAGGAGCCCTGGGAAATATGGGCCTGCGAGGCCGACCAGGGTCCAAGGGCATATCACAGAGGGAATATGAGGCTGGTCAGGGGATTGAAGTGGTTGGGGTCGACGATCTTCTGGGTCATTGATGGGTTCAGATGTTTCAGGCTCTTTTTGAGGTTTAACCATTGTATTTTCACAGTTGTTCATTTAATGAGCTTGTATACCTGCATTCAACATGCATCACGATGTCTCTTTGGAGGTCTGTCGGCCTGCATCTCGTGCTGCTCCCCTAGTGGATACTGTACTTATATGTGTCTTGAACACCTTTCATCCTTTATGCTCGTCGCTCAAAACGCGGATCTCGCGACCTTAGCCGAATCGCGCATGCTGCGCGGAAGACTTTGGTTTCGATCCTTTTTCCAACAAATACACCTGTCCCAGCGTCTGCAATAGCGTTAACGACTATGGCGTGGAGGTCATTGGCCTTCCTACTCGTCTGTAGCGTACTTCGAGGTGCGACTAGTCTTGCTCATTAGCGACTGACTTCCTCAGCCGTTCGCGCTCATGAACATCACCATGATTTGTCAGAAATAGACCTGACGATAGGTTTCGACTGGATGATATGGACGCATGTGAGACTGCCTAGATCTCTCTGTGAATGTGGCTTCTCTGCTCATACTATCGCTCAGATGGTGATTCAAGCCTTTGTCTGGGGTATCTCTTTTCCACTTGGCATGGTCCTTGGCATGACCAAGTAGGCGTAGCCTCGTTTCGGAGGATAAGGGCTGAGCTGATCTTGCTCGACAGGTCCAAGTACCATGTCCCACTACAGAGTACGAACGTCGTTCTCGTATTCATCGCCATGTGGATGGGACATCATCATGGAGGCAGAGAGTTCCCAGCAACCGTGAGCTACATCTCTGTAGTACAAGAAAGCGATGCTGAAGTGCTCCAGGTCCACGGAATCATGGCAAAGATCATCTGGTGGATCATGATACTCGTGAGCTAGCCAGGTGCTATGATGGTATAGTGCTGGCTGACAGTCACATAGCAAGCGTCAATGGGCATCTTCCTCAAGTTTCATGTCATGGAGAAGACTGTCCGACGATACGTCGTTCCGGTCCATGGCGTGCTGGGCAAAAGCTTCCCAGTGCTCGGATGGACTCGTGAGACGACCCCCAGGTCTCTCCGTGAGAGGCCTCTCGCTGATATCCAATCGCTCAGAAATGGTCTTTGGAGCCGCGACGGCTCTCAACTTCTGCCGAGGTGGCGAGCTGGGCCAATGCGCCGCTCACTATATCATGGGCTCTGCTTTCATCGGATATGCTGTGATACTCGTGATCATGCTGCAATTGGGTGGGCGTTGGCTGGCAAAGGTAGGATGCAGTCAAGAGATGCTAGACAGTTCGGTCATTACAGCTTGGGTGAGGATCCGTTATTTATCGAGGGATTCCCACTGATTGTCCTTGATTCTCAGGGTATCGTCAATGCTTTCACTGAGCACCATGGTGGTCCATGGACGCATAAAGATATGCAACATACCATGTTGGGCGTCTTGTGGTGGGCAGGTGGAATGCTAGGGATCTTTCTGAGCAGAGGAGGCAAACGGTCCTTCGTTCCAGCAGTGATGTCGGTCACATTTTTTGCCATCAGTTGATAAGAACTGACTGAACAAAGCATCATCATGACTGGATGGGGTATGAGTGCTCACGAGCAAGCGCTCATGATCTCTTCCAAGGTGAGTAGTCTGTACTTTGTCGATCCGCCTGACCTGTGTGACTTAGATTCACGGACTTTTCGGGTATGCCCTCATTGCAGCGGGTGTATTGCGAATAGTCGAAGTATGCTTTGTCCTGAATGATGGACCGACCCCACCTGGAATCGTCAGAGTCTTCCAGCAGCTCCCGCCCTATGTGAGCCCGCTGGGACTAAAATGCCAGACCAAGATTGACACGCCTTTACCAGCTTCTCGTGCTCGGTGGTGTGCTATTCATGTCCGCCACAGACGAGGAGATGCACCACGCTGACAAGTGAGTTGATCTACCCTGTCGTCAAACTTTCCTTCAGCTGAACTTTTGTCAGTCTCGGCATTGATCATGTCTCGTATGCACTCTTCGTGAGTTGATGCCATGCCCTCATGATGCCGCATGAAAACAAATCACTGATTCTTCCATCCCTAGGACTTCTCCCTGTCGTTCCTGATCTACCTCGTCATCACCTTCATGGTGCACATGTATCAAACAACAGGACAGAATGCGCTCTCCGCCGAGGAAGCGGCAAATCACCCAGAGGGTCAAGAATCAGGCTATGCGAAGCTTCGACAACGCAATGTGTCACAGGACGATGGCCCTGATGGTCCAGAGGCATACGAACTGGCTGAGCAGGATGATCCGGTAGTTTTCGAATCTGTCAGAGGCGGTCAAGTAAACGGACATCCACCAGAGATGGACGAAAGGGACGAAGTCGATTGGCTACATAAGGATACGCGGAATGAAAATCGTGTGAGATTGTAGAACAAACGAGCCCACAGTGTGACCATTCTTTGTTGTTGCTAGTCATCATTCATGCATCGATATCCACTATTCCTGACACGGACGTTCGGCAACGTTACGACCACAACTGACACTGCTCGTCTTTCGGAGGGTTCATAAACGATCCACTCTTGCAACCGAAAGCTTTATGGAATTCTGCAGAGTTTCGCAAGGTACCCAGGGCTCGCCAGATATTGGGCGAGTGGGGATCCGACCTAACACGCTGGACAGCAGTGGCAGGCCGAATGACGTCGGCCCAAACTCGTCCAAATGCAATGAAGAAGAGTTGTTCGTCCGTGAAGTCTAGTCCTGGGAGTTTTTGAGTGTCTTCAGACTTTGTTGCGACGCTCTTCTTCCAAGCAGCAAAGGCTTGTGAGAGACCAGCGTCTCCAATATCTGTGCCAGATCAGCGCAGATTCCTCCATCCACCTTTAAACCTTGACTTACTCTCGCCATTTGTGAGCTGTCCTATAAGTCAGCGCGGTCCCTTCCGAGTGAAAAGCCACTCACGTTTCCATTGACGTAGACCTTATTGCCCTCAGCATCGAGGATATAGTATTTGCTGTACTGTCTTGCCAGACATTGAGCCCTTTCATTGAAAGCGTCGACCGTCTCTTTGGTCCACCAATCCCTCAATCGACCTGCGAGAGTTAGCACAGTCGATTGTCTCACTCACCTCGCTCATCATACTGGGCGCCAGTGTTATCGAATGCGTGTCCCAACTCGTGCGCAGCGACGGCTCCAAAGGCGCCGTATTTCATGTGAGGTGGGAAAGTCTTTGAGTAGAAAGGGGGCTGGAGAATACCTGCGGGAAAGGTGATCTCGCTGTCCGGGGGAGCTACGGACAGTCAGATGACGCAACCCACAGGTAGCTCACAGTAGTATGCGTTGACCGTCTGGGGCGACATGATCCATGTACCGTTATCTCTTCGTCTGCCTAAGGTCTGCCATGTCCTGGATTGCTGGAGTAATTGGGCAGATAGATAGGTGCCGAAAAAGTCCTCATCCTGCACGTTGAGTTGTCGATACCAGTTGGCAAGACTCTGTGGGTTCACAACATCCGGCGTCGTTGCGTACCCGATTCGAGGTTGGATCGACTTAGCCTTGAGCTGAGCTGCCTTGGCAGACTCTTTATCCATCCACGGCACATCTGGGATGTGATCATGGAAGGTCTGAATGATCGCTGATGACTGCTCAGCTCCGATGAGTGTTCACAAAAGCTCACAATCGATGATGTTTTGAGCATCCTCCCTCGCGTCAGGTCCAAAGGCTTTGGCGACATACTCTGCGCCTGCAATATATCCGACAATACTATCAACCTGTCGCAAGCAGAATTCTTGTCGGATCTCCTTGGTTCCCTTCTTCAAGCCCGATAAGGCCTCTTTCAGCCGCCTTGTGGCTGTCCAGACGCCCGTGTCATAGCCCAAAGCCGGGGCATATTCGAGTGCGAGACGGAGGACAAAGTATCCCGATAGCACATCGTCAGACACGTCATCCACCAAACGGGTCACTGATTCGAGATAAGGAGGATAGGTCACAGTGATATTGACAGGGAAGGAGCGGATAGCAAAGGTAGACAGGTACGCGGGGATATCCAAGAAGGGCAGAGCTTTGCCCACTTTCTCAGTGGAGTAAGGGTTGTATGCGTATTTCGGGTTGTAAAGTTTCTCGACGTCGGCTCCAGCTCGCATGAGCTCGCGTTCGAAGGAGACAACCTTCGCCGCCAACCGGTCCATTCGCTCTTCCAATGGCTCGGAAGAAGGCGGCGACCCTCCCCGTCCAGGTCGACCACCATCATCGGGCTCGTCGCCCTTCCCTGGCCAAGGCCAAGGCCATCCCTCTTCGCCTTTGAGCGCGATTGCTTCAATAAGATGCTCGGTTAGATCGCGTTTCGACGATTGGTGGGTGTGAGAGGCAACGTCGATCAAGATGTCCTTGACAACAGTGTGATAGAGATCCATGATGGCCTTTTCCTCATAGTACTCCTTTGTCGGCAGACCTCCAGAAGCTTGGTAAAGACCCAGACTTTGCATTTGTGGGTCATCCCCACCGGAGTCGCCTTCGATCTGGAACTCTACCAACCCAGAAGCCCCTATCACGATGTGAGTATCTGACCCACGCCAGGATGCTCTAGTTCAGCAGCTCACCCCTTGAGTTGAGCCAAGCGAGCGTTTTGGTGATCTTTGCTCGACGCTCTGCGTCGACCGGGATCTTACTGTCCTCAGATGGCAACTCGGCGGGATGGTCATGGTGAAGAATACGAGCAGTGCCAAGATGCTTGGCCAGCTCATGTCTCTCCAGTCTTTCAAGCAGATGATCGGGGACCACATAGTCCTCACGCCACTCCCCGCGCCATTCTTCCGCAGGGTTGAAGAGTTCGGCGTCATCACTGGAAGATGTGTCAAAGGGTCCACTCATATCTAAAATCTTGTCCGTAAGACTGATTAAGGGGCCGATGCCGACTTCGCTTAGTTTGTCCTGTCGAGATTGTCAGGCGAGGGCCCGATCGCGTATCGAGGAAGAAGGACCAACTCACCAGATCCATGCAGCTCTCGTAAGCTGATTTCAACTTGTGGAGGTTCTGCTGATGCACATCGGCAGAGTCTTGGAGCTTGCTCGGGATAGCGCTGATGATCTCTGTCAAGATTTTCTACGAGAGCATCAGCATCGGGGAGAGGAGATTCAGCGATTGCGGTCTCAGACTTGCCTTATTGTTCTCGTCCACTTCCATGAAGGTGCCGATGAGAGCCTTATCATCAGGAAGCGTGTGGGAGGCTTTCCATCCACCAGCTGAGACGCGTCAGACCGACTCGTATCGGGAATTTAGCAGTCCGCTCACTGGCAAATTCAACAAAGTTCTCGCAAGGGTCCGCGCTCGTGTTCAATGATTGCAGAATGGTAGATGAGAGCATGATGCATTCGGCTGACAGGCAGACACCCTGAGAAGATTAGCCGTTCTCCGACAAAATCAGGCGAAATCTTACGGTGGAGGGCGTCCCGGTTGGACTGGGAGCATGTCCGCTAGTTGCCGTGATATGAGCCGTCGTCGTGATGGTGACAACCTCTCCAGGGCCGCCACTGCCCGGACGGTTCTTGAGAGCAGATTCGGCACCGGCAAAGAGACCGACAAAGGTTGCCGTCAGGATCAGCAGGAGAACAGATCCCGCAGCAAGAATCTTCTCGAGGTTCGTCAAGGGCCTTGCGGGATGCAATAGGGCTGAGAAGAAAGAGTCGTTTCGTCTTCGGTCATCATCGAGGAGAGGAGCGGTCTCTGGGAAAGTAACCCGGTCAATTTCAGTACGTCCTTGAACAAGACTATCATCTCACCCTCATCGGTCGAGGCCCTTGGATTGGGCATATTGCTGCTCGCCAATTGCTCGTCTCTGCGAGAGAGAAGAGAGAGAAGTGATCGAAGCGCTGATGTTAGACGAGAGTGGGGATCTTTGGGCTATTACGCGGATCAGCGCGATGGGCTGCGGTGACGGGTGTGTGTCTGTGTCTGCTCACGTGGCTTTAGAGTTTTCGGCGACTGCCGCTCGGGTGATCGCCGATAACAGTTCGGGACTGATTTTTTTTTTGTGTGTTTCAATGTCTTTCTTCTTGTTCTGAATCCCATTCACGTTCCCCTTGGTGTGATCGGTGTGATGACAGATCGTCCTCGGGATGGGCGCACAAGGGTGCCTTCCGATACATGAACGAGATCGCCATGTTGGACCGATGACGAGCTGGTTCCGCTTGCTAATTGCGCTGATCGGTCCCATTCAGCTCTCCCCTCACTCGGCCTTCACTTCTGCGCAAAACTGGTTCTTCGATGCTCCGCGCAGTGCAATGGTCACATGCATGACCATGATAGGTGATCTTCCAGAGACATCTTGGACTTGGCACTTTGGTGCTCACCATGATACTTTAATTGTTCATCTTTGGCATTTCTTCCTCTTCATCCCTCTTGTCGATCTATTCCAATTCAAATCAACTCCTCATTGTCTCTCGCCATTGTTTCCAAACGGACATCCCTAGAGCCAAAAAAATGTCTATGACAACTACCACTCAGTCTATCAAGGAGATGAAGGAAGCGCAGGCGTCGACTGTCGCAGGGACCGCCCGGCCCACGTTCCCCTCCCCTCGATCCATGATGAGATCTTTCGAGGTCTTCGACGGGGAGCTCAGCAAGGGACGTAAACGACCCATTGCCAGGCGTACGGAGTCTGACATGCTCATTTTCGCCCGAGAGCCATGGTGGGTCCCGGATCACGCGAGGTTCACCAATAAGCCTATCAAGGTCGGCAATGAAGATCAAAGTGGCGATGATGGGGATAGTGGACACTTTACGTGTGAAGCAAAAGCAGTAGACGAGAAGGAAGAGGAAGGTGGGGCCGAAGAGGAAAGTTCCACCCAGGCTCGACAGTGTAAGTATCGCTTTCGTCTGACGAGACATAGGCTGACGATGAGCCGACAGACTCGTACGAGTCATTGTCTTCCGCCTACACTCCATCGCTCGTCGAAGATTCGACGGACGTCCCCTCTCAGCCTTCTTGGGCTGACTTTTCAGACCTTTCCTTGGGATCCGAATCGGGCCGCGAGTGTCACAAGGATGAGAAGGGCCTTGGTGGTGAAGAACAGGAAGATGATGATGCGATGGTTGTTGAAGAAGACTTTGGTGAGGTCGACCAGGGTGCCGATGCCGGTAAGTGATTTGTGGCGTGATTGCTCTAATCTGACTCTCTCTCAGCCGAGGAAGTCTCTCAAGAGGACCAAAAGGTGAAGCCCTGGAGTCCAGAAAGGATGGCGGACCTGCACCAATTCATGGCGTACAGACAAAGGCTCGCCGCTAGGAGAAAGACGAGACAAGCTTCAAACGAGAGCAAATAAGCCTCGGTTGGATCTGAGAGGGACTTCGTACAATGCTGCCTTTTTGGGATCATGTGCCATGTATATTTCCAGTGTAGCTTCTTCAGCGGTCTGAAAAGTAGAGTTTTGTCTAATCACGATAACATAATGCATTTGACTCTGCTTGAATCTTTTCACTCGGCCACGAAGCAAACTCCGACGGCCGTTTACATGTACTTGTTCGACTTGAGCCACTGCGGAACACGTCAGTCTCGCCTCGGGCGTACGGCGGGAGACTTACCTCCTCGACATCGGTGGCATCCCGCTTGAGCCACTGAGTAGCCGCTTGGATACTGTCCAAAGTTTGAGAAACGGCAAGGTTGAACGCAGAGGTGTCTGCGGAACGTGTTCAACTTGGCGGAATTCTAATGAAAATCAAGCTCACCCTTGTCCTTGAAGAAAGCCTCGACATCCTGGTAGTCCTTCTCGGACGCCAGGTAGCTGAACGAGCCCTTGACGACTGCAACAAGTCAGCGAAGGCAGGATAAACACATTTCGTAGCACTTACGGTAAGTCATTCCGTAAGTCTCGCCAAAGTCTTTGAAGAGCTGCAGGACATCAGCAGTGCCCCTTGGGTTAGAGCACGACGGTACCCACTTTGTCGTAGTTCTTCTTGTACCAGTCACCGGTGCGTCTTCTGGCGAATTCGTTGCTTCCAAGGCCAATCTACAATCATTTTCAGCACTACATCCCACAGGTGTCGCTAGGACCCACCACAAAGATGTAAACATCTTGCAATTTGACCTCTCCATCGTCCAACAGCTTGAAAGTCCTCTCGAGCAGCTCGTCCTTTCGAGCAGTGCACAGAGAGTACATCGCGTCGACCTTGGTACTGGGGTTAGGAGGGTCGTGGTAGACGCTCAAGACCTTCTCCCATTCTTCGCTTCCTCCGAACTGAATGGCAGTGCTGAAGACGTTTCGTTGAATGTCTGGAGGGATTCTGGAGTCATCTCCGGTCTTCATGAAGTGATCGAATCGGCTTCGAAGCTCCTTGACGACTTCTTCCTCCTCGGCAGCGGCAGCAGCATTGATGACGCAGGCTCGAAGTTCCTTGACATCGGGAGCGTCTCCTTCCTTGTTGTCGTAGCCCAACTTCTGGACCATGGGTCGGAACACATCGGCTCGAAGTTTCATGATGGCATTTCGAACGTTCTCAGGCTGTTCCCACCACACCTGACCGAGTTTGGCGAGAGCACCGCTGATTTGAGACCAAACGAGGAATTCGTTCTCAGAAGGAGCAATCTCTGAAATGAGCGAGAGAGATCCACTGGTCTTGCCGTAACCAGCTCGAGCAAGGGTCGCCGCGTCCGAAACGAGACCGACTCGGTCCTCAACAGTGAAAGATTTGGCCTGCTTTCCAAGCTTGGCAAGTCTCTCTGGAGAATAGTTGACTCGGTAGACTCCGATGGTGTCGGCGTTGAGCTTGAAATCCTCGGCGGATCCAACGTCATATGTCGTAGATCGCTCGTGCATGATCGCCTTGTGGTCGACGCTGGACTTGCCTCCGGAGAGGGTCTTGACTTCGAGTGGGACCCACCAAAGAGTCTCATCCTCCTCAGGCTTGGCATCGCCGGTGGAGAGGAATCGGTTTTGAGTCAGCTTGAGCTTGCCATCGCCCTGTTCCTCGACATTGATGATGGGGAAGCCGACCTTGAGGGTCCAGTTGGCCATGATCTTGGCAACGTCGAGTCCAGACGACTCGGAGATACCATCCCAGAGATCCTTGGTGGTGGCGTTGGAATAGAGATGCTTCTTTAGGTAAATGGAGACTCCCTTGAGGAATTTGTCCTCGCCGACAACACCAGACAACATCCGAAGGACGGAAGCTCCCTTGGAGTAACTGATGGCATCGAAGATCTGGTTGATCTTGCCGGCATCGGGGCAGTCGACCTCGATGGCGTGACTGGATCGCTGGGAGTCAAGATTCAAAGCTCGGGTCAAGTGCGTGTCAAGGAAGCTCTGACGAGGCTTCCATTCGGGCCAGATTCGGTCAGGGATGACGAGCTCTCCCATGATGGTGGCAAAGGCTTCGTTGAGCCAGAGGTTGTCCCACCATTTCATGGTGACAATGTCACCGAACCACATGTGAGCCAATTCGTGGCATTGAACGTCGGCGACACGTTTTCGGGCGGCCAAACTACTCTTTTCAGGGTCGATAAGGTAAGCAGTGGTTCGTCCAGTAATCAAGCCCCAGTTCTCCATGGCACCGGCGTCAAAGTCGTGGGCAACGAGAGTGTCCAATTTGGGAAGAGCGTAAGGAATGTCAAAGATCTCTTCGTAGACTGGCAGAGCCCACTTCTTGACGTCAAGACCGAATTGAGCTTGCTTGATAAGGTTGGGAGTAGCAAAGATTCGAAGAGGTACCGTCTTTCCGGTCTTCTTGCTGTGATGCTCGCTGGAGAGCGAGGCAAAGACACCACAGGCGTAGGCGACGAGGTAGGAACTGATGAGGGGAGTGGTCTCGAACTTGGTGACTTTCCATTCGCCACCGGCTCCTTGCTCAGTCTTACCCTCGGATTGCTTCGAGGATGCGTCGAGAAGGGATCCAATCTGGTAGGAGGATGAGAGTGCCGATTCGACGTTGGCGTTGCGAGCGGGTTGCCAAGCCTTTGACTCAACCTCGGGCATGTTGCTGAGAACCGTCTCGTGTTCACGAGCAATCATGGAGATGGTGTACTTGGACTTGAGGAGGGGCTCGTCCCAGCAGCTGAGCAGTAGTGAGCAATGACTGCTTTGATTGACAACTCACGGAAAGGCTTTCCTAGCGGCGGTGGGCTCGAACTGGGTCAAGGCGTACCTGGCCGATATTCAGCGCCAACTCCATTCTGCCGCTGTTAAAGCTCACTTTGGCTTTTCTCCGGTCTTCTCATCCTTGTCGCCTTCACTGAGGTAGTATCCGACCATGTTCCCAGCAAGCACCGAGTCAAATCTGAACCAAACCTTGACATCCTTTTGTCCAGCTTTGAGGCCTCCACCGGGAAGGCTGGAGAGGTTGAGAGTTCCTCGGTCATTCTTCTCGTTATAGGTGAGGTCTGACTCGGAAAGGACGACAGAAGAGCTCGACTTCAAATCAGAGGTCGTGATGGCGGTGTGAGTGATGTTAAGGCTCTTGGACATGTTGAAGACGAGGGAAGAGGTGTCCTTCTTGACATCGAGCGTGACGATCAACTCTCCGCTGTAGGAAGGAGGGTTTGCAGCGAGGTCAGTCTTGACGACGAGCTCGTAGTGCTTATCACGCAATCAGTCATGACCACCTATGCGAATTCATCTGCGCAAGACGTACCTCGGGATAAACGTCAGTGGGCAAACGGTACTCCGGGTTGGTGTCCGCGTTGCCCGGGACGTTGGTAGCGCCTCCGGAAGACATGTTGGATGAGATGTGGCAAGCGCAAGCAAGATATCTAGGTGTAGAGTGTAGACCTCGACGTAGAGCTCGGTTGGAAGCTTGTTGTTCAACGCTCTGGACAGCAGACTGAAAGTGGGGGGAGGGGGGGAAAGAAGGAGAACAAACCCGAGATGGACGATTCCGATAGCAATAAGCGCTGGCACCGCGGTTGATTGGATGCGTTGGAGCTCACCCTATTTGACAAGACTAGACTTGAAGACTGTCTGTGACTCCTCGCAGCAGTGATGAATGATCTGGATGACTTGTATAGGCTCTGTGTTCTGAGCGTTATGCGATGGATCATAAGATCGAAACTGTTTGGCGAGAGGAGGGAGCGGGCGACAACGAAGCGCCTCGAACGGGAAACTCAGACAGACGGTCCGGAGCTTGTTAAGCGTTTCGATTGTGGCGGCGATGACCGCAGTCAGGGGGTCACGTGCTTCCCAGCCGTTTCTTACGTCAGCTTCGTCTGCTCTGCTCAAAAAAAGTTGGGTTTCGAAGGGTTCATGGATGTGCAGCAAGTGGCCTCTCATCTCATGGACCGAGCCACTATGACTTCCATAAGCTCACCGACCTCTCTGGCGACGTTCTCAAATGCTCAAGCATCATCTTCGAAGCTTCATCAAAGCCATGTAATGCTGAGCGCGGTCCATGGAGCCGCAACGCCATTTGCAGTTGCTGCTGTCCAAGGTGATGGTGTATGGACATACGATGTGAGCAGGTCCGGTAGGAGGTTTTGTGCTTGCTAATACCGGGCCACAGCTTAATACATTGCGTCCAACTGCTTCGTATACTGTGCAGCCTTCCACCATATTTGTGACTCGGCCGATCAGCTTCATGCCACCACCTAGACATCCACCAAAAGGTAAAGCGAAGGCAAAAGCACCTGTACAGGATGCAGTCGATGATCCAATGGATGCCGACAGTGGACCCACGTCCCGTACGACAGTCATAGGAATAGGGAAAGGAGATAAGATCAAGAGGTCGGAAGAGGGTCGGTTCCTGTGGATGTGGCGCAAGGAGGATGATGCAGAGAAAGAAGTGTTGCTGGTGCGTTCTACGTCTCGACTTGATCGCGTTCCACTCACAGCAACGTTGTAGCTGGACAAGCCACTCTACGACATCCATCATATCCCCTTACATCGAGCGGCTGTTCTCTGCGTACACATTGATGGATCGATGACCGTTGTCGACGCGAATCTGCAGATCAGGCCGGTCGTTCTCTCGTCGTTGCTCAACCTCAAGGGATCTCTCTTGGCGGCAGGGACGCTCGATCTGGTTGACTATACAGTCTCGGTCATTCTCGTCGGGTCGAAAGGATCGGTTTCATACATCAAACTAGAGTTGTCTGGCGGTAGAGATGTTCGCGCAACATTGATGAAGGAGATCAGCATCGGCTACGCGCTGAAGCAAGACTTGAAATCGGCCAGTGTCGACTCCAATGGGGCTGTCGTTGCTATTGGTTAGTCAAGGTTGTCGCATTGGCTCATAAATACGGGCTGACACTGCGCAGGTCACGATGACTCCATAATCTCCATACCACCGAATGCTGTGTCTCAGCCGGAGAGCCCGTATGAACTCCCCTCTTTGTTGCAACCACCTCAAACACCCATGGCTATCTGCGTGCCAACTCCTGGCCTACCGCTTGCGCTTCTAGCCGACACATCCTGTAACGTCCTCCTTGCTTCCATCTCCTCGTCACTACCAGCGGTTCTCAGCGTTTTCCACCTTTCAGACATCTCGCCTACTACGACAGCTTGTGTCTCTCACCTTGCCATTCTCGCGTCAAACCCTGGATCATTCACTCTCGGCCTCGTCCTGACGCATCGGGATAACGATGGCGGACGGAGTGTCGTTTACACCTTGGACGTGTCAATCTCAGATTCTGGTATCGGTATCAACTCGCTTCTGGGCAGCCAAGTTCAGACTCAGAAATACCTCTCTGTACCGGTCAGAGTGACGGGTTCCAAAGTCGATTCAAAGGAGATCACATCCTTGCTTGAAGAGGCGTTGCAGAGGAGAGCAGTGGACGAAGCTGAAGAGCGTTTCAGAGTTTGGATGAGCGCAAAAGAAGACGAACATAAAGCGAATGGTTCGAAGGGTCCGATGCTCACGGACGATCTTGTCCAGCGTATCGTGTCGACCATCATCACATTGGCACGGAAAGGCGATGACGAGGCCATGCCCAGTACCGAAGACACGGTAATTGAGGCGCCGGAATCGGGACCGGCTGAAAAGCCCCTGAGCGGACCATATGCTGGAGCTGTCCTTGGTGCTCTTTTGGATCGAGGCTTACTGAAGGATGAGTTTTGGTCCGGAGGCGTTCTCCAAGCTGGGCTATTGCCAGCCAGTGACTGGGTATGTCCCCGCTTGCCAAGATGCAAGGCCGCGCTCACACGATATCAGGTGAATATACGCAAGGCTATCGGTACCGTCCCAGACATTCCTTCCAGCGCGATAGTCAACGCGCTTGAACGAGCTCAGACATCACTTTCTGGCGGAGAGTCAAATATCGATGACTTTACGTTTGAGAGCCTCCTTCGAGAAGTCGTTTCGCTCCCGCCTCCTGCGCCTGGTTATCGGACAGCACTTTTCTCTTTATCACTTGAAACCTGCATGCGTCTACTAGACGCTTATGTCAACTGGCTTACTGTTCACGTCGAGTCAATGTCCTCCGCATTGGACGCCTGGATCGCAGACGATACGTCAGCTCCCTCATCTTCCGCACCCCCAGTGGAAGCTCTCATCCTGCATTCCAACCTCCTGCTCGACGCCAGACTTCAGACTCTCCTGTCCCATCCACCAGCATGGGACCTCTTGGAAAAGATGCAAGTATGCCTGAGCTCACTCATGGAGATGCAAGATGTCTATCGAAAGATCCACGCTCCCATCGAAGCAGTCTTGACGCTCGCTCGACGTGAAGCCCAGTCGAAAGCGGAAGAACAAGCTAAACGACTTCCTCCGACAATCCCCGGTCAGACTGGACACGCAAAGGGACAACAATTTGGTAAGCAGAATAGGAAGCTCAAAGTGGGCATGTCGGACGAAGTGATCGGGAAGTGGCGGGTGGAGGATCTCATATTCTAGTGTATCGTCGACTCAGCATGCAGGGACGATTGTGGATACGCACAATCGATCTTCTGTCAGTTCACGTTCTCGCCATCTGAGATGATGATTCGGATCGATGCAAGGTCGCGAGGGAGCCAAAGGATCCCCCCCCGCAGTCGTCAATCAACGCTTGGAGCTGATCCGTGTGACAAACACACTGAAACACCTCAGCGTTCTCTTCTATAACCAGGCGATCCACTACGACTTGTCAGCCGCATCTGAACCCTTCATCGACTGATCGGCGTATCGGGCTTTGGCGTACTCTGTGTGACCGTACTGTAGTTGAAAGGACGCCGACCTCAAAGGCACCCCCCCCTCTCATTACCCTTTTCAACGCTTGAGCATCGGGGATGGCAAGACATTGTAGAGCTCCTATTCACTCTCATCTCGAGTACCCTCCTTCTGGTCTACAATCCTCAATCTCTGAACCATTCTCTCCGCTACCATCTCGTCCGAGACGAATGAGGAGGAAAAGGCACCCCTATCAACCGCTCATGCGCCGTTCAACGATGACACGGCAGACATCATTCTACTCAGCTCTGACACTGTACAATTCTACATTCACGCCTACTACCTCCAAGCACACAGGTGAGTGGTCTCTAACGCTGCTTGTCTTTGCAGAGAGACTGTGAAATGCGTTACGATACAACAGCTCAGTGTTCCGGGACATGATGTCGGTGCCTCGAGGTCGAGAGTGAGAAACGAACGCACAAACGATCTCTATGGAATGCGATCGCCACGCGCTACGTGGCTTCTTGCTGCTCATGGTACAGCCAGAAGCTTTCTGGGTTCTTTGTGAGATCCTGAGTTACCATATGTGTGTGATGCAAATATTTGCTCTCGTGACCAAGTTCGACTGTCATTGCGCTCATTCAGCATTGCTTTCCGCAGTGGAAGGTGCATGCGACAAATCGCCAAGGGAAGTCTTTTGCATCGCTTCACACACCAATAACATCGAATTGGCTAGGAAAGCACTGGCGGCTTTTCCTAACCTCAAAGGCTATCGCCTCACCATAAAAATCGACCCCATTGGTATGAAAGAATCGCTTGCCGAGGGCTGCACTCTACCATACCTCCTGGCCCTCTTCCGTTGCAGGCGAAAATTCGCTGGCTCCGACCAGCGTTACACTTACGACGGTGAAAAGCGTATGGGCAAGAAATATAATTGGACTGCCATCGCCAACGCCTTTGTCCTATCTCAAGTAAGCGCGACACTCACCTCTCTCAGACCACCGAAACGGTACAGACGCACAATCAGGGAAACGACGGAGGTCTGGTGCGTGACGACGCAGGTCTGACCAGTGACGATGATTGAGGTAGAGATCAAGAGAGAACCTGCTTGAGATGCATAGCTGCACACAGGATTAAAAAGTTGAGAAAAGCCACCAATCTTCTCTCTCTAAGTTCTAGGTTACCATCCCGGATTACCAAAAAGGCAAGGAAGAACCATTGTCCATTCATCTCTACCATCCACCGCTGGGCAAGTCCACCAACCGTGTCTTCCTCTTTTCCGCCTTGAGCGTCCTTCCGCCTTTACCACCACTTGCTGCCGAAGCGGCCTTTAGAGCTTCTCCCACATGTCTATCGCAATATCGTTTCCCATCCACGTCAAAGTATTCGTCCATTGCTTCGCGGCATGATTGACCGCCTCGACTGTCTCTATGATCACAGCGTAAATGACCGGGATGGAATCGAAGGGGGTTAGAGGAGCCTTGAACCACGATACAAGGTCCTTCGATGGGCTTCTTGCAACTGGACGAGGCGCACAACGTGCCACTAGATTCTAATGTTAGCCACACATGATACTCTAAGAAAGTAGCGCATTCCACTCACGTCTCCTTGGCATAATGGTATTGACACCAGGGTCGACCAGCATGGACGTAAAAGTCTTTGCCTTCAAACGGCTTATCGCATCGGGAGCACGTGAAACACGACGCGTGCCATTTGCCCTTGAGTTGACCATCGTCTGCGGACACCATCTTTGTCTCGATGAGTTTTTGACACTTTCGACATGTCGGAAGGTACATCTTCTTCCAATCGGCTTCACAGAGCACCACTCCATCCCTCTCCACGAACTTGCGTGATCCGCCGACGGTCTCGCCACACTTTTGACAGGTCTTGGGCGTCGGACGAGACCGTGACGAGGGGACGTCGGGAGAATCTTCAGGTGGATTACGGGATTTTCCTCCTGGAGCTTTAATCGTGGAGTTGGAATTGGATTTTTGGATTTTGCTTCGATCCTTCTCACGAGATTCGCCAGAGCCCTTGCGCGCTGGCGCCACGGGATCTCGACGACGACGATCATCATCATCGTGATCGTACCCGTAACGATCTTTGGACGCTTTCTCCCTCCTTCCGCTGCCCTGCATGCGATCAGCCAAGCCTTCGAAACTGGTCGACGGAGTGACGATCTCCTCAGACTCCGGCCCTGACGCCTCGTATCGACGAGAACCGGATGAATTCGAGGATGTTTCGCTATCGCCCGGTCGATGTCTTTGATGATTCAGCTTGGATGGATGGTTGCGTTGTCGAGGCAGCTTATCGTTCTGCTTGATCTCGGGTGAATCTTCGAGCTGAGGTGTGGCCCAGGGTAGAGCCGAATCAGGCCCGTCCATGTCCTCGTAGGCATCGTCTAAGTCATACGCAGATGGCTGAGGACTGTCGACGATCTGGCGTGACCGACCATGCTGATCGGATGGCTTTCGTCCGACACCAAGCGCTCGACTTGAATCGTTAGAAGATTGCATCTGCTTATATCGGTCAAAGAAAGCACCGCCGCCACCGTTGGTTTTGGTGTTGGTCTTTGGTGTCCGCTCGTTGGCTCGAGAACGCAGGAGATTGCTGATACCGGGATCGGGCGAGCCCACGCTCGTATGAGAGGAGAGTGAACCGCTATGCTGATGTCGTGTGACCGGGACATAACCATGATTATTGTCGACTGATCGACTGATATGGGTTGTTGCCCGTGGAGGAGAGCGTGGCGTGATGGGAATGGCATGCTGCCTCTTGTCGACGGCTGAGGCGGAACGCGGAGGCACGTCGTTGCGAGGTGGGTACAGATCGGCAGGACGAGGTTCCGTACCTCCCCGCGGACGATGGGATGACTGTGAGTGAGAATTGCTACGGGGAGGCGGTTGAATGGGATGATGGTTCTGCTGCTCCCATGGAGGTCGAGAGGTTGGAATGGCACCAGCTGAGCGGGGTGCAGAGGAGACAGAAGGCGGCTGACCAGTGGGGATCGGCGCAGTCTTCGACCTGGCACCTGCCGCCATGGCTACACCCGCAGTGACTCCCCAAGCTGCCGCTTGGAAAGCTCTTCGGCCGACGCCAGCCATTCCTCCTGCTCCGCTGCTGGCCTTCGCATCACCCAAAGGGAACAATTCAGATACGCCGGCCGGTAGCGGCCTATCGTTTGGAAACGGTCCTTCAGGTCTGACACTGGCACTATTGAATCCTAGACCGAAGACTGACAAGCCTTGGTCTGGGTGCTCAGTAGCTTGAGCGGGGAAAAATGGATTGGTTGGCGAAGGGGTGTGTGGCGATGGAGAACGTGAATGCGACGAGGCGCTGTGAGGGGAGAGACGAGACGACGAGCTGGTCGAGCTGGACATTGGCGGAATCTGCAGACCCCCACCCGGTGGAGACAATGGTCCTCCATAGGCTGGTCTGACGGGTGCGCGTTCGCGTTCGCGTTCATGCCGGCGCGATGAGGATTGAGGGGTGGGGCGAGAGTGAGAATAGGAGGATGATGGGGAAGGAAGCGGGGCGTCATAATCGTCATAGTGGTGCTGAGCGTGTTGTCGAGAAGATCCACCAACAGCCCCGCTATGACCATGATTGCGCGATGCTTTGGCGGACCTCGAAGGTGGCCGACAGATGTGATCTGCCATCGCGGCTAGTGAGATAGGATCGCCACAGGAAGAGCATTTGATGGTTGGCAGGACCATGGATGCTCGTTCATGGTCTACCGGGACCGGGGGTATCAATAACCCCGGCATGATGCGAGCTCGTCGAGCGGCTCAAAGTCTCTGCGAAAGAGGTGGTGTATCAGCTGTCGTCGAGCAATGATGAGTCTGACGCGACAGACGAGAAGCACACAGAAAATGAGATGAGAGCGCTTGTGGTGGTGGGTTTTGGGTATATTACACAAAGGATCTGATGCGCAGTGCGGCAACAGACACGCCTCGTTGTTCATTGCCAAGGCGCGTGGGCTCAAAAGCACATCAACATGTTAGATTGTGACGTTGTGAGGTGAGGTGAAAAACCGAAGAACAAGCCCGACCCCAAGGTCACATGGACAGAGTAATCAAGTTGAAGACTCACATGGTGTTGTTCTGATACCGAACTGTTGATAGACAGGCTAGCAGGCTAGTATGCCCAAATACGTGGACGAAGATTGACGGTGTCGAAGGCAGGGATCCTTGGCTCGTCGTTGCGACTGTCTGCGATGTGTGTAGGGATCGCAGCTAGCTCCGACGCGATGACCTAGAGTACCGTCCAAGCAATTTCAGGTCCGCTAGAATATATCTCCGGGACAGCGAGCGAGAACCCTTGGTATGACCCCTTGGCAGTACGCTAGTGAGAGTAGTAATCGTCCCTGGAAATAATTCGAGTGATGAAAGCTGACCGTTGATGGGTCAAAGTGGTGCCGTCTCTAAAGCTCTCTTCTTCCTCAAGACTCCCTTTCTTTCCGCTCTCGTGGTCGAGCAAGGCTTTATCCTTCCAAAAAGACCCACAGATAGGGAGAAAGGTTCAAAGATGGGTCACGACCCAAGGGAGAATGAGGACAATGGAGACGGAAGGGGCGGCTGATGCACTAGTTGATCTCCGTTAGAGAAAGGTGGGCGAAAGATGATCCGGGTTATCTTCCTTTGAAAAGAGGTCCTGGCGGTGATATCGATGGAGCGCGATGCTGGCCCGTGCTGTGATGATATGTTGTGATGTAAGAAGGGGCCCCAGAGTGTGACTTGAACAGTTGGGGTTGATGTTGTTGTTGTTGATACCGATGGTGAGGGTTGAGATAATTCGTCTATTGCAATATTGTCCGTTTTGTCGTGCAACTATCCACACACTAATTGTCCATGCGAGCCCAAGCTGTAAGGTGTGGGCGGAGGACAAATGAAACCAGATCTGTGATCACTTGATGGTCGTTATACTGTATGCTGGGCGATGATGAGATGGTCCTTTCTCTCCTCGTCGCCCTTGAACAATAGAAACCACGGGAGGACAGAGTTGCGATCAAAACGTCGGAGTTGAGTTCGCACACGCCCCCTTCTTCGGCACCCTCGCTGGATGTACAAGGTCCTAGGAGTGAGCTGGCTGTAGCTGCACCTGCTCTCTCTCTCTCCCTTGGAATGCAGCAGCAGCAGCACAGTGTCGTAGTAAGTGTGACCTGACTGAGATGATCCAAACTTGACAGGTTCACAATAGCTCGATCGACCCAAAAATGGAGAAGTATACACACTACTAAAAACAGAGCAGTGGTAGTAGTGTATGAGAAAGTTGCAGCCCTGATCAATTTGGCCCTTAGATTGCTATCCGAAGCCACACCCTATGCACGCAGCAGCAGCAGCAGCAGGAGCAGCAGCCCAGCAGCCCAGCAGCCCTTGAATGAGCGGCTCAGAATAGGACCCATTCCAGGGAGCAAACGCCTGGAAAAAGAACAGGAGCCCAAAAAAAAAAATTAGACGCGTCCTGGCGTATCCCTGCTCATCCATTGATATCATGTCAAACAACAACCCATGATGATAGCTTCTAAGCGGGTCAAAAATGGGCTGCTCTCCTCTCCTCTCGGCTCTCGGCCCGCTGGCAACAGCGCAGGCCATGGATAGACTAGTGGTCACTAGGAGGATCTTGGAGCTGTGGAGCAGCAGCAAACGAAACAGAGGGCCTCTCAGATATCATTCTTGGCCATGACTCTTTCTGCCAAGTGATCTGATCACACATCATTTCGCCCCCAAGCAGGCAAAAGGCTTGCCAAGCTGGGTACGCCATTTCAATAGCACAAGTCTTGCACTCTTGCTACTCCTGTCCCACAGCATGTCCCAATGCGCGAGTCCAAGCACGCCGTCCACCACCCACCTACAATGCGGGAGGGAATTCACTCTTCCCGCTGAAGGAAAGACGCGTTGGAATTCCCGCGCGCGCGCGGGTCGACTGTGAGAGTTTGCAAAAGCTCAGAGTCGGGCGGCGGGATCAATGCTTTCCCTATGCCTTTCAGCGTTTGTTCGGACAGCCTTTGACTAGTCTACAGAAGATCTGTGCTAGTCCAAAGTCCGACTGATGGGGGGGGGGGGGGGGGGGGGGGCTTCTGTGAGTCCGCGCCGCAGCGTTGAATTGTTGACATGCCATTTACTATATCATGACGTCGAAGTGATAGCGGACTGACGGACAGGTCGTGCGGGATCTAAGGCGGTATGGCCATAAGTGAACGGTTTGGTCTAGACGTCATAGTTTCGGAGGGGCAACTCGGCTGATGTCGATCTCCACATGGTGATCTGCCGAATGACCAGACGAGCAGGGTGTTTGCGTGGTCGAATGATCTCAGACTCAACAACGCCCCCGTGAGACCACTCTTCTCGTGTCAAAGCGTCTGTCTGTATGCACCGTGCTCCCTCCCTCTCCCTCTGCTGCCTGCCTAACTAATCCGCCTGATCATCTTGCTGTACCGTATCCCAGAGCATGACCGTTCCATCCTCCCCAGCACTCATCATCTCCCCATCTCCAATCCAAGCGATATCAAATACCGTCCCTGGCGGGCCGCCTCCCCGATCAACGAGCAAGAAGGACGTATCGGAAATATCTGACGGACTCGCTCCATCCGCCGCGAGAGGTTGCAGAGTGTTATGCGCCTTAACATTGATCTCGCCCGATATTCCAGGGGGTTTAGACGACTGACGAGAGTCTCTCGGGGGATAATATGCCGGTGACGCAGTGTCTGCTGAGGCTCCAGTATTCAGGGTGCCAAGTGATGTTGTATCAGCCGTCATCATCGCTGGTGTGGTCCCATCCTGGGATGTGACACTTTGGTCCCGATCCCAAATATAGACTTTGCCGTCCTCCGACCCACTGATGATGAACGAGTCATTTGGTCCAGCAAACGAACACCGAACGAGGTTCTTTGATGTATTTTGATGTCCTGTATAGCGGTACAGATGGCGTTGCTAAACATTTGTTAGCTAGCTGACAGGTACACCTCTGCCAATCGCAAACTTACCATCCGCAGATCCCATAATCGATTCGAGTTATCTTTACTACCCGCCAGAAGATATCTTCCGGTCGAATCAAAATCTACAGATGTCACTTCGCCAAGGCAAGCCGGTATGGTAGAGGTGCAGACGCCTCCAACGGCATCCCAGAGACGAACATGGCGGTCTTTGGATCTGCAGAATCACGTAGATCAGTATCAAGTCGACTGCACATACATTGCTATTCACCCCGAGGCCAATAGATTGCCGACAGGGTCGAACGCCACGGCGAGAACACTCTGCGTGTGGCCTGAGAATGTTCTGATCTCGTGTCGTCGCTCCACGTCCCAGACTCGAAGGATACGGTCATAGCAGCCAGAGACGAGTTGCCTCTGGTTTGGGAGGTCGGTCGTTAGTTTCAGATCTCTTTTGTGTTTGTGACTCGATCTCACCTCTGTACCCGGTCTCCAATCCACGCTGTAAACATCTCCGCAATCTTCGTTCAGGGTCGCCAGGCAATCCCCTGTGGACGACCACACCCGGACTGTACCGTCCCCAGAAGCACTAGCAACGAGACGCTGGTCATCGGTCGAGCTGCCAGTCTGTGAGACTGAGCAGTCCCATATTCTCGACGTGTGCCCCGTGAGGATATGTCGCGTGTGCCCCGTGACGGTTGAGAAAATACGGAGTGTGCAGTCGCTGGGGCCGCGATGATCAGCTTGGAGCGGGAGCGCAGAAAACAAGTTGGTCGGTGATCTTACCTTGAACCGCTTACTGCCAGCCGTTCGTTGCCGCCAATGAATGCGAGGCACTTGATGTTTGCCGTGTGCCCTTTGACTCGAAGTCGAAGGTGATTCGAAATGCTTCGAATCTCAAAGTCGTGTAGCAACCTGGGACGTCATTAGGCGAAATGCGAGACGTATGAGCTAAAGGGACTTACGACCTAACGGTCCAAGGTTGTTTCCCTTTCATTCTGACGTTGGAAACTTGCCAAGCGGCAGCTTGCTTGAACAGTTCCAACAACCTTCCTCGAGGTGCTCTGATCGCTCGACCCTCTTCATCGTTCATTCCTTCTCTCGTGGACCCGCTCGATTCCACTAGATCTCTCCACATCCCTACCAATTTCTCTCGCTCAGGTGCTGGCCCTCCCCAATCTCGTAGACCAGGTGCGTCATGTACTGTCCCCGCCGATGTGAGATAGCACAAGTTGTAGAAATCATAAGGGAAAGGTTGGTAATGTTCCAGGGGTTTCAGACGTTTTTGCAAGTGACTGAAGGCTTTCTGAAATTCGCCTGTAAAGCAGCAGCACCAGCAGCAGCAGCGAGACTTCAGCGATGCTACATCCCTCAGGTGGTCGACGACCATCGACTTACGATTATCCACATGCTCCAAGAATTGCTGCCTATAACACATGTACATGAAAGCACGTTGCGTCTGAGGTCGAACGAGGCCCGGTCTCGAAATCAGCGTTTCGATAGCGGACCATTCGCCATCTGGCGTCAGAACGTGTGAGCACGCATCCGAGTATGCCTAGAAGAAGAAGAAGGGCTAGAACTCACCCAAGATAGCTCGTTCCACCTCTTCAATCTCCTCAGCTTTGGCTTTCCCCGCCGCCCCATACCCTAAGATTTCTTGGTCGAATGTCGAAGCAAGCGAGGAATGAGGTTGTGAATGAAGCCAATCAGAGACGAGCAGTGCAATGTCCTGAGCGCCCACAGAGGTTAATAGGTCAGCTACGGCTTATCTTGCAATGTTGCGAGACCCGCTCACATGATCTATGCTATGTGCATCAAGGGAGACTTGGTTCAACGGTACGACTTCACGGTTGACAGGATGGGTCCTCCGAACAGGGGATGACGGACCAGCTTCTGCAGCGGCGAAAACCCTGAGCTCCATCTCGAGATCCTATTGACGTCCCACTGACAAGTTTGTCTGGCGAGATGTACAATGGAATGTCGACGTTCTTTCCTACTTGGACGGAGGTTGATGCTTGGGGTATACACTGCCGATTGAGACTATGCCAATTATTATTGACCTTTTTCTACTCAAAATGGCCCATTCGCTGGCATGGCGACATTAAGCCACTGTTCACACCGGTCACAATCCCTACTTTTGGTCATATCGCTTTACCAAGCTCAGTCCAACGTATCCATCCGTAAGGAAGGGAGGAACCGAGAGCCTGCTGCCTTCTTCTGCTCCTCAGTCGTCGTCGTCGTCGATCACCTTTTGAACCATTTTCTGGCCCCGCTTACTTCTCTACGCAACCCCTTCCTGCTCTTTTCCCCACCATGTCAGATCTCCGTAATCGAAAACCAGCAGGCTCAAACGCCAACACCAACGCTAACGCGAACGCTGCTGGTTCATCCTCCTCCTCCGGGACCGGAACTACAGGCAATCTCCCGGCTCGACTTCACTCCACAGGCGCTGGAGTCAAAGGCGGTCTCCCTCCAGATTCTCAATTTGGAGCCGGACCGGCCGATACGTCTATTCATCCCATCCTCTACCTCATTGGATTTATCGCGATCGGGTTGATGGGTTACTACAATATTTGGCCGTTACTCAAGGAATCATGGGAGAATGGAGAGTTATCATTCAATACGGAGGAGATCAAGAGTGATTTCTTGGAGCTTTGGGGGATGATCAGGGCGAGGCTGGGTCTGTGAGGGGGTGCTAAAGATGAAGGCTTGAACACGGCAAGCAAGCAAGCAAGCAGGGAGAGACGGGAGAGAATGGATGGGTCTTCCCTTGGATGCGTGAGCAGGGTTTGAGATCGAATGCGATACAGCGTGCGGCCTGGGACAACAGACCTAGCTCGTTTCTCATCAGGGTTGTCACTGCAAGGTATGGTAATCTTTTGACAAAGTCCATTTGAATGTCAGAAGGTCGTCATGTCATGGCTGGTCATGTGAAACTCTACAAATCTACGCAGAACACTGCATCAAACCACCAACACCTCATTCAGATCTATCCTCACAAACAACGTTGCAAACACGTACTTTGAGAACAGTCCATCGTACAGAGGCAAATGATGATACCCTCTCGGTGTCCTTCCAAGAGGTCTGATCCACTGTGCGAGCAGACCGTCACGGATCCCGGACCGAGATTGTTGAGCGTTGACCTTGATATGGAGGAAGGAAAGATCCAAAGTGGACTCGGTGGAGTTGAGATCCCAGGAGAACACTTCGTTCCAATGCGGATTCAAGGTCGGTCCAGAGATGGTGCAGGTCGATCGATCAGGGGGATCCGGTTCATTCTTCTGTGCAGGGATCAACGAGATGACGACTTCGATATCGGAAGAAGGTGGGAGACGTTGCGCCGAGACGAGGTGGACCCGAAGACGATACCGTTGGAGCGGCTCAGAAACCTTCTGGCGGAGTGCAATAGGCTTGAGAACGTATCCAAGGGTATCATTGAACAAGCCATGGTTAAGGATTGTACCTTCATCTGCAGCGTCAGTTCCAAATGACTGTCCAATTGAACTCACCGATTGTTTGCCAATTCAGAGCCACCAGCTGACATCCAGCGATCCAAAAGGGAATAGGATCGTAATTGCCACTCGTGACTCGGGCAGGTCGAGGATACACTCGAGACAAGTGCGTGAAATTATGTTTGATCCAGTCGACCTGATGCTCTTTGGCGACTTTTCCGCCTGTCCGATCAGAAAGCGAGAATTGATGATGTTTCGCATAGTCGACAAGCTTGGAGAAGCCGCGAAACTTGACGCCTTGGGTATAGACTAGCAGATCCGACAGAATCGGGGGAAAAGCCTTCGGCTGACGATCCCCATTGTTGCTCGTCACGCTCAGTCGCCGTACCAGACGGGCGATACCAGAATCAGACTCGGTCGAAGACGTGGCAGAATCTGTCGATAGGCTCGGTTGAAGACTCGGACGTGTGGATTTCAGCTCAGGCGGGGGAGGTGGCTTGGCCTGGCACATGTCAGCTCGACAGCCACTTAGAAGTGTGCAAGCTCACCTTGAGCAAAATCTTCCCTTTCAATTGCTCTGGACTAGGTAAATCTGCCGCACCAGTCCAGGTCTCATCCAGTGGCGCACTAACGAGCTTGTCGCCAAAAATCTCCCGCATGATCGACCCCAGCTTCTCCTGCTGTTCAAGACCACAGTGGACTTCTGCAGAAATGATGACGGGGTATGGCGAAGTCACAAACGCGTACTTGTTGATGGCTTGACATATGTCCCGGACGGGAACCTTGGACGTAAGACTGATCCGGTGAAACACTTGAGGCTCGATTTCTCCGTCGTGACAGTCCACTGGACGCCGTGTCAGCCCATGCAGTTTCCGGATGAGCCTAAGCTTACTCTCGACGCATCGACACCGAGCCAGCAAGACCCGAATGTACCCTTCAACCGTGCTCTCTCCGCGCCACTGCTCCCCGACCAAATATGTATTGTGCGAGCTTGAGATGAAGTAATGCGATAGAGGCTTGGTCATGTCACAGGTAAACGATTGAAGATTGTGGGGTGACAGCAAAAAGTCGGTTAGTGATTCGACTGACCACACTTCGCCGTCGGCAAATTCTTCAAAGATGCTGGCGGGATCGAGCTGTGGAAGTTCCATCATTATTGGAGCTGAGAATTGGCTTCTGGCGCGTGCTCACCTTTTGAACAGTTCTGAGGAACCAATCGACACGTTCTCGATCTAGTGGACCTTCGGCAGTGAGCTCCGCGTAGATAGCTGCAAACTCCGGTCGAGTCTGAGCATTCTTGACCAAATGTCTAAACGCCGTCCAATCCAGTGACCGGTTCTGTACCTCTGTCAGCTGGCGCGTCGGATCAGTCCTAATGAGCTGACCCGGTATTCCGCCTCAAGATCCGACGAGATAAGTAATCCTAGACCTCCGCAAAGTCCTTGAGCAGTTTGAAAATCAATGCATTTCGCTCCCGCAGGCCACAATTGTCTTATCCACATCATGTCTGGATCACTGGGTGTAACTTGAGCCACAAATCGGTCTGAAGTTTCCGAGACCAATAAGGTCAACGTGTCTACCCAGAGTCGATACATGTCGTCTGTCAAGGCACTCATGTGCAAGACTTTCCACTGTTGGTTCCGGACATAGACGACGGTGATCCAGCGGGAAGACGAAAAGTCTCCCGTGGGAGGCTGGTTCAAGCGTAATTCCCTGATGGAGCTGATTGGTACTGCAAGGGCAATCAGCGGGTTTCGAGGAGGGTCGAAGAGCCTCACTCACCCTCTGTTCCTTTACTGCTGCCCCAGACGATACTGCCCTTGTGTATCCGAATGATCAATTGCTTGATCTTTCGACTCGTCATCTTCAGCATAGGCACCCCGTCCTTCAGCGCGGTTGGTATGTCTGCCCATAGTGGCGGAGACTTTGCGTCGATAGGGGAGTCGGGTGTCATGATCTCTCCTTCGAAGTACGAGTCGAACGAGATAGACCGATGTCGAGATTTCCGACGAAAACTCCCTCGTCGAGGGGCGGAGACCTGACAAGAGACGTCAGCGTCCTCCTCAAACCCTCATAGAGCTAATGACATAGAGAAGGCAGGAAAGGGAAAAGGTCGTAGCCCTCAGCTGGCCGTTCTTAATGATACATACTAACTTCATCCCCCGAAGGGTCAGTTTTAGCATGGAATGTAAATCATCTCGGGGCAAATACGACGTGTAGTGAGTGGGATCGGAAGTGGGTCGCAGGTGTCATGAAGTACAGGGTCTTTATGCGGGGTTCGAGTTGTGGTATGAAGAGGGGATGAGGCTACGGAGTGACGTGGGTGGAGACTCAGAGCCTTCGTCCTTGCTTTCGTTGTGGAGTTGTGGAGAATTGAGGGAAGGCCTGCATTTCTCCCGGTACATAGTCGCCGTGAGGAGACCACCTCCTGGCAGGATTGAAGCCAATTCTCCTGGGTAGACGAAAGGGATGAAAGGATGGATGAGGTGAAACGGACATTTGGAGACTGGCAGAGAGAGGGGAGCCTGACTTACCTTGAAGTAGCTGCCTTCTTATCAGAATTAGTCGAAGCAATTGTATGCCGAGGCTAGCGCCGAGGTGACAATATCACAAAGGATGACGAGCTCAACCAGGTAAGCGACAACGTCGGATACTGGGCGAGTGAAGACTAGGAAGCACAAGGGATCAGCACCGTTGTCATTGTATTCCAACAAAAGCCACACGTCATACAAAATGTTGAGGGTATGCAGTGACGGCGGTGCAGATAGTGAACTTCACAGACTTGTCAAGACGCTGGCATGCCTTTCACAATAGTGTGCCCGAGGAGGTGTAAGAGGAGGGAGGAAGGGGGGGAAGGGAAAGAATGGTTCGTGTTTTACCGGGGGAGAGCGATGATGTTGATGGGCGGCAGAGACCCATCAACAAACGTCACCTCCACCCGATGTGCTGAACAACGAACATCCCGTGCTTTGGCTCAGTGCGCATCGTTTGGCTTGTGCATTAGTCAATCCTCATGAAACAATATAGGACTGGGGCGACAATTGATAGTCTTCATTGCCAAAGCACGGTGTCTTGGTGAGGACGAAGGAGGGCTTGGGGGGGAGGGGGCAAGAAAGAGCCGATGACAAGGCATTGTAAGACTCACAGTATCAGGACATGTCGAGTGTGGATTTGTCTTCTTGATCGCTGGACAGCGATTCGATTGCGAAGCTGTCCAGAGTCTGTGTGTGTAACACGGTCGAACGAACAATGAAGAAAGGGAGGAGGGAATCCAGCTCGGATCGAGAATTTCGAAGGTCGAGAGTCCGCGTTTGGCACTGTCATCAGATGTGGCACTGTGGCACTTGGGACACCGCATGATGATGATGAAATGGCATGTGTTGAAGGTCTCAGCGGTTCTTCGTCCGACTGGACGCTGTTATGTATCTATCTCTCTATGCTACAGTGCCACGCAAATGCTATCAACGCTCTGTCCACCCTCCCCATGATATGTCTTGGAGCAGCGCGCGCCTCCCCTCATGTGTTCCCGAACCAGGCAGAACCATCCCGCGACTTGCCCAATTCCTTTCCGTAATCTGGACTATCCCTGCGGCTTGAAAGACCGATAAGGGAAGCACTTGACTTCCGGGACCTCGTTCCTGACGAAGCGATCCATCGCTTGAACCCATTCGAGAGGTGGAGCCTTGGAACCCCCGAGCCAGATTTCCACTCGGGAATTCATCTTTCGTTTGGAAAGAACAGCGCCGACGACGAAGGATCCAGGTGGACTGGGGACCTCGTTGCCTATGATATCCCCCGAAAGTAGTAGCACGATCTTCTGAAAGGTAAGATCGAGCTACGAAGGACAGTCAGCGACTGAAGCTATTGCATCGTATAGCGTTGTCACATCGCCGGATCACAGCATGAATACAGGCACAACGAACCACTGGGGCTCGCTTTTCCTATGGCCTCCTTGGGCCGTCTACGTCTCCCCACTGCCACTGATAAGCGACGTCACTCACCTGCGCCAGAGTACCAATCGCCATGATCTTGCCGCCCTTCGCACACATTGGATCTTCCCACATTGGCTTGACACCGGTCTTGAAGAAGTGAAAATTGGCATCATCCGGCATGAATGCAATACCGAGTCCTTCCAAACCTTTCGTGACGCCTCTACCTTCGTCCTCGATAGGTCTCTGCTTGATCATCGCGATACGTCGTCTGAGAGCCTTCCAAGCTCCAAATAGATCTTCAAGGTTGGAGTACGAGAAGAGGTCGAATAGACCGTGAGAGTATTCCGCTGCGCCTTTCACTTTGGCCCGGGAGGGAATGATCGAAGCGGACGAAGCGGACGCGGTGGAAGAGTAGAAAAGGGTCCAAGACGATGCAAGGGGGTGGAAACTCTCGGTCGGGGCGGTAGCAATGGCCGACTCAATGATGGATGTACGCAGTGGGTGAGGTGGTGACTCTTGCTCGACCACGATGGAAGGAACAAGTGAAGGCTCTGGTTCTTCGGCTTCGTAGATGACAGCTAGATCTGGACCTGTGAGTTTTGGCGTCCCAATCTCGTCAAGATCAGATGTAGACTCAAGAGTGTCTTTTCGCAATGGGATCGGACGATCGGAACGGTCGAAAGAGTGTTCGGAGAACCCAGATTCTGTAGAGACTTCGACTTGCAGATCGCTGCTGGCTCTAGGGGCAGATTCGGGAAGTTGGAAGGTCGAAGAAACTTCTGTAGAGGCTAGGCTGCGCGTGGACGTCTGATCAGATGACTCGGCATCATGCGTGATGACAGCTGCGAACGTGCTCTCGAATTCATCAGGGATGAGGACTGGCAACAGGTCGATATGCGAAGGACTGACATCTGGTCGAGGTCTCGCTGCGATATTTGCCGACAGAGGTGGGGATGCATCGTCATTGAGAACGAAAGGGCCGGGCTGCGAATGAATGTTGGGGAGTGTAGACGTGAGAGTTGGGGGCGGAGCCGGAATCGAGACACTAACGTCGCCTTTTCGTGCTGACGTGTTGCCCTTATCGCTGTGGTTCTCCGTTGATCTGATGACGACCTCGGTGAATCCAGGACTGTCGCTGTGCTCAGAGCGACGAGTCGTGTCTGCAGTGTCTGAGTCATCTTGTCTGAGAGCCGTGATGAAGTTGTCCGGATGCGTTCCCAATGACGGTTGACCCTGCTGCCCACTGTCGACTTCCGACACAGGCTCGATGATCCCAGATACATGGGAGATGACCTGCGCTCTCAGATCCGCAGTATTCTCAGCAATGGTTGTGGCTGCTTGATGCTCTTCACTGGCCAGAAAACATGCGGCGGCAGTCTGTGACTTGATTTCTGACTCCTGTTCTGGACCTGCAACATCGGCCAAGGGTGCCTCGATGAAAACGGTTGCAGATGATCCGGTGTCCAGATCCTCACGATTCGAGGACTCAACCTGATCAACCTCAGGCCGTTCTTCGTGAACTTCACCTTCCAGGGCAGATGCGTCCAGCATCATACTTCTCTTACGTTGAAGTTGCCTGATCCTCTTCCCTCTCTTCTTCTGGCGTTTCGCCTCTTGTTCAGCTAGAAGTCGATCGACATCGTCCCCGACGACATGGTTGATTCCGCCGGCACCATCTGTAGATAACGAATCACTCGTCGAAGGAGCTTGACCGTGATCGACCTTTACCGCGGTCCCGCTGGAAGTCTCTTCTCCTCCGAGATTGTTCTCCACTTCGTCCGCCTCAGCTACATCGCGAATCTCTCCAATACTCGCCGTCTGCTTCGTTACGATCTTCTCTTCCTCCGCTCGCTCCTTCGCCCACTTGACAGGATCGACCAGAGTCAACTTGACCATCCTACCGTCTTCATTGACCAGTGAAATGTTGTCACAGATACTACGAAGAGCTTGATCAAGTTCGTATGATCGAAGTGCTTCGACAAGTTGTTGTTTCGATTGATCTGACTTGAATGCGTTGACCGCGAATGCTTCTTTGGAGGCTTGTGCGGGAGGATCAGAGGGAAGAGAGGAGGATGGGTCGATGGACGAGGCTGTTTGGCTGGTGACCGATCGTTTGGTACGCGAGCGGGCCTTTTCAATTTGATGACGAGGGAGTGAAGGACCGGCGGATGCTCGAGTGGAGGGGAGCGTCGAATTGGATGAAGCACCCGGTGAACTGCTGGCGGTCGTGATCTGACTAGTGGACAGAGCTGTCATAGTCACAAGGACGCAAAATCCCAGCGGCTCTTGACTGTGACTCTCAACTGGTTTAGTCTATTTGAAGCTGATCAAGATGTCAGGGTTGAGTGACCGTGACCGTATGAGTCGCCAAGAGGGTTGCTCTTCGGATCGAGGTATCAGCTACGGATGTCCAGACTATCCACTGTGTCAGATCATCCTCTGTCCCATCCGACAGAAGTACAAGGGAATGAGATGGATGATCATCCTCAAGTAAGAGAGAGAGAGAGAGAGAGGAAGGAAGGAAGTTGTTCCAAAGGGATAGCGTTGTAAGCGAACATTGGGTCCAGGAGAATCTAAAACAGTGGCTGATTTCCATTTTCATTCATGTCATCGGTTTCAGGATGGCTGAGGCTGAGCAATCGATACATACTGCTTCATTTGCTCAACGCTGCTGCACAAATCCTGATAGTATCGCACCCGCATCTTGGCTCAGTTCTCGAGGGATGGAGCCAGGCAGCGTGGAGTATCCAAGACCCGTGATGGTAATCTGAGACAACAGTCGACCGTTGTCAGTCTAGTCTCATGGAGTGAGTAGGAGGCAGCAGGCTCACCGGGACAGTCTCCAGAGGCGTCACATGCCCATGACCGCCATTAGATTCGGTGGAATCAATGAAGCTTTGACGCTCTACCTTGCCATTGGCATTGGCGCCGGCTTGCAAGGCGTACATTCGCTCCATGTTGAGGGCAGTATCCCAAAAAGACGGGTACGCCAAAGAGTACTGCTTGAGCCCATCGACACAAGTTTGACATTCTGCTCGACCTTGTGAGGCAAAATACCAACCAGCCTCGCATATAGGCTGATAGAGAACGAGTCTGAGACATGTCAGGCGTGGCCTTTTAGGACGCGGCCCAGGGATCTGATCGAACTCACGGATCCAGCCGTAGGTACGAATTTTCTTTCAGAACTGAGATCTGTGGCAATCATGAGTTTGTTCCACGCATTGTCCTTGTTCTTGTTGACACACCAATCCGTTGATCCTTGTTGCAGCACGCTCTGATTCCTCCTTGATTTTCTGCCTGATTTCCTCGTGATCCGGATCAACACTGACACTCTCTCCTTCGGCCATCCGCTTGAGCTCGTAGATACCAAAGTCTTTGATAGCGCGCTCAATGACAAGCCAAAGAGCATGGAGGTATCTGGCTCATGCGCGTCAGCTCGACCATTGAGGGAGTCTGCCGTAGCACACTCACGTATCGGATCCAGTGGCTGTGATGGCATTTAAAAAGTCCCAGTCATCCGGGACCTTTTCAGGGACACCAAGAGTAGCCAGATACTTGTCCTTCCAGGTGGTGATGGAAGCTATGTAGCTTCGAAGAGAAGCGATCCGAATTCCTTCTTTCATCGCTGTCGCATTCCACAGACCGCGAGAGAGGTCGCGGCACAGGGCAGAGCTCATCGATGCTGCGGAGAACCATACCTGATACGTGTTAGGTTTGGATTGTTGTTGGTAGGTAGAATCTCCTTACCACAGCCTGAGGAGTCTGTCAGTGATGCACAATCGTGATACAATCTCAAATTGCTCACATGGTCCGCTTGCTCTCCGAATGGCCCAGCTGCTTTATCCAGTACTCCCTCAGGTAGATCAGGTGCAGTGTAGTTGATCTCATTTCTGCATCAAAGGGGATCAGCGTATGTCGACCCGCTCGCCTAGATCCAACCCACAGGCTGGACGGCAGACGATGGAAGACTGATCTGAAGCCATCGACGAGACAGATCATCCACCATGCGTACACGGCCGTGGCGCGCTCCTTCTCGTCCTTGATGGCTAGGAGGCTTTCGGGACTATTGTAGCCTAGAACAATGACGTGTTTGACCGCCGCTTGATAGTGATATGGTACATATCCTGCGTGGATGCATCAGAAAAAATCATATGCCCATTTTGAGACTGACTATCACCAAGCGTAGGTATTTCTGAGGTCGCAAGGCAGTCAGCGAAGTTGGACGAAACGCTTCAGCACTTACGGCCCAGCAACGACTCTAGGTTGACCAAGATCAACGCATTGAGCAATTTTCTCACACGATGGGATTTTTGCGCCTCTACCACTTCCCTCGCTCGCACAACTAGAAGCTGGACTATCCGACTTCTAGGTGGTCTGATACCAGCTCCAAATTCAGATTCATCCCGAGCCGTACATTCAGCTCTGTCGCTTTCGATTACTGGATGATCTGAGAATCTAGCGCCAAAGGCGATAGACACCGCGAGGAGCGCGTGATCGACAGGTCCATCAGGATGCGTATCGGGTTCTTGATACTGAGCTTTGAACTGATCGGGGTTGAATGCTGGGAAACGGGGATGGGCAATGGAAAAATAAGATTCGAAAAGGTCATCTGCGAGTCTGGAGAAATCATGCGTGAGCGCGCGCTACTTTCCATGGGTCCGCATCACGACTCACTCGGTGACGTCGGCTTCGGAGACGTTCGAATGGGCTTGGCTTGGCGCTTCCGCCCATAGCCTCCCGCCATCTTCCTCCCACAGGTCGGAAGTCCCCGAAGCACATTGTTCCACGCTCGAGATATCAGTGTAGCCGAAATCGTAATGCGTGATCGGAGTCGGCGAGAACAAGTATCTGAGAAGATTGTCTCGGCGTTCAGAGGGTCTTTTCGTGAGCGGATTCTGCAGAGCATTCATCCTGAGATATACGTCAGCCCTCGAGCAAGATCCGTACGTTTTGATACCGATTCCGGGCTCACCGCTCTCTGCCAGCACGACTCGTCTCGCCATTTGTGTCCCCCAATGATGACTGCAGCGTTGCCATAGACACTTCTTGAAGCAGCGCGACTGGATCGTCAAAGGGTGTGGAGACATCTCCGCCTTCGAGTTGTCTGGACCTCTTTCGTTGTCCAGATTCAGCGTCTCCTCCAGTCTTTCGTCTGGCCCTTCGAGCTTTCGATTGTAGCTGCTCAATGTAGTGGCTCGTACACTCCACTTCCTTGTTGATGCATTGAGCACACTGTACGGTACTTAGCTGATATTGGGCGAAAGATTGCCAGCTTACCCGTTCTGCTGTGGATGACCTTTGACACCTAACCTTCTTCGCTCGACAAGCATCACAAGCCACATTCTGCTTTCTCAAAACCGACGGAGCCGAAGGCATTGAGCTCAGACCAGCTGACTGGGCATGATGATCTATGATCTGTCCATTGAGTCCGAGGCCTGAGTGCAGAACAGAAGCGCCTGGGTAATAATCTTGTTGTTGAGCCATGGGATGCCCGGAACGGATGTTTCCACCAATGTGATGGAGATTTTCGGCGAGTCTTCTTGATGTTTCGTTCGGGATACGCCTCTACCGGATACCACACTTGCACAGTACTTCTGAGCTTCTTCTACACTTTGCTGTTGGACGGGCTACCTCCTGCCTATGTCTTTCTTCAAACAAAGTAAGATCTGTTTACAAGGCCAGGTGAGTAGATGGGATCCCCCAGTCAGTGCGCGAAGTTTTCGGATCCGAAAACACAAAGAGTTTACGTAAAGAAGCCTCCGTTCATCATCATCATACCTTTTGCGAGACCAGATCAAGCCGACTCTTTGATATTGAACTACAAGGGTCGACCAGAATAGCTGGACCCATGGAGTCGCTATGGGAGCCCACAGCGGATAGCATGTACATACATCCTATCTGAAGATCATCGCTATGGACATATAACGATGAAGGAACAAACATCCCAGCATCACCACCACCACCACCAGCACCACAAGTCGAAGCATGATCGACGTCACCCCGAGCGTCACGGTGGCCAGGATCAGAAAGGGCGGTCTAGCACTGAGAAGCATATGAAAGATAACGATGCCCTTGCGGAACTCAATGCCGATCAAAACAAGTGGTTGGACCGTCACCTTTCGCCAGATGGGAGAATCCGCTCATTCGCAAAGTATTGTCCATTGATCGCGGCCACTTTTGCTCCCTTTTCAACATTGATGGATATTCCGGCGTTGAGCGTGAATTCCTTCAGACAATGACGACCGAGTAGCACTGACCACGCCTCAGGAGAGGTGGTACTACATAGATGGGCAGATCCAGCCGGACTATAAAGCCTGTATCGCTCTCTCCGCACTTGGACTAGGCCTAAACCTCATAGCAAACGTGCTTCTCTTGATCAGATTCTCGGCTTCGAAACCAGGATGGTCCAGGTACTCAACCTTGTTCTCAACCTTTCTATGGATAGGAAAGACGGCGGTAGCTCTGCTCAACTTGGCTATCTTTGGAGCCTTGATCACGCGAAAGGTATGTCACCGCGAGGATCAAATAATGAAGCTCATATCGCATTCATAGCCCGGATATTCATTCAGCGAAGGATTTTGGTGTGCAGTTGTGTCGGTAATCGTGGCAGGCACCATCTCGCTGGCTTTGCTCCTGCACTTTCTTCTCGGGTACGACATCAGAGAGGAGGAGAACCCTTTAGATGTCGTCGACGTCCGTGCTGAAGGCCGAAAGTTCATGCTATCCGTGACTGTCTTCATGGTCGTTCTGGGATTCCAGTCACTCGCATTTTCGAGGATAGAGCATTGGAGTTATTCCGATGCGATCTGTAAGTGACGGCCTGTCTTCATGATACTGACGTGCCAAATTCAGACTTTTCCACCCAAACCGCCTTGACAATCGGCTATGGAGACTTAGTGCCTACAACGACAGCGGGCAAGGTCCTCGTCTTCATCTTCTCCGTCCTGACGATCTCTCAAGTGAGTCGTGACGTATAGAAGGCATGTATCGCTCACTCATCATCGCTCGCTAGCTGGGTAACGAGATTGCCTTGATCATCAGCTTCATGCAATCCCGTGCAGAAGTCCGAAGAGAGAAATGGCGGAAGAAATACGAAGAGGCCATGCATCGTGAGGCCAACTTGTTGAGGCCCAAGGCGACATTGCTGGAAGAAATGTCATTGATCTACGAGATCAACTCCAGGGAGGAGTTGTGAGCCCTACTCACGGTCGCTTTGGACGTTGCTCACTCAGCGCACATAGGATGAATCAGATTGTGGATCTCATGTGGAGCGCGATCTCACTGGTCATCTTCTGGGTTGCAGGTGCTGCCATTTTTAATGGACTCGAAGGCTGGGGCTATGGGTTAGGCTCACAAAGACCTCCTTGTTGTCGTCATCAGCTGATGCCCCATTAGCAACGCCGTTTACGCAGTCATGGTCCTCTCGCTGACAATCGGTAAGTCCCGATGAATGTTGCTCTGCAACAAGTGTTCTTATTGTCATGCAGGATTTGGCGACTACACGCCGACCACTCCAGCTGGTCGTATAGTCTTTGTGGTCTACGCGCTAATGGCCGTACCCATTGTCACATCGTTTGCTGTCCAAACCATCACTGGTCTAGTGAGCCCAAAACTACCCTGACAGTTTTTGTAAACTCACCCCGTCTGCTTCCTCTAGCTCAGTACATACTCAAACCGAGGCGAAATTCGCGATCGGTTCCGACGCGATCGACAGCGAAACCCTCAAGCTTTTATGGCCCACTCAGACTTCATCCTCCACGCGCACGAATCTTATGCTGAAATGCGCGTTCGCCTACTAGGAGAAAAGATCGAAGCGGAAAAGGTGGATCCCACGTATCATGAGCGAAAGTCTCGCATGATGGGCCAAGCTTCATCGGAATCCGAACCTCCTAGCGCAGAATCATCGAGCTCGCAGACGGTCGTCACCGCAAGTGAGGCCGACACTCGGAAACAGAGACCGCACATCAAGACTGAGGGCTTGGGCGCCGTATCTTCTCCTATGATTCCGGTGATGAAAGCTCATGCGAGACATCAAACAAAGCACACTGACAATGGAAAGAGGAAGCAGTTGGATCATCATACCTCTGCGCCTTTGTTGCATCCCGGGTCATGGCGAGACATCATGAAGGAGGAGAAGGATCGTATAGAGGAACATTGGCCGGACAAACCTCTGAACGAGATTGAGAACATGGTCCAAAAGGCTCACAGGGATGTCGAGGCCATTATATCCTCTCGCAATTCTCGACCGAGTTCTTTCCAGCGCATCGGGTCCGATCCGAAAGAAGAGGAGGCGTACTTGAAGGACGAAGCCAAAGCCCAGGAGCTTGAGACGGAAATGCTTAAGAAACTCATGAAACTGGTCATCCAGCTTGAAGCTGAAGCTAGGCAGATGCTATTAGATAGTATGGAGAAGGGCGTAGCGAGGATGCTTCTGCGAGCCGACAGGAATGGTGAGTATCCGATCGAAGGCAGGTCTAATGCGGTCGTCAGTACAAGAACGCGACGTCAGAGCGGTGAGAGGGGATGACGCCGATATGATTGCCATTTGGCGCGGCGTCGACAAGGAGAACGAAGAGAACCATACAAGGTTCCCGTCAATGTCAAATTCCATGGACTTGCTCTCCAAAGTCAGCAGGTCAGTGACAAGACCACGTGTCGTTGGTCTAACCCATCTCAGATACCGTAATACATTTGCGACAATCTTAGTTCTCGGCTCCATATTGCAACGATTGTCAGGAGACGATCTGAAGCGTTTTGAACGATGGCAGGAACATCAAGTCGGAGAAGCTCCAGTCTCACCGACGGATCGTTCACGCTCCTCTCCACGCTCGCCCCGGTACGGTCCCCTGGGCAGTTTGACAGACGAACCTGTGCGAGGATCATCAGAAGACGACGAGGGCATTCGTGGCAGGCAACGGAGCAGTTTCTCAGGTTTGACCAAGTTGATTTTCGATCAACATTCGAAGCAATTGAGGAAGGCTTCGACGGAGGAGGGGAGCTTGAAGTTGAACAAACATGCAGCGAAGAGAGCTTTTGCTGGCGAGTTTTGAGAGGCGGGGGCGCGGCAGGGAGCCAGGTTTTGATCGATGTCAGATCACCTGTGTCCATGCGCTATGCTTGTGTTGTATTTATCGGCCACGTTTATCTTGACGATGATTAGCTCAGATCAATGAATGTAGCGATTCTTCCACCAAGCAGTCACTTGTCAGTTCTGTACGTCCCGGCCTGCACGTTGCTCTTGTAGCCCTCGATCATCCAAAGCACTCCAGTCTGTCATCATGCTGTGCATACATCCATCGACTGGTCAAATCCGCCATCCACAACCCAAAGCACTCCTCGTACTCTTAGGTCTCGACGACTTCTCTCAGACGCCTGACGGTTGATCTGACAGTGGCGGCTCCGGCAGTTCCGAAAGTGTAGGCTCCTCCAGCGTAAGTTTTACGGCAAGGCTTGCATTTCCAGATTCCGACGGCGGTTCGCTTGACGGCGTTCTGAACGGAGCATCAGTACCTCGCTCATCAAAGCAAATTGTAGATCAACGGCGATATGGAAGGTGGGGGAAAGAAGCAAGTAAGGGCCCATCTCACCTTTCCACAAGCTGGGCAAGCGTATCGAGCGTGTTGAGTGATTTCCATCTTCTTCACGCTAAAGCAGAGGATCAACATGACAATCCAAGTTTCCACTGTTTCTCCACTACTCACGTCTTTCGGAGGGAAGCACCATAACGGGTTCCGTACTTTCCAGTGACTCCGACCTTCTTTGTTCGCTTGGTCTGAAAAGGGGAAAAGGAGTCAGTCATGTGTTTGGCCAAATTGTGATGATTCGAGCGCTTTCCATAGGCAAGGACGAGGGACAGGACTCGGGGACAGCCGTTGTCATCCACCATTACTGCTTATGCCTCCCCAAGCCATGCGATCGATCTGACCCAAGACGGAAGACCAGTACGCATCAAGGATCCCATGTTCTGTCCTGATGCTTCCAATTCCATTATGCACCGTTCCCTTAAGACGCGCATCTCCGCATAGTCCTGTCCTCTCGCTCATCCTATCCTCATGCCCCAACACAGCGACTGAACCTTCTACTCACCATTTTGGCTTTGATCAATCAACCTTGATGGACAACGAGAGCCTCTGTCTAAAAACCTCTAAAAGACGTAGACTCGCACGGCAGACTGGGAAGACTGATCGGCGTTAAGAAACGAGCTGAATGTGGCAGCCACCTTAAATCCGAATGTGGCGATTGTTATTGTCGATGGGCGGTGAACGGAATCAAAATTGACAGCCTATTCCCGACTCGTCGTGATTGAATGTGCGTGTGTGATTCAATAACAGAGAGAGCAACTTACCAACCTCGATACACTTCCAAGGGAGGGGAAGGTAGAGCTATTGTACTCTGTGACTTCCTCACCATGTCATCCTCTGGCAATACCAATCCCCGCTCTGGCTTGCCCATCCCCACTGCGTCTCGGTCCTCTGGACCCAATCTGCAAGCATTGTCCAATCTCTCGGAATCATCTACTGGATCATGGGAGCGAGGTCATATTTCAAGCAACGCACGATCACCTCCGAGACATTCAATGCTTCTGGTCGATCATCCTCCTGAGAACCGAGATGGAGCTGCGGACTCGTCAGCTTCCTCCCCTTCCTCACGTGTTGAAGGCCCTCCCTTCAACGGAGAATCATCTACACGTCAACCCAATCTATCTCTCAGCAACCTATCTCTAGACTCTAGAGCTAGGAGTGGTCCAGCTTCTGGACCTAGTGCCCAGTCTCCGCTGTATCCTCGTCAACCCCGAGATGGGTACGGGTTCCGACCGCCTTCCGGCGCTTCTACACCCACTGGTACTGGATCATCGTCAAACTTCTCACCATTCGTACCTGTGTCTGTAACTTCCATTCGGTATGATGACGATGATATGGATCACATGCCGGATGGAAGAGGCATAGACAGTCTACGAGAAGAAGTCAAGACCGAACTCGTTAGAAATGGGCTGGTCGATGAACAAGAGGCGGGCACCAGTGGACCATTAGTTCAGAGGGGCACAGAGGGGCTGTCGGGTCGTTCAGGGATAGCAGATGAGGAAGGTCTAGGCTGGGCAGGTAAGCAGACTCCTTGCTGAGTCATTTCTATCCGCTGATGTCGGCCCCTTGCAGCTAAAAACACGAAGAAACGCTTGCACTCTACGCCCGAGCAACAAGCGGAGAATCTCGTATTGCTTTCCTCGGCCGTCAGGACAGTCCTCGAATGCATTGGTGAAGACCCGGATCGAGAAGGATTACGCAGGACCCCTGAGCGCTACGCCAAAGCCCTCATGTGGATGACCAAAGGCTATGAGGAAAGATTGGTCGATGTGATCAACGATGCAGTGTTCGCGGAGGATCATGACGAGATGGTCATTGTGAGGGACATTGACGTATTCAGCCTGTGTGAACATCACTTGGTGCCTTTCACCGGCAAGGTGGGTCACATGCATTCTAGATTCCGCCGCGATAGCCAGTTGACTTCGCCTTGCTCGCCGCTTCACAGATCTCCATTGGATATATTCCCAACAAACTCGTCTTGGGCCTATCCAAACTCGCTAGAATTGCCGAAACCTTTTCTCGAAGACTTCAGGTCCAGGAGCGCTTGACCAAACAAGTGGCGCTTGCCGTTGAAGAAGCAATCCGACCAAGAGGTGTCGCCGTCGTCATGGAGGCAAGGTGAGTTTCCCGATCTTGCACCAAAACGCAGCTGACATAAATCAGCCACATGTGCATGTCTATGCGAGGAGTACAGAAGCCCGGTAGTAGTACCGTGACGAGTACGATGCTGGGCTGTTTCAGGACTCAGCAGAAGACTAGAGACGAAGTGAGTTACGAGTCGCCCGGACCGTTCAGCGCAAATTGGCTCATTGGTGTCCCAGTTCTTGACTTTGATCAGATCACCCAGTGTTGCCAAGTAGATGATCTATGTGTCCAGTTGTATATTGCTCTCAACAGCATCATCTGTACGACTTTCTCATATCCTGTTGCACTTCTGTAAAACCCCATGCATGACATGATAGCCTTTCCGGTGGAAACTTGATTACCCCACGCCGGCCCATTTCCGGGCCGAATGGTGTGGGGTGGAGGTGCAAGTGGAGGCGTCTTCAGTCGTCTTGAGTCCGGGGACGCTCTCGTCGTTCATCATTGCTTCATCTGTCAGACTAGAGTACAGGGAACCCTGACTAGCATGATGGAATACGTCAATCTAGGCAAGTCTGGTCTCAAGGTGAGTCACCTCGATGCCCTCCGCGTCACGCTCACCTCTCTTTGGGTCTCCAAACTTGTGTTGGGCTGCATGACATACGGCTCTGGCGGCGAATGGATGATCTCGGACCACGATGAGTCAATTCGACAGATCAAGTACGCGTACGACAAAGGTATCAACGTGAGTGTCATTCTGTGCTCCCTTGGAGCGCGACGTTCAAGTTCACACATTGAAGGCGTTTGATACCGCCAACACCTACTCTGCCGGAGAGAGTGAGGTGATACTGGGCAAATTCCTGAAGCAGCACAACATTCCCAGAGAAAGCGTGGTCATCCTCACGAAGACTTTCAACACGGATGGCAAGCTGGAAGATAAAGGTCCGGCCGGCTGGATCAATCAAAAAGGACTGAGTCGAAAGGTATGGCAGTGACTTTTCTTGCGCTACATTGTAACTATGGCTAAAGGACAATACTCTCTTTAGAGGATCTTCGCATCCGTTGACGACTCGCTCAAGAGGCTTCAACTGGACTATATTGACGTCCTCCAATGCCACCGGTTTGATCCGGAGACTCCCGTCGAAGAGACTATGCAGGCTCTGCATGACGTCGTCCAATCTGGCAAAGTCAGATACATTGGCATGAGCAGTTGTTGGGCGTGGCAGTTCCAGCTCATGCAGAGTAAGCTTGCCATCTGGCTAATACGCTGGACGTTGCTGAACCATGTGATCCTAGCTTACGCCATCCACAATCGGCTCACTCCGTTCATCTCTATGCAGAACCAACACAGTGCTCTGTATCGTGAAGAGGAGAGAGAAATGATGCCCATGCTCAAGCATTACGGTATCGGTGTCATCCCATGGGGACCTCTCGCCGCGGGATGTGAGTATGGGGACCCCTCTTCTTCCACACGACAGATGGCTGATGCATCCTCAGTGCTCTGTCGACCACCCCAAGAACGAAAGGCCACGCCTAGAGGAGACAAAGGTCTCCCCAACGATGGTCGAGGTACGTTCCCCTCGGAACTCGAAATCATTGCTCGTGTCGAAAAGGTCGCCAAGAATCGAGGTGTCCCTATGGCAGAAGTGGCCATTGCTTGGTCTCTTCAGTCCGAATGGGTCACGGCGCCTATCGTGGGAGTAAGATCGACGGAGCGCTTGGACGAGTTGATCAAGGGTTTGCAATGCAGACTCACGGAAGAGGAGATCAAGGAGATCGGAGAGCCTTATCAGCCGGTCAAGGTTAGAGGCCACAAGTAGGCGTACCACGAGGGTAGCGCCACAGGGAAGCCAAGAGATGGGGCAGCTTTGCAGTCAACATGAGTTTTGACGACGGTTCACGTATGCATCTGACGTCGATGGTTCGGGGAAGCCATTTCGAGCTCTATCCCAAGGCGTGAGTGATCATCTCAAAAGACCTTGAGGCAGCCGCGGACACCCGCGGGAGGGGATAGTCTGCCTGTTCGGAACCAACTTTCGATCCTGCCGAGAACGTGACCGAATCGGGATGGTTATTTTCGTCCACCTCCTGTTTATAGCGTCTATATCTCTGCACGCAGGCAGGCTTCACCGCTTGCTTCGCCGAGCTGGGGGTCCTCGGGTTAGCGAGAGTCACTAAAGACCTGGCTCAGCTTGGTAGGGAGCGGTTGCATCATGTTGTATCGACAAGTGTGAGTGCTACAATCGCTGGTAACTCAGTTCTCGGGCGACGTTGACCGTTCTTGATTATGTCCGTGTTCAGGCTATTGTACTTCCTGATACCTCCCATATTGGTCTTTGGTGCTCTGTATAGACCATTATTAGGCAGAAGGGATGTCATCAAGATCTTATGGCTGGCATTTATGGTGCGTTCATATTGAACATGCCGTCAGACCGCTGATGTAAAGCAGGCTACTCTCTGGACGACCCCTTGGGACAATGTAGGTCTCATAGCGTAGATACGCCAACCTCATCCAAGCTGATCAGCTTTCTCAGTGGATCATCTCACAAGCTGGATGGGACTATCCTCCAGATTCTATCTTGGGAAGGCTATGGCTCGTCCCATTTGAAGAGCATGCCTTCTTCATCCTCCAACCCATCTTCCTCATCCTCCTTCATGCCATCTGCACCCATCACCGACTCCTCCCGTTCGATTTTGACAGCTCCTCAAAATCCCCAGCTCTCATTAGAAGCTCTTCCAGATCCTCTATCAGCGGGCCATCATCTCCTCTTCGCACAATCTCATCACCGTCACTCAAATCAAGTCCGTCTCGCCAAATCTTGGAGGGAGATTACTTTGGTTCGCCGGCAAAGGGCGAGACAGTGGTCGAGAGGAGGTCATTACCTAGGCGAAGCTTGCAAACACTCCCGAGACGACCGATGCCGAGTCTGTTGTGGTTGGGCTTGTTCATTTTTGGCTTAAACTTAGTCGGTGAAGCTCATTTCGGGCTCTTGGAAAATCATCTTGGGTTGCTCGGCGTAGGACGGAGGGCGTTCTACCTCGGTTGGATCCTCGTTTGGATATCGCCTGTTATCGGGTTTCTGACCTGGCTGGGGGCCAGGCTGACGCAGAGCGCCTGGATTTCATGGATCATTGGTTCGGGATTCTTATGCGTTGTCGACACGTAAGTCGTAATCAATGGGAAAACCTGCTAACACCATAAGCATTGGGATTCGCTCTGGCGCCTGGTCGATCTCTCTAGAGACAAGCGTTGGCTTCGAGGTCGTCCGAGGACTGCCTCTCGAGTCAGTTGCGAAATGACCCCTTACGTAGAGCGGAAGCTGACGGACACTGCAGAGAATTCGTCTTCTTCCTACTCACATCATATCTTGTCATCCTGAGCTCATCTTTAATAACTCATCTCCACACTCTCCTCATCCTGTCACCATCATTACCGCCCTGTCCGCCCCTCAATCCCATATCACATATTACTCTTCTCGCAAGTGTCGCCTTGAGGGCCCCGCACATCGACATCAATGTACTGAACGGATTGAGAAACGCCGAGGAGACGCTTAAAAGGGGAAGCAAGAGCTTCAGCGTTGCCAAGTTGGCGTTCAGTAGGGAGATGCGCATAGGACTGGTCGCGATGTACTCTTGGTGTCGCGTCACGGTGAGCCAGGCGCAAATCGCCTTTCATTTGCTTACCTTTGTCTCAGGACAACCTCATAGATGATCCTATAATATCAGACACTGCACGCCATTCTGAAGATACCCTGCATCGAGCTCGAATTCATATCCTTGAATCACTACGGAAACATCTGGAAGCAACATACACGGCTCCATATCCCAATTCTATCAGTACATGCGACGGAATACTGGACACCCTTCCAAATCTTACTCAAGCCAATCGATCCGCATTTCGGTTGTTTTCAGCCATTATCCCTCGCCTCGTCCCGATTGATCCATTTTTGGAACTCTGCGACGGTTACGAGACAGACACGAGATTCGTCCCGGTTACAGACCTTGGCCCTGGCCCTAGCGTCAGTGCAGGCGAAGCGCAGGTCGTCGCTTCGAGTACGGCTCCGAGTCCGCTCAAAGCGAAGCTTGCGAGCCAGGATGTTGCGCATCTCGAGCGCTACCTGCCGATAAAGACAACAAAAGACCTCCTTGGGTACGCAGATGATGTAGCTGGATCAATCGCTGCAGCGATCTGTTACTTATCTTGGTCAATCCTTGATACACCGGCCAACCCCGCGCATTCACTCACACCCATTTCCGCTCATCTAGCCTGGTCAGATCGTATACATCGACCGCTCATGAGAGCAAAGACGGGCAATTCTCCGGAGCACGATGAACGCGTTTGGGTGGTAGAGAAATCTCGAGAAATGGGTCGTGCCCTTCAGCTAGTCAACATAGCTCGAGACATTGCCAAGGACGCCGTCATTGGCCGCGTCTACGTTCCCTTATCATCATTCGCCTCCGCGTCCGACCTTTTGGACGTGCTCTTCCCCCGTCGTACGGGACCATCTCCGAAATACGCTGCTTACTCGATGCCCCTTTTACATATGGCCGATCAGCTTCGAGCCTCGTCAGAAGGCGCCATTAACAAACTCCCACGGACGGCGAGAGGTGGTACGAGGGCCATGGCAGCATCTTATTTTGAGATCGGCACTGCCATACGTGCTCAGGACGGACATGTGGATGAACGAGGCGTGAAGGTTAGTAAGTGGAAGCGAGCGGGACAGGCAGCTCGAGCCATGTGGCTTGGCTGAGGTGACTCTTCTGGCTCGGTGCGGTAAATACCTGTCATAGATACTAGACTCTTCATAGTTGCATGAATACTCACGATCCGACGAATCATGGATATCATCTATCTGGACAGGCGCAGGATTCTAAAAAAATGTCGTGACGTGGAACATTTTGTTTACGATTTTGATCGGGTCGCGTCCATTGAACTTTCAACACTATACCGCAACTGACTAAGAGGCCATCACATCGGTGTAGGTCAGAGGGTGTCTGTAATGCCCTCAAGCAGGCAGTATGAGCAGTTCTAGAGTATCGACTCCTCATGGGGGCCTTGAGGCGCTGGTGGCCGCGGCCACAGCGGCAAATCAGGCCAACGAGAGGAGCAGACGAAAGCGAGGAGGGATCGATACAGTGAGTTGACTTTAGCTTTGTTGCCTTTCGTGACGGCGGGACGAAAGTGCAGGTGATCTGATTAATGTTGGGTGTGGTACAATTCTCTGAGCGAGCATGACTGGAGGCTTTCAACGTGCAGAAAATCGGCTGACCCTCTATCTCAGCCATCTGCAAATGATACGGTTCAAGCACTGGCTACCCTTCTCCAAGATCCTCTATTCACTCAGGCCCTAGCTGGGGTCCAAAGTAGCTTGAATCGTCAGCCATATGGCTCGGACAATCCGTATGACCCGCCGAATCTCGCTTCTGTGAACTACCAACCTGGTCTCACCGATACGCCATTCCAACAAACACGATCAGGTCGTATATCCAGACCACCTCTACAGCCCATCCCATTCCCGTTCCTACAACATCTCAGTGGACAGATCAATGGTGGTGGGATCTCAGCCAATGCCGGACTTTACGCTCAGCAATATGTCGACGGTTTCGTGCCGCAGAATGGAGTTCCGAACCTCGATCCTCAGTTCTGGTCACAGCCCCAAATGACGCTCTCTGGACCGTCAACACAGCCAGCCTCACTGTCTCCGGATCCAGCGGCTGGCGCTGAAATGAAAGACAATGCTCATGATCTACCTCAATGGCCTTTGCCTCCTTCCGGCCCCGGTGGGAGGAAGAAGATGCCAAAAGACGAAATGTTGGCAAGGCGGCGAGCCAGAAACAAGGAGTCCGGTGAGCGGAACTGAAGAGGGATTCAGACCAGAGCTGATGGAATTCCAGCACTCATGCATCGGAGGAAAAAGCAGGCTAAGCTGGAGGACATTGACAGCAAATTGAAAGAGCGAGAGGCGGCATACGATATATTAGACTCACACTGCCGAGCATTGGAGAAGCAGTGAGTGGATAGCTAATCTCTGACAGAAACAACCTTTCTGACCTGCTATAGAGTCCAAGAGCTCCAGCATATCATCCTGAATGCGGGACTTTCGCTACCGACTCCGTTCCATGCGAACTCATCGGCACCGCCTGCGCCAATATCCGTCAACGAGATGACTGCTGAATCCAATGAGCTTGCTCCCATCAATATGGGGATCATGTTCAACAAGGACACCCCGGCAGGCACGATCCAAACTCAAGCGATCAATCACGCCTCAGTTGGTTCTTCAGCCATGGACACGACATTGAATCCGTTCGACATGTTCTCCTTTCTGGACATGGATGGAGAAGACGATGCAGAGTTCATACCCCCGACATCCCCCCGCGATTCAGAGGACGGAGGTGGCGGCAATAGGACAGGCAAAGACAAGGGCAAGAGACGGCGCCATGGCGAGGATGAAGAGGATGACGATGACTTTGTGGACGATGATGTGGAAGATGAGGATCTCTTCCTGCCCATTGAAGATGTGCCTGTCCCACCTGCTGCTCAGATGGAGAGTGCGATGAGGAGTCTCGGAGTGGATAGTCAAGACGACTTGGCGAGACTGATCAATAAGATGGTGACTGCGGGCAAGGAGGGAATGACCAGCGAAATGGTAGACAAGTTGAAAGTCTTGATCTCACTCGTGGGACCTAATGGGACTTGGTCAACGACTGATCAACTCACCCCTGCGAGTCAGAATGCTGGCCAACCATGAATATATAGCATGCATGGGCTGTTCATGTCTCTGGTGTCGTGATGGCGAGCGGCGGATAGTGTCTGTACAGCTGTATCTCGGTGTGTCGAGGGCCTGTAAACCCCGACTTTCCCCTCATTTACCTATCAAAAACGTGAGAGCCATGGCTACACACGCTAGTGACACGTAGGGTGATAATCTTTCCCCTATCCGTGCGCATTTGAAGAAGACACCGAGGAAGCTACGAGCACATGTCAATCAGAGCGTGAAGAGACGGTCTCAATAACGACAGCGGTCTCTGAACCCAGTCGATGATTGACACCGCCTATGACTACCCAGACAACCTCCCACTTACCCATCCCTATTCCTGTCTACTAATCCAGGTGCAGCTCCACGTATATATGTGCATGTACATATCAGTAGGAGGAAGACCAATAGCAGTGACGCAAAGTTGAAGAGAGCAGACTGAGCATTGGAAGGCGGCTTGGTCAGCTTGCGTCGACTCATTCCATGGGGTTGTCCACCGACATACCATCTGAGCTGGAAGTTGGTAGGAAGTGACGAGTCACGTCTCCTCAAAATTGGTGATCTTTCCTCCTATGTGCTGGTATTCCTATGCTCTCGTGTGTATAACGTCACAGAGTCCCTGTAGCTCCAATCTTCGTTCTCCGCTGGCCGTTGTGCGCTGTGAGAGTTGTTGAAAATATCAGCAGGTCCAAAGGACTACTGACGACGGCCGCCGCGTAGACACGATGTCAGCGGTGGTCGCCGCCAGCGATCGAGCCGACAGATAGACGTGCACGCCAATGTTTTTGTGGAATTACTGACTTATCACTCCAGTACAGGATGAGCATGCGGCAGAAGTCAGGATTAGGAATCTGTCCAAACAGACCAAACCTGGGTTGAGGACTTTGAAAAATGCCTGGAGATGCGCGGTCCTCGAAAGGACCAAGCCCAAGCTCACCCTCGAGCTCCTCCAAGACTGTCAGCAAGATGGGTCCACCGCCTGCAAAGAAGATGGGAAGTTTGAGCTCGGTGAGTGGTCAGGGTCGTTCTACCAATTCCTTGGTCTCCTAAATGACCTCCCTATTGAACGTAGATTCAAGCGAAGCTCAACTTCTCCGCTCGACCAAGCACAGGCTCTACCACTATTCAAACGAAGAATGCAGAGGACAGAAAGAAGATGCCTCCGCCAACTCTCACTGCGAAAGCTGTACCGGTAGTCCCTTCCTCTAGCCGGGCACCTAACATTTCGTCGAAATCTGCTCCGTCGCTTGGGGCCAGCACGAAGGATAAAGGTCGTGCGAACGATAATCTTGAGATCATGGATGATGAGGATGAAGCCTTTGAAGCGACCATCAAAGCCCTCGACTCCAGTGAGGCTGCTGAGCCTTGGGGCCTCGTCTTTGCTAAAGGTGTCTAGCGTCAGGTATGATGTGGGCTGACCGGTACGCTCCCACAAACGAGGTGAGTGATTCCTCTCCGTTGTCACATATCCCTGGAGAGCGTCGCTGAACCCGTTTCACTCAGGTCGATCTCGCTCCCGGAAAAGCGCGCTTGAAAAAGGTCAAAGGGTGGCTCCACGAAGCGTTGTATGGTCATCCGCCAAACACAGCACCACAAGGCGAATCATTAGAACGGCTCAGAGACAAAGTCAGAAAGTATAGGGTGAGTCTAGATTTCAGACTCCTGGGTATACACCTTGATCTCTTTCGCTCAGCGAATACTGCTTCTCACCGGTCCGGCTGGAGCTGGGAAGACAACCTCCTTCAGAGTCATAGCACAAGAGATGGGTCTTGATGTGGTCGAATGGAACGAGGCGATTGAAGAGCGAAGTCTTGGAGGAGGTTTTGGTAAGTCCTGAAGCGCCTCGTGCTTGTACTGAACTGATGATGCTAGACCGCGAATCACCCGTCTACAAATTGACATCGTTCCTGTCTCGGAACTCATTCACGCCGCTCGCCATGACTCAAAGTTCTTCCCAAGCCTCGTCCTCACGTCCGAAGGCTCGCCCTCGCATCTTACTACTCTCCTCCATCCCGAATGTCTCCCATCTACCGACTAAAGAAGCGTTCCAAGCGGCTCTATTGTCTTTCTGTCAGTCTTACACGTCTAGCAGCTGTCCCCTGGTCATCATATACAGCTCTGTTGGGTCTAGTGGACGTGCCGAAGAGAGCTGGATGGACAGAGAGAGGGGCTCAACAGATGGAATCACCGAGATTCTCGGTAAAGACATGAGGGATGGCCCCTGGTCTACAGAGGTCGAGTGAGCTACCGTAGCCCACGCATATGTTTGTATTGACTTAATCCGCAGCTTTCTGCCGCTCGCTCCAAGTTTCGCTGTCAGAGCATTGAATAGGATTCTGCCACTGGCTGTGAAGAGCCCATCAGACCGACCGCCAGCCTCTGCGTTGCAACTCATTGCACTCACTTGCAATGGCGACCTCCGCTCAGCTGTCAACTCTCTCCAGCTACTCTGCTCCCGAGTGGCAAAGCAGGACGGGCGGAAACGGAAACGAGATGACGAGGAACTGAACAGCAAATCTAAAGCCAAAGGTCGAGGGAGTCAGGGCGGGAAGGGGGCAAAATTGGACCTCAGCGATCAGCTGAGAGCGGTGTAAGTTCGATGTCGATCGCGCGTTCCAGTGAGACTGATAGCGTTGGATTCCTAGGCTGGACGTAGTGTCTCGCAAAGAGCAGAGCTTGAACCTTTTTCACTCACTAGGCAAGATCTTCTACAACAAGCGTGAGTGCAGCTATGTGCTGCTTCCATTGTCTAACAATGTCTCATAGGTGTGACAGATCCCGGTATAGAGGAAGAGGACCGCGAGCTCTACTCTTTCGTTCGCGCGATGCCAGAGCCAGACGGGCTCCCGAGTCACCTGAAAGACTTTGAGAGGAGCAGATCTATGGTGCAGATTGAGGTGTGACCAACTCTTATTTGCTCGCCAAGATCATATCCTGATGAAGATGTCTAGGCATTCATACCGACCATCCCTGTCGATACTTCGTCGTTCGCTCTCTGGGTTCATCAATCACTACCTGCCTATTGTACCGACGTCGACCAGGTTGGCGCTGCCCTGGACGACTTGTGCTCAGCCGATGTAATGAGGACGGAGGAGGATATCGTGAAGCTACCTGCTCCGTTGCGCCATATCGACTGACCACATTGTAGTGGCAATCGAGCACACATGCCATCGCTTACGCTCTACATCTCACTATCCGAGGGGTTCAAATGGCCCTGCCGAGTCCGGTTCCTAGGTGAATTCTACCCTTCTACTCGCCATTGATAGTGGCTCACGGTTGCTGCCTCAGAAATCGTCAAAAGATTGTCAAACCGCAATTCTTCGAGTCTTATCGTCTCAGCAGGATCAACACTGACAAGCTGAACTATGGCGCTGCCTACTTGACCAAGAAGGCTATTGCAGCCAGTGCCAAGCTTGCCGGGGCGGGTGGCGCACCCTCAGTGGATGATCCTCCTTGGGGCGGAATGATACCGAAGGACGTCATAGCGACCGAGATGCTGCCGATGATGATCAAGATTCAATCAGCATCCAAGAGTATGCTGGAGTTCTTCCGTATACACACAGCTGATTGTGGCTCTCTTAGCCCCGCTGCTCCCTTCCGCAGTTCAATCTCTGGCCATGCCCCCATATGCGATGCTCACGATGGGAGAAATTGAGCTACGAGCCAACGAGGATATCTCGCAGGAGCTTAGCGAGCTGGCGGTCGGTGAAGAGGAGAGTGAGGTGGTCGATACCTCTGTCTGGGTCGACGAGTCGGACAATGCACCACAGGAGGATGATGCTCTTGCGGGAGACGATATCGAGAATTGGGATTGATTTGTATACTCGACATTGACACCGCATGAGACGACAAGGGACTTGATATGTGTGTATGCATCGGACGCATCGCCGTCAATGATTGTACTATGCTGATGTGAGCCGTGATGAGTATGTGCGACGCTAATTACTCTTCATTTCCCCTCATTGATAAGAACCCTATCTTCCGCTTTGCCATGACTATTCACGACTGCTCGAATACGTCTCATGGGCCAGACTATATGAGACACGCGAGCGTTGATCAGAGCCAGAGGTATCTACGTCCTCATCAGGACCGAACGCGGACAATGGCCGGGAGCCCGCCGCATCTACGACTCACTGGACCATACACATTGGAATCTCGGGTCTTCTCATTTGAATCACCTTCCACCCAACAGTGTCCTCGGGGTATACGGATAGGGTCTGACGATCCATCGGCTGGCTGCACCACATCTCCCTGAAGGGCTATGATACGTTTGGCAGTAAGCAGATATGGATCGTTCGGGGACCTAGAAGGAGCCGGTCAATCAGCTCATGCTTGACCTCGCAGACCTTGGAGCATCGTGGCATACCATAACGTCACGACTTGACCTCTGCGAAACCGCCTGAGGACGACGCTCCATTTCTCTAGTAGAACAGTGTCCTTATCCGAGGAGCCTCTCGTGTGTCCAGGATTGAAGGTAGGCTAATGATAACCCACGTTAATTCATCCCTTGGCAAAAGCAAAATGGTTGCTGACCTCCATCGACCCGCCCGTGATGGTCGCTATCGAGTATCCATATTTAGTGAAGCATATTCCAACGGGGATCCAGGCTAAGATACCGCTGATATCCATCATCAGTGACATGATTCCACTGCAAGCATGTAGAACGGCTCAACCCACAAAGCTTGACGAGGGGTGAGATTTCGAAAGAGTCTCGAGGTGTTCGGCCCCGAGGCCATTGAGCTATGTGAGTCGGCCCACTCAAGGCTGAAAGCTCGTTTGACTCCGAACACTTAGTGATCCGCTGCGTTCTCCTGCTGACCCGTCGCTCATGCGTTCCTCGGAATCCAAGTGGATCGTTGGAGATGTAGGAATCTAGACATCTTTGACCATTTTCCGATGTAGCGGCAACTGTTCGTGTGACGACCGTGGGAGACATAACAGACAGGATAGCCGCTATCCGCTTCTTAGCAGCGTAACACTAGGCTCAGCGTCCATGGCTGCCTGCGTGGCTTCAAAGTCCCTTACAAGGTCTCTCACTCGGTTCGAAGGCTCTCTTGTGCATGCAATAGTAGTATGCTGTTCACACCATGATGCCCAAGTTTTGTGCCCCTCAACCTTGAAATCGCCACTTTTGTCAATTCATAGAATTCGTCCATTTTTTGTGGTCAAGTTTCAGTCATACTCAGTCGCCTGACCACTTGCTGTCTTGACTGACACGGTCTTGCTGAGCATTCAGCTTGCCTCAAGTCCGGGACAGAATGATCAAGTGTGCAGGATGTCAAGAGAAAGAAGCCTCAAGGTTGGAATGTCCAAAGTGTAAAAAGTGAGAGTCCACTGGTGTGCTTCGCATATAGGCTGACGTTTGGTCGTTGCAGGTTAGGCATTGCAGGGTCTTTCTTCTGTACTCAGGATTGCTTCAAGAAGTATTGTGAGTGGCTGTCATCTACCAGATTGAGTGTGAGGCTGATCTTGTTCCTTGTCAGGGGTAAGCGTTGTAGCTCAGACCAGACATCATTTTGGCTGATAATTGTCGGAGAACGACCACAAAGTCATACATGATATCATAAACATCGCCGCGAAGGCAGAGGAGGAGAGTGAGTGGCATACGGTGTCTTTGAAGTGATTCAGCAACCTGACCTCTGGTGGCTTAGAGAGCGCCACTATCCCACCCAACATGCGCAACTACGCCTTCACAGGTACCATTCGACCTGTCTACCCTTTGTCCCCTTACCGTGAAGTTCCAAAACACATTCAAAGGCCAGATTATGCGGATGATCGTGAGGCTGAGGTCTCTTTTGGAGCGCTTATGCTGATCACTCCTCGTATAGCTCGCGGCGTATCGGCTTGTGAGATGGCGGAGAGGCGGACAATCCAGGTCTGCACACCGCAGGAGATTGAAGGAATTCGTAAAGTCTGCAGAGTGGGTCGATCCCAGCGATAACTAAGGTCTGAACTGATTTCACGTTCGTTTACAGCTGTCCCGGGATGTGCTGGATATCATCGCTTCTCACGTCAGACCTGGAATCACGACCGACGAATTGGACAGAATATGCCACGAAGAGTGCATCAAGCGAGATGCGTATCCTAGTCCATTGAACTATAACCGATTCCCGAAGAGCGTCTGCACGAGTATCAACGAGGTCATCTGTCACGTATGTCCAAATTTGGGCGATCGGTGATCGTCGCTGACCTCAAGCAGGGTATTCCGGATCAACGTCCACTGGTGGAAGGCGATATCATCAATCTCGATGTGTCTCTGTGTGGGTAGACTTGGGGACGGAAAAAGGAATTTTGACTCACTTTGGACGTAGATCATGGAGGTTTCCACGGGGATGTCAACGGGACATATCCCGTTGGTAAAGTCGACGAGGAATCAGCGGAACTGATGGCAACCACGAAACGGAGTATGGAAGCTGCCATTGCGATCTGCAAACCTGGCGTCGCGTACAGAGACATTGGAAATAAAATTGAGGAGATCATCAAGCCAAAAGGCTACGGGATTGTCAGGCGGTATACAGGGCACGGTATACATCATCTGGTGAGCTAGATCGTCCCGAGGTTCTCGATTTCCGCTGACGATAAGCTTCAAGTTCCATTGCTTGCCGAATATTGCTCATTATGGCGGCAGTAAGACACCGGGGAAGATGGAAGTTGGACACGTATTTACGATCGTGAGTGATGTGAACGCCAGGAATGAGGCAGTGTCTGATTCGAGCAGGAACCAATGATCAATCTTGGGACTGAGAACCTGAGTGAGCTGAGACTGGGACAACGACGAGCATTTCGTCTGATATGCAAACTCTAGCCCACTGGAAGGACGACTGGACAGCCGTCACTCTAGACGGCAGACGCTCAGCCCAATTCGAGGAGACCATCTTGTGAGGCAAAAAAAGCGGGCGGTACCTGATGCCTTGCAGAATTACTGAGAATGGGGCCGAGATCCTGACGAGATACTCAAAGAACAAGAAAAAGAAGAAGAAGACTGCCGGAGGCCAAGCAGCAAACGGTGTGGCTGATGGAGACGATACACCGGAAGGAGCTGCGACACCCACAGCCGCCCAAGCTGCTCAAGGTGTAGAGAGCCTTAAAGTCGAGTAAACCACCAAAGGGAGGAGGAAGTATCTTTGAGTCAGTCGTACCATTGATCATCCAAGATCCTAGATGTACAAGATGCACCCTGCTATATCGCTGTCCGATCTACTCGCCTGGTGGAGACGTCCGTAGCTGTTGATGAGTCAGAATCGGCTTGCTATTGGTCAAATGCCGAGGGGAACTCACTGAGACCCCATGCATCCCCTCAATCTCCTCTTTAATAGCGTTCTGGACGGCTTTGTGTTGTTTCACTTTGGTCATGCCGACAAACTTTTCAGACTCAATATCAATGTTGAAGAATGATCCGCATCCTCCTTTAAAACTAGCCTCAGAAAGGTCGTCCCTGGTCATTTGGAATGTGGATTCACCTGATGTATCTTGTATCCCCAACCGAGTAGGATTAAATTCCTTTCTCAGCTTTTCCTCCATACGCTTCTCGACGTGTTCGCCCGATAGAGCTCCAGCTCTCCGTGAAGACGTATCGGAGAAAGCGCGAGAACCGATAGTCGGGCGAGAGGCGGAAGAGGAACTGGCTGATGGGGCAGCGAGGTAGATTTGGCGCGACGAGCTTGAAGTGGGTCGAGCTATCCAAGCTCTCGCTATAAGTCTGCTCTTACTTATGGACATCATTGTGGACGCCTGGCAGCCTGCCGCTCGCTGTTATGACAGGCGTCGATCGGGTATCCTGCTGCTTTGAACATTTCGTATGAAGCCCGGAAATTTGATTCCGTTCACCCACGGGCGCGCGGACACTCGTTGACCTCATTCGCCCGCCCGCGATAGATCACTGTTGAGCTCGGTCGAGTACTTGCTTGAGAGAGCCATTTGGAGTAAGATCTTGAATCTTTGAAGGCAGACGACACCTGTGCTCTGGGGCTTTTTGAGCTTCTGAGATATCACAAGATCTGGCCCGCACATCCCTGGCTTAGTCCTGCGTCATGGCCGACGCAAAGCTATTCAGTAAGTATTCTACTTGCAGAATTGATAGACCCGTCGCTGAGGCCCTCTTGTAGCTCGAGGGCGGACAGAGGAGCTCCGTGATGAGCTTCGTCAATCTGGTGACAGGCGGGACAAGGGATTTTTGAGGAAGAAGACGGCCTTAAAGAAGATTGTAGCTAACATGACCATGGGGAATGATAGTGAGTCGGCGGCAGTCGCAGGCGAACTTCCCTTCTCCGCGATGTCGATCCTGGCATCAAGTAGACTTTATGCTCACCTCACATTTCAGTGTCGAGCTTGTTCCCGGATATGATCCAGTGTATGCAAATTCAAGTCCTAGAGATCAAGAAAAGTGAGTGTCCGCCATGTGCCCTAAGTCCAAGTTGATGATCTGCCAGTGGTGTATCTATATTTGGTCAACTACGGGCGAGCGAGACCCGAACAAGTCCAAGGAGCTATCGGCGGTTTTTTATCTGTAAGGCTCCTCATACAAGGCAAAGCTCTAGTCACTGATCCATCCTGAAGGACTGTAATGACCGTAATCCGTTGATCCGTGGACTGGCAATACGGACAATGTCCTCCATACCTTTACCACATATCGTTCAGGCATTGGCGGATCCTCTGAGACACGGACTACAGGATCAAGATCCGTACGTCAGGAAGACGTCGGCAATTGCGTGAGTCGAGTGACCGCTCTGTAGCTGTGCGTTGTACTCAAGCTCGAGCAGGGTTGCCAAATTGTACTCGTCGGACCATGGAAGGCGTTTAGTCGAGCATGAAGGATATGTGGCTATGCTGAGGTACGCGAAACTTTGATTCTGTCTGCTAATGACTCTCCGCAGGGATCTACTAGCGGATCACAATCCTACAGTAGTAGCCAATGCCGTTTCCGCTCTGGTGGAGATATCTGATAGAAGTACCGATATTTCTCTGCGTCTGAATGCGACTGTAGCCGGAAAGCTTGTTGCTGCGCTGGGCGAGTGCTCAGAGTGAGTTGAAGAAGGCTTCACGTCCACACCCGTCTGATACCCGATCAGATGGGGTCAAATCTACATCTTGGACTCTCTCTTGTCCTTTGTTCCTCAATCTCACATGGACGCGGAACAGCTCGCAGAGCGGATCTCTGTCCGCTTACAGCACGCCAACTCTGCTGTCGTTTTGACGACCATCAAAGTCTGCCTCTACCTGATGAATTACATGGAAGATGAAACGTTGATTCGGGCCCTTGAGCGCAAGATGGGACCACCATTAGGTGAGCCAGTTGAATCAATGGTGTGTATTGACCTGCAAAGTCACTCTACTCTCTTCTGGATCCGAGGTCCAGTATGTCGGTCTGCGAAATATACTCCTCATCATCCAACGACGGCCCGCAATCCTCCAAAACGAGGTCAAAGTCTTCTTCTGCAAATACAATGACCCGATTTACGTCAAGCTGGCCAAACTCGAGATCATGTACCGACTGACGCGGGATGAAAACGTTTCCGAGGTCCTCGCCGAGCTTAAAGAGTACGCGACTGAAGTCGACGTGGATTTTGTTCGGAAAGCCGTCAGATCCATCGGCCGATTGGCAATCAAGATTTCCTCAGCGTCCGACCAGTGTATACAGACACTTCTGAACTTGATGCAGACCAAGATCAGCTATGTTGTCCAAGAAGCCATCGTCGTCATTAAGGACATCTTCAGACGGTATCCCAACCAATATGAAAGTGTCATTGGGACCTTGTGCGAAAACCTAGACGCCCTGGACGAGCCGGAAGCCAAAGCGGCAATGATATGGATCGTTGGTCAGTATGCCGATAGGATCGAGAATAGTGATGAGCTGCTGGAAGACTTTTGTTTCAGCTTCAGAGAAGAGCCGCCAGAGGTGTGTTGACGTAGCTTTAAGTGTACTGATGATCCCTCAGGTGCAACTGGCCTTGTTGACGGCGACTGTCAAACTCTTCCTTCATCGACCGACTGCTGCTCAGGAGCTGCTGCCGAAAGTCCTCAAGCTGGCGACCGAGGAAGCTGACAATCCGGATCTGCGTGATCGAGTGAGCCGAGTGTGCAAAGAGCTTGGAGATCATGCTGATGGGTATCTCAGGGATTTATGTACTGGCGTCTATTGACTTCCAATCCAACGGCGGCGAGGGAAGTTGTGCTGTGCGACAAACCTCCGATCTCTACAGAGACTGACAGGATGGATAAGGGCATGTTGGACCAGGTAGGCGCACCAAGCAGAGGGGCGAAACATTGGAGCTCACACCGCACAGCTGCTGCTACACACGGGCACACTTGGAAGTATCTACCACAAAAACCCAAATGTCAGCGTCACAACACAGCCTTCCTGTACTGACCCCGCTGCAGACTTTTATTCGCACTGCCAAACCCAAATATTTGCCAGACTCTCCAGCGTTAAACGCTTCGTCCAGGCGTCACCGTATATCACCGCAAGGCATGGGCGTCAGTACATTGCGTCCAAGCTCCTCCGTACCGAAGATCCCTCAGCGTCAATCGACGGTGCCTGCTTCGCCTCAAGCTACTCGGTCTGTCTCTCAAGCAGCAGCACCAGATGTCAGTCCGCCGGAACGAAAAGGCACGATGGACACGGAGGATGACGATAATTTGGCGGATCCCTATGGGCAGCTTGGGGATCTCGAATTTGGAAGTGGGTCCGGGGGAGGAATGGGAGGAGGGTACGAGACGGATGCGCCAAGACCTAGGGGAGCGGAAGAGGATTTATTGTTCTAGCGAAAAGGTTTGCTAGATGGATGCCACCAGACGGGATAGGGTATCTCATGTATAGGCGTCTTGCTGACCTGGTGTAGTCATGAATTGTGTTCAGCGTATCCTGTCCAAGATTCTGACATTCAGTTTCATGCCATGCACTGGCAACCGAATGGCCTCTGTGGACTATGCACGAAGTCGACGAGCCTGCACGGCAGTCCGTAGCTCCCAACGCCAGACAGATTCTACTCCGGGTGGCATGCTCGCGGCGCCCGTTTGCTTAATTTTTAGAGCCAAAAAAGGTCTCAGGCATGCTCACCACACCGTTCATCTCCTCTGACAATCAACGTCAGTTCTCGTTCCATGGCTCGGTGGACGTGAAGACCAGACACGCTGATCATCAGGTATACCACACAAAGGTTCGGACTGCGCTCGACACGTGACGTTCCATCTGTTCATAGCTAGATCATGGATGGAGTTCACACTCAATCGGCTGGCCCTTCCCGCTCCCGGGCTCAGTCCACATCCACAACTCTACCTGCATCCACAGACTACCTGAATGGCAAAGGTGCATCTGTACACAATGGTCGACAAAAGGTGCGACTTTCCGATGTTGGTGATGAATCAGATCCTCCAGAGTACTCTGATGATCCATCCTGGCGAAAACACGTTGCTACTGGACCATCTAAAGGGTCTAGAACATCTTTCGAGAATGATGCGTATGGTGACGGTGCTTCGGGTCATCAGATAGGAATGAACAGAGACGTGTCTATGGATAGGAGTGATGCGGCGTCCATAGCGACTGTGGATCAGAAGAAAGCACTGTGGTGGAGGGATGTCTTGATAACGGGCTTGTTCATCGCCTCGTGGTATGTCCGCTGGTGTTTCCCCCACGAATGATCGTTGCAAGAGACTGACGTGTCAAACACAGGTACGGCTTTGCAACCCTCTTATCCTTGTACAACAAGTGGATGTTCACACCGAAATACTACAACTTTCCATACCCTCTGTTCGTCACGACTTGTCATTTCTTCATCCAATTTTTACTGGCCGCGGCCATCCTCAATATCTGGCCAAAGCGCTTCAAGCCCGTTGAACGACCGACACGCAAAGATTATGTGTGGGTGTGACCTTTGCTGAGTTGACGACTTCTGCTCATTGCTTGTCGGCACAGGTCAAAGATTTTCCCAGCGGCTCTGAGTACAGGTGGAGATATCGGCCTCTCCAATCTCAGTCTCAAGATTATTACCCTGAGTCTGTATAGTGAGTACTGCTCCCCGCCTCCATTCCTGACCCCTAGCTATGGCCAAATCCTCCACCCTCCTCTTCGTCCTTTTCTTCGCCTTTGTCTTTCAGATTGAGAAACCTTCAGTCCGACTCGTCGCAGTCATCTTTCTCATCTCTTTCGGTGTGTTCCTCATGGTATTCAATACCACCTCCGTTTCTATCCCCGGCCTCGTCATGGTCTTTTCAGCCTCTGCGTTGGCAGGTCTGAGGTGGGCATTGACCGAATTGGTCATGCACAAGAAGTCTATGGGTTTAGGCAACCCGTTCGCTACCCTGTACTGGCTCGCTCCGCTCATGGCTCTATCCCTTGGCATCGTCAGTATGGGAGCAGAAGGCTGGTTCAAGGTCTTGGGGAGCGAACATTTGCAGGGGACCAAGGCGATCTTCACTATCGGTGTCATCGTCTTTCCGGGATTCCTTGCTTTCGCCATGGTCTCCAGCGAATTTTTGTGAGTCTACACATCGGCGGTAAAAATACTGACGCGGCTTAAAGCATCATACACCGAGCGGGGTCAGTTCCTCTGTCAATCGCGGGTATCTTCAAGGAAGTCACGACCATCACTATCTCGGCGCTGGTATTTGGTGACGAATTGACAGAGCTCAATATGATTGGTGTCGCTATCACAGTCTGTGGTGGGTATAACGTGTCAAATGCGAGGCGAAATCGCTGATTGTTATCAGGAATCTGTGTCTACACATATCACAAATACCAGCGATCCATGAAGCAGACTGTCTCACTCGACTCGCGTGGTCAGCCTGTGGGATCGCCAGGTCATTCCGGCGAGAGTGGATCTGCCTACGCGCACGACTCTGAGCACCAGCCGTTGACGACGACTTCGCCATCTGGGTACACCAGAGTCCAGTTGCATCCCGTGCGGACTCCGCGGTCTTCAGAGACCAGAGATGAGCGGACGCAGCGACTCAGAGACGACTTTGAGGGTTGGAATGATCGAGAGGATTGGAGCGACGATGAGCATGAGGGATCAACTGGGGAAGCTGGTGAAGATGAAGTGGCGAGATTGAGAGCGGAACGGGACGGTAAAGTTGTAGATGACGTTCAACCTGCAGGTTGGGGACCTTGGTGGGATCAGAAGATGTGATCCGAGAAAGGACCATTTAGATTAGATTGACTTATACGCATTCACCCAAGGATCTTCTGCATGATCTCACGACTGGCTTTACATCTGGCGAGCTTCTCATGGGCCCTATTATGCTCTGTGATGCTTGTTACGGTGGTGCGACTTGCCTGGAAGACCGAAGAGGTGACGGACACGAGTGCCAAAGGAAGGCCTGAGTACCGTCAGGAATGATCCTGGTCCACCAGGCTTTACTTATTGGCTGTTGCACCCATCGCGTGCAATTCTGCCTTTGCTTCAGTCCTTCCGGCATGAGTGGTTCGAGGATTGTTGATGGCCTGTGTTCGAAGTCAGCGTCCAAAGCATATGTTTTCCTTACACTTCGCAGACCGCGGATCCGATTCTGTCGGTGAGAAGTATGCGTGTGAGATCGTTTGTGGCTTCCAAACATGGTGGCAGGTAGCGATCAGTCAAGTTGGGAATATGAGATCGACAGTAGACAACAAGAAGGACAGATGTCGAATGGGAAAGACAGTCCATCTCGATGGCCAACTACATATATGTATGGTTTCCTCAGCACTGACGACCTCATGCACTCAATGACGACATGACACACTTGTTCGCCATCCAAGCGAGCGCTTCGAACGTTCAGGTACAATCAACGAACAGAAGACGTCATAGAATACATTGACAGCCTCGCTTAGACCTTTTCAAAGGCTTTCTTTGCAGCATTCAGACTATCTGTCAATTGACCTCCAAAGTCATTGGCAAGCTTCTCTACATCATCTGCACCAGGTTCTTTACGTCCGCCTAGGTTGTTGATACCGTCGGATCTAGCCTTACGGACTTGATTCTTGGCGGTTTCAATTATTTGGGCGAGTTGACGCAGAATCTCTTGACGTTGCTCGTGGGTCGGCCTGGCAAAGGGTCGGTGAGTCAGAGTTTTATGTATGGCTGCAGCTCCTGGTGACCCACCTGCTGACTGGTATCTTGAGGGAAGTTTCACTCATACGAAGAGGGGATACACCGGGGAGATTCGCTGCCTTGATGGCAGACTCTACGCCTTTCATAGACTGGTAGTGACCGCATAAGCTATCAGACAAAATGGCCAGATGCTTCGAGCTCACAGTTGAGTCCCATACGTCCACCCACAGCGCTCCTTGACGCACGGTCACAGAGGCCACAGTATTTAAGTGATGTGATCCCTCACTTTCGGAGGTGGTCACACGGACATTATCCAGCAATGCTGCATACATCAGTGTGTCTTGCATGATAAGGCCACTGAGACACTCACAAGGCGACAGCTTTCCACTGACTCGTTCGACACCTTCATACACTTGAGCCTTTGCCCAATCCGTAGCCTTTTGCATACGTTCTTTGGCTTTGGACAAGACGGTCTCAAGGTCATCAACTGGCGCAGCTTCGTACCGATGACCTTCTGGGTTCTCTTCAATCTCCGAGGCCACCTGGTTCTTGGCCTCTTTGTGTGCCTTCTTCACAGCTGCAGCTTTGGACTTTTTGAAGCTAGGCGGAGTAGACGAAAAGGATCGCAGAGGCGGAAGGCGCGCCAGCCGTGAGGGGCCAGCAACCGCATTGCGTGAGAGATTCATAGTTCCCCGAAGTAGCGAATGTGCCATCTTGAATGTGTCCGGTATAGATTAGGACACTCAATGTTGACCAACAAGCTCAATCAGACCGGCCGGAGTCGTCGTCGGAATTTCGGTCAGGTCACGTGAAATGTCAAGCCAAGCCAATAATTACGGCATCACTGAAATTTTGGTTGTACAGACCGTGTCAAATGCCTCGACAAGCTGATTTGTGTCTTGACTGACTGTCTGTACAGCAGCAACCGCCTTATATGACCAGGATCACCTCGTTCAACTTGCCGAAGAAGACTTTCGTGTCTTCTAGGGCTGAAGAGACTGGCGATTCTACCGCTGGACCGTCAAATATCAAGGCTCAACTGCAAGGTCCAGGCGCCGATCAGCCAAAGAAGAAGTCTAAGCGGAGAGGGCGTCGAGGCAAGGAGGATGTAGCCGTAACGCAACATGATTCCGCATCATCTGGGTCAAAACCGAGTGTATCGCAAGGAGGAGCAGGATGGAAGCGAGATCGATCGATAGCGAGTGAGTCCGCTTTGCTCCCTCACACTTACACATGATCTCTGCTGACCTTATCTCAGAACGTGCACGCTTCGCCGCTGAACGAGCGGAAGAACGTCGGTTGAATCGTCAGAAACAGAAGAACTCATCGACGACTTGCTTCGCCTGCCGATCAGTCGGACATACTGCCAGGGACTGTCCGAACATCTTACTGGCGACGGAAGGGCCTCAAGGGACTGCGGAGCTGTTGGGAGATATTTCCGCGAAGGTTGATTCTGAGACTAAGGCTGGGGGAAGTGTATCGGACGGAGGAACCAAGGGCTTGAAGCGGAAGAAGGGTAAACTCGGGGCAGATCTGGTCGGCAATCGATGCTACAGGTGAGAATCCCCCTCTTTTCCCGCATCCGGACCCGTCTTAACCTCCTCCCCCAGATGTGACTCTACAGGTCACTCCCTCAGTTTATGTCCCGAACCGATGGATTTGGAAAATCCCACACCGTTCGCAACGTGCTACATATGTCTCGGTCGAGGTCACCTATCGTCGCTCTGTCCCAATAACGCCGGGAAAGGAATCTACGTCAATGGCGGATCGTGCAAGGTTTGTGGATCGACCGATCATCGGGCGAAAGATTGTCCAGATGCTCCTGTCAAGGATAGCGAGTCCAGCGGAGATACAAGGCGGGGAGGACCGAAGACGAACAGGGATTTGGTGATCGGTGTTCAGGGCGGACCTGACGAAGATGATTGGATGGTACAGAGCCGGGTGCAAGGGCCTAGTCAAACTGGTGACAAGAGCAAAGGATCTTCCTGGCCGAAAGCCAAGCCGACAAACCCCCATTCGTCTCGTGCTGCGCTCCAGGACATTAAGCGGGATCAATTGCAGGACCTTTCGGACCCGATCGAACCGGCGCCGGGACCGACAACGACCGCTAGTCCTGCACGGCCGGTCAAATCCAAAGTAAAGGTTGTCAAGTTCTGATACCTCGTGTACTCCGGTCAGAGTGGCCTGTGGCTTTATCCCCGTGATTGTTGGCGGTCTTTTTTTCAGGGATTTCGTGACCTTGTCATGCTCTACAGATACCTTTCACTGCCAATTGCAAGAATTGCGGCATCCTTCCGCACTCATGTCCAACAGCAGCGTGAAACGCGTCGACATTGCCGCCGATTCGAGCTAGGGGGCCACCCCAGAAGACTCCGATGTTCAATCGTATCCCTTGATCAGCGATCCGATGGTCAAATGTTCATGCTTCATCAGCATGGACAAAGGATGGCATAGACGGGTCACGGAGAGGCAGATAGCAGACAGTTTCACGCGATAGCCCATTACAACCTTTACCACCCACAGATCGCTCTGGCCCTTCCGTTTTCCAATGATACATAAGTGCAGACTCTTACGAGCTGCGTCATGCCTCCTTTATCCATTTAGCCTCCTTTCTCGCTCGTCTCCTGCTATAGCAGAGGAAAATTACGAGCGCGGAGTTAGTATCTGGATAGTCGATAAAGCTATATAAACTTCATACATTCTGATTGCCCCAGCGCTAACAAAAACGGATATTTTTGCGCCTTCTAATACAGACCCTACACACTGCCACAGCTTCGTCGATTGTTCCATCACAATGTCCATCCCAGCCCCAACCGAGACACGACACTTCACAGTGGATTGGAATACCATACTATCGTGGCAGACGGGGACCTGGGGGGATGGGTCCGACTGTGTCTCTATAGTCTATCCCATCACTTACCTGGGCGACTCACAATTTCAGAAAATGAAGGACGATCAAGCAATGAACGAAACATCAGTCTCTCACAACACATGTCCAGGATACGGCTGGGAGGAGCAGATGCTTAATTCGGCGCCAACGTCACAAGGTAATGAATCGCAATATCTTGCGGACAATCATGGCGTGATGAGTCCCTTGTTTTCCGTGTCACATCAGAATGACTTTGATCCCGCAACGGAATGTTCTCACCAGGCCCACAGGCGGATCGATGCTATCGAGAGCAACCTATATGACTTGTTCGAAAAAGGTGCTCTCGCAGGGTCAAGCGAATTGGAGCACTACTTCTCCAATAAGAAGGGGACGTCATCTCACTCCAAACCCAGAAAAGATAGACGAGTAAATCGACCCATCCTGACTTGTCAGAGCTGCCGGAATAGCAAGCTCAAGTGCGACAAGGGAAGACCCTGCGATACCTGCTCAAGGCTCGGCAAGCGGTGTCAATATGCCTCCACGTCGTGATCGGGGGATCTGCTTGATCCGATCGGACTTCATGCCCGACGGAGATCGTATCGCTTGTAGCCGGTATTTCGGTCTCAGGGGGTATGTTAAACAGTGATATTCCCGAACAGTAGGTCGGTAGAGAGGCACAAAGAAGGGAGGCGACAACCCCTTTTCTTCGGGAACGTGTGTCCTACTTTGCTCTTCTGCCGACACCTTCCTCCCATGCATTGCCAGCAAGCTGTCCATGAATTTTCTCGGCAAGCATCTCGGTGATCGAGATCTCGGATGCAAAAGTTGAGCCCAAAGGGCAAGGCGGCGCTTCCAGTCTCGGGCTCCTATTTCCCCTGCGGGTCCCCCGTTCTGGGAACGTCCCTCCCATCCTATCAGCACTCCTTCATACTAGGTTTTCCCTTTATCCCAAGTGGCGCGTGCAGTTCTCCTTTTAGGGATATTGCGCCGCAATCACTCTTGCGGGACCGCGTGATCATGGCCGAGGAGTTTACACTGACGTACTTGTGCTTGGGAGGGACAAATCAGAGGTGGGCGTCTATATCCCAGCGAGGAAAACAAACTGTACGAACGTAGCGGATTTGACCGCTCACGTCGTTACCCTGTTGGCTTTTGAGATGAGGATTCAAAGAGGGAGGAAGGTATTTGGTCCGAAAGAGAATGAATGCTATTCTCTCAATATTTCGCCTCGATGTTGGACGCCCCTCGAGACAAGAAACAACGCTCACGGACAGGTGAGCAGGGGCTTGAGGGATCGACGGAAAAGAACATGAATCTGACTAGAAGCGTGAATCTTCAGGGTGCCTGACGTGTCGTCGACGAAGAGTAAGCCGTCGGAAACTATCCCATTATCCTTCTACCATCCCACGCGTAATCCGCTTAGGAGCATGAATCGCCAACTTCGCTGACTGCAGTAACTACGCCCAGGTCAAATGCGACGAGTTGCCGGGAATTTGTATCAAGTGCTTGACTGTTGGCGTCGAGTGCGAGTGGGCTACCACACCGCCGACAACGATCAACCACCACCAACACCACGGCGCGGGACGCTCCGGTTCCGACGGGATTTCATTCGCCGCTGGAGGTCCATTTCACGGACTGGTAAAACTTCCAGCATGTGATACTTGTCGACTCGCCAAGACCCGATGTGACAGAGACTATCCATCTTGCCAACGATGCAAGCTGGAGAAACTGCAGTGTGTATATAGCCATTGGCGCAAGCGTCGGAATAGAGGACATAGCGCATCAACAGTAGCCGCCGGTGCTGCAGTGGTTCTCTTCCCTGCGCCTCCCAGCTTTGATGATATAGGCAATCAACGCTCTCCAGTCTCTGCTGGCCCCTCGCAGATCAACTCGAGGGAGCACTCGCATCCATCGACCGCTACATCCCCATCGATTCTGGGCGACAGGTTGTCTTCGCGCTCGGAACTCGAAAAATACCTCGATGCCTTTTTTCGACATGTCCATCCTGAAATGACAACGTCATTCATCCACCAGGGAAGATTGTTCGAAGAATTGGAGGAAACGTGGAGCTCGCCTTCTCTGTATTCAGGCTCTTCCCGAGGTATCTCAAGTCCGTTGCTGCTGAAGTGCATGGCAGCGGCCAGTGGGCGGTTCCTACCAGATGCCGATAATTCTCATCCAGATGGTGGAAACTTGCCTGCACAATGGGCTCAAGAAGCAAAAATGGCGCTCACACTCGACATGGACCGTTTCAGTATCTCCAAACTGGCTGCAACATTGTGTTTAGTGCACCACGAATATTCTTCTGGACGGATCGAAAGCGCTTGGACCTGGACTGCGGTGGCCAGTCGAATGTGCATCGGTTTAGGTCCTCACAATATTTGCCGACCTGACATTTCAATCTCTCAAGGCGGTGTCGATGAATACGAGTCTGATTGGATCCAGAACGAGAGCAAGAAGCGACTGGTATGGGCGACAGTCTGTGCTGACGCTTGGACCGCATGTGGTCCGGCAGAGTGTTCGACATTTGATCGACACCTCATCAAAGATTTGCCCCTGCCCAGCACCGAACGCGAATTTGCCTTTGGTCGCGATGTGCCTTGCAAATTTCCTCGACCTACGTTGTCGACGAAGACGCTCGAACGAGGTCAGCTCAGAGGCACAAGCGCGAATCATGTCTGGCTCACACTGTTGGGCAATGACGTTCAATGGTGAGCGTAGCGTAGAATCGCGCGCCAATCACAGGAGTAAAGGAAGCTGACTACAGATGGCACAGGCATCTCAAACACATTGCGGACGATCCGCGACCCTGGGAACCAGACTCTAATTTCAACGAACTCAGATTACGTCTGGAGCATTGGCACGAGAGCTGCGCATCAGATATGCGCTTTGACGTGTCCACGATGTACGCGCGGAAAGACGACCCGGATTTTGGATCCTGGATACTCGTTCAGCTCCGCGCAGAGCAGATCGGGTTTCTCCTTCGTCGTTTCACCATGCCGAGCTACGAAGACATTTTGCCACCGGGCTATCTAGATCATGCGCCTTCAGAGTGGGTAGCTCAAGTCAGGAAAGAATGCGAAATGCACGCTCGCAATTTGGCTCGGAAGATATCGATTGTCACACGTCGATTCCCACAGTTTGTTCCTGCAAATTGGACTTGGAACATGTTCATATACGGAAGTATACGTGAACAGCCTGCGGTGACGGCGTTACGATCGAAAATGAGCTCACAGGTCTGTGCGAATCCTGCGGAGGGTACGATACAAGTCCGACCTGAGATGGGTACTCCGCCTCGTCCTTCTGGAGCTCTAGCAGGCTTATCGTGCGCTTCTGGTGATGATGCCATGGTCGAGGAAGGATTTTACGCCATGATTTTCCTGCTCTATAAGATGACAGCTTGGTTTGACCAGAATCATCGCGTGGCGAGAGACTTGTTGAAGATGTTGGCGGATCAAGGAATTCATCTCGAAGCAGGGTGGACCCAGAGATTGAGGTGAGCTTCAAACGATGCTGGGTCGGTACACCCCAGCTCATGCTCATTCCCAGGTCAGACGCTCCGGGACAATCGGCACCCGGTGAACATGGCACGGACGTCTTGTCTCACCTGCCCTATCTCCGTCGGTACATTCGCGAACCGAGTGTAGGCGAATCACATACATCAGCGGTCGGCGCAAAAGACATGTGCGCGGTCCCTAATGAACGAAGTGGTCTCAACAGCCGACAATCGGTTTCAACAGGTGTCTCGGACCATACCATTCCCAGCATGTATGCGGCGACAGAGAGAATGCAAAACGGTCAAAAATCGCAGGTCGCGATAAATGATAATATCTCACAACCTTATTTACAGCAAGTGAGTTCAGAGAGTGTCACAAGTCAATACCACATAGATAGACTCACTTTCCCAGTATCCTCTCGATCAGCTGTGCGTGTCGTCTGCTACCGGTAGCAACCTCGGCTTCCCTCAAGCGCCCATGGAATTCTTCAATACGGTAGGGTCTGACGATCTCTTCGCAGCCCATTCGACTGGCTTTGCACCTCAGCCCTTATTGCCCTGGCAGCACATTCAGCCTTTGCGCTCAATGTCCACGGAGCAAGATTACGTTTCGTTGTCGAATCCCGACTCCTTCGATGGGTTCCTGCCTGTCCCGACAGATGTTTCAGAGGAGGTCAGGAGGGTTCTGGGGTAATATTGTAACAGTGTCGTGTTGGAGTGATTGCATAATCTAGCATAGAGTAACCACATTGAAGCTAGGCATGCAGACTGACGCAACCCAAATCCCGTGCGCCATCTTGGCTGTCCCGAGTAGAAGGCCTGTCTTGAGGCGCCAATTGCGCGATGTGTCGTCGAACCGCCGCCCGCAGTGATTTGTCATGCAGGGCCGGTCAAGATGTTCATGCGCGATTGAGTAATATCGAGCGGTCGATCTTGCGCTCTGGCTGCCTCAAAAACTATCAGGGCCGAGGTGATGAGCGAGTGTGGATCCCTCCAAGTTGTCACTTCGCTTGACTCTTATTGATAGAGACCGCAGTCATCGGCACCAAATCGGTATCAAAGAGCTCAATGAACTATAGCCAGGGGTGTGAGCCACAATGCCGATGACCCCGCTTGTGTCTCATGGCTAGACTGAACTCACTTGCTCGTTTAAAACCCTGACTTTCATCCCTGCAAACCGCCGATATTCTTCCAAGATACTCGATAGAGCCCATCGCTGGAGTTTCCGATAACATCCCACCACTGTACCAGTTCTATGTCGACCCATATTACAGCAGACCAAAGTCGGGAAGCTTGAAGGAGTGAGGAGGAGAGACAGCGCGGAGATGATTAATGGTTCAGGAGGCGGAGGAAGAGGCGGAAGATGATCTACAACAGGTTGTCAATTCCCTTCTCTGTGGCGGGACGACCATCCACTTACATTGCCCTGAGAGAGGAACAACGTCCCCGTCGGCATATGGAGGCGGGAAATGAGGATTCAGAGATGTCTGAGGAGCTAGATTGTGTAGCTTGATACCCTGAGAGTCAAGGAACGATTGTCTGAGGGGAGTATCAGAAGAGGAAGGACGGCGGCACGGGAGACACGGCAAGGCACAGATGACGATTTCTCCAGCCTTTCAATCGTCTCTCAACACTCACAAGACGTCGGACAACTCCTCAGCGCCGACCCATATGACGGTCTTCAACTCTAGCTTTTCTAAGAAGGAAAAGTTCAACTCGGACGGCTGAGCAGATCGGTAGAAGCCTGTGAGCAAGGGAAAGGGATCAGCTTCGAGTAAGCAGCCAAGAGTGAGTCTCACCATCTTCTACCAGGCCAAAATTCAGCGGCGGGACGATCTTAGCCATTGTCGTGTTGCTAATAGAAGGTGAACATCGTCATAAACAGCCAGAATCATGTGCACACAATCACTCGGGCAAGCTCGACACGTGGCTCGGCTAGCGTACAATTACGTAACGCGTTGAGGATTGGTCCATAATTTTGGAGGAGTTTTAGCAAGTCAATCATCGTACATGCTGTTAGAAGATGCGACTTGACATGGTAGTCAGGGCATAGGGAAGCGGGAGAAACTGGCAATTGAGGAGCTTTATATCTACCGCTCAGGATCCCCGGTGCCAAATCGAATCCTCGCACAGACTGTCGCTTAGCACCTCCGAGCATTGTTATGAGCTGGGCTCGGAAAACACTGTCTCCGTCGCTTTGCAGATTTGTGTCGTCAAAGCTGTCCTATAGGTGTGCAGCATCATATGCGATCTACGCCCGTCTCTGACCCCCACAGATCATCACATACAATGTCAAGCTCCACTCCCATCCTGGACTGCTCGTCCTACTCCTCCATCAAAGTCCACCCTTCGCCCGTACCGCTGCATCCTTACCAGAGCCCTTCATTCGACATCCCCGCTGAGATCTCAAGGCACCTAGAAACGGTATCATCTCACCTACATTCCTCTAGGACGGTCGCATTTCCCACAGAGACCGTGTATGGACTCGGTGCATCATCATTGGACCCTCGGGCCGTTCGACGAGTCTACGAAATCAAGAACCGGCCCTCTGATAACCCATTGATCATTCACGTATCCTCGTTGGACATGCTCAATCATTTGTTACCACCAGGTTATGAGATATCCAAGCTTTATCGGGCCCTTATAGAAGCTTTCTGGCCCGGACCATTGACCCTTCTGTTTCCCTCTTCTAATCCACCTCCGCTTCCTGCTCCTCAGACCAATGCTATTCGCATGCCTTCCCATCCTCTGGCCCAAGCCTTGATCTATCACGCCAACCTACCAATATCAGCACCTTCTGCTAATTCATCCGGTCGACCCAGTCCGACATGCGCTGGACACGTATTCAATGACTTGAATGGCAGGGAGGGACTGGGATGTATCCTTGACGGCGGAGTATGTGGTGTGGGCGTCGAGTCGACAGTGGTCAATGGCTTGGGCTGGCGAGAGGACGGCACAGGCTACGTCAATGTCCTGAGACCTGGTGGTCTGGGTGTGGAGGAAGTCGAGAGGATCGTGAGGGAAGTGGACGGTGATGTCGACGGAGATGACGGTCGGACGCAAATATTACTCCATGGTCGACCTTGGCGTTCGAAGCCGGGTCAAAGCTCCTCTGCAGGCATGCGCCTTCTGCCCGATTCTAGTGATGATCCACCATCAACCCCAGGGCTGAAATATCGTCACTACTCTCCACGAGTGCCCGTCTTTCTGCTCTTACCTTCGAATACCTTTGCTCAACCTGAATCCTTATCGTCCTCAGCAACCACTCCGCAGGACATTTTGCGTCATATATCCAGCCGAATCGGCGCGCATGATGGCGCAAGGCTGGGAATTCTACACTATGACGACTCGCCCCTCTTTCACGCATTGAGGTCGGGTTCGCAGGGCATTGATTTGATCTCTCTATCTCTTGGACCAAATTCGACAACCGCCGCTCAACGCCTGTTCTCTGGTCTCCTTAAGCTGGAGCGGGGTGGGAATACCAAGTCAGTGCTTGGAGTGCAGCCGAGTGATTCTCGAGGGGTAGATGCAATTCTCGTAGAGGGATGCTCAGATGCTGGACTGGGCTTAGCAGTCATGGAGCGAGTCGGTAAAGCTGTTGGTGGTGGTGGCGCTGCCACTGACCTGGATCAGAAGTCTGACGGAGATAAAGGCCGATTCTGGGTGGACGTCGGGGAAACTGTAGCATAAATCAGCATCGTATACCATAAGATCATCTTGCATATTCAATACAGACATCTTGCTCGGAATTCAAAGGCTTGGGCACCATCTTTCGCCGTGTACAGGCCGGCTCACGGTTGTCATCGGTTTCAGAATTCGGATAAATTTTCAAAAGTGTGATCTTTCTTGGACTTCTCATGAGTCTGGCTAATTCTACGCTATCGACTCTGCATCTTTCACGAGTCATATCATCTCACAATGAGCTCTTCAAGTCGACCAAAGAGCAATATTGAGCTCTTGACCGAGCAGCACAAATACGTGCAAAAGGCGCGGAAAGCGAGGGCTGAGCAGATTGAAAGTATAAAATTCGATGACGATGCGAGGAGGTGAGCGGAGTATCAGCGTTTGCACCCTGCGGCGCTTCCTGAAGTCTTAGAGAGGGAAGCAAATGCTGACAAGCGATTGCTTAGAGAATGGCTGAGTGGGTTCAGTAAAAGGAAGAAGGCCAAGGTCGAGGAGAAACGGGCCAGAGCTATCGAGAGGGATAAACAAGCTCATAAGGAGGAAAGACGCCATGTGAGTGAACAAGGGTCATTCGAAGGGCTTCAGGCTATCGGGTCCACACTTGCGTCTTCATTCGTGTGCAGTATGCTGATAGTGACCCTTGTAGGCTCGTGAAGAGCTGAAGAAGAAGGCAGCGGAAAATGTTCGAAATGTCCGACTGGCGATGGGTTTGCCAACTGGAGATGACGAGGAGATGGCAAGTGGAGATGAATCCTCGAACGAGGGTCCGGCTGTTCCCCTGGAAGACGAATATGAAGACGACGATCAAATAGCGACAGTGACCATTACGGAAGACTTTGATCCGTCGATACCTGGTCCTTCGACCCGGAAATTTGGATCGCCTTCGTCCGACGAAGAGGGGGACGAACATCGTTCTGGCCAGCTGGGGGATGCGGAAAAGACAAAGAAGCGGAAAGCAGTCGGATTACCTGATATGCCTGCATCAAGTCATCGAGCTCAGAAAAAGGCCAAGTCGATATTGGAGCAGGCCAAATTGGAGAAGAAGGAAAGGCAGGAAAGGGCCGAAAAGGCTGATAAGCAGTCTAGAGGGATGGAGACGAAGGCGGAGAGAAAGTTTGGAAGGGCTATGGAAGCTAAGAGGAGGGCCAAGAGAGCTGGAATCGCCATGGAGAGGGATGGAAGGCAAAGAGGGACCGATAAGGGGAAGCGTAAAGGTAATGGTGCACACAACAAGCCTTTAAGGGGAAGAAAGAGAGGATAAGTACCGCATTGATTTGGCTTGACCGGTGACATTATACAACACTACAAGCAATTCAATCATGACTATGCGATGTGTTTATGGCCGAACCCCATCCGTGTCATCTCTCAGACATTTCAACAGTCTGTCCGCGCAGCATGCTCTGATGCTCCTCAGCCGGAACGACCTGATACCCCACACCGGACCGGTCTTTAGAGATCCTGCCAGTCCACTGATTCGGAAGAATGCTCTCAATGTCTTCGCGAAACTTGAGCCAAGCGCCTGTAGGTGGAGTCAACCTTCAACAAAGAGCTACGTCAACAGCTTCGTACTCACTCCACATTGCTCCCTTGATCCCCTCCGATTGAGGTGCGTGATCACTTGGCATCCGAGAACTTGCCGTGAGATAATACATCGGTGTGCCCGAAGCCATGAAGACTGGGCAGGGGTCAGTGAACGAAGCAAGAAAAGAGACCGCTCCTCACCCAAGGCGGCGAAAGCCTCCCATGGCGCGGCAAAGATGGGCATCAACAGCAAGAAAGCAGCGACCTAGGAGCAGAACGTGAGCAAGGAAATGTACGAGACGTAGTCTCCGTGTAGACTGACTGCACAGAAGATGATCGGGGTGCTAATCCAAGTTTTGTACGGCCTATCGAGAGTCGGCTCCTTGACTCTCAAGACTAAGAGACCAAGGACAGTAACTAAAAAGAATGTCCAGGCAGTCACGGAGAAGAAGTTGAGCAGGCCTATAGCAATCGTCAGCGTCGTACGAATGGCGCGACACCTCACTTCTGAAGCCCCCACCAAATACGATGAAGAAGATTGTGAGACACCCTTGCAGCGCGACTGCATTGTCTGGTGTCCGACGGGTAGGATGTAGCTTAGCAAAAATGTCTGGGAGAAAGTGCTCCCTAGCCGATGCGTAGATGAGTCGGCTAGCTATGATCACCGTCAAGCAATTTTACTGGCGCAGGAAATTTTGCTCACTGGTGAACAGAGCCGCGTTCAGAGCGCCAAAGGCACTGATAGAGACGAGAATACTGAAGAGAATCGCGCCTGGTCTACCGAGAACGACGCGTCCGAAATCTAAGGCTACAGTGTTGGTTGCCGCAACGGTTTCTGGGTCCAGCACGATAAAGTATGAAATGTTGGTACAGAGGAACAAGATTGACACGAGGGACATGGAAAGGTGGAGTGCAATGGGAAGATCTCGGTGAACATCGTTCATTTCGCCGGCAACGTACTGCGTCAAGGTCAGCTTTCACCGGTTGCAGGAAATTAATTAAGCTCACTCCACAGGCGTCCCAACCGTCAAAAGCCCATAAGCCAGAGTACAACGCGATTGCGTATGCCGAGGGAGCAGTACTGGTCCCACGGAAGAGGTTGGCAGGGCTCAATGCGGTGCCTGCACCATATCGTACGAGGTGAATCGTAGCTAGCACGCCGACGAATACCAAGGACAGCGTCTTGACGATGGTAATTGCGAAGGACGACTTTGTACCTGCGGATCGAGAGATAATGTTCAATACAGAGGTCAAGATGACTGCGATGGTACCTGTGATCTACGCCAAGTGAGACCTCTGATTGTGGCGGAAGGATGACATACCTTGAACGTCCATTCCGGTACTATCGACTCGGGGTCTCCAGTGATCGCATGGTAAATCATACGGTTGATATACTCTCTGCAACCAAGTCATCAGAGACGATAAATCCCGTTGTTTCGATCTGATTCACCCAAATATGAGGGATATGATAGCAGATGATCCCGGTTTTATTGTGGACACGGCAGTCCACGTGTAAAGATACGAAGCAATAGGGCCAAACTGTGTAGACACCTGTTCAGCGAACAGACATAGGGACCCCAAAGACTCACTGCATACCCCAGATAGGCTTGAGCGCCGCCAGATAGCGGTATGGCACATCCTAACTCCACGTAGGAGCTAAACGCGAGATATCAGCTCTGATCGCAAAGGTCCCAGGTAATGTGACGGGCCGGACAGACAAGACATGTAGATGGACGACTCACCTCGCACCTGTCCAAGCCAATCCAGCTGCTGCCGCCCAGACTAGCAGACTCGCTCCGGGGCTGCCGACATTCGCTACCACTACTCCCGGCGACGAAAAGATCCCCGAGCCAACCTGAGTGCCCATGATGAGTCCGACACCTGTGACTATGGTTTAGGGTACCGGGACCATCAGTGACAGTCTCGACCCACCATGTAGCATACTGACATGCTTTTCATCCCCCTTCTGCTCATTCTCTCCGGATAACGTCAAGGGCAAGAGATTATCCCGAAATTCAAAGCCGCCAAAAGAGGTGACTGTATCTGAACGTCCGAGTCGACCTTTTTGAGGTGAGTTTGATGACCCAGAGGCTTCGGCATGCTGCTCGCCGGAGTCCAGCTCCAAATCTCGGAGGGCGTACCCTGATGGACGAGAGAAGGAGGATCCAACTGATGATCTAGGAGAAGCGGAAGGAGGCGAGGTCGACACGGCTCGGTATTGAGCTGCCATGACGTCGGACACCGCAAGATGAATCTAATCAGACTCTCATGTATCGACACAGAAAGTTCGCAGCGTATCTATGGCGAGTTGCTGGGCATGATGCTCGGTATGGCTTTGTGAGCACCAGGCAGCTAGCTGGCTGAAATCTCGCGGGTCGAAGGGTTCCGCTAATTGCGGCGATCGCCGCTATGACGGACGCGCGCGTATCGCGAGGGACATTATCACTCGACGTTGATGAGACTGCTGAATAGACGACTCCCGTGCAAACCTCTGAGCACCTGCTGAGCCAAAGACTGGCCGACAAAATGTCTCTGTGGGTAGACAAGGTGTGTACTGTCAGCTATATTGTGCTGGACAGAGCTGAATCAGATCCAGTATCGACCCCGAACATTGGACGAATTGCACTATCATGATCAATTATCGGCTCGATTGAGATCATTAGTGGGCGGGCATCATCCTCCAGTCAAGGACAAGCTGATTGTTTGAATAGGCGGCTTCGGGAGACTTCCCTCATATCCTCTTCTATGGACCAAGTGGAGCGGGCAAGAAGGTGATTGCTCCCAGCATATATTACGGTGCTTTGCTGACCGCTCGTCAGACGCGAATCATGTGCACACTGCGCGAGTTGTATGGACCAGGCGTAGAAAAGGTGAGAAGTCCGTGTGGATCCTGCCTCTTTGCTGAGTGCCTCGTAGCTGCGTATAGATCAAAGGGTCTTCGTCACTCCCTCGAACAGGAAACTGGACGTCAATGTAGTTCAGTCAAACTACCACATAGAGCTCACGCCATCGTCAGTCGTTCTAGCTGCGTACATTAGCCCAGCTGATGATGATCCTCCTCAGTGATGTTGGGATGTACGACCGTGTCGTCATCCAGGATATCTTGAAGGAGATCGCTCAGACCCAGCAGGTTGATTTGAACGCCAAACAGCGATTCAAAGGTGAGTACAAGGCGTTGAGTATCTGCGCTGATGATCTTTACAGTCGTGATCATTAACGAGGCTGATGCTCTCACACGAGATGCTCAAGCAGCCCTGCGAAGAACGATGGAGAAGTACATGAACAACATGCGGTTGATACTATGTGCTGGCAGTACGAGCAAAATCATCGCACCGATACGAAGTCGATGTTTGCTGGTGCGAGTCGCCGCTCCAACTGATGATGAGGTGAGCCGAATACAGAAGACCATGTGAAAACCGAAGCTCACACCTCTCGCAGATGTCAAAAGTCCTTCACCATGTCGCCAAGAAAGAACGTTTCCATCTCCCCGATCCCGCCTCCGATGCCATTATTTCGTCGTCATCTGGAAACCTCAGGAAAGCTCTGCTCGTCTTCGAAGCCATGAAGATGCAACGGCCGGACCTAAGCGGTGATCTGGATGTGGCAAAACCGGATTGGGAGACATATTGTGGGAAAGTCGCCGATGCGATATTGTCAGAGCAGAGCGCTCAAAAATTACTGGAGATCAGGGGAAAGCTATATGAGCTGTTGAGCCATTGTATACCGCCGACGGTGGTGATGAAAGTAGGGCGACCGCGAGACACGAAGGGATTCTAGACTGACCTGAAACAGACTATATCAGAGCGTTTAGTCGAGAAAGTCGATGATGAAGTCAAGAAGCAGATCGTGCACTGGACGGCATACTATGTGAGTTGTTGGTTGCGCCAATCCGGGGCATGCTTCTCATAAAATTCAGGAGCTGAGAATGCGGGTCGGGTCTAAGAAGATCTTTCACCTCGAGGCGTTCGTAGCCAAAATTATGATGTAAGCAGATTCTCCTGGGTGTATGCTGATCTTCCCAGGGTCTACAAGAACTACACGCTGTGAGCCTGAGCTGAGAGTCTGGGGTCTAGAGCTGACGTGATATCTCAGGATGGGCATGATGGATGACATTGACATGTTTTGATACAGGCTGGCGAGCGACATCGCCTGGCCCTCTATGTATATTTTACATCTATTGTTTGTCCAAGACGGCCAGGTCACCAAAGCTTTCCATGACAAAGTCGGGCACTGTTTTGCTGGGCTCATCTCCAAAGATGGCCTCGCGTTTGGTCACGCCTCCCATGACTAGTAGCGTCCGGACGCCAGAATTGATGCCGAACTCGATATCCGTAGCGAGGTTGTCACCGACCATTAGAGCTCGCTTAGGGTCAAATTGGTGTCTATGGCTGTCAGCTAGATTGAAACGGTCGACGTACTCTGCCAGGATTGCATCCATCATAGTTGTATTCGGCTTGCCGATGACCGTCGGTGTACGCTTACTAGCGTAGACCAATGGGTACGAGATGGAGCCAGAGCCTGATGCAGCGGATCAGCCCACATCACGACAGGTGAGGGGTCACTACTCACCGGGGAAGATAGTGTGGCGGATGGGCTGATCGGGATCACCGGTCGCAAATGAGGTGGGGTAGGTCGGATCTTGGTTTGTCAAGAGGAAATGACAGTCCTTGTTGTCGCGCATGTACGAGAATGCCTTTGCGTACTTCTTGTAATCTGCCCGTGGTCAGTGGGCTCAGGTAGAAAGGCCTCACTGATGTGAATGTCAAAGCCACAGAGGACGGCGCCGATGGAGGGGTCTGGCTTGATATCGCCAAAGCCGTCCTTCTCCATGAAAACCCTGTCTTCCGGGTCCTAGGGCAGCCTATGAGTAGAGGGTTCCCAGCAGACACAGCTTCGCGACTAACCGTTCCTCCTGAGTGACCGATCCCTACACTGTCCAGTTCCTCCTCCAAGCCAACTTCACCAATGACGTATACCCGCTTATCTTTCGGAAAGTTGAGAACTTTGGAGAGGTAAACTGCTGAAGCATACCCCGATCCAAATATCTCCTCCTATACTCAAACGTTCAGCTCAAAAAGAAGCCCTCACATTCCGACAGTTTGTACGCACTGCTTGCGCCTCGAGGCCAAGTTTTCTGAATGTGTCAACGTACATCCGTCTGGATTTAGAGGCATTGTTCGTGACGAAGATGATCTTCTTGCCTGTATGAAAGGATGGGTCAGAGGCTCCTTTTCGCGTTGCGGGTAGCAAGAAGGTATCGCTTCGCTCACCTGCACGACGCAGCATGGGCAAGACTTGCTTTATGCCTGGAACGACGTTTGAGCCATGATACAGGACACCGTCGCAGTCTAGAAGGAATGTGTCGACCGAGTCGAGGAGCTCTTGGTACTGCTCTGGTGTTGACAAGACAGGGGGCGCCATGATGCTAAAGCTGGCTGTTGTACGAGGTCCTCTTCTATGTATATGCAAGACCATCATCAATCTCCCAAATCAGCTTTGGTCGATGCGACATACAGCGATTGCCACTTTGGGAAATTCAACCTCGCAATTGCAGCTGGCATCTTGGAAATTCAACCAATGGCTTTCACTGATCATTCACCCCATCTTCCCCTTTCAAGCTAAGCAGACTCAACCCCGGGGCTGCTGGCGCGCGAGACAGCTCAAGTTCTCGCGACATTGAATCACTTCGCGCCTTGGCCTGGTACTCTTTGAGTGACGCGCGCCCTGCTTCCGTTTTAGCGTTGCAGTCCTCTAGCTTGGCCACAATGTCGGACAGGTCAGGCTCTCCATCGTCTGAAGGTGAAGGTGATCGCATCCGTCCCTATGGAGACGATGTAGACTCTTCAGAGGAGTCATCTGAAGAAGACGAGGAGGAAGCTCGACGAGTGGCAGAAGGTTTCATTGTCGAAGGGGATGACGATGAGGAGGATGGAGATTTTGAAGTTGATGAGAACGAGGAGGACGAGGAGGCCCGAAAGAAGCGAAGACGGAAAGAGAAACAACGTCGGAGAGAGGAAAAGAGGGCTAGAAGAGAGGCTCGTCAGAAGGACGACGATGATGGCGAATTGTCTGAGGGCGAGTTAGAGCTTATGGCTCAGAACCAAGGATTGGCCGGACCGTCTAAAGACAGATCTACAAATCGAGCCCGGGTAGCGGCAGGCGTGGATGGAGACGATGAGCGGATCCCAAGTCTTCAAGATATTTTCCGTGAGGACGAAGAAAGGAGAGCTATGGAAGATGAAGATGAGGATGATCTAGGAGATTTCATTGAAGAGGACGAGGAGGAGGAACGGGCAGCGGGAGAGACGGAGGAGGAAAGACGGCAACGACGCAGGGAGGAGAAATTAAAACGTCGGGAAGCTGCAAGAGCACGGCCAGACATTGCTGGCCTCGACAGAGGGTGAGTAAGCTCTCCATGACTGCTAGCTGATGCGGCCAGTGCGTTTGACGAGAATTATGAAGTCTTTGGAGACGGTCAGCTATACGAGTGGGCCATGGACCTGGACGACCTTGAAAACGACGAAGGTGATGATGAGGTCCAGAAGAAGGATCTCCGTCTCGAAGATGTATGTGGACTATCCTGCCGCAGGGGACTCCATGCTAATACTGGGCTCCAGGTGTTTGACCCAGCCGAAATTAAAGCGCGACGACTTCAGGACGAAGACAAGGCGATAGCTCAGAATGACCAACCTGAACGACATCAACTAGTCAACTCTACACTTTCCGACAATCCTGTCCTCGCCTCTGCGACCCTCTTCCCTCCTCCAGACCTTGCTGCCGGCTGGGCTTACACCAAAATCTCCACTCGGATCCAATACATTTTTTGCAACATGGGTCCGGAAGGCTCCTACCCCGAGCCCACACCGGACAACATTCAGCCTCTTCCTGTCCGTCGTCGATTCGATCTCGCTGGCGCATTCATCCACGTCGTATCTACAGCGCTGAGGATGATGTTCGTCGAGAATCTTGAAGTGCCATACCTCTGGCACTACAAGCGAGACGCCTTCAGCGTCCTAGAGGATCAGGGACAAAGCTCTGTCCAATTTTTGGACCGCGACGAGCTCTGGACGTTGTACACCCTTGGACTGAAATTCAGAGCCATTTACAGTCGATGCCAGCAGATCACGAACATGTGGAGTAAGATCAAGGAGAGGAAGCCGGAACTCGAGAACGAATACCTCACCAAGACGCTCTTGTCATCAGTCTGCATGATGAGCGTAGAGGCCGCGGCAGAGGGTTACGACTGGTTGGCATACCATTACCCGCAGGAGGTTCACGATGTTCGAATCCAGCAAGCCTTGGAGGAGGGCACGAAAATGGCACCGATCAAAACGAGAGACGATCGAGGGCGATTTGGACCTGTCAAGAAGCTTGTCGACGTAAGTAGCCGCTGCTGAGTCGAGCTGATCTGGGCAGGCTTTCGGCATCGACGTCTCGAAAGTAGCGGTCTTATTCAACGATCCCGAGGGGAAACCACATTCTCTTGAAAACCCTGATCGCATGCCCCTCGACCTTGCAGAGGAATTTGCTGGTACTGGAACCATGTTCACAACTGCTGGAGAGGCTCTCGACAGTGAGCATGAGCGTCTCATCCCAACAGCCTCTATCTGACCCTTCTCAGCTGCAACTCAGATTCTCGTGGCGGAGATGGCTAAGGATCCTTCCATACGTCAACAGGCGCGAGACTTTGTCGAGGCGTGCGGTACAGTAACCGTCACACCGACTGAGAGGGGTCAGACGATCATCGACGAATATCACATCTATCATGTGAGCGTTTCCCCGATTTGAGATGACAAATTCTGACCCAGCGATGCGCAGGCCTTCAAATTCTTGACGGAGAAGCCCATCTCCCTGTTCAAAGACTCGCCCGAGTTCTTGCACATGCTCAAAGCCGAAGAAGATGGACTCATTACCATATCTATCGAAGTTGGCGAGATGGAGGACTCGTTCACGCAGACACTTGTCCGGTGTGTCCATGCGGATGATCATGGCGAGCTGTCAAGAGCGTGGAATGAGCTCAGGAAAGAGATTTGCGACACGGTCGTCGCGCATCATCTGATTCCCGCGGCTTCAAAGTGGGTCAAGGAGCATATGAGAAGTCAGGCGGAGGAATTTGTCGCGGAAAGATGTCGAATGGAGTTGGAGCTTGTGGGTTGTCTTTGTTCTTCAATCCTGACTCATTTCGCAGCGCGTCAATGTCCGGCCATACGCAAACTCAAGCATGGACCAAGGAGAGACGCCTTCTGTTTTGGCACTGACGAACGGTCGAGGCGGTATCCGAGATGCCGTTGTAGCTGTTCTCCTTGACGAAGAGGGAAACATACACACCCAAACAAAATTCGACAATCTCAAGGACGATGACGACAAGGAAGCCTTTGTGGATTTGGTCAAGCGTCAGAAGCCTGTTGTCGTTGTCGTTGGAGGACTCTCAGTTCAAGCTGCTAGATTGAAGGACGACATTTATGCGGCACTGCGCACTCTGGCAATGAGGGAAAGCGGCGAGGTTGCACCAACAATGGATACCTACCCGAATCCCGACGATTTCCATCTCGCTTCAGCCGACTTTGACGCGAGGTTGGCGCCGCATATGGTGCCTCTAACCTACGTGAATGATGCGACGGCCCGAATTGTGATGGTCAGCGATGATACTGCAAAAGATTATCCGAACCTGCCTATGAACGCTCGTTATGCTTTGGGTTTGGCGAGGTATGCTCAGAACCCTTTGAATGCGTATTGCAAGCTTGGACGTTCCATCGCTTCCGTCACCTTTATGGAGCTCCATCAGAAGTTGGTGCGTTGGCTGCATCATCTCTTTGGATCAACACTGACAAATCTGTTCAGATTTCCCAGGAGAAACTCCTGGTTCACCTCGAGCGAGGACTGGTCAATGCTGTCTGTTATATGGGCATTGAGATCAACTCCTGCATCGCAGATGCTTATCAACGAGCGATGCTGCCTTTCATCGCCGGACTAGGTCCTCGCAAAGCGGACGCGCTGGTCAACGCTGTGCTACGCCAGGTAAGCCGAGCTTCTGGTCTTAGGTCCAGCTGATACCTTCCAGGGTACCCTGATCAATCGTTTGGCTTACGCGGATCTCGGCGTCTTTGGCCCAACTATTCTCGAGAACGTTGCTGGTTTCCTCAGTATTCACACGGATGAGAAGGAGATTGAGCTGGATGCGTCGAACCCTCAAGCAACACCGGATCCGCTCGACCTGACCCGCATCCATCCTGCTGATTACGAGTTTGCTCAGAAAATGTGTCAGGATGCCTTGGACATGGACGCCGAAGATGTGGCGGATCAGCACAAATCCGAGGTCGTCCTCAAGCTCATGTTGGACGATGATCGGGCTCGGAAGCTTGGTGAACTCAACTTGGATGACTTTGCCTTCAATCTGCAAAAACAAGGAGAAGGCAACAAGCGTCATACGCTGGGAGAGATCGTCTCGGAGCTTATCAGCTATCGGGCGGATCGACGGCCGGTCTTCTATGTCCCGACAGATTGGGAAGTCGTGACCATGCTCTCTGGTGAGACGGAGAGGACAGTTGGACCTGGAATTATCGTCACTGCGACCGTTCGAAAAGCCCTAGCATCTCGCGTCTTCTGTCAATTGGAATCTGGACTGGACGCGATTCTCGAAAGAGAATACGTCTCGAACGATGATCAAGCTGTCCTTTCTTGTGAAGATCAATTCAGAGCACGGCAATCGATCCGTGCGGTGGTCATCTATGCCGAGCCAGCACGTATGCAGGTCAAGATTTCGACCAGAGATTCGGATATGCGACAGGGAGTACCGTACCTTCAGCCATTCAGGGTTGAAGCGTTCAATAGTATTGCCCGAGCGACACAGGCAGCGGAAGCAGCTGCAGCCAAGAAGCGACAAGCAGCGGGCAAGGTGAAACGAGTTGTCAACCACCCTAATTGGCACGTCATGAACTCTGGACAAGCGGAACAGTTCTTGGCCAGTCAACATCGCGGCGATGTGGTCATTCGTCCGTCGTCCAAGGGACCGGATCACCTAGCTGTCACTTGGAAGGTCGACGAGGATGTGTATCAACACATCGACGTGCAGGAGATTGATAAGCCCAATGAGTACTCTGTAGGCAGAATCCTACGGGTTGCTGGCAAATATTCTTACTCAGACCTGGACGAGTTGATCATCAATCACGTCAAGGCCATGGCGAGGAAGTTTGACGAGATGCAAATGCACGAGAAATTTAGGCAAGAAGATGAGCTGGGTGAGTTGGTCGATGTTTGGGCACGGTCAGGACTGATGTCATTCAGAGGGATATCTCAAGAATTATGTTCAGGCGCATCCTGGACGAAGTATGTACGGATTCAGTATCGACAGCGCGCGGCCTGGATATCTTAAGCTGTGTTTCATGAACAAATCGAGTAAAGACGGAGGAGCCATACAGGAATGGGTGAGCTGCTCCTTGCCCGTGTGCGCTAGTGGGAATCTGACGCATCCTTGCGTCAGCCTGTCAAAGTTCTGCCAGGAGCTTAC